ATAGCTCCCTGCTCTCTTAAATATATTTTTAAACTTCAGTAGTCGAAATTAAAGTTATATTTATTTATTTTAAATTTTGAATTATACTTTTGTTCTTTTAATTTCGAAGTGGGGGTTGAATTTTCTAAGGAAAGACGAAGTTGCTAATTTTACTTTCTTTTGCTGGGACGGTGCTAGCAATGAGTTCTAATCCGACTATCATGGTGAGAATATATACGATAATTGTAACAATTTGTGTGGCAGGTGGTTATGGTACTTGCAGGGGTGGGCAAGATACTTTGGTCGTAAGATACAAGATACAAGATAAGATACTTTCTAGGATAAGATATAAGATACAAGATAAAAAGATACATCTTGTTCAAGTACACAAGATACAAGATACAAGATACTTTCCTAAAAATTGAGTAGTCAAGATACAAGATACAAGATATGTATCTTAAGATACTTTTATATTAGATAAGATACTTTCTTATCTTAGCTTGGTATTCATGCCCAATTAGTCATGTTTAATCATTTAAACGAAAAAATCTAGTGAGTACAAAATTTAAAATCATTCTATAATCATTTTACAAATTTTGTTGCCAGTGCTTATACTTCGAAAAATTTCGAAACTTCGAAAACTAGAACTCTACCTGACATACGTATATTTTTAAGAAGTTGGTATTATTTTTACAATATTCCCTGCTTATTCAAACTAAACCCTATAAAGTCTATACACTAGTTCAGCGAAGGTACATAGTTATCATGCATGTGCAACGTATGTATGTGTACAAGTGTAAGAGTACACATGAACATATATACATATATATGAATATATGTATATATGTACGTACAAGTTTGTTACCAATTGGCAAAACGTAAACTAAAAATTCACCAAATTTTGGTTACGACAAATTCATGGTCAAATTTACTGCCAGTAGTAAGAAATTGACTTGATTTGACTGAATTTTGAGAAAAAGTATCTTGTATCTTGTCAACTATCTTAAGATACTTTTCTGCCAAGCATATCTAGATAAGATACTTACACAAGATACTTTCGACTTTCTAAAAGATACAAGATACAAGATAGAAGATACTTCTCTGATCAGGCGACGAAGATACAAGATAAAGATACTATCTTGTATCTTCTATCTTTTATCTTGTATCTTGACCAAGTATCTTGCCCACCCCTGGGTACTTGTAACTGTAACCTATTCATTTTAAAACGCTAATTAGAGATAGAAAAACTAGAGAAGTGTCAAAATCCAATCATTTCAAAATTATGAACTTTTTTTTAGATAAAATTCTTGTCCACTTTCTTTTGCCAAATTTCCTTTTTCGGCCTTATAGATTTTTAATTCATACTCAGCGACATCCAAAATCTTGTCAATCTAAAATTTCACCAATACATATGTAATACCAAGCTTTTCGATAGGAATGGGTCGCCCAACCTTCTGACATATCCGGGATTAAGGATTGTCGAAAATGCTCCACCACTTATCTCGCCCTGGCCCCGGCGGAGAAACGATTCTGGAAATTTGTCCTGGCCTCCCAACCCGACAACAAGCTCCACGGGGATAAAATTCTACCCTACTTTGAAAAACTGAACATTCTTGGGAAGCAACAAATCTTGGAGATTGCCACCCCTCCGGAATTTACTGGATACCATGGACACATTCTCAAAGAGAGTTTCGACGCTTACGTGGCGTATTGGAACGAGAACTACTCCCCCGAACAGAAGGACCTCCTCCGACACTACTATGTCGACATGGGGATGACCAGGGAGGAAGCGGGGGATAAAATCCAGCAAATGTACGAAGACATGGTGAACACGGGGGGATGGAAGGACTATGAAATACGGTAGTGGGGTTTGCAATTAGGAAAAAATTTGAGGAATTCGAGGAAAATGAAGTTTTCGTAACGCCGGCCAACGGTGGCGAAAAGGTGAACAGCATGGTCAAGAGGTATTTGGGGATGAAAGTGGACAACGAGGCAAACTGGGTTTAAATAAGAGTGGAGCAGGAATTTTGGAAGGGACGGCAATGTGGGGGAAATATTAATCTACCCTAATAGGTACACACATAAGTAACTTAAACAGTTACCTTAAAATTAAAACGAGAGTTTAGCAAGCAAAATGTTTTGTATTTTTTCTAATTTATAGATGAAACTGTACCTACTACTGCCATATATTCTGTCTCAAGCATTCCGCGCGCAAAAAACATCAGTAGCAGTTACGTTAGCCAGTTGTACTATTTTTTATTGAATTCCCCATGCAATTGTCTATCAGAAACCATCTTCCGAAATTTTTGTGATACAAGGTGCTAAAATGACAGATCGGACAAATCGACGTGTTGCAATTTTTCAGAAACATTTTTGCAAACATAAAAATTCGGCATTTTTCAGTAGATCATTAAAAATCGGAACTAATTGCAAGATGGTCGACCATACCATAAAATGATCCACTAACATTGGCAGTGTTGATAACCGAAAACCGAGTTGAAGGGAACGGTCAAAAAGCTCACAAAAAATCACGAAGGCGCACAAAACCTGAACTCGGCTGAATTCACGCCGGATCCTAAGAAAAATTTCCCTACAAATGAACGGTCCAAGTAAAACTACGTCCCTGGCCCCTAAGCTCGACCTTGGACTTATGTCTTTAAGATGAGAAAAGAAACACTTGCTAACTTCACGCCAAGTAAAAATAGTACCCTTGAAAGCCGGGCACTGATCATGCGGTACGCGCTTGAAAAATTGAAATAAGTATTTTTCAAAGATAAGTAAACTTTCACAATAAAGGCCATATAAAATTAGCAAAAGCACTTTGTCCACACCCCACCAGTCCATATTATTAATAAAATTTTTTAAAATATTAATCGGACCCACCATCCAGATTCTGTGATTTTTTTATTCGGCGTAGATTGGATTTGGTCAAAAAAGTGAATTGTCTTCCTCTGGGGGTGAAATTTCTTGTCAAAAAGTATTTTTTGAAGTTATCGAGCGAATGGAAGAACCACTGGACCACACTCTATTAAAAAATAGCTGCTAAGTATTCGAGCAGGGCTCAGGACCTGCTGATAAGGCCAAAATAGTAAAAATGGGGTAAAATTCCAAAATTTCTTACTCCATTTCGGATCAAGAATAAAATTCACTGTCGCCGAACCTCAGCCTTCTGGAATACGATATGTGGTCCAAACTGAAGCTAGATACATGTGCTAAACACCACATAAGTTTGGAATCCGAGAAAAAATCTGTCGCTTAGAAATGAGACTAATATTCCTTGGAATGAGTGCGTACCGCGAGTGAGATGTGGATATCTGGACTTTGGGCTATTGTAGCTTCGAAAGGAGGAAATTTTGAAAAGTGCCCGGTATATTTTGTAGAGAATTTAATAGGCTTTCTCATGATGTCGTTCGTTTTTTAAAATTCACTAAACTGAGTCCGCTACATTAATTTGTTTAGTGGTCAAAACTTATGGCAGTAGTAGGTAAGCTACTTATTTTTGAACTAGTTAAAATTATATCTTTAGCTTCAAGTTACATATAATGCTTGATAGATACAGACCCGTTGCTCGGTTCTACACCGGACAAAAAGTCCTCTTTTGATGGGAATCGAGCGTGCACGCGCTCTTCCCTACTTTTGCACCGAGTCATGTGAAATTTTAAACTTTGTCCTAGAGATGCTAAATTTGGCATGCACATGCACCAACATATGCTGCATCATAATATAACATCAATTCCCGTTCCGTTCGCTATAAATTTTTCAGGAAAAATCAAAAACCAAATGTCATCCCTATTCCGTTTGGTTTTTGATTTTTCCTGAAAAATTTATAGCGAACGGAACGGGAATTGATGTTATATTATGATGTAGCATATGTTGGTGCATGTGCATGCCAAATTTAGCATCTCTAGGACAAAGTTTAAAATTTCACATGACTCGGTGCAAAAGTAGGGAAGAGCGCGTGCACGCTCGATTCCCATCAAAAGAGGACTTTTTGTCCGGTGTAGAACCGAGCAACGGGTCTGTATGTAAATATATTTTACTGTTATTTTCTGGAACTAATTTTCTTACTAAATCTGAGGAAGAGTATTTTCAAATTAGTACATTAAAATCGGTTAAATTAGCAAACTGGTACATGCATATACATATATGACTTCATGACAACTAGGTATGTTTGATGTATTTAATTAAATGAGTTTTGTACTTCTTTAAATAATAAATCATGTAAGTATGGGGAAAACATGAGTAAATTGATCCGATATCCGCTGCACATGCATATGTACATACATTATACTCTCTCTCCAAGTCACCAAACAACAGCATCGGCGCGTCACCCCGATAAATGCGAAATTAGAATGGATGTATATTTGCAGAAAATTTTACACAAAGCAATGCACGGTATATATGAGAATCTCATATATACACCTCATTATCAGATGGCAAATTGCAATGTTCTCAAATTCTCATGCATACTTCTGAAGTATTACTTCACTATTTAATACTGGAAAGTGGCATGGGAGGCAGGTTGAGACAGATTGAGCCAACGTACGTACGTACGTTATACACATGTGTTAGGCGACGTATACAGTACAGTATGTATACATAATACATCATACACAAGCATATTATGAATATTGTATTGTCGTGTGAATACAAATTAAATTGTAAGTGTATAAGCCAATAAACAGATTACCAGTTATTCCTGCAACACTGTTTAATTTAAAAATATTTATTTCCATTAGTTACGACCACTTATATCCTCCTCTGCAATACTTTATGTATGCCAATACCAAGTTCAAGTTACATAAGCATTTCGTCCCATCTTATAATTTTGGTGCTCATTTTTCCAGCATGACATTCCGCAATATGTAGGTATACATAGACAATAAATATGTAATTAAGTATTTAATATAACACGAGTCACGTGATATGCAAATGCAAACTGCATGATTTCTACATATACGTAATTATTTATGTCCATATGTACAAGTATATATACGACTCTGCTCCAAAATTATCAGTTAATTAACCATTGATAAGATAAAATATACTTCAATTATTATAAAAAGTGAAGAATTTTCGGGGCACAAAGTCAAACGGGTTTCAGATGCTGGGCATAACCAATTATTTAGCTGACCAGTCTAAAATGGGACCCTTTTCACGAGAGCATATTCCACCTCAGACACGAGAAGGCACATGTCAGCCAAACTAATGACCATGTCATCCGATTTTGGCAATTCTTTCGTTCCCATGACATGTTTCGCCCTTTCAGAATTCCCAGAATTCCTTTCAGAATTTCCGAAATTTTCAAAGTGTTTAGCGATCGTGGTTGACCCGTACGTGACTGGTCCACCCACTCGCTCAGTTTGCGCTCCCTGTCATGGAAATAAAATTGTCGTCTTTGGAAAGAAAGTTATTGATTACTTTCTACCAGTTTAGTCCCCACTTCCGGTTTGGGCGGATGTTGAATGTGATTCCCATTTTTGTCCAGGGTCACTGGTGGGAATTTAGCTGCAGGTAAGACTCCCATTATTTTGTCCATTGCTTTGGAGATTTTGTTTGGATCGTGCCCATTGAAATGAAACGGTTTCGGCTCCTCCTCCGCAGATTTCTTGACCTCGTCGAGCAATTGCTGCTTGTGACACCACATCATGTACTGGAAAACTGTGTAAGTAGAAAATTAACTAAATATATGTATGTTGACAAATATAATTTATTTAAAATATTTGTATACCGTCCATGTTTTAGAATTTGTAATTTATGTCGGTATTACTTTTTTCAGCAAAGGAAGTAATCTAGTTGTTATTATTTTGTTCTTAGGATTCGAACGTCCTAAAGATCGAGTGAATCTCAAAAGACGAAGACTCCTTAAATAAGAACGAAATTACTCGTGTCTGTATTAGATAATGAGATCCTGGGGGCTTTCCTGTCACGGGATTTATTACAAAGTTATGCAGTTATCTGTTCACGAGGGACAAAGAGCGTCACAATGTAAATATGCATTTATTGTTCACATGGTCGCATCGTGAAACATTTACATTGTGAATCCGGATGATCACGGGTAAAAATTATGCAGACTAGTGAAAATATGCAGATGGCTTAGAATAATTAATAAATGATAACCAGGTGGGGCGTGCGCATTCCTTTTATGTAGGCAGGACATGAGGCTGGCATATGATTCGACAAATAATCAAATCATCTCCATATGTAAATATGCATGTATTTGACCGAGCATAATTTTCTCGTTGGAATTAGCATTTGATTGAGGTAACGCTACCAACCTGGTTACTAGTAATCAAACTACAAAATTAAAGGACAATACGAGAAGGTCCAGAAAACCTGGCTGTAGAAAGTCAGACTAATTTGAACTTGATTTCCTCTGCTCCCCCCAAGATGGTCAAGAAGAGTTTTTTTGTAGACTGAAAACCGACAGTAATATTATACTTTTGTAGCAACGAAAAATGCTACAACCCAAATTTTCTACGTGTGCAATCCATCTCTAAGGTTCCATTTGACCTTATCAAAGTGGTTATTTGTATTTCAAGGCGATTAATGACTTTCCATATCTTTGTTGCATACTTTTGCATATTAGAAATCCTTCGGATCAAAGCAGTCGATTATGTGAACAAGAATGATAAATAATGTGGATTTTCTGTTAATTATCCGCTTTAATAACTTGCCGCGATGTATGTGAATGTATTCAAAAATATTGTTTCGAAATTTATGTCGCCACGCTTTGTTCCACATGGATAATTTTCATGGAAATATGCCAAGCAGGAGACAAAGACGAGCGAGACAAAGAGACCGCGAGCAACAGCTCCGGTTCTATAAAAATCATATAATATTGAGCACGTTGAAATTTGTAATCGTGTAAAAGTAAAAAATATACAACTTCAAACTTTATAATTTACTCAGGAGTAGAAGGTCACTACTTGTCGGGCCCCGATTTCGATCTCCTTTGGATATGTTGTAGTACTACATGAGTGTAGAAAAAGTGAAGGAGGGTTAGACTCCATGAGCCCATTTACGCCCGCCACACCCCCTCAAAGCCGCCCAAACCCCCAGAGTTGCCGCACTAAAATCATCGCCAAAAATCGAGTTTTGGTCAGATTTTCAAGAAATTTACATTTTTGTGATCCCAGATAGTTGCTCTATCATATCCGATAGCAAACTCAATTTTTTTGAAATTTCGAATTTTTTCAATACATACCCTTGGTCAGAAAATCTTCGAAAATATTGAAAATTTCAAAAAAATTGAGTTTGCTATCGGATATGATAGAGCAACTATCTGGGATCACAAAAATGTAAATTTCTTGAAAATCTGACCAAAACTCGATTTTTGGCGATGATTTTAGTGCGGCAACTCTGGGGGTTTGGGCGCTTTTGAGGGGGTGTGGCGGGCGTAAATGGGCTCATGGAGTCTAACCCTCCTTCACTTTTTCTAGACTCATGTAGTACTACAACATATCCAAAGGAGATCGAAATCGGGGCCCGACAAGTAGTGACCTTCTACTCCTCAGCCTTGATTTTTTAGTCTATAGGTATTTGTATTACTACATATTTATTTAATAGACGTATATCATTTAAGATCACTCATCCTCAGTTTGTTGTTGATATACGTTTTTTCCACTCAACATTTAATAAACGATTAACTTTTGTGATGTTTTATTTTAGATTTTGGACAATTTGCTTTATCGATTGACCGATATCTTGACGAAATTTGTGAGCTAGAGCGGTACAAGACTCGTAGTAGTTAATAAGGTATACAACTTGAAATTTAAATTGGTTTGAACACGTCATTAATTAAGATCATATTTTTAGCACTCCTTGAATGAAACAAGTGGATTGACACCTTTTACTGGCTATTACTTTGAACGCAATGGATTTGGGCAATAACCATGACGACCCTAATCCCCATTTCGCCCTTATGCTCCCAGAGGTATTTAACCTGAAACAAATTGTGAATTTAATATTTGGAATTTTGAGGTTTAAAAAATATATAATGAGCGAACTCACATCAACCTTTATATATCTCGCAAATTTTGTATTGGAAACATACCTTGCGAAGTTTTGGAAATCATGGCGAGATTTCACAAAACTTCAGTTAAAAATCATGGGATTTGTGTTCGCCTGTTTTTATTTCAGATTCAGAGAATTATTACATGAACTTATCCTTTTTCATCTCCATATCAGAATCAGATGCGATAAAATTGCAGAAATTTATCGAACGGAATTAAATCAAAGTAGGATAGTTAGATTGATTTTATAGTTTTGCAAAATTTGCGAAATCATATTTTTAATTCATACGGTTTGGAATGTACATATATTTCTAAACAATGAAGCACAAAAATCAATTTTTCCTGATAAATTATTTTTATAATTTCTAGATTGTGGGAAGGATTGCGACCTTTCTCCCCAAATCTGACCTCCTCACGTGCACGTTAATAAACACGGCGTGGGAAACTGAAATCCGGAAACGTATCCTGGCTTTATCGCGTTGGGCCATCACAGAACATATTATCGCCTGTAGTCAGAACCATTTAAAAGTTCGAAAAAACTGCCCCAGGAGTATCGAACTTTTTGAATTGGATAAATACCTCACGGTCGACGCTTTTGTAGATTTTATTTCGGAGAACGGTCATAAAATCAAAACTTTGGAGACAGGTTTAACTCTACCAAACCCCGCATGGCCCCGATATTTGGAATCATTATCGAATTCCTTTCCCAATATGACTTCTCTCGTGTTAAATCTAACGCTACGGGATGACGCTGAGTCAATTTCTGAAACCCAATTCCCCCCAGAAACGTATTCCTTCTCGAAAGTTAAGGAACTCGAAATCTGCTCGTATTTCCCGTCCGATGGTACCCGACCTGGTGAACTAGATGCCCTCTTCTCCTCAATAATACCACAATTTGCCCCCCTATTTCCAAATCTAGTCGCCCTTTCGTTCGCGGACGTTGGTGATTCCGTCGTGCAAAATTGTATCGATTTATTCCCAACTTTGACACGTTTGAAGTTTGTAAGCATGGAATTAACCGTCCCCCTGAGACAAAATGTGCTTAATCTGACGCGGTTAGAAATAGGTCACTATTTTCAGAGCAGGACGGGGTTTTCTGCCTTGCTGAAAATTGCTTCCGCAACTTTGGAATATCTGACATTCTGCGAAGTGCCAAATCTGGATCCCCTCCGGAGACCACGTGGTTCCGAATATCTCCTTCTTCTTCCCATTCTGCCGAGATTAAGGGTTTTCGAATTTGTGCAAAATCAGTGCACGGAGAGGGAAATGTATCAAAACTCGAACATGATACCTGGCCTATTTCTACAATTTGTGGGGGTTGACAGCACCACGAAACGATGGGAATACAGGGTTCATCTCCCAGTTCTGGAAACGATCAGAATTTTGAGAGCGGAAATGTCCAGCTGTGATAAGGCAGAGGATAGAATGACCGAGCAGGAATATTTTGAAGCGAACGTGTCGTTTTTGTACGATTTTTTCTTGCACGAAAGTAATTCGCCTGGTTTGAGTGTAAAACAGTTAGATGTCCCGTTCCCACCAGGAGACAAGTTTAGACTGGTGACAGTTACGGAGTGTGAGTGCGGGAGGGAAATCGGTTTATGTGAGTGTTTCGAATTTTGGGACAGGGTGGTCGCAGTTTTTCCTAATTTGGTGAGATACGCGGCCATGGGGGGAGCCTGGGAAAGGGCAAGAGCGGCCAAGGTGAAACAGTGGGTCGATTTAGGGGAGGAGTTAGGTTTTGTGAGGGAAATTAGGGGGGAAGACGCGGGGAGAAAAGCGGACTTGAATTTAGGCGACTAGGTATATCTCGAGGTGTTAAAAAAATAAGAAATTTGTTAGCTAAATTCGTTGTTCAGAGATTGGTAAGAATTTTTAAAACATTTCTAAGCAAATAGTTTGGCTTTAATTTTTATATTTTTTTACGCTATTTAACAAATTACGAAAACATGCATTTTTATGTATATTTAATTATATGTAGTTTATACATTAGTATTTATCCTACTATTTACAAACGAAAATTTTGTACCCGTTAATTAATTGATGAAATAAAAATAATTTTGCTGGTGAAAAAAAACCTTTACCTTTTCACTCGTCACTTAAATTTACTTAGCCACACCTTTTGTGTGTATGGATTTAGTATGTCATGTCATAAAATATAAGTTGTGCATGTACAAAATTTTTTGCACTTTTAAAGCATAAAAACGTTGAGACAAGAACTAAATACATACGTACGTACACACATATCTGTATTTGTTCAATTAATTAATTGAAGTACTTATAAGTACTCGTTCGAAAAAGAAAACTCTTAAACTCAACAAATCCTCAAAAAGTCAAAATTAGTAGCTTCCTTTCGTGGAATTGGACTCATCCAGTTGGGGATATACAACAAATGTACATAATGTAAACCGAGGCATACGAAAGGTCAGGTTAACGTAAGGATTAAAAAGGGTTCGTTTCATATGAATAAACTTACTTCATTTCGAATGTATGCATGATATATCCCAAATCAGGTTTCCAAGTTCCACAAAACCAAGCACTCAATACTGGAGCTTTATTTTTATTACCAGCATATTTATAAAATCCTAACCACGACGCCTTTAAAAAGGTATCAACATTAAATTCTGCCTCATTCCAACTTTGATACGGAGGAGTTAACTCGTAAAACTTTCTTGCTCGAGTAAATACACAAGTACATAATTTCCTTCAAGTCTACTACTCTCAATTGTAAGTACTTATTGAAATAGAATAAAGTTGAAATTACAGTATTTCAAATTCGAGATTTAATTCTACAAACCTGCAAATAATACCATACCAAATTTCTCAAACTATTTTAATTTGGAGCATTTAAACTTTTGAATTGAATACCCTGCCCATTTTTTAACTATTCTGAAATACTTACACTATAATTCTCATGAGTGAAAGTAACATGTAAATTACATGATTTAATATGAAAATCAACTTGAATTAATTTCAGATGCCTTTCGTCAATTTGGAATCTTCGGATGGGGACTTGGTCAAGGTTGATGTTGACGTGATTAAATGCTCTGTAACGATCAACGCTCTCATAGAACACTTGGGGCTGGAAGATGACAACGAAGTCGTCCCCCTGCAAAATGTTGGTACAGAAACACTGCATAAGGTCCTTGCATGGGCCAAACATCACAAGGTATGCAAAAATAAAACCATTCTTGATTATAAATTTGCATATGTGCTAAATGAATTGCAAATTAAATTGACTATTACTAACTAAATACGTACAGGATGATCTCCCATCCGTTGATGATGACGAGGACGATCCACCCCGGGAGCGACGCACCGATATTACCACGTGGGATGCCAATTTCATAAAGATGGAACAAATCCAGCTATTTGACCTGATTCTGGTAAGCTTCCTGCAAACAAAAATATTGCGAAATTGAGTGCATTGCTAGCGTACTTTGTCAGAAAAATAATATTTTAATGTTTTACTTTCTCTTGGATTAGGCTGCAAACTATCTCGACATTAGTGGCTTGTTGGACCTCGGGTGCAAGATTGTAGCGGACATGATCAAAGGAAAGACGGCAGATGAGATTCGCACAATGTTCAACATCGTGAATGATCTGACGCCCCAGGAGCAGGAACAAATTCGAAAGGAGAACGAATGGTGTGAGGAAAAGTAGGCAGATTTTTAATTTGTATTATACATTTCATACTAAGCACATACAAGAAATTGTACGTTTATATGAGTTTGCCTGACGCGTCATTTGTAGAGATTGTTTTCCATAAATAATTTTCAAAACATTTTGCAAAGCAGATTCGAAGTTTGTGCGATAATTTTCGCAAACTTAACTTTTTATTACATTGTTAATATCTGATAAAATTAAAATGAAATATTTGAAATAAATTTCCGGAAATTATTAAATATTTTGAAAATGCTTGGTTAAGAAATCATATTATTTTACAAAATTTTATCAACTTTAAAAACATGGTAGTAATTACTTAAACATTTACTTCCTCATCATCATTCTCATACTTTAAGTAGATTAGATTGAGTGGTCGTAACAAAGATAACGGTCCGATTCGTAAAACCAGGTCGCCAATTTTAGCGAGGTGACTCCACACAAACTTTCTTGTGGTTCGGCCAGTCTTGTTTTTGACAATTTTCTGAACAGTATCGGATCACTTTGCATCGCGAACAGCGTTTCAGAATTCCCTCCTTGAAAACATCCTCCTTCCAACAAGTGCCACATTTCAGGGCTGGGTTTATTGGCTCAGCGTCCCTAAATAGAAAAATCATTTTCCATAAGTAACCAACGAAACAACACCAATACAATACGTACAAATGAAGCTGTGATACTGAAATCGATAATACTACAAATTAGTTAACCAAGAAATTAGGAAAATCAATAACAAATTGGAAAATGATACTTAATAAAGATCCAAAAGTGGCCTAATTGATGTGCAACAGCTCAAGTTGAGTTACTCAACTAAAGAGTGTTTAACACGATGTACAACTTTGATAAGGACAACTCACCCAAAACCCATCGCATACATCAGATCAGTGATTAGCATCTCTTGGGAGGCTTCAAACAGCTCGTTTGCCCAGTAAGTTGGTCGGGTTTTGTCCTCCTTGCCAAATGAGGTGACCACCGCTCCTTTCGAAAATTCGCTTATGTAGTGGAGAAACACGCTGTTGAACCAGCCGGCTGATCCCAACTCGTCCACCATTGTCATGTAAGAGACATTTTCCTTCTTCTTGAACTCCTTGCATCGGAGAAATTCAACAGTCCACCCGTCCCCGCAGGTGCATTCAGACACAGATGCACATTTGCATCTAACCGCATGGCGGATGTTCTTCACAATCTCTTCCCCTACGTCGGCAAAGATCCGCGACTCGGGTGGAATGGTGGCAGCGTCCTCGTAAAAGTGGGCGTTTGTCGGGTCAATGATAATGACCCGTCTATTAGCCGGGTTACATCGGTCAAGAACCACACCAAGGTAGATTGTAAACGGTTGCACGGCTGGAACCAACCCAACGTTTGCCCATCTTTGGTAATAAAATTCGGTATGAAATTGTACACAAATATTTCATTTAGAGTAGAATCGCGATCATTATTCATGACCAAATATGTAAATAAATACGTCACGTACCTGGGATAGCTTCGGCAGACCTGCGTCTTGATGAGGATGGCACTCCACTTGCGATTCTCTTCCCTTTCGACCCGCAAAAAGTGAGGATTGACCCTCGTCTTTGGATGGGTTGCGTCCGCCATTTGGATCGTCTACAGAGCAAGGTTATAATTAGTTATGACTCGTTTTCAGTTAATGATGATAGTACGTGTCAAGCGAAATAGTAGAGCATGACATTTAGTGAAAAGAGTTTGTTTGACATTTGAATTGAAGAATTACAACAATTTATTTAGTTTAACTTACCGAGTCCACAAACCCCAAATTGTCTAAATGCTTTTTAGTGAGAGGAATATCCATTATGATCAAAATTCACTTTGGTGCAACTTGAAAATCTGAAAAATGGAAAAAAATACACTTTGATTTCGTGAATCTTATTGTTGAATTTTAAATCCTATTGAAAATGGTACCTTTTATTTATCTTATCGCTTGTTAATTGTCCGGCAAAAATTTAAATCGAACAATGAAGGAACCAGCGGACAATAGACCGTAAAGTGAAGAATCAGTAATTGACAACTGATTTGAGCTGACCGGCTACCTTCTCCGCATTCGTGCCTGAGTGGGGCGCTGTGATACTTCGTAGCTTTTTCTTAGGTGAGGCATATCATGGAAAATATATTTTATTTGAAGATTAAGTACATGTTATGTTTCAAATTTGAAACAAAAGCCATTAATTTTCTGACGTTGTTAAGTATGAACAAAGAATTTAAAACTGACCTGGCAGAACAGTTTAGCAGGAATTATAAAAAAAATAAAATGGGAAATCATATTCGGGTTGGCCAACTTTTTCGCACTTTTTACCTCGGAAATTAAGTTATTATAGGTCAGTTCTATAGTGTGAGACCTTAACATAATTATTTTTCCCAACATAGAACGAAGTGTAATACATACATGTACAAACTAATATAAAAACTCGTTTGTTTGTATACCAAGTCATTAGTATGTATGCATATGTATTATTATGTACTTACCTTCCATGATATGCTTTTGCCTAATATTTACATACTTCATTCAAGTTCATGGTCGACATTGAACATACATATCCTGATTATACATAAATACAACCAGTTTGACATTCCATGCACTTGACCCTATTTAACAAACTTAATCTTCCATCGTTAAATTTTTTCATACACACGTATGTATGACATACATGTATTCGGAAAGAGTCTCACTCCATGGGGAACTTTAGTACCCAGAAAATATACAAAAAATGAACATAAACGTTATTCCAAACAACTCCAAGCTTGTTACAGCGTCATTGTTACAGAGTCATTGTCAATCAGAGACATGGACAGTGACCTTGTTTTGCGATAGATACGTAAAATTCCGTTATACGCATACTCGCAAGAAGTGTAACGAATCAATCTTATTGATAACATAATTCACTTATCCAATTGTGCTTATCTACATAGTTTAGCCATACTCTGTTCCGTTTTCTGACCCAAGCTAGCCTACATATATAAACTCAATTTTGTCTCTGCGAGAGCATTTTAATCGTAAATAGACAGTTATTATTTAATACTCGTTTTTTCTGTCATTTAAACTCTCAAATAGAACGCAATAATTTTACCGAACTACTTACGCACATATTTTTAGTTTAAGACTTAAATATTAAAGACTTCCATTTATCAATTTAATTGTACAGATTGACACACCCAAGCCACACCACATCAGTGTTCACGAAGATAGGAAAAATGCTGAAAGCATTCTCAGTTCAATTTTTATTCTGGGTTTTAATTCCGATACGTGAGTTATTAAAATTTAAAGGAATAATATGTACATATTTTTCAGTTTATTAAATATTCCTTCACTTTTACATACATAATTCATCTTGCAGAAATATCCGCCATTTTGTGGGATGACTTTAGAGGTTACTAAATACATACATAAATAGACCGAGTTAATATAAAAAATCTGTAATAAATTCATTTTTTTAATACATTCCAGTTAAATTCGGGCCATCCGCGGTAAATTGGTCTTCCCGTAAAAAAAACACAATTAAAATTTTCATACATTTCTAATTTGCTCAACAGAATCGTACTGAAACAAATTCCTTCGTACGAATGCCTACCAATGTCAATAATGCAATTGCGGCAGGAATGGTTAACACCAGCCCGGAGTGCATCAACGGAGGAAAATATTTCGGGTTTCGGTATAAAAACCGAAATTCGGACGGGATTTATTTACTCTTTGATAAAAACGGGGTCATTGCAGGGATTCAAATGTCGGTAAGGATAAAACTTAGCAATGCATCTTAATTTATTTACATATACATAATTTGCAAATTTTTACGCCGACATTTTTCTTCATAGTTGGCCAAAGACGACATTATGAAACAAAACAATCCATATCGTTTCGATTTACTCCCAATGTTCCAAAATGAGACAATTCGTGGAAAACAGTATACCTTTCTAACTGCATATTTCGTCAACCCAGGTACATACACATGCGTAATTTTCTCCATTTTTAGATTTAAAAAACGAACAACTTCTAAAAAAATGACACATTTTCAGCCATCATCTGTACCACCGGGCGTGATCCGACGACTTACCATGCCGAGGGGACAGGCAGTGGTCTCTACTTTCAAAATGGTCCCACCCCACATCCCTCCAACGTTGTCGACGTCCCCACCTACCGTCCCGACGCGGCTGCTGAGGGCTACACCAACTGTGAATGCCTCCCTGGGATGGGATTCCATAACTTTTGGCAGGTGGAAAAATGGGATGACACCAACTGTCGGGAAGTCCAGCCCATCCAACTCCTCTACAACTGGGATGGCGCCATGATCGGATTCGTGTTCCAGATTTTGGCGAAATCTTCAAACCCTCAATTTGAAGTGCCTCCGAGCCGACTTATCAAGGTTTACTTTGCAACAGTCTTATCTCTGAGTGATAATTTCGTTGAGATATGAGATGGCTAAATAATATAAATATATGTTCTAGGCAATCATTGGAATGGATCGGACACCCAAGTGTATCATGGAAACGAACGAAAAATATGGGACTGCAGCGCTACACATTTATTTTATTGATAAGCCTTGGGATTTTAAGTGTCCTGCGGTAGTGGCATGAAGTGCAGAAAAATTTAGAGAATTTTGTTACCAGAGTTTCTGAAAAGTCGCAAATAAATATAATGCATTAAATAAGTTACATATTTATATATTTGCATACGTTGCTTGTTAATATCTGTCTTTACGGTTTTACAAGGTATCTTATATTTACATACTCAAACTATACACGATTTTTCAACTAACGATCCCGTCGTGTGAAAAATTAATTATATTCCATTTGGTTTTAATTACTTAATTACTCATTAGCTAAAAACCCAGTTTTTTATCTCGCTAGCCAAGTATTCATTAAGTATCGAATTTATGTACAGATATCACATTTTTAAATAGCATTTCTTCTCCAAACGTATATCGATATCCATACCAGTCTCGATGCTTTTCTCTCGTAAAGAAAATTATCACTCCGACAATTATAGCACACACGCTCGCCACCAAGCTCGCCCACTTTGCAATCTCCACCAAGGTTAGTGGAATTGCGACTCGCCATCTAAGATTTTCATATGCTTTTGGAAGGTGGGTGGCGACCTGGATTGAAATTGAGAATATTTTAGTAAAGTGTTCAATCGAATCAATTATAAATAAATAATACAATTCGTCAGTCCTAAGCAGAACCGGTGTTTAAAGTGGTACATATGTACATAACAGTGGCAAATACAGATACTGGTATTTTTTGACACCTAGTGGTAAGTATCTCAAAAAGTGGTAGACTGCTCTGTTCGTAAATGATAAATATGAAAAGTGGTGCAAAATCTCTACCTTCAGCTATTTTAGTCTAATCTAGATTGAATTTGGATTAATTTTGATTGTTTTTCGCCGTCAGATTTTTGGGACAACCAATCCAAAGTATACTCATTAATGATCCAGATCATCTCTAATTGTAAGCCCCTACTGTCACATGTACGTATTTAAGGCTGTAAATTTACATAGGTACCTCATTCACCCAGAATAACGGGAACAACGTATCCTTCACTTTGCCCAATCCTTTAATAACTTTTGATTTCTTGATCTCAAGATTCAACTGCATTCTTAACGACCCCATGAGAACAATTCCAGTCGTCTATTAAGAGAAATAATTATACACTAATTTCGAGGGTGATCGCTTCTTAAATGAATTACCGGCTCTATAATAACGACTGTATCATCCCTTTCCGGATTCGGGTTTCCTGCCAATTGTCCATAATTAGGATGCCCATATAGAAAGTGCGGATTTGAGTAAACCATTGGCGCCCCGAGGCACGGTGTTAGAGAAAGTGCGCCATTTTTTAGGCATTTCGATTTATCTTCGTGCTCACAAAAGCACTCATTTTCGGGGGCGGAAACGTCATAGAAATTTTTCGGGATTCCAAATCGGTACCCGGAAATCCCCTCGTATTCCTCGTCCCCCTTGTAGTCCAAACTCCAGGATCGACAGATATCGGGATTGAATCCGCGCAAAATGGATTCTCTCGTGACAAAAGGAGAATACAAAACTCCATCCGAACCACTAATTGCATTGCATCTTTTATCTGGCCAAACGTCCAAGGAGGTTTGACCGTTGAAGGAAATTACGCTGCCAAGTTTGGTGAAATCACGTAATCCAGCATTTACCACGTATGGGAGAGAAGTAGTGCCGTTTTTCTAAATTTAAGGAAAATCAGGATATTACTTTATAAATTTAGACTTCTGATCTAAATAATTTTCAATTGAATTTAATTCTGTAAACTTTTATAAGTTTACAAAAATGGGTGGGTTATAAAAATTGGAGTAAATTTCCTCCTCATAAGAATTTGTATAAATTGTGTGCATACCTCTGTAAAATATCCAAACGTATTATTCCTCATAATTTCTACCCCTAATAAATTTGATATTGATTCGACAATGTCTGAATGAATCCCGTCGAACAAAGCACTCTTAACATTTGTATGTAAAAATAGTGGCGCTTCGAATAGATCGATGTATTCTTGCGCAATGATTTGTATCGGTCGTGGCATCTGTTTCAACTTATCGGCGATCGCCTGTAAAAAAAATGTATCGCTTTTTTGAAATAGCCTTTGAGATTAAATAATTTAAACCGGCATTCTGTCTGTTAACCGGTCCGCAACCGTTAAGAGTTCTTAATAGTGATAAAATCTGCCTCATGTACAAAAAAAATTTATATTCATCTATATAGATTGTAAATGGGGGGATTACGAATTCGCATGGCATTCGCAGACACACGGGTGGCTTGTTTTTGTAGTGTGGCTTATCGGGTATGGCTTATCCGTATAACCCGAGGTATCATAGCTTGCTACTCGTTTAGAAAAAAAAATTGCAAAATTATCTTACAAAATATGCATGCATAAATGTGCCCAAAGTTTGGAAACAAAATAACTTGGTTTTGCAAAAACAAGTTTTTCAAATGTCCATTTCGCAAGGTGTGCTCAATTTGCGAAGTTTTCTAGCTGTGCGAATATCTAGGGTAATGTCTTGAGTTTACCCATTATATTTTGCAAAGGTTAAGGTCTTATTGTAGATAAGCATGATGATACTTACAACAAGAGGAACGTTCAAAATTGTAATTTTATCCCACTCCGATCCATTACTTAAATCCGGCCTAAATTGAAAAATAAATTTGGTCTGATAAGTAAACGTGTCCTCTTCAGGATCCAACCGTAGCGGAATGGTTTTCCGCGTTTTCCTAAAAACAAATAAATACAAACTATTAATTTGAATATTGTGTAACTGCGAACCTACTCATCCTCAATTTACTATAGGAATAAAAATATTCTAAATTTTCCGGTCCACTTACTCATACACGTATGGACCAATTTCCACAAATTTTGGTAAACTTTTCCCAGACGCAACATCCTCTGGGTTTGTCACGTTGTAAATGTAAACTTTTGAGAAAATTTGCACCTTGATGTTTTTAAACGCTTCAAAAACCTCACCTCCTTCCTCAAATCTGAGAAGCTGTAAAAATTCGTGCAAATTTGAGTTATTTATTAAGCGTTGCAACTAAAAATTCAGAGCAATTTATTTAGCAAAGCATAATCTTCCTATGATTTTTCTCTTAATTTGATCACACCTGTGACATCTTCCAATGAGTCGCGATCGGGACCAGGAACCAAAATATGGTAATTGTACTGACCAGCAATACGATCCCGACTAGAAATATTCTTCCTGAAGAACTGTACATTTTCTGATTCTAAAGTCTTTATTTTTACAAAGTTATTGACTAGAAAATAGAATATGGACTGAACAAGTATTTATTTGTATATGTATATAAACAGGCTGACAAATTAATCTTCGCATTTACTCAAACTTAAAATACCCCTAAACATTCACTACCTTTGCTTCAAAGATGCTTTCTGAAGATCACACCATTCCCAAAAAGGTTTTTATATAAGCGGCGAAAGTCTGAAATCTTGCTACTGGCAATATTTTATGACCAATTAGGACCTCATTTAATAGTCCGGAAAAAATGTTGTATGAATTTAATTAAACCATCATCAATACATTACATATTTGTTGCACTAAAAATAAATGAATCCATTTCGGGTTTTATGTATGCATGCCTATGCATCGTGGACGGAAATATGGAGTTGTACAATACCCGGGTGCAAAAACAAAGTCCGGGCGTTTTGGAGTATAAGAAGAGCATAAATGTCCAGGGAATTTTTTAAGGGTGCCATTTCCCTTATAAAATATAGAGTACTTAATATAGAGTAATTTAAATACGGTGTGAAATAGGGCACGGCATCTCAATGCCATGGCCATGGCCATGGACTCATCCTCAGTGCAACTTGGAATAAAATACCATACAACATGATCATGTCTAATCACCAGTAATTGAGCATATATACATGTTATGTATTGGTATTGTTAATGTGTCCTGGGTAGATACTTACATTTGTACATAGGTATGTACATTTATGTATGCTGGTTACGGTAGGTTAGTGAAGAAATTGTGTGAAAAATAGATAATACCTGACCCTGAACTTGTATGCACCTTGAACAAAAACCAATAATGGGGAAGTTCCCAGAAAGCACCGATGCAGTGGCCACCAGAATTTTCTCAGGGTTTGCAAATACCTGAAAATACTTAAATGTATGTATGTACATAGGCAATATTGCAATGCAAGAAAACAATGTGTGCAAATCTAATTGAAGATATATATCATATGCACATATGGATGCACATGTGCATAAACGCAGATACATAAAAAGACGTAAATAGCTACCTACATATTTGCCTATACTACGAACTATTTTCTATTAAATCCTCATAATTTATTATTCTCGATCATAAAGAATTCTTGTGCAATTCAATTAAGCGTTGTATAACTCTTTTTTCCCACAGTATGCACATCCATTAGATTTACATGTATGTAGGCAACACATTTACAAGTTGTAAATTACAACTACACATATGTATGTACATATGTGTATTTAATATTTAGTCTGGAGTATTGCGACTCGCAATTTACGAGTCCAGTAATTTTGCACAGATTTCTCGCATATACATACATAATCAAGACTGACAACAAACTTGCAAAATATTTAGATAGCTCAGCACATAAATTAGTGTAAAGATGCAATGATGCTCGGAATTATGTATAATTATAAATCTAGCAGTCATTATATCTACCTACATATATATAAGTAAAATATTTAATACTCGATTATATTGCCATTAATCTAAGTATTTTATTAACTTCATAATTGATTTAATCTATCAACTATACTGAATTTGTACTGCGCAGTTGTATATAATCCTTGCCTTTAATTTTATAAAATTCTAATATTATATATTTACATACCTATGTAGAGTTTAACTTTTTACTGAAGTAGATACATATGTACATACATCCACACTTATTTATCAAACATGTTATATATACATATACATATATTATAATAAGTAAAAGTTGGAAGGGTTACATATATGTACTTACCTAGGTATTTATGTCAAGATACATGACTTAACAACTGCTTATCCCTAAATATATTTGAGTCCCCCTTATGTAAAATGTAAAATTACCAAAATATAAAAGATTGCATACTTATAAAATATATTGGAATTAGGCTCAATAAAAGTGCGCATTTTTCCCTCATCCATACACTTAACCTCATGTTCAAAATAATTGCACAATTCCAAAGCAATTTGAAATTAATGAGAGCTATAAAAAAGCAGTTTTAATTATGTAAAAGTAAAAACTCTTCGCAAGAAATGTATCTACGTAAATCACGTACATTTTAAGTAGGCATCATTATCACATCAATATCATCCTGCCAATAAACTCGATTTCCTCGTAAAATTATGTAGTTAGTAGTACTCTAGTTTCTTCTTGTCTCTCGTTCTCAGAATAAAAATCATCCCACCTGTTATTACGACCAGAATGCTGGCCACAAAGCTGCCCCATTTCACAATCTCTACCACTTTCAGGGGTATCGACATCTTCCACCTGATATCGTCATACGCCTTCTGAGGGTGTACAGCAACCTACACAAATCAGTGCAAAAAATTAGACCAGTTACATACATACATATAATTCCAAAATACTTATTGGCATGATTTTTCCGTGATTTTCTGCTCTCAAAATTTCGTGCCCCAAATCCAATTTGTTTGAAATTTATACCTTTCGAAATTCTAGTTTTTGATTTTACAAATTGGATTTAGAGTATAACATGCGTCTAGAGAAGACTTACATAGTACTTTTAGCCGGATCCGCAGTTGCATACATGAAAATTTAATGCATATGTATTTTTACCTTATGCGGCTATGGACCCGGCTTTATTTTCATTAAATACTTGGGAAATTATTCATTATAATATCCACTAATAACTTCCACATATAGATAATGAAATCTCCATATCAAAATTCACACGAACAATGGCAAAAGTTCCGACTTTCCAAGTGCATAATTAAATATTTTACACTTTTTTTGAACCTTTTCTGCTCGATTTCCTCAAAATATCTACCTACATAGAACTTGTACGTGTTATCAGTTTTAGAAAAATATTTACCTCGTCCACCCAAAAAAGTGGGAATACAGTATCCTTCACTTTCTTCAATTCTTTAATATCTTTGGATTTCGTCATCTCGATGTTTAACTGCAATCTTGCTCCTGCCTTCAGAACGATGCCAGTCGTCTGAAAAGCAACCGTGCAAAGAACAATGAAACCCGGAGAAAATGTTGAAATTACGTAATTCAGAGTTGATCAGATTCTTAATAATTTTCCATTGTAAATTTGAACCGAAATATGAAAATGTGTCAATCGGTTACTCACCGGCTCAATGATTGCATAAGTTTCATGCATTTCCGAATTTCCCTCGCTTAACCCGGTAATTTCCCTGTAGTACGGATCTCCCCCCAAAAAGTGGGGACTCGACATAAGCAATGGTGCCCCAAATTTACACGGAGCTAACGAAAGTGCACCTTTTTTCGGACATTTACTTCTATCCTCTTCCCCGCAAAAACATTTATTCTCTTCCGCCCCGGAATCAAGAAAAGAATCCGGAAATCCGAAACGATACCCGGGTATTCCCTCCATTTCATCGTCCCTTTTATAAACTAGTGCCACGGATCGGCAAATATCGGCATTAAATCCGTGAAGAACTGAATCTCGGGTGACAAACGGGGGGTAAAGTGATCCATCCGAACCGTTGATGGCGTTACAACTTTCACCTGGCCAGACGTCAACGGCTTTCTTTCCATCGAAGGTGATGATGGATCCAATTTTTGAGGTATCCTTTAATCCCGCGTTTACAACGAATGGACGGGAAAGGGTCGCATTAAGCTAACAAAAAATGAAAATTTTTAAAATTTTGCTAATGTACGAATTTTCCAAAAAATAAAACCTACGTGGTAAAAGTATGCGAACGTGCTGTTCGGCATGTACTCCACGCCCAAGAGATTTGAAACTGTTTCCACCAGATCCAAGTGGACCCCCTCGAACAAAGCTGTCTTCACCTTTCGCCTTACGAAGAGCGGCATGTCGTAGGATTCGATATACTCTTGCGCCATGGATCGCATAAGGCGAGACATTCCCTTCAATTCGTGTGCAATGGCCTGCCCAAATTTAAAAAAGTTTAAATTTTAACTTTCCGATCAATGACAATTTTGAATTGCCCATGTCAAGTACAATTCCAAAATTTTCTGAAAATTTACCACAATTGGGACGTTCAACATAGTGATGAAATCCTCATCCGATCCGGCCGATAGGTCAGGACGGAAGGTGAAATGAATAAATGACTGATACGTAAAAGTATCATTTTCCGGGTCCAAATTAACCGGAATGTTCATTCGTTTCTCTCTACATACAAAAGGAGACAGTTATTTAGTCAATTTAGTTCTTCCAAATATGTCTACACTTCAGTTGTGCCTAAATTCTGTGAGTTGATGAACACCTTAATCATACTTATGCATAAATCACAATTTCGTCACCTACTCGTACACGTACGGACCAATCTCATCCAGTTTGGGTAAGCTTTTCCCTGACGCAACATCCTCTGCATTTGTCACGTTGTAAATGTAAACGCTAAATAAGATTTTTGCCTTAATGTTGGTAAACTCCTCATAAACCTCGTTTCCCTCTTCGAATCGGATAATCTAAATGCATAGAGTAAATTAGTTATCATATAATAGGCATAAAATAAAAATTTTTAACCAAGAAAACACGTGCTAAAAATCAGTAAAGAATTACGCATACTAAATATTATGTGAGCTACCTGTGACAATTGCCATCGTATCGCTCCAGGAATTACGACCCAGAAAAGTGCGATCGTGGTTAACAAACATATTAGCCCAATCAATAATAGCCTCCCTGGTAACTGCTGCATTTCTTGGGACACTAATTATCGGTATTTAAACTTCTCTAATTTAGTAAATTATCGTACAATTTTTTCGACTGAGTAATATGAAAATATCTCAAAAAAATGATCTGATTTCCAAATTAAAAATATTTATAAAGACCAAATCCAGTCTCAAGGCTCCTAACCGTTCTCTCCGACGTCTTTCCAATTAATGGACAAATACATAAACTTGCAAAACCAGTCTGCACAAAATTATAATGTGCAATTATTTATTTTTCAAAGCAATATATGTACATGGATTATCCTGTTACGAAAACGCATCGCTTCCCCCTTATCCTTCACATTGAGGTATGATGTACAATTTCTTGAAAACTGATCCAAGGAGGCGTATGCAACACTTGATTAGTGGTTCCAGTCGGTTTTCGCATCAATGTCTGTCTTTCGTATGTACATCTGCACACATGTAATGCAATTAGATGTGAATGCACATACACTTGTACATATTAATGTATCAACAATACCTGGAACGAACAAATCAAGTCTTTCAACTATGTATGTAGATTCATGTGTACTTACCCCACGTCATTATTGGCTTTTAATATTATGAGAAATTCTGGAAATGTGATGAACTCGTATTGAAATTAAATAATTGGCTGCTGGGGGAATCCCGACAAGAAAAGGAGAACTATTAATCTGATTGCATGAGACGAGGAGATGCGTTGATAAATAATTAACAACTTCTTGGTATGACGAGCATCCGCATAGGTAAGTACATACATATTTATCTGACTGATGGTGACTGATGATGACTGATGACATCAAAAAGTCGCATGTACATGCAGCGTATTCATGTATCGAATTTGGTTAATGTATACAAGATAAGGTATTTTTTACGGTTTTGAGTTAGATAAATGCTTCAAAATTTGCGAATTTTTTAAGAACTTAATAATAATTGTAGTTCGGCATAATATGTACTGGTGGCGTACTTAGCCAGTGTGTTTGAGACAATTTTTAATGGAAGATATACTTCTACTAAGGAGGGGAGCTTGCGAGGTTGATAATAACAGATCTCGATGCCCTTCGAGTGTACTAAAACCCTGAAGTGGTTTGATTCCATGGCCACATTTGCGCCCGCCACACCCACTCAAAAATGCCCAAAAATGGCTTACACTCCAGCTTTCACTCACTCAAATCCACCCCAAAAATCCAATTTTACTCGAATTTTCAAATTTCTTGCACCATTACACTCCCAGATAATTGCTTTCTTCAATCCAATATCAAACTCAATTTTGCTGATGATTATTTCGCAGGCATAATTTGCGTTGTTGATTGCTACAACAATGCTCGTTCAGAATTTAAATTTTAAAAATACCAAAAATTTCGAAGATATGGAGTTTGATATTGGATTGAAGAAAGCAACTATCTGGGAGTGTAATGGTGCAAGAAATTTGAAAATCCGGGCAAAGCTGCGGGCAAAGCGGTTTAATTTGCCCTTGAACAAGAGCGCTCTGAACGACGGCGCTATACAAATCTCGATCCTCAACAGGTCTATTGTTCCAGTTTTTAAATTTCTATGGCCAACTATTAATTGATAAATTCTGTCCAGTAATTTCAACAACGGTGCTGGAAAGGAACAGAATTCTGAACAACATCAACGGATTCGAATAAGAATTCAAACACAAAAAATGGATCTGATGCATGTCGAGGATGTAGTGAAGCTGGCACATCCGATAACCAATTCAGTGGTCCTCTCTGGTAGTAGAGGGGATGATAAATACAGGGAGCTGCATAATCTACTGGAAGGTCAAATATGGGACGACGAGCGACTTATGGGACCAGAGTGCCACCTTTGTGGTGAAGATGTATATGATTATACCAACCCTATTACGTACAAAGACTCTATTATATATATTATGTTCCAAGATGATTTAATTGAAGATTTTTGTTGGAAGGACGGATTGCTTCAATGTGTTTATTGTTTTAATTATTTCCACAAAAACAGGTGCAATTTGTCTATGTCGGCCCAGTCGTTTTTTAACTGTTTTCTTTCTAAAATCTGGGCGTGTCCTAATTGTATTCCTGATTTTGAATGTAAACCAAAAACTGTTAAACCGAACAAATACCTTAAACTAGCAAGAAGGTTGATTCCTTTACGAAACCAGTATGATGAAATGTACTCTACAATTAAACTTTTTAGCAAAAAATATGACTTATTTATGAACACATTTGAAGATTATGGAATAGGTTAGATATGATTCCCTTCATAATTAATCGATTTTAAGGTTACAATTTGGATTCCTGTGTTGATTTTACATACAATTTTTATGGTTTGATATGGTGAATGGATAAGAAATGTATAGTAGATTTTGAATGTTTTAGTTAGTTACATATTTGTTTATATTTTATGTGTCACTTGTGGAAGAGCATGGTTTGTTACTGTGAACTTGGTAGACACTTGAATAAAGCTTAATCAATCAATCAATCAATCACATACCCAAAGGGCATCGAGATCTGTTATTATCAACCTCGCAAGCTCCCCTCCTAAGATGCAAAAATATTCTTACCACATTTAGGATTAGCATAATATTAGAGATCATATTTCAATTACAAATTTTGGGATTATTTTTGATTGAACAAATGTGTTCAATAAATACTATTTGCACATAAGTCTCCCAAAATCTCCCCAAACATTATACGACAAGATGACCAATCTACGTATGTACATACATATGCGCCCTGTGAAACATTAATTTTTTTCCTGAAAAATTCGTAGCTATAGGAAAGGGAATTTATGAGATATTATGATTAATAATATATTCATGCATATTTACGCCAAATTACTAATGGTTTTGATGCAACTTAAATTTACACTAAATATTAAACAGTTCAAAAATCAAGCAGTTAAGGTCAATTCCTGGGTTCAATAGGTCAACTATAATTATGTATGTGGTTTGGGGTTTTACGCTCTCCTGAAAGGTCACAAAAAGTCTTGGTATGTAGTGGTACCAACTGGTTTTCAACTTGAACTTGGCACTTTAGGGACCTACAGCGCCGATACGTATTAATACAAATTGTCAGGTCTTTTACAAAGCTGGAAAACCATGTGATTTTTTCGGAGATAGATGACACGTTTTTACTTTGCAAGATCATTTCGCAAACTAATGAGCCAATTAGTTGCGATGCGACAGAAGGAATTATCGTGAGTACGCCCAGAATTCGTATAGTCTATATGTACGTTATGCATGTACAAGTCATATTGCTAAATTGCACATCTTTAAGATCGGAATCTGGTTTAACACTTAAGAAGATATAAATTGAGTAATTCAATTAATACACTGTTGCAAAATTTGGTATAAGCATTATATGTATATATGCCTGTTTTTTACACGTACATACTTTTGTTTGCAAAGTACTAAAACACGTAAACTTGGGAGGTGGATGAAGTTTCACATTCCGGAGACAGATCTGATTGATGTAATAATTACAGATAATTATGCAAATGAAATCGATGGCTTTATTTTGATAAAAAGCAAATTTAAGAGTGATCTCTACCTATAATCTATCCGAGTGTGAATTTAATAATAATATTGGGAATCTCACATCTGACATTTGATACTTAAACTAAAACGTTCCTGTACCTGGAACAAGTTTCCTTTTTTTGCGGAGTGGGTTTTTCAGAAACATATTTTATTTTATTTATCATTCGTAACAATGCTGGCTGACTTTTTGGCCCGATTTTCCATTCCGTTCGCCATCGCGGTCATACATCTTACCGGAAATCCGAATCAAACTGTCCACCAGAATGATGGCATCGAGCAGATTAAGCTGTACGATGAAATATTAAAGATAGGTGACCACACGTTATCATCTGCGAACAAGGAGGGCGAGGGACCCACGGAATATTACGATTACATAATTGTCGGTGGAGGTGCGGCCGGCGCGGTCGTGGCGAATAGGTTGTCCGCCGATGGGAATTACACCGTGCTTTTGCTCGAGGGTGGGGGCGACCCAAATCAATTGATTCCAGTGAGTGAGAGTGAGATTCCAGTCGGGCAATTGTTGCTGTGGGATAGTGAAATGGTGATGAAATATGCGGGTGTGCCGCAGGAGAGGGCGTGCCTTCAAAATGGTGGGGTGAGTAAATAAGTGTTAATAAGAAGAATATTTGGCTGATTTTTGTTGCGAAAATGTATAATTTTTATTAAAAGGATACTAAGTATTTACATAAGTGTAGGAATTTCCATTATTTATTTAACTTATCAGTAATCTACATATCTTATCTTTGCATAATACGATTCTTATTTTAATTATACTAATTTATAATGCAGCAATATTTAACTGTGTTGTTTAATTTAGCATTTAATTAATTAATAATTTTGTCAATGTGACATTTCCTTAAAATGGTAGGGGTTGTTTTAATTACATAACTTGGAGAGTAAGTTAGTACTTTCTTCCTAATTATAATGCTTATGCGTTTTTTACATGGTTTACGCATCGTGCGTTTTGCAAAATTTGACAAATTCGTGCAAATTATGCTTCGTTGTTTGTAATAAATGTAACGTTTTTCAGGTTTGCAGATTTCCACGCGGACGTGCACTTGGAGGAAGTAGTTCTGTAAATGGGCTCCTGTACAATCGCTGCAATCCAAAAGATTACGATTACTGGGCTGAATTTACGAACGATACGAGATGGTCCTTCGCCAGTGTGGTGGACGCATTCAAAAGCTTAGAAAATTATCACGGCTTCTATGAAGATGATTCAAGTAAAATTAAATAAAAAATTGTAATCCTGAACCAAATTTTAATGTAACTAAATTTGTGTGTCAGGTCCAAATCATGGTATAGAGGGGGAAATGCATGTCGAAAAGATGGAATTTCTCCCTGGCGTGGACGAACTATTTGCAGCCCTGGAAGAAAAAGGTGTCCCGATTGGTGACCTAAATTCTGGCCTTTTTCCGTACGGTTTTTCGAAACTTGACTACAATATTAAGGACGGATTAAGATGGAGTACTTACCACGCCTTTATCAAGCCAATTGAAGCCAGGGAAAATTTCAAGATTTATAGATACGCGTGGGCAACAAAGGTCAGTGGAAGTACTAAACATTTAATTTTTTCTATAGTAATTAAGGAAATATTAAAATATATACATACATACGATTTTTAATCTGCAGATTCACTTCAACGAAACCAACCATGCAATCGGAGTGTCTTACGTGAGACATGGGCAAGAACGATACGTCGGTGCGAGGAAAGAGATCATTTTATCCGCTGGAGTTTTTGACACACCAAAACTCCTCATGCTCTCCGGTATCGGACCAAGACAACATTTAGAGGAACATTCAGTAAGAGGAATTTTCTATTTGCAAAAATTTTCCAAATTTTTCTAACAATTTATCGCACAGATTCCTGTAATCGTTGACTCTCCCGCGATTGGAAGTAATTTCCAAGATCATCCCGGCGTAGGGTCGTACCCTCTCGCAATTAATAAGTCGCTGGGATTAGTGGATTACTTAACACCGGAAAATGTTGCGGAATTTGTGACCACGGGGAAAGGTACTTAAAAAATACGACCCTTGAAATTTCTCAGGTTTTGATTAATTATATATTTCTGTTTCAGGACCACTCTTACTGTTCCCAACGGCAATTGGAACATCTAATTTTGCCCCACAAGTTGCCCATGGCTACATTACGAGCACCCACGCCGATTACAACGATAGGAACTGGCCAGATTTGCATGTTTATATCCACGAACAAATCCTCACCCTGGGAAATGGGGTGGAAGAGGAAGTATTATTTTTCGATGTTGAACTAGATCGCCATGAACAGGTGGGAACGGTACGATTGGCGAGTGGGAATTATTCAGATGATGTGCTAATCGATGGGAAATTCTTTGAAAATATTTACGACGTGGAGAGAATTATTGATGGTAAGTTAAATTTCAGTGTAGCATAAAATATCTTGGAATTTTCAAACGAATTAACAAATACGTGTAAAAATGGAAGGATAAGATAACGCAAATTTACAAACTTACCAATTTCATATCTCCAGCTGAAGATATTATTTTTTACATTGAAATTTCCATGATTTCTGAACTAAAAATTTTGAAAATGTACAACTTTTAGCTTGTAGTTTGTAGCTTTGGGTTTTGTCCTTAATAATAAATTTCAAGGATACATACATATTTTACACAGGTGTTGAATTCATGACGGATATTTTCCTAAATTCGTCCACATTCCAAGCTCTCGGAATTAAGTGGAGTGAAAATGTCCCTCTACTTCCGGCCTGTTCCGAGTACCCTTTTCCATCTCGGGAACATTGGCGTTGTTCCGTGCATCAGACCGGCGCGGAGTTCTATCATGGCACCTCAACCTGTCGGATGGGACCTAACATCACCGTGGCAGGAGTGGACTCCAAGTTGAGGTGAGAATTAGAGTAGTGCAAATTATTTGCAATTTTAGTGACCTTTCGCAACTTTTTCCAGAGTATTTGGCACTAGTGGACTTCGCGTTATTGACGCTTCGGTCATGGTCCGAACACCAAGTGGCAACACGAACATTCCATCCATGATGGTGGGTGAAATGGGTGCCAGGATTATTATAGAAGAACAATAACTTATGCAGACTTAAATACATTTACATACATATGTGTCAATAATACAGAAGCTGACGGTAAAAAATATATTTCGTAGGATAAGCGAAAATTTATGGAGTGCACTATAATTTTTTTTGCAGCATATGTATATTAATATAGTACTATATTATAAGTAGTATAACTACATAGGAAGGACACGTGTATATTCATATTTAGATTTCATAAATCCATGAAACGTGAGTGATGCAACAATTAAACGTTTACACATGTGTACATACGGTGTACATATCTGTAAATAAATATACACTATATACATATCTACGCTGTATGCATATTTGTTTCAGTGGTATTAAAGCATGTCAAATGCAAATATGTTGACATCGAATTCCTGTAGGAAATGCCCCACTCCCATTCCCCTCACTCTGTGTGTACGGCATGTAAAAGTTTTCTCTGTCGAGATTATGTAATCTCATAATAATGTGATACAAAAATCATATGCATGTAACACGTATGTATGTACATATGTACTGACGTATGTGTGTACTAATCCAAGTGATTCAGAATAACGATAACTGAGAACACTTTCAGCAGTTCACTCACCTGTCATTTACTTATTTGCTCGGATGGAAATAATTTCTGTTCAGCCAGTACATATGTACATGTATCTATAAAAATAGTTAGAAACTTGCAATGGAAAAATTGGAAATCTTGTCTGCTTCAGTAGTAGGAAACTCTCTCGTAAGTCCATATTTAAGTCGTAAGATTAAAGTAATCACTACCTTACATGTTAAATTAAATTGGCTTACAGTTGAGAGTTACATACATATAATCTCTTTGCATTTATGTAGATTCTACACAAAATTCTGCCTTACCTTCCCCTTCGAGACGTGAAAAATTTTCGATTAGTTTCCCCCTTCTGGGGACACGAGGGGCTCAAATACCTTTTAAAACTTTCATGCGTGGAATTTCCAACGTGGGACATAACAAGAATCACCAATTATACAGCCGCTGCCGACGCCGAGAAAATATTTGCTCATCCCAACTTGAGAATTTGGCATAACCGTGGACCTATCGAAAACTGGCAACCCGTTTTAAACCTCCTTCAGAAATATGCCGGAAATATTCGGTGGTTAAGTTTGAGAATTGAGATTCGGGATTTACAATGTCTAAACATTTTACCTCTGACTAAATACCTCGAGGTGTTGGAGATTCATTTTACTACGCTAACCATGTTACAATTAGAAGAAGTTGAAGAAAATGTAGGGATCATTCCAAAATTTGGATTTTTGAAAAATGTACTCCTTAGAGTCTTTCTAAAATCAAGCGAGGAATTAGGTCGACCACACTCTTTGTTCACCGTATTGAACAAATTCGAGATATTCAAAGCCATTCAAAAACTGGAAGTAGTGATCGATCCCAAAGTACCTGACTCGATTGGGTCCATTATTTTAGAAGAGGTCCTAAAATCAAGAAACTTAACAAACCTGAATCACATACGTCTACCAAATGTCAGACCTGGGATGCTTCAAAAAATACTAGGCCGGGAAAATATTTCTCTGAAGCGTTTCGAACTTGGTAACGTTCCCCAATCAGAGTTTGTCTCACTTTCTGAAATTTTAGGAAGGAACTCGGCAACTTTAGTCATTTTAGAAATTGGATTTCAAATACTCGATCTGAATGAACAATTTGCCGAGGAAATTCTCCACATTCCGAACCTTCCAGAATTAAGGCGATTACAATTTGGACCTGAGCCGTGTGGCGTGATTTGTAATTAATTTTAGACAGTCATTGATCATGGCTGACACTAAATATCGAATTAAAATTAAATTTTTTCACAGGTCATCCACGTGGATCCGATAGACGTCAGAGCAACTCAAAACGACGCCTCAATGAGAGAGGAGTCAATCGTCGTGTCCAGTTGCTAAGGTGTATTGATGGGTTTGATATTTTCAACAGAATCACATCAAATATAATTCAGGTAGAGTAGTTTAATAGTAAATATCACATGCTTAATATAAAATGGAGATTGCAGCAAAAGTTGCATATTTATTTATTTAGGGTGGTGGTACTGCTTTTCAAACCAAATTTCCAAAACTGACGCATCTCGAGTTAAAGGTTGGAGGATTCAAAGATCATGAATTTTTTTGTTCAGATGAATGGAAGCACGTAGTCCTTTCCCAGATTAAAGTATTATCTGTTGAGTTTCGAAACCTGGCAGTTACTAAAGATGCCTATAACCGAGTTGTGGATCGTCTACTTGAAATATTCCCAAACGTGAGGCATCCTTATGTACGGAGTCCAAATATGAAAGAATAGTTCACTTATTGCATAACTTAACGTATAAATCTTGAGGGGCACTAAGCACCTTTAATTCATCTGAATGAACATAAAACATTTACATATTGTTCAACGAGTTAATTTTTTATGATGAATCAATCTCTAAACTGTTATTAAATGGAACGAAGAGCTCGTAAATTTGAATAGGCTTACGTAAGCAGGTGCAGAGATGTACATATGTAAATATGTATTCCTTGATTTTCATTTAAATATTCTCATTTTATAATTACAAATCCATATTTAGATACCCATGCCTCATGGGTAGTTTTAAACTGCGAATATAAATACATATGTAACTACTGATACGGTTAAATGTGTTACTAAAGTTACACCTCATCGCAACAAGCATATTCTCCCATCGGTCAAAGGTTTCTCTTCCACCATGACATCGTTAGTGATCAGAAAATCCCAATAAATTTTAAGCTCTGTACAATTTTTTTCATCCGACCCATCACCGCAGTCCAGCCCTAAACGTATTGCTTACATATTAGCAAGAACTTAAATTTTCAAATTTGCATCCTTGTTTACGATGCATATCTCGTTAAGATGCATTAAATATGTTATATCCCACTTTTTTGCGGGATATAGCCAAATACCAAATAGTGGGATGGCACATATTGCACCTTCTACAACGATTTGTAATTATGCTTTATCACGTACTCCCATTGCACCTTCCATTACACCAAATGCAGGCTCCATTAGCACACTCGAACTAAAATAACAAAATCAATGTCAACTTGAAACATGACCCAGTTGTCATTACCATACTTTTACCTGGTAACCCTCATATTGTCCTTGATTGCATGGACAGCTAATTTCATCACTACCGTCACTGCAATCATGAATAATGTCACATTTGTGGTATGATTGATAACAAGTGTTTCCTTTATCACAGGAAAATTGGTCGGGACGACAGCCACCATTAATTTTACAGTAATCTTCAGCTTCGTCACTTCCATCACTGCAATCCTTCCGGCCATCGCAGACGCCACGGACGGCGATACAATTCCCCCCACCACATTGGAAAGTAGACTATGAAAAATGAAGATTACGCTATTTTTTGTCTTTTTTGAGACGAATTTTTTAGGACCTTGTCATTTTTGCAGGGACAATTTAATTCGTCGCTTCGATCAAGACAATCAAACTCCCCATCGCAAAGGAAGTCGTTCTTAATACAAGCACCGTTCCCACATTTAAACTGGAGTTGAGAAAAAATAAATAAATAAATCAGAAATTACAAATCTTTCTGGTTTTTATATACTTACCTGATTTGATTTGCATACAAAATCAGCACAATTTTTCTCATCCGATCCATCTCTGCAATGGTCAAAGGCGTCACAAAGAGTGTCATTGTTGACACAAATTTTGTTATCGCAGGCAAACTGGAATATTTATAAATTTGGGATAATACAAAAATGCTTTTAATATTTGTAATAACTTAATGAACTTGCCTGATCTTGTCGACATCCGGTCATGTAATTGCATTCTGCCTCGTCCGATGAATCGCCACAATCATTTGTCTTATCGCAAATTTGAGTGATGGGAATGCATTTTCCGTTTTTGCAAGGAAACTGAGTGCAAAATTTGGCAAAAATTCTAATTATGTAATTTGTACTCTAAAAATAAATACAAGTTATTTATGACCAATACAAATTATCTTTAACCTCGTGAAGAAGATGACATTTTGTTACCGGTTGACGTACAGTTTGACTCGAGGAGTAATAAAAAATTAGTGATAGAGGAATCACAAAAAATTGATTCATTATGTGGTCACATCGAACTTTACGATAGAAATGAAATTCAGGATGTCAGTTGCCACTGGCAGCTTTCCAGACAATTTAAAAGAGTCTTAACCAGGCCAAGATTACTGTTCTACTTTGTTCTGTCTGATTATGCGTTGCATTGATACATTTCATGTATCAATAGCCATCAGGCACTGGAGAAACAGCGTAACCATGCACGGAAGCACACTTGACCTGTTTTTATTCCCATGGATATATAAGAGTCAATATTTCTTTCTTAAGGAAATGCATCGTAAATATTCATGTGGCTTATCCTTAAATAGATTTTCGTGTGTAGTTTTAACCCTAAATCTCCGCTAAATTTAAGTTTTGATAATAGTTTGAAAGGTGAAAACAGGACTTTTGTGTTGCAATGCCTTTGAGTGGGTGTGGCGGGCGTAAATGGAGCTATGGACTAAAACCTGTTGGGAATTTTAGTACATACATTTGTCAGTTACTTACTACAACATAGCATATCCAAAAGGCACCTAGCAAGATCTTCTACGTAACAACCTCCTCTCCTCAAGATCATGAAAACTTCAGTATGCACATATATACATACATATTCATGCATGAAAATGGAACTGTGGTGTAATTTTAACTTTGCAAAATTCACAAATTATTAGGAAATTAGTACTCAATAATAGCTTATTACATGGAACTTGGACCTTACTGTACTATACTTAGGATTAGCACCATTAAAATAATAATTATGCTGATGGCTGAAATGAAGAAATGATTTTTATGTAAGAATCTTCGTTTCGTACAGACATAGACATTTGTAGGTATGCCATTATATTTATGAATCTCAATTCAAGAGATTAGTTCAAATGAATATCCAGCTATATAAAGAGTAATTCCATGGTTGCTGTATGTGATGTTACTATCTGTGTAATTTGTAGTAATGTGCAATATCCGCTGTAATCTTATCTGCGCCATGAATAAGGGGCCGTTCATAAATTACGTAACGCAAAAATCACAATTTTCTAGGCCCTTCCCCTCCTACATCCCCCTTTTAACGTATTTCACATAGCCACGTTATCATCAGACCACTACTTCCTCCTCTCGCGTTACATAATTTATGAATGACCCCTCACCTCACGAGTAATAAATACTTTCTGATAAGGTTTAACCGACAATATTACATATGTACCACTCCACAACAAATGACAAATCTTTCCCCTGTGTAGACACTTATTCACTAAAAACACTGTAATTTCCAATCTGAAATTTTCATACAACTTTAAAAAAAATGGCTTCGAATCCCGTCAACTTGGCAGTCGTCTTCCCTCGTGCATTAAAAAGCTGGGAACTGGCGCATTTGGGACGGTTTTCGAAATTAAGAAATACAACCCTTCCACGAAAAAAGATTACTCTGTTGCCACCAAACAAATTTCGATTGAACTTTATAAACACGTTTATCCCATGGAAGACTATCCCGTGACCAGGATGAAGAGAGAGATTGAGCTCCTAGTGTCGCTAAGTGGTCAAAATTGTGGAGAAAATTTTGTACATTATTTCACCCATTGGTTCGAAGGACCGGATGTGGACGACTTGGACTCGTTAAATCACTCGCTACTAGATGACAGCGACTATTCTCCTGATATTCCACCAGTCCCGAAAAATTGGCTCTTTATTGAAATGGAACTTTGTGGAAGTACCCTCCAGGTTGTAAATATGCATACGTAAATCTTTAGTAATTTGAATATCTTTTTAACCTTGGTGATTTTTTACCGTAAGAGCTGGCTTGTCGATCGACCAAATCAGGAAGATCGGGACGTTGACGAAGTCGCGTTAATCTTGAAGCAAGTACTCCGGGCGTTGGTTCACGTTCATTCCCTTCGAATAATTCATCGAGACATTAAACCTGACAATATTTTCGTCACAAATATCGAATCAATTACAACAGTTAAATTGGGAGATTTTGGTCTTGGCAAAATGTTACAAGGGGACAAAAGTAAGGTTACGACGGAGCGGGTGGGATCTACCAGGTAATTTTGGGCTTTGTAAAAAAGGCGTATTTAAATTGATAACCTCAGATTTTCCCGGTGTACAATTTTTTAATTGTTAAGGAATCGCCGTTCAATTTTTACCCCGTTTTTTAAGACACTAAAAGTCTGGATTTTTTTAGTTTTTGAATAATTTTGTGTATAATACATAGTCCCTTTTAAATTTCAAGTCTGCCAATAAATCATTTTTAGCCAACTGGTAGAATTTTTATAATTTTTTTGCATTTGACAATTCAAAAATAATTTGTAAACAAATTATGAAAAAATGTAGATTTTAAATTTGATACTAGTTTCGCTTGTTTAGATATCAGAGCCCAGAAATGCTCCGTGGGGATGGCCGTTATTCGGAGAAAACAGACATTTTTTCAACTGGGCTGGTCTACCTTCAACTTTTATTTGTCTCAGAAACAATAACTTTTGTACGAGATATCCGTGACGTTTTCGTCCTTCTTCAGACGAAGGTTCAAACTAGTGTTCTGGATTGTCCCGATCTTCTCATTTTTCCAATGGAAGTTGCTTTGATTAAGAAAATGACGTCATACTTTTCCGACACCCGATACAAGGCTGAACAAGTCTTAGAAGCTTTGGAAAATCCAGGTAGACCAAAAATTATGTAATATAACTTTGGTTTGTAACCTCATTTAGACAAAATTCGTCATATAACGTATTTCAAAATGTGTCTCAAAGAGACCAAATACATCCAACATCATATCACGTATCAAAAAAAATCCATTGCATACCAAATTCATCCTATGATGCACTATGACGACTGCCCCTTGGGGACCAAATACGTCATATTACGTATTTACAAAAGTGTAGATTTTTCAAAATTTCCCAAAATACGAGTGTTTCTTTGGTAAAACTCGATGGCAAACGGTTGACTTTTTTGGGCATTTTTCTTCCCAAATTTTGGAATTTTCTCTTTACCGACCAATGTTAAAAAGTGGATTTTTCGTGATTTTCGTCAAAAAATTCAAAACTTGGAAACCGGCTGAAATAAGTATAGGTGTCTTCTCATAAGTAGGAAATCATGAAAATTTAATTGGTTGCTACCAGATCTGAATTCAGTATCGCACTCAAGGGAATTTTCTTGGAGAATTATGGTCTCAGGGGATTTAAAACTTTTTTATTTGTACATTCTGCAGAAAACTTCCTGGAAAGGGTGTCGTCGGAACGGAGACGAGATGCAACGTTCAGCTGTGGATTAGTCCCACCTATCTGTTCTGTTCTGTTGTGTTCAATCTTTTACGTCTGCGGTATATGATATATGAGCCACATCGTTTCCAATACCAAGACAGGGATAGATACTGACATCAACAACTACAAGGAAAGGTATAGTTAGGGCTGGCATGTCAGGTTTACTAGGATAGGTACTGTAGAGGAAAGGGAGTAATTATTGAAATTGAAAATTGGGGTGGACGGTGAAACAGGATAGGATGTAAATAAGGAGATATTCAAACTATCTTAGGATTTGGCCAGACAATCCTATGCAGATTATCTGCCGGCACCGAACAGTAATTTGTATTTCCATACCAGTTCGTTCCACACTTTTTGCTGCATAATACAACTCAAGAGGAATCGAACTCTTGGCTTTTTGAGTCATGACACTGATGGTCAAGCCTCTAAGCCAAGACGGCAGGTCTATCTACGACTTTTTTGGGCGGGAAGAAGAATTAAAGATAATGCAAAATTTCTGGATAGCTAGTCGTCCCCCCACCACCACATTAATGGTTAGCGGAATGCCAGGAATTGGAAAAACTGAAATAGTCCGGAAATTCTGCGATTCATTAGTCAAAGAAGGTCTGAGCCATTGCATATGGTTCGACGGGAGTAGCAAAGACACGCAAGAGCAAGCGATTAATAGGCTGGCGAAATCCTTAGACATTTCTCCTGACCATAATTTGTCGAAGTTAATCAAGAAAATACCAAAAAGACCGCCACACGGTACATCACGTGTCATCGTGTGTATCGACAACGTCTTTCAACCTGATGTCGACCATGTTTCCAGCACCATCACCGCCTGCACCGAGGCCAACGTGGATTTTATCATTGTAATCATGACGAACGGTGGCAAGGGCAGTGGAGACTTTGACCATAAGTTAGCCCTTAACGAGCTGAGCCCTGCAGCATGTCAGCAATGCATAACGGAGCGGCTCGAGCCATATATTGACTTCATGACCAATTTAAACCAAGCAGAGAGACTAGTTGTGGATGTAATTGCTTCAAATTTGAGCCATCACCCGGTCATGCTCAACTTGGCCGTTCGTCACCTGCAAGCTCTGATATCATCACGTTCTCACAGTTTTTTCAACATTGGGCAGGTACAGGTGCACTTGAGGGAGCGGAAGCAGGAATTCTTGAAAGAACAAATCGAGAGTTCAAAGCCTTCTTTATTTGAGGCATGTTTCAATGTCTTGCAACAATTCATTGTCCCACCTCCAGATGTGTCTATTACTTTTGACATTCTCAAACTTATGGTTTACTGCTTCCTAAACAATGGATCAAATTGGAAGATTTGTCCGAATCAGTGAAACGGTTAACAGAACGACTAGATGATATTGATTCCAGCGCAATACTTGAATCTATGCTACACTTAGCAAATCTTAACATTCTACAAATCCAGGAGACCGAACAAAAAAAATCCTTCGTATATGTCTTTGATTTATACTGTGACGTTGTTCAACAGCTATTGCGCCAGAACGGAATGGAAGCAGGCTTCATTAGTTTGCTTATACGAAACATGAACAATTCAGATTCTTTGAGGTCAACAGGGATAGTCAACTTGTGGGCATACTGCTCGCAATCGTTCAACTTCAACTTGCGGGGTGCTATAATCTCTGATTATCGGAAAGCAACTATTGACATATTATTTAACATTCCCAACCCAAACTGGTCGTTTGAAAAGAATGATTACCAAATCGATTGGTCAAAGATTGCAGACCAATTAACAAGTAAGTTCGGATCAGATGACCCTTCCACTGTTGCCGTTGAGTTTCACGACTTGTCAAATTGGTTTGATGGAACCGGCTCAACTGTCAGAAAGTATACTGATTTGATGAAGCGCCGACAAGGGCTAGGTTAGATTTTAATACTTCTAAAATACCAAATTTTGCTGGATATACGTATTATTTGTAATTCCATCAATGCATTTCTGCAGAAAAACGTTTCATGATTCTCGATATGGGGGACAAGTTAAAACACGTCGTGCTTAAGCTGGTCAACAATTCTGGCCTTGGTGACATAATAGACGCCCTTGTCGAGCAGTATCTCGAGGATGTCCGTCTTCGTCAGAATAGCATCCCAATTAACGATCAGGAGTTGGACATCCTCCTCATACCCATAATTAGTTGGGAACTTGCCACCGGAAATTCTGGCATATCAGAACGTTTCGTCCATCTCACAGAGACATTACTCCATCACTACTCAGATATCAAGTTTATGTATCCCAACCAACTCTTAGTCCCTCTACGATTAATTTATCATACGTTAAACATCCTCGCACTCCGCCAACCTAAATCTAATAGATCAGCCTTTCAAAACTCGTTCCCAATAATTGGCGCCCTTCATTCAATATTTTCCAATGAATCCCAGTTCAATATTGCACATGGATTTAACACACATTACTTCTTCCGAGAGATGGAGCTGCTGTCGGAAGTGTGCCACAGACTGAAGTATGACCCGTCCATCGTCCTCGTTAATTTTATTAACGACATATTTGCACATGGAAAACATCCCACTGATTTCTTCAAGCCAATTCTAACCTTTTATGAAAAGTCACAAACCTCAGACATGTCACGGAGTAAAGTGGAAGCTATACTTAAAAATTTTGATAACCTCATAACCAAAACCATAGCAGAGTCAGGAATCCTATTCTCTTATGGATATCAGGTCAAACTGGAAGTGATGAAAAGTCAATATCGATTATTTGGTAGAGATAAAACAATGGCTCTAACCACAACTCTAAACGAGCTCGGAAGGGACGAAACCTTACAAAAGTTTTTATTAATAATGCGAGCAGTCGTACTTTTCTCAGACTCAAACAGTGAATTAGTAAATGAAACCATGAACTCTACAGTACCTCTTGAACTAGAAAGTAATTCAGACCAGGATAAACTAACCGTTCGATCAGGAGATTTCGTCTGGTTGGCAAAAACATCACGAAAATCTGGCCACGATAGAGAATATGTTCGACAATTAATGAAGGAAACATTGCAGGCAGAATTGTCCCCGGTTATTATTGAAATAATCGAAAAGTGTAAAACAACCCCAAATATTTTTGATCATGTCGTTTTACACTTGCCAGAATTGTTCATGTCAGGGGTATATCTTTCTCGCAGCGCAATATTTGATTTCGTAACGGATTTAACTAGTATTAGGATATTGGCGGGTGAGACTGCTTGGATAGCGCCATTGACGTCGAAAATTTGTTCAAAACTGACGTTTTTGGATGATAGCCCAACAAAAGGTGCGATCAAGGATTTTGGTTTCTTACATTTGATACTGATGCGGTTTTCGCAGGCTGCAAAATCGTGTGCGGTTATTACTACCGAAATGGTGACCTTCTTTTACTTTAATACCAGAGGAGACTCTAATTATCTAAAAGAATTTTGTGAAAATGTGTTACACTTTCATAGAAATGGTGATTTCCCCGAAGACACGTTTACCGAAGTTGTGAAAGCATTTTGTTCATATGTTTTGAAATATTACGCGGAAGACTTGGCTAATCGATCCCTCTCCACGATTAAAAAATACCTTATGGAATTCAGCGGAGATGGGCTAATTAGCACTGTCACTACGGAATCTTATCTTGCAGACTTGCAAACCTTGTGTAATGTATGCATTGAGCGACAGATTGGACGGGGCATGGGGAAAATTCCAGTTAATATTGCAATATCAGTCCTCCTACATACTATTTGACAAGACCTGTCAGATGCAACGGATACGCTAATAGGTAAAGTTGTAGGCTATTTTTTACAAGAAGACGATACACGGTCAATATTGGAGTTAGGCAGACTGTGTCAAGTTGGATATGGACGATTTGGTGAATCTAAAACAGTTAAAGTTGAAGAATTTCTAGCTATTGTAGAAAAATGTAAAAATTCACAAAAGCTGGAGCACATTAATCGCTCTGATGTCGAAATTATTGAGGGGACAGTATTAAGTTATAGTGAATTAAATATAGAGTAAGTATGTATGTATGAATACGCATATACATACATGTACATACATACCTATATGTACGAAATTTCAACACGACGAACTCGGATTTTATGAGCTGAGAACCACGAAGCCATTATATATGTAATGTACTTATGTACCGCATGTCCGAAGCTAAATTCCAATCAACCTTTTAATGCGAAGATTGCCAAAGTATTTCGTGAAATGTGTGTTAATAAGCTTACATATTTATGCAAATTCTCATAAATTGGATATGATTAAAAATCCAATAATAAATATGTAAGATCCAAATGTATGATCTATCATTTAAAATAAATGATTATCTTTCCTGTCACATCCTACACATTTCTTATCATTCCCATAAAAACTTGTACAACTTGGCATACCACAATTTTCACCCTAATTCTAAACCCCGTAAATACATCTCTAACATAATTCATCACGGTTTCTCTCCTTTCCGCTATGAACACGCCGCCCCATAACAATAAAGCTACCAAATTCATGACGAGGAACTGTCGTTGGTGTTTTAAACCAATATATCTTTCCTCTTCATCCCAACCCTTCCTGTTATTTTCTCTCTTGATTCTTAAATTTTGCAATCTGTCGTGATTGAACAGTACGTCATCCCAATACAGCGGAATTCCAAATTCTAACAAGCTCGCATGAATTTGAGTGGCTCTTCTGGCCAGTGCGAATCCAAAATAGGAATAGGAAGTTTGTCTATTCCCAAATATAAACTTGTCACAAATATACTTTTCACCCTCACTTTTCATCTTTTCTGAAGTAATCATGTCCACGGAAACTTGTAGCTTCTCCATGCGAAAAGGGATATAGTTTGTCACCCTTCCGTCGAGATAGCCCACACGGGATAAATTGTCCCACTTCGCAAAAATGTCCTCAGTAATGTATGCATAGATGTGAAGGATATGAAATGAATCCTTAATTCGATCCAAGGGTACGCCATGTCTTTTGAGCACGTTAAAGAATACCGGACTGAATTTACTTATCGCCTCGGGCAAAACTAAGTTTCTAGAGTATCCCACAACCTGTTTCGAGGAATTAATGAAATCACCAACGTCCTTGTACCGATACGGTCTCGAGGGTGCCATTAAAATGCCGATTATGATGCCCTCATAAAACTGCTAAAATGACAAAGGGTATATGTTTCTGGGTAAAATTTCGAATAGGTTCCCTCATCAGGAGGGAGAATAAGAAGTAGGACGTTTCAAGCGAGGATTTTATAGGGGATAAAATTCTAGGAGAATTAGATTCGATTTGTGTCCAGAATTATGCCTATTGGCCACAGATGAGATCAAAAATACAAGACCAAGTCCAAACCAAACGTTAGCATGAAAAGGTTTCATCCAATCCTGAAGTGATCCGCTGAACCACGAGTGAGGCCGACAGTAGACCACGAAAGTTTCTGAGTCTCCGCACCAAAGATTCCTACTTGTCAGGCCGAATGCAGTTTCGTCCGGGGTGGAAAATTGTAACGAGATTTCAGGCTTATCGTTTACGTAGTGATAAGTTAAGTTGAGGTTTATGAAGAGAAATGCCATTTCTTCCGTTACTCGGTCACAGAATTTACGAGTAGTATCTTCGCCTTCGTAGAAGGACGAAATTCCTGTGTGGATCAGATAGCACGTGACGGGGCCAGCTGGTCTTGGGTGATATATGTCAACGACTTGTTCTTGATGATTAACATCGGTGGGTAAAAGTTGGGTACCTTAAAAGGATAAGGAAACTAGGGTTTACATTAATTAAGTATGTGCTACTCCTAATTAATGAGACAGCGCACTCTATGACGATTTCTAAATATTTAGCAACGCTATTTCACAGCAAAATGTAACATTCTTTCAAACATAATTTTAATAGCTCTCCTGTTGGTGCCAAAAAAAATACACCCCTTTTACGAGTGTATGAATATTTTAATTCAGCTAAGGTTTACTTTGTGCAAAATGTACTGTAACAACGTGACATCTGAAAATCATTGCAGTTTTAGAAGCCCAATTGTGGCTTCAAGATAAACCGAACCTTGTTAGGAAACTTATAATAATACATATATGTATTATTAGTAGATATGTAGATACATATATGTATCTACATGTGCAAGAAATGCAGACTTTAAGGTGAAGAATCGCATAAAATATTTTGAATATTTTGAATTGAATTTTCTAGTAAAGCAGGTATGGAATCTTTAGTTACTTACTAATTAAATTGAATGCTTACATAATTGTTTGCTAAGAAGCATATACAAAAGGTTTCAAGTTTTCAAGCTTCAAGAAATATTGGTCTGTTAGTTTTATTTATAGATACATATTTATCCAAGACTGTCTCATTCTTTTGGAATAAGTCTTTGACCCGAAAAATACGGTAGTTTTGTATTACCTTGATAGATGTGCCGCAGAGAGAAATTTTTCCGCTCCATAGGTTCAAATTTTTGAAATTGCCTCGAGTAGTAGTGTCGAATTGGAATGTTTTCAATGTCCTCTCTGAAGGGGTGTGTCCAGAAAAGAAGGTAAAGGGACAAGGGCAGAATAGTGCAGATACCGCACGAGACGACTGGTACGTCGGCACTTTCAACAAACAATACGAAGACAACATTCGGAAGGAGGGGAACAAAGGATGGGAAATATCCTCCGATTTTTAGTTCGTTGTCGAAATTTATAAAATTTCGATTCCCGAGAAGGAAACATATTCCAGAATTTATGCTGTGTCGTGATACCCATAGGATTCGGGTTTGTTTTGGTTCAACTAGGAATTTGTGGTTAAAAATCACTTTCGGGTTGGAAACCTGGTGGGAAAACATGAGGACCAAGTAATGACCAATATTGTTGTGGGCTGTCAAACTTATGTAGTTTGTGGGATAAATATAACTCATAATTTCACCATTGACTATTTGTAGATTGAATATGCAGAAGAGAAAAAATAAGAAAATTTCGACTTTCACTTCCATTTTTGTAATGAATATTCCTACGTATTGAAGTTTAGCCAGCCAAAAAGTACGGATTCATATTAAGTAAAGCGGAAAATGTAACAGAAAAGTACGGAAAAAATTGTTGGTTTAAACGCTTGTAAAAAATTGTGTGCTTTTAGTTTTATTGCATACATGAGAAAAGTACTAAAATATTTGACCATATATACCAAGTACTAAATTATTCAGTAACACTGTCCACGTCATGGTGTAAAAACACTTGTATAAATTAAATTTAAAATCAGTACACACGCGATATAGTTACCCAGAAATACACATACATACATATGTATACCTAGGTACAATTATGTCGCATACGTATACATAAATTTGGATTAATTTAAAATACGAAAGCATTAACTTAATAATAATTTATTGCATCATAGCCAACAGCCTTTGCACATCATGAATGGTTACATAATATTGATATCATAAAATCGTAAAAAAAGTAAAAGTAATTATTGGTCAGAACATAAGTCAAAATATTTGGCGACTTTGTGCCAAAAGAGAAATAAGTTATTCATTAATTTATCACTATATGAAGCAGAAAAAAGAGCAACAAAAAGTTGCATATTGTTAAATTCAGTTGGATTATAACTAGGAATTAATGGGTAAATTAGTGATTGGCGCTCAGATTTGAATGAAGTACATGTAAACATAAGATGTTCAACAGAACAATTATCACTTCATAAGGGACAACTTGAATTTAGAGGGATGTAGAATTGTCCGATTTTAACACTAAATTTATTGAGGCGCAATTGGGTCATCAAACTGCATTTCTGCATGGGGTGGTTCATATTGAAGTATCCTTCTGTGTCAGTTTTCGGTTTGATGAGTTGGTAATGTGGGATGAAGTTGGATTTTTGCATCCTCACGACGTCCTGATTCCTAAGATGTAGCTCATAGTTTGTTAGGAGAGTTTTCCTCATGGTCACTAGGGAAGTCAGAGTTAGTGGAAGGTTTTCACATCTTGCGATCTTGAGTAGATTAAGGAAGTCTTCTCCCCAGCAATGGTTCCTTTGCATTGTTGACGAGTTGAGCCGTGTCCACTTCATTTGCGTAATCATACATTGTCTTACGGGGAGTCTTCTTTTTTTCTAAATATTCGCTCCCAGAAACCCAATGTGTCGGCAAGATGTTGTACTCTTGTGTCCCGTGCACCAGTTTCCAATCGCACAAAGTAATCAGGAGTCGATGGGGGAAGTCTGAGTAGCTTTTTTAGGAAACGGATTTGTATTTTGTCAATGTCATCTATAAACTTCATGGCCCAGATTGATGAGCCGTAAAGTAGAGTAGCCCGCGCAATGGAGTTGAATATTTTAAATTGCGTTGATAAGGGTGGAACACCAGATCTTCTCGTAATGTGAAGGACTTTCACTACGGCCGCAGTTGCTTTTTCTTTGAACTCTTTATGGGCTAGATTGAAAGTCCCGTTTCTATGCATAGTCACTCCTAGATAGGTATATGAATCTACAATGTCAACAGCATCTTCATTCCATTTGAAAGATGTGAGGTCACGTGATCTTCTCTTGATGAAGACGAAAGCATTAACTTGCAATTTTAATTGATACACACATTAAAGTATTACATATTTATTCCTAGGATATATTTCTACATACTTATCTAAACTATTAAAATGTACACAATTTATGGCTCCCATTCTTACAAGGAACACGTCCCTGCACAACTCCAGCATCCGTCACATTGGGCGTCGGAAGTGCATCCGACGTACTGCAAATCCCACGTGATTCCCCTCGTCGTCCAACACCATTCCCGATGAGCTTCCGGTTTTGTCCCGCAGTACGCCCAGCAGGAATTCTTGTGACACCCGTAATTCGTGCAGCTCAGAGATCGCTTGGTTCTGTTTCCATGCTCCTCGTCTCCTACGACCCCCTCGGCGTCAGCAACCTCCAACGTTGGGTGCGAATTAATGTCTCGAATTATGCAGAAAAGTACCGCCACCCCCACAACAACAATGGTAGTTTTCAGCATCCTGAAAAAAATTAAACCTGAATTTGGGAGAAAGTCCGTAAAATATACCAATTAATGGAAAAAGGACAAACCTGATTTTTTTAATGTATGCAGATGAGTGGTAGATTTGTGTAAAAAGTTGCGTTTGTAGATAGTTGAAGTGGTTGTAGAAAAAATCTGATGACCATTTGCGGCTGCTTATGGCAATAAATACCCAGACCGTTCGACGTCATGAATTAAAGTTCTAGTCCGAAATTTTAAGATCAAAATATGATTCATAAATTCCAAGTAGATTCATCGTGTTGCGATGAATGTGCGTTTTATTTCAGTGGTGAGATAAAAACATGTCACACATTCTGCATGCATGAGATAAGTAATTAAATTAAGCGAAAGGACAACATTGCTTCTAAACACATCGGCTAAAAATGTTGCGTTAATTAAATGTGGACCACGTTTAGTACGGCAAAAAACATGGATCGTAAATGATAGGAGTGTTGTTAAGTAGTGTGTTACATTTTTTGCATATGGATAAGTTCACCATCATTGCGTATTGCTGAAAAAACAAACATCATCAGTGCAATTTCTGCTTCTTATCCAGAGAAAAAGTGACGGTGTTGACACCTTATCATTGGACGAGTGAATGGGTTCATATTACTTGGTCTAATCATAAGTTTATTAATCCCCAGTTATACAAAGACATCATTTATGTGAATACTTTGGACTGTTGACTCCTCTGCTCATAAGTATCTATGATATGCATAACACGATTGGTAAAGAACTCGACCATGTCAAAATGTTTACACATCAGAATGAATGGGAACAACAAGTAACGAAGGAAATGAATGAAAATCGATGAAAATAAATATGTAGCACGTCACACATTTTATTTTTAGAGAAACTCTACCAAGAAATTACTTATGAAGATTGGGTGTCCACTCAGGTATTTAAATGCTCCCGTAACACTGTAAATTCATCATTCAAACAATCTTCTCCAATTCAAACTTAAAAATTTACATTTGTTGTACTACGGGAATTAAAAAGTAAAAATATGTAAGGTCATATTTCTTGCTTAGCCTTTTAGACTACAAAATTTCAAAAAATTGATTTTAATTTTGTAAATTTTCAGGATGCTGACTGCTACAAAACTTAAATTGGGGGTTGTCATCTTCTGCATTTTGGCTGAAAACAGTGCGTCGTTCCCAACGGAGGACGGTCCCGATTTTCCGGAAGAGGAGGCAGCCCCAGGAAATCGGACGAGACGCCGAGCGGATTACGGGAGCATTGACAACTTGCAGTACGCGTACGGATGTCAGGACTACGGGTGTCACAAGGGTCGCTGCTGGGCGTGGTGCGGGATTCGGCCTGACGACCACAAGCAGTGGTGCTGGACGACGCGGGGCAACATGTGGGACTTGCAGTATGTCGGATGCTCTTCTCACAATGATTGTGACGGATGCTGGCATTGTGCAGGGACCTGCTCCTTGTAAAGAGAATTGGAATGGTCGAACGGAGGAATATTTGAAGGCTTCTTAAATAATTCATGTCTTTTATTCCCCAATTTCATTAAGGGTTTGCATTTATTGATTACGGATTAATTTTAACTGATACTGTTTTGTCCTTAATAGCTTAAATAAGTCCTGTACATAAAATAACTATTTATGTATTACATAAGTTATTTTAAGTAATGATATTTTAGCTGAGAAAGTTATTGTATTTAATTTTCATTATCGATTTGACTTATTTATGCACTTATTGTACTAATTTGTGAGCTGAGTAAATAAATACATACATATAAATATGACACAATGATGTGTTATCCAAGTAAATGCATGGAAAATCAAACCTTTCCCAATGATATATCCTTCTAATAATTTATGCATTTTAATCAGTCTTAATATTTTGTAAAATCTGTGATTCTTACCCATTCCCACTTCGTCTCACTAAAACCAGACACATTTTACGTGTTTAAACCATAGAAGTGATTTTATGTACGTACACCCTCTCTCATCCTCAGCTAACCATCCAACTTGATCCAACAATTTATTTCTTACTATTACTTAAATTACTTAAATTACTAAGAAAATGGCGGTTTTGGATAAACATATAGCCATTTGTATCATCGCTGTCTTCAACATGGTAAGATAACCCAATTATCTAACCAAGTATTTATAAACTACGGTTCAATCAAGTTGCAAAAAATTATTAAACATTTTCTGACGCATAACAATTTAATTGCATTTTATGAAAACCAAAATTAAAGAATTCTAGAAATTTGCAATTTTCGACTGATAATAGTGAATGAACCGTACTTCCAACTTGCAAACAAATATCCATTCATAAGATTTTACTAACTATTTCAAAATTCAAAATTTAGATAAGCTGGGCGCCAATGGTTTTAAAAAAAATTGAGTACTACTTCCATAAAGAAGAAAAAACGCCCTTGCCCGATGATGTCCCCACGATTTTAGCACTCTTACCAATTTTCATTCTTCTCCACGTTTCCGGCTTATGTACATTATTGGCTTGCTTTGTGGATGACGTAAAGTGGTCGCTGCGACTCGCCAAGATCGCAAAATTTTGTTCCACCATGATGTACAGCGAAATGATTGGGATCATTTTGTACAACGGATACCAAGGAGCTCCGAAGATTCCTCAAATATTGTGGGGAAACCGATTCATGTATCTCGAATTTATTACGTGTACTTCGGAGTTGTCCAATTTTACTTGGTTTACGTACTTGCCAAGCTTGTTAAAAAATTGGAAAGAGAATTGAACCAACGTAAGAAATACATTTTGTTTGATGCAAATTTGGAGGGATTTTGAACTGTAATTAATTATTTGTAATTCAGGTCAAGATCAACCCCATCACACAAGAGGATACTGAAGACTGAAGACGCTGCATATACATATACATACATATGCATACATATACAGGGTGGTTCAAATGTCACGCAACAATGGAAAATTTTTCAATGGGAAAAATCCCTAAATCCCCATTAGTTACAAGATTTTGGATTAAGATTTTTATAATTATTATCAAAACTGATGGAAAACTGATGACGAACTTCTTAGAACATTGAATTTTAGAGACAAAATTTCGGTAACTAATGGAAATTTACAAATTTTTCCCATCGAAAAATTGTCCATTGTTGCGTGACATTTTAACCACCCTGTACATTAAGGAATTAAGTAAATTTATAACAAATGCGTACCGTACGTATGTAAATCTTTTCAGTCAAATATCCCAACTTGTAACTTATAGGATAACATTCATATGTCGTACTTACATGTCTTGCGCTATCTTAAAAACGTATTATTTATCATTTAACATATTTGTAAGTATTTTTTGTTCATGTTTACAAAATTTCAGAAAAAAATGTTTTCATGCTAGATAGCCAAGGGAAATTAAGAAATTAAATATATATTTATGCATACGCATCAGTAGTTACTTATACATATACATGGTCATATTTAACAATAGCACGTTATTTAGTGGGCGTAAGTACATAATTTGCTATACATACATATTAAGCTTAATTTACTTACACTCGGAAGTCGGAATGTCGGATGATAATCTGTGAAGATCTTTGCTTAAGCATACATACAATGTATTACAATTACAAAGAAACAAGTAAATAGTACATACATTCAACCTGTCTTACATATGACAGGTTGTACATATATGCAACAGGTATAGTTGCCAGCAAGCAACGCAGTTCAGCCGGCACAAAGCCAGCCCGTGCTCACCAGACCGGGGAGCAGTGTATAATATAATCCCACCAAAATCCAATTTTACCCAATAAATAAATAAAACATTGCTAATTACCTACAGAATTAATTACTAATTGGATTGAAACTTTAATTAAGTGAAATATCAAGTTAGGGAATCAGTGGAGATCGTGAATTCTACGCTCTCTGCACACATTCATTTCATTCATTACGATAAATTTCGTTGGTGCGAAAAACACGAGTGAAAAGGTAAGTCTGACATAAATACCATTAAAAAAACCATTTAGCCAAATTCTCAGAACAAATCTCATATTGTAATTTGTGAAAATAATTAAAACATGAAACAAGCAGAGGTGCGCAGTATGCAATGATGGAATTAATTACATAATAAATAACTAATATTCTATTCCAGTGACCAGCGTATTCCTGTACAAACAAGTATTTCAAAAACAATTTCACTGCAGTTGTAGCATATGTAAGTAGTGTCATTTTCATGTTATAAATAACCACATAAATACATACGTAAAACATAATTACTTTTTGACTAATAGTTTCCTAAAGGAGACGTGACGATTCGTCACCCCACTCTATTAATCAATGTAGTTAATGAACAAAATAATAAATAGGTACTGTGACATATGAGCAAAATTAAAACAGTTTATCTTTGTGTAAGGATCTAAATAATCATGACTCTTTTTTCCACTATGTTTTCAGATTCATTAGAGATGTCGACCCAACAATCAAACGAGGGAGGCGAGACCAGGAATGTGGATTTAATCATTACGGATTGCCGGGATAGCACATGGAGGAAAGTTCCTGCTGAAAAACGTATTCAAAAAGACTGGAAGTTCAATGTATCCATTATTTCTGCCAACGGATCCACCTCCTTCAAAAATCTATGCGACGAGGTCGCAAAAAAATCAAAAACTGCCAAGTTTGAAATCTGCACCCCAGATTTTGTTCAAATTACTGCCGTCAACATTCTGGAATTAGGAAATCAAGCCAATTTAATCCTTCGGGACAAAGGTCAAACCAAATTCCCATTCACGTACAAGCAGAAGTATTCCACCGTCCCACATACGAGAGCAGTGACGGATCAAACAGGGAAATTTTATGGATCACCAGGTAAGGAAGTTAACGATGATGTAAAAAATTAAAAATGCTAATTTTATCAGTCGTGAGAGTGGAAATGAGAAGTGTTATCGTGTAATAAAATGGATCATTAGACTGTATCAATGAATGTAATTATCACAAAATATTTAACCACTGAAATATAAACTTGCACATTTTTAGAACACAATGCAGCCGCTTTCGCTCTTGCCGAGTTGGTCGACAACGCCCTCGCGGCCACCGTCGGAAACGATGGGGAACGAGTCATTGAAATCCGTTTTCACGAAGATGGTCCCAACTCTTGCCTGGTCGTGTTGGACAATGGCTCCGGCATGAACTCTGAAACTTTAAGGCCCAGTTTAAAGTTCAAAGCACCAAAAGAAGACAGAGACCGTAGTCAAATCCTACCTCCATCTGCGCAACAACTAGATCCACCCGAAGATCCAGATGACGAGATTCATCCACTTTACATAAACTCAGACATTTCAAAATTTGGCGCCGGTCTGAAACATGCCGTCTTTTATTTGGGAAACGAAACAAGAATAATGACAAAGACGAAAGATAACGAGAACGTTTGCGAAGTCAACTTATCCAAAAGAGTCATGGAGGCGAAGGAACTCGTAATCGACGAGGATCCCTGGGAGGTCGAAACGTATTCTGGAAGCCCTGGTGAAATAAGGGATGTCGCCGTTAATGACAACAAAATAATCAAGGAAATCATACAAGAAGAAATTACAAAATCAGATCTCAGTTTTACACACATCATCGTACAAAATATTTGTCAAGGTGACGCCAATTCTCCGTACCTGCTTTTACGAAGGCGCGACACCGACAAGGTCATACAAGGTCCCAGCATCGAGACTCAACTGGGTCACATTTACTACTATTATTTACACGGACGGAGCAATGCCACGTTGCCAAATCCGGTTCAAATTTGGGTCAAACGTTTCGATGCTAGAGGAAAATTAGTTTCGTCTTCAAATCTACGCGATCTGGATGATGGAAATATGCTTGATCTCGAATCCAAATTTGTCCACAGTGCAGCCCCAGACCCGTTCCTTTTTACGATTGAAGTACGAGATTATAACAACTCGCGAAAATCTGACACTAATTTCAAAGTCGGCGGAATTATTCGCTATCATCCATTTCAATATGACCGGGAAACAAATCCGGTTGGAATCGTAGCGAGAAAACAGACCGATGAAGATGTCGTAACTCTGGACGATGAAGGGAATTCTAGCGAAGAAGGGTCACAAGAAGGCGAGATTTTTGGAAAATCCAAAGAGTTTTTCCAAATTTGGTGGAACGGACGCTTAATTCCACACACGAAACTTGACTCTTTTAACTGGTGCAGTCCCGGCGAAAGGATGAAGAGCACTGACCAACTGTTTAAACCATACGGGCGAATTTCTGGCTCACTCTTCTTCAATTCTAAAATCAGCGAAATTTCTGAAAACAAGTTGAACCTGACCACCACAAATATGTTGGTAGAGATGTTTAGCGAGAAAAAAATTGGAACCCAGCAGTCCACATTTCAACGCGTGACCGTAAAAAGACAAGGAAATAAAGAACTTGCAGCCAAAAGAATGACTCCCAGTGCCAAAGCAACTTTTGAAGAGTGGCTCAAAAAGTGCAAACAATGGGATAAGCAAGTTGCATTCTCAAAATTACGTAAAATAGAAGGTAACCAAAAGCATATTAATATGAGCAATGCAACTAATTTTACATATTGCTACATATCCATTTATTTATTTAATTAGGCCTTGTCGAACCCCGCACACTCGCCAAGAAGGGTATATTCCTCGCTTATGAAATGGCAGCATGGGAAAATTTGAAGCTGAAAGTCGGAAGTGCTATCAAGTTCAAGAATAATAAGCCTGGACGCAGTACCCCCGAGATGGTCGGAATAGTAAAATGTTTTCTGGTAGAGAAGAAATTGTGCATGTCTGAAGACGGCACCGAGCTGTCCAAAGTACACGCTCCCCTTTCCCTCGTTGAAGTTGAGCTACAACCAGCCCCTTACTATCAAAAACCTGAAGAAGAGGGGTCTACTCGTATCATGGAAATGCGACTTATTGACACAGATACTGACGACAAAGTCGCAAAGAAAATTATTGCTCAACAACTCAGTGACTTGAAGGGATTAAAGTTGAAAATTGTCGAACCTGCCGAACCAGCGCTGGACGAAAATGGAGAGTCTAATATTCCACTGGACGGCGTTCTCCTGAAACGAATCACATTCGATATTACGAAAGAAGATGGAACCTCAGTGGGTGGACATTTGCCGTATTATGAAGGGAAAAATAAAAGGAATATTTTCATGGTGGCAAGAGTTCATAAAATTAGTAAGTGTTTTGAATTTATTTTATCGTCACCTCTTGTGGCAGATCTACTAAAGCCTTAACAAATTTCTTACTCCAGTCCCTGACTAAAAATGGAAACTGATTATGTATTTCAGATGAAGATGGGACCTACACGCTTTACAATACGAGTAAACTTTGCCAATATCTTTCCAAAGCTTACTATTTTAAGAACATAAGTAAGCCTTATTTTATGTCACATATTTCGTGTTTCCTATCTAAATACATAAATCTCACCTTCATAAATTAAATTTATTGTTTAATTAGATTTGAAAGAAATGATAGATTTGAACGAGCCAGGCAAATTTATCATCACCTTCCGTTCATACATTGAATGGAATCAGCCAGCGTCGACCCCTGGAAGAAGGACTGTGCCCGGTAAAGCCGACGTGTTTTCACCAACTCAATCCCGCCGTGTGTCGTCAGTTGACAGTTCTTCACGGCCTAAAACACCCTCTCTTGCCGATTCCAATACACGAGTTGTAGATCCAGCCTATGAAATAGAGTGGAACCAGGAAGTAGATTCGCTTGGGAAGAAAATATTCAATGTTGACGACGAACTCATCAGAATGCCATATTATGCAATTCGCTTCAATATCGTGGCTGGACCACCACACAAATTTGAAATCGTAGAATTTGGTGAGTTTTCATATTTTGAAATTGCAATGGCTGAGGTACGGGATCCTTTCTTACATATTTTCGTGTAAAACTACTACTTAGCGTTATTTGCGTGACTCCTAAGTTTTTAAAGTTTTTTTGAAATTTATTAACCAAGGCAAAAGTAATTATGAAATTACACAAATACAGAAATTCTATCAACACGACACCTCAACGTCAAATTAAATTAATTAAATCAAATTTAAAAAATAGAGCAAATTTATGATGTTTTTGTGACAAGTGATGAATTTCTCATGGCGAACATAATAAATTTTATTTTTTATTAATTATTAGGCGATGAAGACGTGAAACTTCGTATCGGCCAACCATTCAACATTACATTGTCATTCAAAGATTCGAAGGGAAACATGACTTATCCGACAGATTGGCCACCTATGCTGAATCAAATACCGAGTATTTCCTTAGTCCCAAACAAGTAAGTTTTTCGGGTTACAAATTTGGCCAGTTTATGAATTGGAATTCAAGAAAAAAATTCGTTCGGCAAATTGTTAATTATGTTAAATATCAATAGTTTTCCTTGCCTATTTCAAACACATTCCTAATAAATTCATCATGAACTATTATAGTAAAATATTATTATGGAAATTGTATATATGATTTCAGGAAGCGTCCCGACCCTCGACTCTCATTTACTTCCCGGGATTTAGTTGTCCGAGCTCAAGACAGGCAACTCGTCGTGGTCGATGTCGTTGCGTCAGGGAAACTAGATGGACATGAATTCCAGGTAAAATTGTCACATTTATGTATTCTCTAAAATCCATGTAATTTATTTATTTACAATTTTTAGAAGGACTGTAAAGTCGAAGTTGGGTTACTAATCGATCAAAATCTCCGAAAATCAGCCATGCCCCGCTTATGTTTTTATCCTGGGACCCCTGTCAAGATAGCCTGCTCAACGAATCACGTGCAAATAGAAAATGGATCCAAAGTCCGCCTCGCGTGCCAAGTTCTCGACGTCTGCGACAATATTATCACACGAACACAAACCAAAGACAAGCCAATCTTGTTGGATTGCCAGATTTCAAAATACAAAGATATTAACCACCGAGAAATGGAATTAATTTATTCATATTCAATATTGGCAACCTCAAATGATAACGAACTGCAAGAAATGGATCAAGCCGTCGAACTTGTAGAGTTGAAAACAAAGGAATTTCCAGAGATGATCCTATCTTGCGTTATATCCCTAAGATTGGAAGGGCTGGAAGATTCAGAACCAGCCATTCGATCAGAGCCCGTGCAGATTACGGTGGTCCCCAGCACCAAACCCGTCAAGCTGAAATTATACTACCAGACTTCCGGAGATCCAGTCGAAATTGGAGAACAGTCCGAAATAAAATGCAAAGTCAACGAAAAGTTGCACCTCAGCTACAAATTATTTGATTGTCTCGATAATGAAATTCCATTTGAAGAAAATGAGCACAAAATCAAACTAAATTGGGCCGAGGATATCCCTGGAAATGGAATTTTACCGAAATTGGAAATTCCGAAAATGGCAGAGCACAGAAGGAAAATTACGACAAGTTTGAAAATATCTGGAAATACCGAAAAAATTCGACACGACTTCTTTTTGACGTCGTTCCCCCGAAAGCCTGCCAATCTGAGCGTGACCTTCGTAGGAGGATCTGACACCCGCGTTATGGACCTGCCATTAGGAGAAAACATCCCAAATTTGATTGCTAAGCTGACCGATCGTCACGGAAATGTTGTCAAGCAATTTGACCAAGACGAATTACCCTCGTATGTTGAAGTCTCAATTGGCGAAGTTATTGTGGACCATCAAGTAGTGACAGATTCAGAAGAATGTAACGCAATCGATGGGTCTTTTGCAATCGAACAACTTAAAATTTGCTCCACTTCCACCAATAATAATTTGCCCCTCGGAGAAATAACATTCACAGTTTGCTTCAAACAACAATTTCAGACAACAATAAACCTGAACGTCATTCCCGGACCACCGGACCGGTTCCTGTTAGAAATTAATGACGAAATTCAAAAAGACCGTGGATTATTCACTACCCAAAATCAGTCCAACATTCGTACTTGTATCCGTTTAATTGATGTAGCCCAAAATACGACAAAGCCAACGGAAAACATACAAGTCACATTGTCCTTGAAATCGGTGAATGACTTGGTCGTTTTGGACAAACCAGTCAGACAGAAAGCCATCATACGACCGGATGGAAATGGAACCGTAAATTTTGACGGGTTTGTGGTGGCCGTGAAGAAACAACAGAATCAAAAGTTGGGGGTCCCTTGCCGGGTGGAATCCTGTGGAGGAAAATGTTACGGAAAAAATGTATTAATTCAGGTTGACGCCATACTTGGAGGAAAAAAGGTATCCGGAATATGCTACTTACACATAACTTGCCGATCCGATATTCCTTCCCATCTGAAAATTGTCAATGACGGGAGAACTGGAAAATTTTCTTACAAAGCTGACTCTTCATTTAACTACTTACGTGTCACTCTGGAGGCAGAGGATGAGAGCAAATATGCTCTGGCAGAAAAAGATCACTTGACCCTCATCCTGACCAGGAAGGACGACCCATCCGGTGGACAATATGAATGCCCAGCTCAAAATGTTCGTGAAGGTGTGTATACTTTTGGAAAGGTTCCCACCAAGGCAGGCCGATACAATGCAAGATTCGTTTACAACAATCCCACCACAAATATCAACATTGGCCAAGAATTTAACGAAGAACTGGAAATGACTTGTGGACCTATTCATGGCCTCCTCGCAAATAAAGACGTCTCCAACTTATCCGTTTCAAATGACCCTAACGACGTAGGATCCCGAGTCATTGTGAATGATCTCATCCTGCAAGTTACAGACAGTTTTGAGAATCCCATCCAGTCCGCAGTCGGTCAATTATCGCTCAACACTGCTATGCCCTGTGTAGAACTACAAAATCATGACCAATTCGACTCACCAATCCCAATCAGCAATGGACAAGTTAAAATTCCACCCCTTATTCTCCCTCCAAATCTTATCTTGAACGAAAATATAAAACACAAAATCCGATTCACCGCAGCACTTCAGAATAACCAGAAGTTGAGTTACGACTTGGAATTTTGGTTTTACAACGATGCTCGTAAACTGGAAGAGATTCGTGACCTTAAAGCTAAAATTCTTCATGTTGAGCAAGAACTTAAAACCAGTAGCTCGACATTGGACCAAGTTAAGAAAGATCTTAATCTATATAAAAGTGAGAATGCACAATTCAAAAGAAACGAAGACTCGGAAAGATTGAAGCTGAGCAGGATCGTCCCACAAGATGACATGCAGAACTTACGGGCTTCCTCCGATATCATTGGATATGAAAATTTCCTTCGAGAAGATCACCAGAGATTGGAACGCGAAAGAAACCAGTATAAATCAAACGTGCACTGTGGACCAGGCGCTGGTGAGCAGGACGTGCTTGGCCCGATTGGACTTCTCGCTGAAATTAGTTCTGATGGTAACGTACATAACATTTAAATAATTAAAAAATATTTATTGTGCAGCAAAAAAGTATCTAATTTGTCCTTTTAAATTTAAGGTGGTGAGAATTGTCAGCAAATTCAACGGGTCCTCTCTTGGCATTTACAGAGCCAAATGAAAGTCGTCGTAGTGGAAACAGAGAAAAAAGGGCACGAACTCACAAACAGGTTTCCTGGCGAAGAATTTATGGTTCTGGAGATCGTTCGCGATTTCTGTCCCACTTTTCCGCCTCTTGTCGGACCGGGAAATCCTGTCTATGCACGATCCCTGTTAAGATTTACAAATCGAGACAGCAGATCGTTGCCCAGTATTGAAAAAGTATTTAACAATATCCTTGGCAAAGTGATTATAATTGATGATCGCCCCCATGCTACAAGATTCATGAAGGAATACAACAGTACAAGAAATGGACCAAGCTGTCCCAACATTCTGACACGTGATGGATATCTAGTAAGAAGCTCGGGAATTATGGGTGGGTCGAAAAATCATGTCCCAGAAAATGGAAACCGTTACCAGTTAGGTTTAGCCCCAAATCCGAGAGTAATCGAAATTCAGAAGATATTTCAACTTCTTCCCAGTCTGAAAGAAGCTATGGTGGCGAGAGAAGAGGTTCAAGTAAGAAACGGACCACACATCCAAGAACTTGAAGAACACCAAGCGACCATGGCGAATAAGACGAATAATTTGAAAACAAAATTGGATAAGATGAAAAGCGATTTGAAAACCTTGACGGGAGGACAGCAAAATCAACAATGGAATACCTTGAACAACAATGTCGATGGGACACCTAAACGCCGTACTTTGAGGTCGTCAGAGGCAAATGGTAGAGACGAACCGTTCACCAAGAGGCCACGAAAAAATTAAGTTCTTTCAGAAACGCTTAATGAATTATTTTTTATATATGTACATTTCGTACATATACAATACTTCACACGATATTATTTGCCAAAAATATGTATTTTTACTATAATAAGACCAATTAATCTATGCGCTCAATATATTTATCTACCAGTGCAATATTTACAATATCTACAATTTCATTTTCGATATTTCCATGTCCCACAGAACTTGGCTATTCTGGTGTGTTGACTTTCACTTTTTAAATTCTCATTAACACACGCTTGTAATATGATGTAGAAATCCAGTTTCAACTTGCTTCAAGAAGCAAGTTATCTTTCGGTACTGGCTGATATGAATGGTACCTAAATACATACTTATGTATCTCAATGCGTAGTTATACTTATTAAATTTGTTACATGACATGATATAATAGATACAGCAATATCCATGACTATGTATTTATGCAATTTATTGACTATCTTTGAATATGAATTTATTTTATTTAATAAAGAATAACATTTTGTCCTTAATAACGGTGCATTTATATGTACATATATACGTCGCTTTATAATCAAGTTATGTATGAGAAGGGGCTTCTTTAGTAGTTAACCATTAGGCATGCATAATAATTCGTTACATAATTGTAAATTAATTGAACTACGCATTCTTTTTACAACTCTAAACCATCAATCAAAATTAATCAACTTTGTCAACATATTTTTAATTTACTACGCTTATTGCTAATCTCGGCAACCACATACATACATATCTCCAACAATCACAAGTACTTGTTTACTTACATATGTACATATATATGTACGTTAGTTTCATTAGATATTCGTTATTATGTAATATGTACAGCTGCGTGACAGTTTAATCACACAATTATACAATAGGGTCCATACAGCTTATCATATGTGGAACATCCCTTTTCAAACTAATTCCTGATCTTTGGATCTTCACACCCGGAATGTGACGCGATTCGATACTTCACTTTTACTGTACTAAAAATATCTTGATTACATCCTTCATTTACCGTCGATCCTTTTCACTCGTCACATCTCTGCAAATAACTAGATTGCCATCAATTATGGCGAATTTATCCCGTGTCACGCTAACCGTACTTCTCGCCCCCTTATTTTTTGCCGTTGTTGTCCACGGTCAGGCAAACTTCACGACGGGTCCATCCTTCTACGCCGCTAAATGGGCCAACGTTCCGACCCCACGGGGCATCATGATGGACTCCTTCGGCGACGTACTTCTCGTTTCCAGGTCAGTCGCCCAAATCTTCGCCGTATTTGATGACCCCGAAGGAACCCCGGTCGTTCTACAGATCACGAACGAAACTGGTCTCGAACTGAATCACGCCCTCACCTACTCGGCCGGATATCTGTACGCCTCCAGTAAGTCGTCCGTATATCGGTGGCCGTATACACCCGGACAGCGAAGGACGATTGACGTCCCAGCCCAGCTTGTCGTCCACAATATTCCTGGCTCCGAATCGGCTGCGTTTATCACCCGACCGGTTATTTTTGATGCTAGGATGAATTTCTACGTTGGCGTTGGGGCGGGTGTCAATACTCCTCCGGAGCCTGACTCAAATCGTACCAGGATACGGAAGTTCGGAGTTTTGAATAGTGACAATTTCCCGATTGACTTTGATAATGGAGAGGTACATAGACAGCAAATTTGTTTAGTCAAAATACTGTCATATTTCAACAAAATTGTGTCCCCTTATCACAAGCCAATTTTGTGTATCTCTCTGCGTGCTCAAAATTATCTCGCTGCATTCATTTTGGATTCACTTGATATTCTAAATATTTATCATTATCAATCTCCAAGGTTTTCGCAGATGGCGTCCGAAACGAAGTAGGGGTCGATTTTGACGCTTCCGGGACACTTTGGGGCGTAGAAAATGGTATCACTGGAGGAATAACGAGGCCAGATCTCGGAACTGATGACTTCACAATGTTTAATCCGACCGAAGAATTGAACCGCTTTAACAAACCGGGGGCTCATTACGGTTATCCGTACTGTTTCAGTAGTTATATGTTGCAAGATAACCCACCTGGGACACAGTTCGCCTGGCATTCCTTCTTGAACGACGGTATTCACAGTGATGAATGGTGCAGGAATCGATCAAATGTATGTGCAATAAATTATTAGATTTCACTTTATATAAAATAATTTCCGCAATGCAAATGCAAACCATGTTTAACAAGATTTTTTTTACCAACTCAAACGTCTCAATACACTTGCTTTGTTAGGTTATAAATAAGTACAAAAATCACTTATAATCTACCCTTAAACTGGCGATGTCTTACAATCAGTAAATTTCCAGTGACAAGAAGTCGCTGAATTTTCGTGCACTTATGTATGTAGGAAAATATCGAACCAAACAAAAATTGGGTTGAGCATGCTTTGCAATTAGCATGGAAGGCTCCCAGCGTACTTTATGGTCTCTGATTTTGACCAAATTAGTATCAATCGATCACAAATTTAATTAATATGAAAGCTTTAAAATACAGATCTGTCAGTTTTACCGAGGCATTTGCATCCGGAGAGGAGAAAACCCTCAATAAATTTGGAATATGTACCTGAAATTTGTTAACTTTAGAGCACTTTTTCTCCTCTTTAGATGTAACTATCTCTGCTAAACCTGAGCATTGGCAGTTAATATCTTTTTGCAAATGTCGTAAATATTAATTACATTATTGACATTAATTTTGCAAAAATCTGAGAGCATTCACTTGGAGACCTCCATTGTTAGGTATTATCCTTATCCATCTAAGATATGTACATCGCTTACCCCTTTTAAATAATTATCAGGTCGAGCCTCCCGTCCTGGCCATGCCGGCACACGAGGCACCCTTGGGGATAACTTTCTACGATGGGAGAGGCTGTAATAGTGTGGAAGGTTCGTTTCCCTGCATTATGAGGGGAGACGCCTTCGTGTCCTTCCATGGCTCGACGTGCTGTGGAGCAACGCCTCCCGTCGGTTATCGCGTGGCTCACCTCCCTTTCGATAAGGCCACGCTTATCCCCACGGGAGAAATACTTAACGTGATCTATGACCCGGAAAAGGAGCGGTGTGTTAACAATGGTGAAAGAGCGACATGTTTCAGACCCGTGAGCGTAACCTTTGACTACAATGGACACATGATCGTTACCGTTGATTCGACCGGGGAATTGTTTAAGGTTTATTATAATGGGACATTGTAGAGGTTACAGTGTTTTAAAATTTAGAACATAGGGAAAATTGATTGAATAAAATGGCTCGCTTTAAATGGAAACCTAATGTAAAAAATATATTTTTAATTGGACATGTGTATCTAAAAAGACCCACATGTATACGCACCATTAAGCCAACAAAATTACCCATCGCAATTTTGGTGAGAGGTTAGGTGCGTATCGTAATAAAATACGCAATGACGTCAACATACATTCAATGGAATGACAAATTATATTTCATACTAAATAGTATTAGTCAATGTGTATGCGAATATACATTCGTACATATGTATGTACCTAATACGTATGTGTCACGTTAATTGGTGAGATTAGATAAAAAATTAGTACGGAAAAAGTTACTGGAAATCATAAAAGTTGAACACTTAACCCAATATGTACATACATGCATACAATTAAATATGTACATCGTGGCCATAAAGTTTCTGATGAGGCAAAGCATTGTTTTAAACGAGTGTTATTTTCGCAAGGAAAAAATTTTATTAGCCAAATCGTTTATGGCATATTCTGCACAAGTAATTTGTGCGTCCTCCAGACGAATTTGTTGGTTCTAAAGTTTTGCCCTGAAAATTTCTGACGGATTTTCCAAAACTGTTTTGAGAATTTTTTTCAAAGTGGTTTGAAAAAGTCGAAACTGGGAAGCACTATCGCTTGGAACTGGTTTGTCGAACACTTTGAAATTGAAGTAGGACCATAAATTTTTTATTTGGTTCATGTCCGGTCTTCTTTCGAGCCACACACCTTCGCCAGTATGGTTAACGCCCGCCACTCGAAAAAGCAAATCGTAAAATTTGAAGTGTGGGCTGGTGTTCCGCCATCTCAAGATGGAATTTCTTTCGAATTTGGAAAAAATTGCTTAGTCTCCATAGTATCTTAATGGATAGGGAAGATGTGGTCGCTGCAAAACGATCCGTCCACATACTGACCAGCAAAACTGATGTCCATCTCCATCACGCCTCGACAGCAGCGCCCACCGTAACTCGTTACATGTAGTCCTTTTTTTGGAATCCTTGTCTCGTGAACCCCGTTTCTATCCACAATTTAGTACCTTGTATAGTGAGGATTTGACGCAGGATGACCATGTATTCAGGTGTTGTGCTTACACAAAATTTCTAGCCTCTTTTCAAATGCAGTCAAGCAGCCGTGTTTATCGAAAAAATCGCCAAAACCAGGTCGATTGTGAAAATTTTGTCCGAAAAGTGATTTTGATGGAACTTTTAGAAAGCTATGAGACCCAACTCACTGGTTTCTGCATGATTCTGCATAGTGGAACGACAGATTTTCTACCTTAGTCCATTAAATCGACCTGTGCGATTTAGGACTGCGTTACACTTTATTGTCGAAGTACCAGATTTTCGGGACATTCTTTTTAATACCGCATTCCAAATGATGGGTAGGAGTCTTGTGGGTCGTCCTGGATGAATTTAGTCCCATGTCTACTTCCGGTTCCTCCACAACTTAACAATATTTGAGGCAACCCAAATTTCGGAGGGTTTTCTGTCATTCATCCAAACCTTGAGTTATTTTAATAATTTTTTCCACAAATGAAGACGAACGTCTAGGGGACATTTTCGGAAAAAATTAGTTCCGAGAACACAACAACAACAAAGTTTTAGGAACGGGTTTGGGAATTTTTTGAGTCATCAGAAACTTTATGGCCACCATGTACGTACAAGTACAACAAGCAACATACTTATCTACATTGCACAGCAAGGTAACACACATATGTATACAGAAATACATAAATACATATATACATTTAGTTGTTTCAGGCCGGGAGGAGGAATTTAGCATTATCTGAACAATTTATATCATATGTGTCATCAAAGTTACTAATTCAGCTAATATTTTAACAAAATTTCATCTCGTCTTCCTTTAATGTTAAATATGTATGTATTCAATTGGTCTACATACAACCCAAGGAGTTATACATGATCAGTCCACAATATAAAAATTTCAAAAAACACCGTGCAGTTTCGGATCGGCAATATATGTTTGTATATATGTTTATCAATGAAATGAAAAAGGACCTCATCAAATTGCAGACATTATTTTCCTGATGGGCAATGACATATTGTAACATGGGTATTTTTTGGCAGAACATCGCATAATATGGAAGAGTAGCAAAATATTACAATTAATTAAGTTGATCACGGTGCTAATATTTTGTGGGTTTGCATTTTTACTATTTCGTTTCAAAATACTATTATATAAGCTATAGTTTGCTAAATTTTAATGAAAAACATTGTTACCATCGCGTCCTACATATGTCAGACTTGTCAAATGCATTAAATATTTTATAACAATTGGAAAATGCATGCCAAAAATACAGCAAATTTTGTGTGGAGTGCGACAGTGTTGCCAATATTTCCTGAGCTTCCCATCGTTTTAGTAATCCAGTCATGATAGTAACTTATTCTTGTGTAAACTCCAGGGTATTCTTGAAGCCCGCATTCGTTACCTGGAAATTTTAAATAAGTTTAAGCCAACGAATCCTATCGAAATAACCTGTCACTCGATTACTTCGTATTTTTGCATACCGTACGAAACTATGCCCACAACCGTCTTGTCTCCCGCGTTAATCAAACCGCCACCAGAGTCACCGGAACAGCTGTCTTTCCCGCCAATCCCCGCACAAATTTGCTGCACGCCGGTATATCCTGGACCATAGCCTTGGTCGCAGTCAACATTCGGTCGGAGTGGAACGGTCACCTTGAGAAGCTGGATACTGCTGGAGGGAATCCCATACTCTGTGTACCCCCAACCAGCTGTGATCAGCTGGTTTTCTGCGGTGGTAGCCTTATCCCCAATTTTGGCAGCTTTGACGACGTCGTCGAATTTGATGGAAGATTTTAGACGGATTAGACCAATGTCATTTTGAACGTTGTTTCTGTGAAGCATATACAATCTGAGCTATGTAGCAGAAAGTTTAATTCGACAATTGCATAATTACTCACTCGTTGTAATTTTCATGCACGAAGAAGCCCTCGACATCCACGATCTGTTCAGAAGCGTCAGTCTCATTTCGTAAATATTCTCCTGCTACGATTTGATATCCACGTGGCAGGTCTTCAAACATGCAGTGCGCCTGGGTGCAATACATATGAGTTAAAATAGCTGCTTTCGCAATAACGTCAAAATTGAAAATTACCGCCGTTAGAATCCATTCACTGTTCAAAATCGTTCCTCCACAAATATGTCCAAAGCCCTTCAATTGGATGGAAACGAGCCACGGGAATTCGCCTCTTGCGGCGGGACTGCCCCCGACGATCAATGTGCCAGGCCCTGCTTGAATTTTATTTTAATTGTTCAATTACTCGTACTAAATATGGGCTAATGTTTTATAAAGTATTCAAATATACCTCTTCGATCGACCTTAAAACTATGACATATTGTAAAAAGTGTCAGGGCACAGAGGAGAAATGGCAAATTTATCAAAGACATTTGTGAGTACTACACGTATGAAATAAATATGCAAAAAAATATGTGCAACTCTTATGCATGAAAATATATGTATGCATGCACGAGAGGTGAGAGATACTTAATAAAAATTACGATACTCATCTCTGGTTTATGCCGAATTTGATATGGCAGTTTGACTCAACAAGATGCATCATCAGATAAAAGGTGAATACCTGATAAAACAAAATTCTGCTCAATAACTTTATTTACAGTGCTCATATTTAATAATTTTTATTCCAACGGTCTTTATTAAGCACTCTTTCCCGGAAAAAACAACATATCATGACCGTTATGAAATATCAGAGATGGGCAAGATCAAAGTTTTTGGACATCAAGACAAAATATCAAGATAAGTTACGCAAAAAAAATGTCACAGATGAACATAAATCTGTCCAATACTGAAGTTAGAAGATCAAATACCAGATCATAAGATCAAATGAATACAGTGAATGAAGCCGAGATTTAAAACCCTGCCATCCTGAAAATATTTGTTCACATAAACCGATAAATACAGGCACGCGTTTTACGCATAGTTTAGTAATTTTTCGAACACTACAAATATGACACAATACCTATATTAGATAGTTATTCAAAGCTGACAGCATCAACATGGTTATAATTAAGTGTATGTATTTATTAATACTTACCAAAATCATTTGCTGTGATGTTTTAACTTTGGTTTACATTTCACTTCATGGTAACTTGCGGTTGCCGGGCATATAAATTAGTAACGAGTTCAAAACACTCGCATATATGGAAATACAAAAATAGATCGTCGTTGAACAACTGGTATGATTGATCAGGAAACAAATTAAATCTCATGTTTTGCGTTTTCTAAAATACAATTAGAGTATTGAACAAAGGCGAAAATTTACAAAAATTATCAATACTTAGGTTTTAAAACAATACTTTTCATATTTGCGATTTTAATCGTGAACTCAAAGATGAAGATCAATAGAAGACTGTAAAGATAAACTCCGTTTCACGCTGATTGATTGCACATTCAAATAGAATTTCAGCCCGGCTCCAATGTTAAGTAAATGGGCACGTGATTTTGACGGCAGAAATTCCGAGATCACTCAGGAGGGGAGGTTGTGTACTATCAACTCCCGGATCTCGATGCCCTTTGGATATGTTGTAGTGTCCCATGAATGTACAACAACCCTGAAGTGGTTTGATTCCATGGCCACATTTGCGCCCGCCACACCCACTCAAAGGTGCCCAAAAATCGCTTTCACTCCAGCTTTCACTCACTCAAATCCACCTCAAAAATCCAATTTTACTCCGATTTTCAAATTTCTTTCACCATTATACTCCCAGATAGTTGCTTTCTTATTTCCAATATCAAACTCAACTTTTTTGATGATTAATTCGCAGGCATAATTTGTTTTGTTGATTACTATAACAATGCTCATTCAGAATTTTAAATTTTAAAAATACTAAGAAATTCAAAAAGTTGAGTTTGATATTGGAAATAAGAAAGCAACTATCTGGGAGTATAATGGTGAAAGAAATTTGAAAATCGGAGTAAAATTGGATTTTTGAGGTGGATTTGAGTGAGTGAAAGCTGGAGTGAAAGCGATTTTTGGGCACCTTTGAGTGGGTGTGGCGGGCGCAAATGTGGCCATGGAATCAAACCACTTCAGGGTTGTTGTACATTCATGGGACACTACAACATATCCAAAGGGCATCGAGATCCGGGAGTTGATAGTACACAACCTCCCCTCCTCAGCGTGAAACGAACTTTAAAGTTCGAAATTCGGGTCAAAAGCTATAATATTTCTTGGTCTTTGATTTTGCCCACCTCTGTAAAATGTGTATTGAAATCACGACACACTTGAGGACATGACTAATTATGCAATTAATACCTCGTACTAAATATGACGTGCATATACATAAATATGCATATCCATATCACTTTAATGTGTGAGATTAGATAAAAATTAGTACGCCAAGTTGTTCAAAAGCACAAAAGTTAAACAAGCAAGGCACATAATCTATAGAATAAAATTCATACAAGTTGATACATTTATCTGATTTGTAAATATCTGCCTGTGTCAGGTACATAGAAAGGATGAATTTGTTTTTATACATATGTAAATATGTAAATAATTTACACTATGTGTTAATTTAATCACCTCGTTTAATGCGTCCACGAATGTGTCAACTAAAGTGCAAGGTTTCACTCGACTGCTAGATATGTATATTTCAAATTTCTCCATAAAATTTCTCCAGCTTATAAATTTTCATGCTCATCCTCATTAAAAATGCAGACTACATGTAAATCAGGAAGATTGGTTGCGTGCTGGAAACCCTTTTTTACATGACGCCAGGTAATGACAAGGCAAACCGTTGATCCCGAAATACTAAATCTCATGTAGCACTTATTCGATCACATACAATGATCTCGTCATACACAACTCCCTTAGCTAAAGAGAAATGAGTAAGTGATTGGAAATTCCAATTTGGAAGAGATCATAAAGTCCACGAGAAACATTATTTCAACAATTTGGATGAAAAAAATGGAAAAATTCTGGCAAACTAAATACTTGAAATTATGTAATTTAAGTTTTTTCCATGTGTAGTTACTAATTCCGCGAAAGTTTGAATGTTAAACATGCATTCACTTGGTTTACCACAATATAAAAACTTCAAGTATATCTTGGGAAAACATCGCGTAATATGGAAGAGTAGCAAACAATTCATGCTGCCTATACTTTTTGTAGGTTTACACTTTTATTTGTAGTTACAAATTCCCCACGAATATTGGAATATTAAACATGCATTCAATTGATGTATATACCAAATAATTAGTTATTATGTGTATATGTATGCTTTATATCAGTTCCAGAATATAAAAACATCAAATATATCTTTGCAAAATATCGCGTAATATGGAAGAGTAGCAAATAATTCATGCTGCCTATATTTTTTGTAGGTTTACACTTTTATTTACTACTTAGATACTTTACGTACTCAAAATACTAGTTTGCTTAATTTTAATGAAAACCTTGCTACCATCGAAACATACATTAAAGTTTTCAAATTTATTCAATATTTTACAACATTTGGAAAATGGATGCCAAAAATACAGCAAATTTTGTGTGTAGAGCGATAGTACTGCCCTTATTATCTGGGGGTCCAGTCGTCGTACTCTCTACTCGACTAGTTGTCGTAGTCGTCTTCGTGCTGTCTGTTGGACTAGTCGTCGTCGTCGTGCTATCCACTCTTCTAGTCGTCGTCGTACTCTCTGCTTTACTAATCGTCGTCATAATCCAGTCATGATAGTAACTAATTCTCGTGTAAACTCCAGGAAATGCTTGAAGCCCGCATTCGATACCTGGAAATTTTTGGCAAATTTAATCCAATGAATCCTATCGCAAAAACCTAGTACTCAGCTATTTTTGCATACCATATGAAACTATGCCCACAACCGTCTTGTCCCCCGCATTAATCAATCCGCCCCCAGAGTCACCGGAACAGCTGTCTTTCCCGCCAATCCCCGCACAAATTTGCCTTACGCCGGTATATCCAAATTCGCCATAGGCTAGGTCACAGTCAGCATTCGGTCGGAGTGGAACGGTCACCTTGAGAAGCTGGATACTGCTGGAGGGAGTCCCATACTCTGTGTCGCCCCAACCAGCTGTGATCAGCTGGTTTTCTGCGCTCGTCGTGTTATCCCCGATTTTGGCAGCTTTGACAACGTCGTCAAATTTGATGGGAGATTTTAGGCGGATTAGACCAATGTCATTTTTAAGATAATCGCTGTGAAGCATTATAAAATTATTGTTAGCTATGTGTCAGGAAGTTTTAGGTAGACAAATATCTAATTACTCCGGCGTCATGCAGTCATCTTTTCACAGTTTCGATTTCATACCAAAGCCTTTTCATAGTCAGGTATTACATAGTATGCGTTTATACAGTCGCAATTTAAATAGCAAAATGCAGCTATGAATCGCATATCCTAAGAAACTATGAAAGGCGTGACTTTGAAACGCTAACCAAACATAAAATCCAAGGCACTCTATGCATATATTACTCACTCGTCGTAATTTCCATGAACGAAGAAGTCCTCGGCATCCACGATCTGTTCAGAAGGGTCAGTCTGGTTTTGCAAATGATCTCCCGCTACGATTTGATATTCACTTTGATATTCTTCAAACATGCAGTGCGCCTGGGTACAATACATATGAGTTAGTTGCTTTCATGAAAATGCCAAAATTTAAAATTACCGCCGTTAGAATCCATTCACTATTCAAAATCGTTCCTCCACAAATATGTCCAAAGTCCTTCAATTGGATGGAAACGAGCCATGGGAATTCGCCTCTTGCGGCGGGACTGCCCCCGACGATAAGTGTGCCAGGCCCTGCTTGAATTTTATTTTAATTGTTCCATTACTCGCACCAAATATGGGTTATTGTTTACCAAAGTAATCAAATATACCTGCTCGATCGACCTTAAAACTATGACATATTGTAAAAAGTGTCAAGGCACATAGGAGAGATGGCAAATTTTTCAAACACATTTTTGAGTATTACACTTATAAAATGATTATGCAAAACTACAGCTCTTATGCATGAAAATATGTGAATGTATGCACGAGAGCTGAGAGATACTGCATAAAAATTACGATACTCATCTCTGGTTTTATATGCTTATGCCGACTTAGATAATATCTAATTATGGAAGTTTGACTTAACAGATGCATCATCAAATAAAAGGTGAATACTGATGAAACACAATTCTGCTCATTAACTGTATTTACAGTGCTCATATTTAATTCTTTTTATTCCAACGGTCTTTATTAAGTACTGTTTCCCGGAAAATACGACATATCATGACGCTTATGAAATATCAGAGATGGGCAAGATCAAAGTTTTTGGACATGAAGATAAAGGATCAAGATAATCTTCTCATTACGCTAGAAAATTGTCACAGATAAACATAAATTTGTCTAATACTGAAGATAAAAGGATAAAAGATCAACTACCGGATCATAAGATTATATGAATACATATGTACGTATACAGTGAATGAAGCCGAGATTTAAAATCCTGCCATTCTGCAAATATTTGTTCATACAAATCAATCGGTAAATACAGGCACGCGTTACGCATAGTTTAGTCATTTTCCGTGGTTATAATTATGTATGTATTAATACTTACCCAAACATTTGCTGTGATGTTTTAACTTTGGTTTACACTTCACGTCTTGGTAACTTGCGGGTGTGGGGCATATAAATTTGTGACGATTTAAAAACGCTCGCATATGTATGGAAATACATGAATAGATCGTCGATGAACAACTCTTATGATTGATCAGGAAACAAATTAAATCTCATATTTTGCGTTTTCTTGAATACAATGAGAGTACTGAATATAGGCGAAAATTTATAAAAATTATCAATATGATCAATAAAATGTAAAATGTATGTAAAAGGTTTTAAAACGATACTTTTCATATTTGCAATTTTAATCTTGAACTAAAAGATAAAGATAGAAGACTATACAGTTGACGGTTGAAGTTCGAAATCAAGATCAAAAGCTATAATATCTTGGTCTTTGATTTTGCCCACCTCTGTAAAATGTGTATTGAAATCACGACACATTGAGAACATGACTAATTATGTAACTAATACCTCGTACTAAATATCTATGACGTGTATATACGCATGCCCTTTTCACTTTAATTTGTGAGATTAGGTAAAAATTAGTACGCCAAGTTGTTCAAAAGCATAAAAGTTATCAAAGCACATAATCTATATATAGAATCAAATTCATGCAAGTCGATACATTTGTCAATATGTGCCTGTGTCAGGTAGAAATGATGAATTTGTTTTTATACATATGTAAATAATTTACACCATGCATTAATCACCTCGTTTAATGCTTCAATGAATCTCCTCCTAATAAATGTTCATGCTCATCCTCATTAAAAATGCAGACTGGTAAATCGGGAAGAAACTTTATTTACCTCATCACCCTTTTTACATGATGCCAAGTAATGAGTAATGACAAGACAAACCGTTGACGTTGACCCCGAAATACTAAATCTCATGATCATAAGTCTACGAGGAACATTATTTCAAACAATTTGGATACAAAAAACGGAATAACGCAAACGGCAAACTTGTTACAATCATGTAATTTAAGTTTTTTTTCTGTATGTCGTTGTAGAGGCATATTAAGGGAAATGTGCCATGCCGCGTTGCATCGATTTCATCGAATTAAATACAAAAATTTGGAAACAACATTTCCGTGGCAACCATTAATGTAGCATGGCTATTTTAGAATTATTTGAAACCACCACTCCCTTCAGAAATTATGGAAACAAACTGGAAAAAATTAGAAAGTCAATGTACACTAGGTAACAACATAACTTGCATTTGACATTTGACTTGTCCTATGAATACGAACGTTATGATGTATCAAAAGTTTCAAGATTCGAAAATTGGCGATTTTTTTTACCTACACTCTTAGAAATGTATCTAACTTAGCGCTGAGTTGCTTGCCTACATACACTGTACGGGGTATTGATAAGTCTACACAGGGTAAAGTGGCCAACCCTTCACCGGGTTTGCCCAAACTTTACTCTGTTTAGCCAACATTACTTGCGTTTACTCGAGCAAGAGTTGCCAATGCATATCTTACCCATGGCAGAGTTATCTGAGTTGGGCGCGAGGTCGGCTGGTAAACCACAAAGCACCTCATTCCACACTCAACCGCCTTCCGCATACGCTGCGAGTGTCATTTTGGCAGTGGAAATTTATTTATTTTCTGACCCCCATTTAATTTTAACCACCCCCACTCGAAAATGGCAACACAAGAAGTGCAAGGACTTCTACAGCAATTTGGATTACAAGAATCGTAAAAAATTGAGGGTAAATAGATATTTAAGTAATTCTTGCAAATTGTACAATAAATTTTATTCTTATAAATTTGATTTGAATTTTCCGTCTTATTTTCAGATCACCATATTACAGATGACGAATTACTAGAGCCATCGAAGGGGAGAGACGAGGGATGAAATTTTAAAATTGATAAATAATTAATAAAATTTTAAATTGAAATTATGTAAGCAAAATTAAGTAGATTTCAAGTTATTTGCATATACCGCTCTCACAGAAATAGCCCGGTACCGAGTAAGCAGTACTCCTATGAGGGTTACCAATGCGCAGTGCCCTGGCTGGAAGCGTTACTCCGCTGAGAGTAACGCTGTATTTTCACGGAGTAAAACGCGTAACTCTTTTGCATTTAAGCTCCCACGTACACCATAGAGAGTGCAAACACTATTAACTCTGGCATGGATAGAATTTTACTCCGTGTGGGGTTATTTATTCTTACAGTGCGGACAACAAACGCTGAAAATATAGTTCTTCTCAAGGAGAAAGATCTGGCATCAGGTTGTCAGAAGTAAAAGTGCGGGAACCATGAGTTTTTTTAATGATTTATGCGTACACTGTAAGAATAAATAACCCCACACGGAGTAAAATTCTATCCATGCCAGAGTTAATAGTGTTTGCACTCTCTATGGTGTACGTGGGAGCTTAAATGCAAAAGAGTTACGCGTTTTACTCCGTGAAAATACAGCGTTACTCTCAGCGGAGTAACGCTTCCAGCCAGGGCACTGCGCATTGGTAACCCTCATAGGAGTACTGCTTACTCGGTACCGGGCTATTTCTGTGAGAGCGGTATATGCAAATAACTTGAAATCTACTTAATTTTGCTTACATAATTTCAATTTAAAATTTTATTAATTATTTATCAATTTTAAAATTTCATCCCTCGTCTCTCCCCCTTCGATGGCTCTAGTAATTCGTCATCTGTAATATGGTGATCTGAAAATAAGACGGAAAATTCAAATCAAATTTATAAGAATAAAATTTATTGTACAATTTGCAAGAATTACTTAAATATCTATTTACCCTCAATTTTTTACGATTCTTGTAATCCAAATTGCTGTAGAAGTCCTTGCACTTCTTGTGTTGCCATTTTCGAGTGGGGGTGGTTAAAATTAAATGGGGGTCAGAAAATAAATAAATTTCCACTGCCAAAATGACACTCGCAGCGTATGCGGAAGGCGGTTGAGTGTGGAATGAGGTGCTTTGTGGTTTACCAGCCGACCTCGCGCCCAACTCAGATAACTCTGCCATGGGTAAGATATGCATTGGCAACTCTTGCTCGAGTAAACGCAAGTAATGTTGGCTAAACAGAGTAAAGTTTGGGCAAACCCGGTGAAGGGTTGGCCACTTTACCCTGTGTAGACTTATCAATACCCCGTACAGTGTATGTAGGCAAGCAACTCAGCGCTAAGTTAGATACATTTCTAAGAGTGCGAAGTAAAAGTGTGGGTACGAGGAGGTTTTTGGGGTAAAAGTTTCTGAGGGAGTGGCTTATACATATGGCAAGAGCCGTAACAAAATATAGTTACTAAGCAATAGACAAGTGAACTGAGAAATGATCCAGAATCCGAGTCTCACTCTGCCTCTCGCTAAATATGGAAACGGGTTTCGTAGCACATATCTCTCAGTAAATGTTAAACATGCATTCAATCGGTCTACTAACCAATGAGTCATTATGTGCTAATATGCATGCTTTATACAATATAAAAACTTCAAATATATTTTAGCAAATATCGCGTAATTTAGAAGAATAGAAAATAATTCATGCTGTCTATTCTTTTTGTAGGTTTACTTTACACTTTTATTTACTACTTCGTTTCAAAATACTAGTTTCCTTAATTTTAACGAAAAACATGGCTACCATCGAATCCTACATTTTTTAAATTTATTCAATATTTTATAACAATTGGAAAACGGATGCCAACAATACAGCAAGTTTTGTATAGAGTCCGATAATGTTGCCCATATTATCTGAGGATCCATTCGTCGTACTCTCCACTCTTCTTGTCGTCGTCGTACTCTCTGCTTTACTAATCGTCGCCATAATCCAGTCATGATAGTAACTAATTCTCGTGTAAACTCCAGGAAATACTTGAAGCCCGCATTCGATACCTGGAAATTTTCGCAAATTAAATCAATGAATCCTATCGAAAAAAATCTTTGACAATAATTTTTTTATACCGTATGAAACTATGCCCACAACCGTCTTGTCTCCCGCGTTAATCAAACCGCCCCCAGAGTCACCGGAACAGCTGTCTTTCCCGCCAATCCCTGCACAAATTTGCTTAACGCCGGTATATCCAAATTCGCCATAGGCTAGGTCACAGTCAGCATTCGGTCGGAGTGGAACGGTCACCTTGAGCAGTTCGATACTGCTGGAGGGAGTCCCGGACTGTGTGTAACCCCAACCAGCTGCGATCAGCTGGTTTTCTTCGGTGGTCGTATTATCCCCAATCACTCCAGGTTTGACAAAATCGTGAAAATTAATGGGGGATTTTAGGCGAATTAGACCAATGTCATTTTGAGCGCTGTCTCTGTGAAGCATTATAACAGGAGTTTTACCAATAAGTCGACAATTGCGTACTCCGGTCTCATGCATTTTATAGTCATCTTTTCATAGTTTCGTTTTCATTGCAAAGCCTTCTCATAGTCTGTGTTAAATTATGACGTAATGTACACAGATAATTTAATTGTAAAATAATTGGCAGACATTTCTATGGCGTTATATGTAGAAAGTGATAGACTAGAAAAAACTCGATACCGTTTTGGATAATTCTGTAAAGTAAAATAGTGTGCTTGTCAGAAATCAGACATTTGTGATACTGATTAATTTGCGTGGTCAATAAATAGTTCTGGGAGCGTATCTGACTTTTCCTCGAGACAAGTTTTCGTGTATTAATGAGTCAGAGTCTAGATCGGGTAGATTTAGTCGTCTTTCGAAAGTCAGGTATTACATAGCATGCATTTATAATACAGTAAATAGTACAGTAAAATGCAGCTATGAATCGCATATCCTAAGAAACTATGAAAAGCGTGACTGTGAAACGCTAACCAACTGTGAACTCTATGCATATATTTACTCACTCATCATAACTTTCATGCACAAAGAAGCCCTCGACATCCACGATCTGTTCCGAAGGGTCAGTTTCATTTCGTAAATGTTCCCCTGCTACGATTTGATATCCACGTGGTAGGTCTTCAAACATGCAGTGCGCCTGGGTGCAATACATATGAGTTAGTTGCTTTCATGAAAATTTCAAAATTTAAAATTACCGCTGTTAGAATCCATTCACTATTGAAAATCGTTCCTCCACAAATATGTCCACGACTCTTCAATTGGATGGAAACGAGCCATGGGAATTCGCCTCGTGCGGCAGGACTTCCCCCAATGATAAGTATGCCAGGTCCTGCTTGAATGTCAAAAAAATTGTTCAATTATACCAAAGATTGGCGAAGGCTATAGGATGACGCGAGATTTTTAATCCCACTCTACCTCTATTCAATGCCTTTAAATGTAAATTTCTAAAATTGAGTTTCATAAGGTTTGAGATAGGTAAATACAATCTTTGATGCTTTATGTAGTTTTTTAGTTAATTTTGGTACCTTGAACTTGCAAAAAATTGTCTATGTTTTGCCATTTTTCACATTAAATTTCCTAAAAAATAATTTTTTTTTCAAGTTCAAGGTTTTACAGTACCAACCAACAATTAACTTTGCATCTCAAAATTCATGAAGCTGATGACATTTTAGAAATTTGCAAGTGAACAGATTTGACACGGGTAGAATGAGATGACAAACTTATGACGCATCAATGCGTCATTGTACGAATAACACTTTAATCACTGATTAATAATCAGTATGCACCAAAGTATCTCGATTAATTCCATACCTGCTCGATGGACCTTAAAACTATGACATATTGTAAGAAACGTCAGAGCGCAGAAGATAGAAGACAAACCTTTGAAACACATTTTTGAGTAAATTACACGTACATATATACTAAATGTGCACCTCTAGTTTTACTGTTTATGCACGAAAATAATATATTTCTGAATGCGTGTTTGAGAGCTTGGAGATACTGGGTACAGTACAAATGATGATACTCATGTATGGTTGTATATGCTTTAACCGAGTTGCATCGGTACGGAAGCTCGGATTAAAGGATATGCATAATCAAATAAAAAGTGCTTACCTGATAAAATTAAGTCTGCTAAATATGTAATATGTGCATTGTGAGCTAAGTGTGTGCATTAAGTTATCTTTATTAGGTACTGACTGTTTTACGGAAAATGTAACATAGGTACTTATTATGACGGTCATAAAATACGTATGATTAAATCACGGCATATTTGATGAATTGATTAATTATGCAATTAATACCTCTTTCAAAATATGACGTATTTAAGTATGCATGTCTAATCACTTTAACCTGTGAGATTAGATAACAATTAGTACTCTAAGTTTTTTAAAAGCACAAAAGTTAAACAATCAATGTACATATTCAATATAAAATTAAATTTATACGGGTACACCCAGCAAGTCAATACATATTTGCATATGTCATATGAAGCTTAGCTCTGTGGCCCTATGTCAGTATGTGGTTGTGTCAGGCAGGAAGAATGAAGCTTCAGCTATACGTACAAAATAATTTACAAGGAGTGGGATGATGAGATTCACTGTAGACTAACTACTTGATTTTATGTTACATAAATGACGTGTCGATGATTTGGCTGCCGATAACATGATTTCAAGTAATACGATAAGATTACTAATAAACCCTTACAAACGAATATAAAAAAGTAGCGTCAGAACGATCGAAATTTCCTTAAAAATGACATCATATCTGACAATTGTGTATTTTTGACCCCTGACCTCGTCCTTATGGTCATGAGGTCAAAAATATTAACGTCCTTGAAATCGGGGTCAAATTTCCTTTAAAATGACATCCCATATGACAATTAAGTATCTTTTTGACCTGTGACCTCGTCCACAAGGTCATGAGGTCAAAAACATTAACGTCAATGAAATCGCGGTCAAATTTCCTTTAAAATGACACCCCATATGACAATTAAGTATCTTTTTGACCTGTGACCTCGTCCACAAGGCCATGAGGTCAAAAACATTAACGTCATTGAAATCGCGGTCAAATTTCCTTTAAAATGACACCCCATATGAAAATTAACCTGAATTTAATTTTGGACCACACCCCCCGGCGCTGTGGGGGGTGGTCCAATTGACCCCACTTTCGAACTCGGCCGAGAACTAAAAATTAGAAGCAGAATGGCGAAAACCGCGTTTGATTATCTTGACTCGTTCTGGAAATATCCTGCTGACGGACGGACAGACGGACATACGGACGGACAAAACGATCACAATAAGTAGCTGACGCTACTTAATAATGCGAATATTCCCCTCTATGCATGAGGATAATCTATATATTCCTTCCTATAGGTCGAGTGGGGTGGTTGGTTCAGAATTTTTGACTGACAAATATGAAAGACTGATTTGTTGACTAATTGTGCAAACCTTCTTTTCGTATATCTACCTCTGCAGGAGTGGGTATTAATGTCATAAAATATACATATACACAATTTCTATGGTATTCCATTAACAAATTATTTTTTTAATGCATTCCATGCTAAATTCGGTAGGCTTCGTACTCAAATTAAATAGGGAAGAAAACCAGATTTATGTACGCGATGGAGTTTTACTGTTTATAGTCTCATAACATTTATTTTATTGTTACGTACACATTTACATACATATGTAACTCGAATTATTGAGAGTTTACGCACATTTGTCACTGGCTCTTTTTTCATACATGGTCGGTTTAAGCCTGCCCGGGATTGAGGCATAAAGAGAAAGCCCGGCACTCGCCAATCTCACTGTAGTGAGAAGAGCGAGAACCCCGTCAACCTCTCTTCTCACCACCACTACCATCATCATCACCACCAACCGCCATCCCACCATCCCACCGCACACTTCCTCTTGTTTTTATATAAAAAAATTTTTATAATAAAAATTATAAAAAAATAATGGGCCAGAGCGAGGGGGAATGCACCCCCACACCTTCACCCTTCAAGAAAAGCGGAAAAGGTGAGAGAGAGAGTATAAAAATACTCCAATCCCCCTCACCTTCTCAACTCTTGTTTTTTTTGTGCAGAAGCGGCCAAGGGGAGGATCCGCCATAGCAGATCCTCTATCCCCAGCCACCGCGCAACTCATCGCCAGTCCCCAGCAAGGAGCCGAGAACGTGGCGGACATGGAAAAGGTGAGCAGGGAGAGAGAGTATAAAAATACTCCCTCAATCCCCACCCACCTTCTCATATTGTTTTTTTTTGTTGCAGTGACCAAGGGGAGGACCCGCCAAAGCAGATCCTCTACCCCCAGCCACCGCGCAACACGCCACCACTCCCCAGCAAGGAGCAGAAGCTCGACTCGCCAAGAGAGTCGTGGCAAAGGAAAAGGTGAGAAGGGAGAGAGAGCAATATTACTCCCTCGATTCACACCCATCTTCTCAACTTGTTTGTTTTTGTTGCAGCGTCCAGGGGGATGACTCGCCGAAGCAGGTCCTCAACCCCCAGTCGTCGCGCATCTTGCCGCCACTCCCCAGTCAGGAGTCCCAGGACAAGCCGGGACTCGACCCACCGAGAACGTGGTGCAAAAGAAAAAAGTGAGAAGGAGAGAGAGTATAAAAATACTCCCTCAATCCCCCCACCTTCTCAATTTGTTTTTTTTTGCAGCGACCAGAGGGAGGACCCGCCAAAGCAGGTCCTCAACCCCCAGTCGTCGCGCATCTTGCCGCCACTCCCCAGTGAGGAGTCCCAGGACAAGCCGGGACTCGACCCACCGAGAACGTGGTGGACAAGGAAAAGGTGAGAAGGGAGAGAGAGTATTAATACTCCCTCAATCCCCACCCACCTTCTCAACTTGTGTTTTTTTGTGCAGAAACGGTGAAGGGGAGGACCCAATGCTTATAGATATGGCCGTTTATTCCAACGGATGTTTAGGCGTCATTTTTTAACGAAACCGATATTGGATCGGTATTTCTGTGGGCAACATCGTTCCCACAGACATACCGATCCAATATCGGTTTCGTTAAAAAATGACGCATAAACATCCATTTTTTTGTATAATAATTTGCAAAACGGGGTGATGAGAGATACCAATTTTGCGGTAATCTCAACACCACACCATCATCATCATCATCAACAAAACAGCGTGACCACCACCATCACACCTCCTCCTCGATTGTAACCACCGCCACACCTCCTCCACGAGCGTGACCACCGCCACACCTCCGTCTCGATTGTGACCACCATCACACCTCCTTCTCGATTTTGACCAACATCACACCTCCTTCTCGATTGTGACCACCGCTACACCTCCTTCTCGAGCGTGACCACCGCCACACCTCCTTCTCGATTGTGACCACCGCCACAACTCCACGACCGTTACCACCGCCACAACTCCACGAGCGTGACCACCGCCACACCTCGTTCTCGATTGTGACCACCATCACACCTCCTTGTCGATTGTGACCACCGCCACAACTCCGCGAGCGTGACCACCACCATCACACCTCCTCCTCGATTGTGACCACCGCCACACCTCCGTCTCGATTGTGACCACCGCCACACCTCCTCGAGCGTGACCACCGCCACAACTCCACGAGCGTGACCACCGCCACACCTCCTTCTCGATTGTGACCACCGCCACACCTCCGTCTCGATTGTGACCACCGCCACACCTCCGTCTCGATTGAGACCACCGCCACAACTCCGTCTCGATTGTGACCACCGCCACACCTTCTTCTCGATTGTGACCACCATCACACCTCCTTGTCGATTGTGACCACCGCCACAACTCCGCGAGCGTGACCACCACCATCACACCTCCTCCTCGATTGTGACCACCGCCACACCTCCGTCTCGATTGTGACCACCGCCACAACTCCGTCTCGATTGTGACCACCGCCACACCTCCACGAGCGTGACCACCATCACCGCACCTCCTCCACCTCAACCAACGGGATCAAAATGAAAAGCAAGAGAAGATTGCAGTTACAGAAGGCGTCCAAACAACGCTGGGAGGACAATGTTTCCGAAAACAAGGAGGAAAACCAGATGGAATTGTCAACCCTACCGGCGACCTCACACTCTCCATCGAAACAATTGAGAACAATACATTCTCCGTCGAAAAAATTAACATCCATACACTCTTCACCGAAAAAATCAACATCCATCCTTTCTGCAAAACTCGAGCCGAGGAAACTAGTTCTCCGTCGAAGTCATCCTCTAAAATACAAATGCTATGGAAAACGTAGCGTGCCTACGTCATCGGTATCCGAATATATACAGGATCCTGTCGCAAATGATGTCCCTGTCGGGCGACGCCTAATCTCGATTCAGTCTCTGAACCAAATAATGTCTTTAGCTGCTGATCATGGAAGACAATGCTCATTTCCACTTTTGCAGATCGTAAAAGAAATTCGCAAAGGACTTCAGTCGACACTGACGGCGTCTTGTGAAACTTGCATGAAGCTGTTTCAGTTCAGTAATGACATTGGACCCTGCACTCTTCCTGTCAATGAGGCTGGCGTGTGGGCAGGGCACACCAACGGGGGAGGATTCACAATAATGAAACATTCCTTGACGGCATTGGATCTCCCTTTCATGGACAGCAAAACTTATACAAATCTGGAAAATAGGTTTTCAAAACAACTGCATAGCGCATTTCTCTCAGAGTTGCAACGAAATGGAGAGGAGGAAAAAAGAATGGCTATTGAACTAGGCCAGATTGACCACGATGGAGTTCCATGGACAGATGTCTTAGGAGATGGTCAATGGAGCAAAAGGTCGTTCAATCAACAAGGCAGAGCACTGTCAGGATCGGCCGTACTTATTGGATTGCTAACCAAGAAACCACTCTTCGTAGGGGTTAGGAACAAAGTTTGTTTCATTTGCAAAACTCAACCAGAGAAGGAACATGAGTGTTTCAAGAACTGGGACGGATCATCTTCTGCTATGGAAACGAACATTATTATGAAAAGGTGAGAGGTGAGAGAGAGAGTATAAAAATACTCCAATCCCCCTCACCTTCTCAACTCTTGTTTTTTTTGTGCAGAAGCGGCCAAGGGGAGGATCCGCCATAGCAGATCCTCTACCCCCAGCCACCGCGCAACTCATCGCCAGTCCCCAGCAAGGAGCCGAGAACGTGGCGGACATGGAAAAGGTGAGCAGGGAGAGAGAGTATAAAAATACTCCCTCAATCCCCACCCACCTTCTCATATTGTTTTTTTTTGTTGCAGTGACCAAGGGGAGGACCCGCCAAAGCAGATCCTCTACCCCCAGCCACCGCGCAACACGCCACCACTCCCCAGCAAGGAGCAGAAGCTCGACTCGCCAAGAGAGTCGTGGCAAAGGAAAAGGTGAGAAGGGAGAGAGAGCAATATTACTCCCTCGATTCACACCCATCTTCTCAACTTGTTTGTTTTTGTTGCAGCGTCCAGGGGGATGACTCGCCGAAGCAGGTCCTCAACCCCCAGTCGTCGCGCATGTTGCCGCCACTCCCCAGTGAGGAGTCCCAGGACAAGCCGGGACTCGACCCACCGAGAACGTGGTGGACAAGGAAAAGGTGAGAAGGGAGAGAGTATAAATACTCCCTCAATCCCCACCCACCTTCTCAACTTGTGTTTTTTTGTGCAGAAACGGTGAAGGGGAGGACCCGCCAAGGAAGATCCTCACCCCGCAGCAGAAAACTCCGCCATCCCAACCCAGGCGCCACTTCCACCTTCCACGCGGTCTACTTCCCTCGGCCGACGTTGCCGGCCAAGAGGGATGAGGCTCGCGTGAAGCGAGACCCTGGAACACCGCCCCGGTGCCCCCCCCAAAGGACGACGTTGTCCCCTTCGGAGGAGACAACGTTCATTATAATTTTTATGAAATAAATTTTTCTATTGTTTTTTTTTAAATTTTATTTTTTTGGGGGATGAGAAAGATAAAGCAGAGAGAAAAAGGAGAAAGAAAGCACAAAATAGAGAGAAAGCAAGCACAAAAAAGAGAGAAAGCAGAGAAAGAACGAGAGAGAGTGAAATAAAGCACAGAAGAGAGTGAGAGAGAGAGAAAGCAAGCACAAAAAAGAGAGAAAACAGAGAAAGAAAGAGGGAGTGAAATAAAGCACAGAAGAGAGAGAGAGAGAGAAAGCACAGAAGAGAGAGAGAGTGAAAGAACACGCAGAGGACGCGCTCCGTCGAAGCGAACATGGCACCCACGATGGCGAAATTTTTCGCATGGCTCATCCTCGTCGTCCTCATGTCGCGAAATACTTCTCGTGGAGTTTGTTGTTTCGCATCTGCGCCGGTAATTGTGGGGTTGACGGAGGCGGAAAAAAGGCCGATGACACCACCAAAGGCGTAGCCTGATTGGAAAGTACAATTTTATGTTTCATAGAAAAAAAACACGTGCTTTGGGAATATTTTTATGAAATTTTTCGTACTCTAACTAACTTGCCGAAAACACAGCTCATGGCACATTTGAAAACACAGCTTTCAAAAATGGCATCTATCATTTTCTCCTCGCTCGTTTTGATAACGGCAGGTCCATACGTTCGAGAAATAACGACGCCTTGACGCAACTTTGGTTCTGAGCTGATAGGTCGTAGCATTGCCGTTTTGAACTCTTCTGCTGATAATGTGATGTTCTTCGGGGTAGGGTGTTGAAAAACATGCTGAAAGAATGGGGTCAAAATTTTAGAATTTTGTCACCCAAAAAAGGTGACGAAATGAAAAAGTAAGTTCAGTGCAATTGTAATTGTTCGACCCATAGATTTATATATATACCCAGAAGTCTCAAAATCGGTTCTGCCAAAAAACGATGTTGTATAAAACACAACTAACCAGACGTAGCCCAACTAAATGCAAATAGAAAGTGTTATAAAACTACATCTTTCTGTAAGCATTATTTTGGGCTCCATCCTTATGTGTTCATTGAATGCTGGGCCCCCAGATGGTATTATTCCAGTTCCATTGTAGTTGGTTCCTGTTATCTTTGTGCCAGTAAGTCTCCCTGTAATTCGTCTACGTCCATATCCTCCACAAAGGTTTGGCGTGTCCACTTGTTTCTTGTGCGGCTCCATTGTAGTCGACGCTCCTGCCTTTTCGGCTTTTTTTGCTGCAGCAGCTTCAATTGCAGCAAAACGATATGGTGGTTGTCTGTAACCCAAGTTCCTTTCGTACCTAGAATCGACAATTTCTGGTCCCAAGTCCTCATTGAAAAAAATCGTAAGCTTCTCTCTCATTCGTTCCCAGACCTTCAGGGTTTCATCGTTCCTCATGACTCGGATTATGAGTATGTGCCCCTCCGGGACAATGGGGATTTCTTCTTGGGTGGCATCCGACGTTGTTCCACCTTGTGTCCATACGACGACATCACAAAAATCCCTCCCGGTTATATGAAGCTGCATTACAACCTGCTTGTAGTAGTGGTGAGTTTTTAATAGATGGTATTCAGGTCCATTAGGTCCATTAGTCCTAATTATAAATTTTCCCTTCTTCCTGTCAGCGACAGCCGTAGGCAACAGATTTCTTTCTATGTAGGGGCATTTTATCTCTAGAATGCCGTTTGTCCCAACTAAAGCATCAGGACTGGCTGCTAGTCCTCCAAATTCCAACGAGACAAAAAGCCCTGCATTTTCGACAACAGTTGAAGTCATTTTCCTGTAAAGTTCCCGTGCCCTGCTTTCGTTTGTGTGACCCCACGCAATCTCGGGCTTTCCGCTCAGATCCAGAGAATCTGGTCGATAACGCTGACATTACTGGTTGAGTTTTTCAGTCCGGCGATGGTCCCTGCTATGCTGGCTGTTATCATTCCGTGTCTGTGCTGCACGTAGGTAGGGTTGTCGAATTGTCCAACAGTGTTGCTATGCAATTCCCACTGCTCCTCCTTGGTTTCTACACCATGCTGAACTAAGAACTGCTGAATCCGAAATTGCATTTCTTCCTCGGGAAGATCCTCGCGCTGGGCGTTTGGACCATCATCTTTATCACCTTCTGGTTTTCTTTTGCTGAAGAACTGGGGTGTATTTCCTTTGCCGACGTGGTATTGTCGGGGACGTTTAGCCTGTGGGCGGGCTCGCCTGGCAGAACTAGTTTTCTGTTGTGCTTCCCGTGCCCGTAACCAAATTGAAGATGGTTCCCTTTCTTCGATCTTCTGGTAGAGGTCAACATACCAGGTCGGTCCATACATGAAAGAAAATGTCGCCTCTTCAACCTTCCTGTTATACCCGCCCCTAAGGATATTATTAGTTCGTCGGCCTTGAGCAAATTTGTTGACATGGGCCTGGAAGGTCTCCGCAATATTGGTATTCATCCTATACAGCAATGACACGGAAAGTGTGGCAAGCCTTCCAGTGATGTCCTCTATTTCCTTCCATAAAGCACCAGTAAAAAAGGCAGAAGGCGGATTCTTTAGAGTCCTTGCTGGTGACGGGTCTTCCTTTCTGTAGCTTTGTGGGATAACAATTTCCCCGTTATTGCACATTATTTTTGAACATTTTCTGTGGTCCCCAAATATATGTCTTGGCATTTGAATCAAATCCTCAGCCAGTGTGTCAGAGTTCGTTCCGTTTGGGCGTTCCTGGATGTGTAACGCTATCAGATAGTTCGCGTATTTGCCAAATAGATGAACACGGTCTTCAAGACAGTCTCTGTGAAATTTTGGGTAACCACTGTTCCTGTTGCTATTTTTGATGGCGAGGAGTAAATTTTTATTCATCGCTCGGATTCCGTGAAGGTAGCATTGAATTTTCTGCACACAAGTGAAGTAGTCCTTATTTAGGTAGGTATCCTTTATGCCTTGATATACACTCGAGTCACCATCCCCTACAAAGCGGCGGTAACGAATCCCATGCATTTCAATACTGCGTTTGAAGCCTTCCATAATAATGTTCGTTTCCATAGCAGAAGATGATCCGTCCCAGTTCTTGAAACACTCATGTTCCTTCTCTGGTTGAGTTTTGCAAATGAAACAAACTTTGTTCCTAACCCCTACGAAGAGTGGTTTCTTGGTTAGCAATCCAATAAGTACGGCCGATCCTGACAGTGCTCTGCCTTGTTGATTGAACGACCTTTTGCTCCATTGACCATCTCCTAAGACATCTGTCCATGGAACTCCATCGTGGTCAATCTGGCCTAGTTCAATAGCCATTCTTTTTTCCTCCTCTCCATTTCGTTGCAACTCTGAGAGAAATGCGCTATGCAGTTGTTTTGAAAACCTATTTTCCAGATTTGTATAAGTTTTGCTGTCCATGAAAGGGAGATCCAATGCCGTCAAGGAATGTTTCATTATTGTGAATCCTCCCCCGTTGGTGTGCCCTGCCCACACGCCAGCCTCATTGACAGGAAGAGTGCAGGGTCCAATGTCATTACTGAACTGAAACAGCTTCATGCAAGTTTCACAAGACGCCGTCAGTGTCGACTGAAGTCCTTTGCGAATTTCTTTTACGATCTGCAAAAGTGGAAATGAGCATTGTCTTCCATGATCAGCAGCTAAAGACATTATTTGGTTCAGAGACTGAATCGAGATTAGGCGTCGCCCGACAGGGACATCATTTGCGACAGGATCCTGTATATATTCGGATACCGATGACGTAGGCACGCTACGTTTTCCATAGCATTTGTATTTTAGAGGATGACTTCGACGGAGAACTAGTTTCCTCGGCTCGAGTTTTGCAGAAAGGATGGATGTTGATTTTTTCGGTGAAGAGTGTATGGATGTTAATTTTTTCGACGGAGAATGTATTGTTCTCAATTGTTTCGATGGAGAGTGTGAGGTCGCCGGTAGGGTTGACAATTCCATCTGGTTTTCCTCCTTGTTTTCGGAAACATTGTCCTCCCAGCGTTGTTTGGACGCCTTCTGTAACTGCAATCTTCTCTTGCTTTTCATTTTGATCCCGTTGGTTGAGGTGGAGGAGGTGCGGTGATGGTGGTCACGCTCGTGGAGGTGTGGCGGTGGTCACAATCGAGACGGAGTTGTGGCGGTGGTCACAATCGAGACGGAGGTGTGGCGGTGGTCACAATCGAGGAGGAGGTGTGATGGTGGTGGTCACGCTCGCGGAGTTGTGGCGGTGGTCACAATCGACAAGGAGGTGTGATGGTGGTCACAATCGAGAAGAAGGTGTGGCGGTGGTCACAATCGAGACGGAGTTGTGGCGGTGGTCTCAATCGAGACGGAGGTGTGGCGGTGGTCACAATCGAGACGGAGGTGTGGCGGTGGTCACAATCGAGAAGGAGGTGTGGCGGTGGTCACGCTCGTGGAGTTGTGGCGGTGGTCACGCTCGAGGAGGTGTGGCGGTGGTCACAATCGAGACGGAGGTGTGGCGGTGGTCACAATCGAGGAGGAGGTGTGATGGTGGTGGTCACGCTCGCGGAGTTGTGGCGGTGGTCACAATCGACAAGGAGGTGTGATGGTGGTCACAATCGAGAACGAGGTGTGGCGGTGGTCACGCTCGTGGAGTTGTGGCGGTGGTAACGGTCGTGGAGTTGTGGCGGTGGTCACAATCGAGAAGGAGGTGTGGCGGTGGTCACGCTCGAGAAGGAGGTGTAGCGGTGGTCACAATCGAGAAGGAGGTGTGATGTTGGTCAAAATCGAGAAGGAGGTGTGATGGTGGTCACAATCGAGACGGAGGTGTGGCGGTGGTCACGCTCGTGGAGGAGGTGTGGCGGTGGTTACAATCGAGGAGGAGGTGTGATGGTGGTGGTCACGCTGTTTTGTTGATGATGATGATGATGGTGTGGTGTTGAGATTACCGCAAAATTGGTATCTCTCATCACCCCGTTTTGCAAATTATTATACAAAAAAATGGATGTTTATGCGTCATTTTTTAACGAAACCGATATTGGATCGGTATGTCTGTGGGAACGATGTTGCCCACAGAAATACCGATCCAATATCGGTTTCGTTAAAAAATGACGCCTAAACATCCGTTGGAATAAACGGCCATATCTATAAGCATTGGGTCCTCCCCTTCACCGTTTCTGCACAAAAAAACACAAGTTGAGAAGGTGGGTGGGGATTGAGGGAGTATTAATACTCTCTCTCCCTTCTCACCTTTTCCTTGTCCACCACGTTCTCGGTGGGTCGAGTCCCGGCTTGTCCTGGGACTCCTCACTGGGGAGTGGCGGCAAGATGCGCGACGACTGGGGGTTGAGGACCTGCTTTGGCGGGTCCTCCCTCTGGTCGCTGCAAAAAAAAACAAATTGAGAAGGTGGGGGGATTGAGGGAGTATTTTTATACTCTCTCTCCTTCTCACTTTTTTCTTTTGCACCACGTTCTCGGTGGGTCGAGTCCCGGCTTGTCCTGGGACTCCTGACTGGGGAGTGGCGGCAAGATGCGCGACGACTGGGGGTTGAGGACCTGCTTCGGCGAGTCATCCCCCTGGACGCTGCAACAAAAACAAACAAGTTGAGAAGATGGGTGTGAAACGAGGGAGTAATATTGCTCTCTCTCCCTTCTCACCTTTTCCTTTGCCACGACTCTCTTGGCGAGTCGAGCTTCTGCTCCTTGCTGGGGAGTGGTGGCGTGTTGCGCGGTGGCTGGGGGTAGAGGATCTGCTTTGGCGGGTCCTCCCCTTGGTCACTGCAACAAAAAAAAACAATATGAGAAGGTGGGTGGGGATTGAGGGAGTATTTTTATACTCTCTCTCCCTGCTCACCTTTTCCATGTCCGCCACGTTCTCGGCTCCTTGCTGGGGACTGGCGATGAGTTGCGCGGTGGCTGGGGATAGAGGATCTGCTATGGCGGATCCTCCCCTTGGCCGCTTCTGCACAAAAAAAACAAGAGTTGAGAAGGTGAGGGGGATTGGAGTATTTTTATACTCTCTCTCTCACCTTTTCCGCTTTTCTTGAAGGGTGAAGGTGTGGGGGTGCATTCCCCCTCGCTCTGGCCCATTATTTTTTTATAATTTTTATTATAAAAATTTTTTTATATAAAAACAAGAGGAAGTGTGCGGTGGGATGGTGGGATGGCGGTTGGTGGTGATGATGATGGTAGTGGTGGTGAGAAGAGAGGTTGACGGGGTTCTCGCTCTTCTCACTACAGTGAGATTGGCGAGTGCCGGGCTTTCTCTTTATGCCTCAATCCCGGGCAGCTTAAAAGAGAGTTCAGTCCGGCGATGGAGGAAGCTGGTCGGTAGTTTAGCTTCACGAAGCTGCGAAATAATTATAAATTAACTTAAAGCTGGATAACATTGTAAAATCTGTCATTGTTGAGAATTGTTTAAAAACTTTTATAGAAAAAAACGGCCGTAGTCTGGTTCAAGCTAAAGTGTAGAAAGATTTTTGTGAAAATTGTTGTAAAATTAAACTGCACGAATTTTACCATGTACATAATTTACTAACCACTGGATGAATTGGGTCAATTTGTTGTTTATGATTTATTATAATTAGGAATTATGTACTGTTGGTCGTGTACCGCTTTGCAGGAATTATCGGGATTGTGACCGCAGTTAAGAATCCAATCGTGGCGAATGATCCGGGCATGGCGTGAAATAAGTCCGACTCCTTGTCCTACAGTGTAAACAACCCAACTAAAGTGAATCAAATTTATTTTATGGAATACCTCAGAAAAAACTGACCTTGGAACATGTCACGACACTGCCGTCGGCAAGCACAACTTCATACGAAAGCACCGTCTCGTGAAAAAGACCCCGTTTATGAGAACTGGACTCAATTCCCACGCCACAGATTAATCCGCCTGAAGTTAATTTTGTCAAGTTTACAGAACTCAAAAAAGCAGTATTTACGTTGCACTTACCGATCGAGAGCGAGTCCAATTCTGGTACAACGGGGATGGTCCACCCCCTCTTGAAAAGATAGCGAGACAATTGACCAATTATCACACCTGGCTCGACTGTGATGGACTTGTGCGGAAAAAATAATCTAAATCTCTGCAATTTATGCATTTCAAGAGATTTACTATATAATTTACTTCTTCATTTTCCTTCCATGTAATAATTCGATCGAGCCCAATATGAACTTGGAAATACTTGGATTTGTCCGTTTTCGTTAAAGAAATGTTTTTCCATCCTGGCCGAGCAGTTGTCATTTTCGAACCTCGTCCACTCTGTATCCAAACTTTGACCTGCTCCACAATTTTTCCCACTTCTTTTTCATGACGCTTTAAGCTCGTTTCCAACCAAAATTCACTTTCTAAAGAGATATATCTCCATATCCGAATTATCGGACCAAATATCATGAATAGTGGAAAAGCGACAACTTGAAGGAGAATTATGTGCAAGGCGAGGAACATTTTTAGAGAAATTTAATACAGTCAGGATTATTTTGAAGTTGACCTATGTACCTGTTGCCAAGTTGAAACGTACAGTGATAGTGTGTAGTTTGATATTTTCCATTCATATTGAATACATAGGTTTTGGTAAACTCCAAGATGATTATCTATTAATGGGTGGAAACCTTTTTATGGAAATGTCTTGCCGGTCCTGTCGATCTGTCCGTATTCATGATTACTTTAGACCTGATTCGAATTTGGACATGCGGTCTTCACAAGCGTACTCATAATTTTTGGGGAGGGGTTAAGTTCGAAGAGGGAACTTTTAGGCGACATGGTCACAGTGCCACGGTGAAAAATGTGGAATTTTTAGTTTCAGACCTAGTCTGGGGTGGGGTGAGGATTTCAAAAATCTACATAGTTTTGACATACGACGACCCCGTGACCTTTTGAACGGGGTCAAAGCTATAAAATGTCAAATTTTTAGTTTCGAACCATGCAGACGTTAGTTAATATAAGGAGAGGTAAAGCATACAAATGTGAAATGTATTCCATGCGTTTTCACACCTTTGTTGCATTTCGTTTGCAAAGGTTCGTTATGAGAAGTATGGTATGTATTTATGCAGTCTCCAAGTTATTTGTTTGTATGGTAGAAAATGCGTATGCATATGCATATGTAACTGTGCATACATACATATGTATGAATTGTAGTTTGCGGCAGTCGAATGAAAATGGCTGGAACCGATGGGAGTGAGATTTTATCGATGAATAATTCCCTAGGGTTTAAAATTTCTTGCATATTTATTCCATGTAACAATCCAGAAGCATATCCAGCATTCATACTTGTTCCCTGCAGCAATTCAACAAAACGAATTGTCTTATGGAGCAAGCAATTAATTAAATACATTAAGCAATATGTTTAGTCTGTAGTTCGTCAAAAAACCATGTTCCTCGTGGCTTGTCAGTTGCATACATGCATATAATTTTTGCGCATTCCTTGTCGCGAGGACGTCGTTCTTTTGTGCCAATGAGTTTCCACTTACTTGCATGCTTGTGCTTACTTGCATGGGAAAACTTCTGAGTATTTATTTTCTCACTTACGTTTGTGAGAAATTAACACGTGAATGATGCAATTCTATCCGCTCAGAAATATTTTCTGAACAAAGACACTCATCACATGCCATTCTGAGAAATCTTTGGGATAAAAAAATTATTTTGACTGTTACTTCTAATCGTAGGATATCGTATGTACTTCCATAAAAATGGTAAGACTACATAAATAGTTCCCGGAAGCTTTAGTGAACTAAAACACTGCTGTGTATACATATGTATCTGAGTTCAAACTGGCAAAGAGGAAAATTCATAACAACACAAATTTTTGGTCTCCATCGGACTTGCATGCAAGCGAAATTTCGTGACTAAATTTTCTTTGATGCATGCCCAACCACAAAAATCATTTTCTTAAAGGGTCGCAGGGCTTATGAGTCATAAGCCCCCCGACAAACATAGCCGTATGTAAATATTTACGTGCATGCGTACCCACAAGATGCATCAATTTCAAGAAACCACATGACATGAATAAGGGGATAAGGAACCTTCGGGAAATTTCAACCGTAATAAATTCATGCCAACGCATTACATCATACACACTAAAAAATTCCCATATTTTAAACAATGCATTCACTTTCTCCTCTCAATTACATCACTGTTATGAATATACAACCGCACATAATAAAACAATGCCCAAATTGCATAATAATTAAATTATCAATCAAATTTCAAACTCTCACCAAATCACCTCACTTTCATTTCGCCCGTCACCATGACAACGTCCGTGCCTTACAAAAGTAAAATTTTGCCCTTCCTCCTCCCCCTCTTGACATTACTTCCCCAAATAAGTGCCTCCGCCCAAATGTGCAAGTATGGGAAGTTTGTCGGCGGTTTCAATGACGAGGATTGCGTCTGTTTGGCATCTCCAGGAATGTAATTACGTACAAAATTAACAGTCATTTTTAATAATTGTTTCCGAACAAATAATTACATTTCTAAAACAAAAGTCTTATGTTCTTAAATCTTTAATCCAGTTATTCTATCACAACATCTTCAAACAATTGTCTGGAGACGGACATTAGGGTGGTTGCCATGACGACGAGTACATATTGTTACGAAACAAGTAATCGAGAGAAACATTTCTTTCTTGGAGAAGTGACCGGAAAACCGGTCGCCATTGGGTACGGGATGGACGGGAGGAAGGTGGTGGAACCCGAAAATATTGTCGGTCTTGCTTTCTCCGGAGGTAATAAAGTTTCGTAACGATGAAATTCATGCAGACCTTTGCAACCTAGCAAATTTTATAAAATTGTAAGCTGAAGATCTTCAGAATTTAAATTTTCATAGGATGAGTTACAAATAATGTAAATTTACATATTTACATGTAAATTTGGTTCGCTTTGTTTTTGCAAAATTTCGTAAAATATGTAATTGTGCACAACTTAGGGGCCGTTCTTAAATTACGTAACGCTAAAAATTGATTTTCTCGACCCCCCCCCTCCCCCCTAACATGGCGTACATAGGCACGATATCATTGGGGTCTAAACCCCCTCCCTCCCTTCAAGCGTTACGTAATTTAAGAACAGCCCCTTACTTCCTGTTACAAATATCCTACTCGATTTTATCAATATGCATGCACTAAAATTGTATATAAACAATAGCTTAAAATAATATCCCAATGTTTCTAGAATCCGCCTGGAAAATCAAAACTTCAATTAATGGAAAAGACAAAGAAATCTGTGTCGCAGTAGGAGCAAAAAGTTCAATCTGTCAGTGGAATTTAAACAGCGACGCAGTCTTTAAATTTGTCTCCATCGACGATTGCGTTTCAAACGAAAGTTTACTGTGTTCCAAAATTTTTGACGAGGAGAAATTCTGTACCAAAAAGAAAATTGAAGAAGAAAACGATCAGGAAGAAATTATTTTGACGCGTTACAAGCGTGACGCAAACGACACGGCAGCAGGAGGAGGTGAGTATTCTCAAATTTATAATCAACGCTGTTTTTGCCTATATAATTTGCATATTTGTAATTCTAGGAGGGAATGGGACTGGTAAGCAAACAACAAATTATCGACTTTTTCCACGTACATATTCTTACAGTGCAACAGATTGGTAGTGATTTATAGCAAATTGTTCGCGAATTTAAAAATTGTTACCATTCCGGTAGTACCGTAAGAATGTACTTTTCCTGGGAATCCATTATTAATAACGGTAAATTAATGCTTAAAAAGGTCCAGCCATCGACCCCGCCTTAGACGAGGATACGCCACTCGCCACCCAAGAAGAAATCGGCCATGAACTCATGCGCACCCAAATCGGACGCTACATCCTCGCCACCACCGCCAACCTAGTCGGCATAACGACGGATCCACGTTCCATAGAAAATCTACAGCGTCGCTATCCCATTCTCAGACTTTTAGAGTTGGCCAAAGTAGTAATGCAGGTATGCAATAGAAATAATTAAGTATCCCCGCCTTAAAAATAATTTAAAATCCATCCTCCCTTTCAGAAAACTTGTCCCGCCATCACCCCCACTTTCTTCACCATGGCGACCACAGCATTCATAAACTTACAACTGGAAACTTTCCACCTGCGCGAAACGTATATTTCCTACCCGGCCTTTTTACGAATCCAGTCGGCCTTAAAGAGATGCGTACAGGATGCAAAACCACACGTTTTCTATAAAGAGAGAAACGTCACGACAATCGGCGGCGGCGGTGGCGGAGAGACAAATGGCACAAATTCTACGGGAACAACACCCTCCGTTCCGGTCGAGTATTGCGAAGGGGCCGATGACGTAAGTCTTCATATACATTTCAAAAATTTGGGAACATTCAAAATTTTAATTTCTTTTGCCCCTCAGTTGATGTACACTTCCAATCAGACCCTTCGCCTTCTCGACCCGACCGACCCTGCGCCATCCATCGTGAACGTCACCGTTCCCGAATACGCGACCGGAATTCGGGCCGGTAACGGATCTGGCGTCGTGATTAATGAACCGTTGACGGAAACCGTTTGGAAAATGATGGTCAACGCGCATAGTTATTGTTACACGAGATTCTCAGACTATTACAATGACCACCACACCTTCACAGTCACCATGTTGCCGCTTTTTAGCAACGATATTCAAGACATTTGGTGAGTACAATTTGGCACAATTTATTTGGCACCATTTGCAATTTTTATTATTGCAAAATATGTTTTAGGCTAGGTAAGGACGGTGCCGGCTATGACTTAAGCTCCGGCCTGTTGTATGGCGGTCTCCTCGGCGATGTGGCGAAAGTTCTGACCGACATAAATAATTGTGTCGGGGCGTCACGCCATGATGGCGTGGCGTATCCATGGTTTCTCAACATGCCCGTGAAGGACATGACCAACACGTGGCTGGCTGGTCCGAGTGGGAGGAGGAAGCGGAGCAGTGCAGCGAGTGGGTGGAGCAGAGGGGGCGAATATTGTCTCGAGACGGTGAATGACGTGGAAAGTGTGGGATGTGGGTTTTAATGGCAATTAATTAATTTTTAGTGCAACTTAAATGCAGGACATTATAATTATGTGTAAAATAAAAAATAAGTTTGTATGCATGCTGAAACATACTTACGACATAATGCTTCCATGAAATTTTACCAAGTTTTAATTTAAATTTCATGTAATTTAAGATTAGTGATGTGCATACAAAAAATGTGAGGTTTGCATGAATAATTTTTCAAAACTATAACAAGAGTTTTAAATCATCAATTTAATTTATAACATTATGTCAAACAGACCAAGACATTAGGAATGCAGTATGTTTATTAATTATTCAATTTTTAGCTATTTGCATTAACTATCGAAGTTAAAATCATAAAGAAAGAGTAACAAAAAAGAATAACAAAATCAATCTCGAACGGATGAAAGCCTTCAATAAATAAAAAAAGTCAATTACATGGGTGAATTAAGGTGAAAGAAATCAAAGTAAAAAAAATCATGTTTGTCGAGTCGACTCCGTCCATATCCAAAAATTCAGGTCAATAAGTAGTTCATTTAATTTAATCTGAAGAAACTTGCTCAGTCTGATTCTCTGATGATTCGCGAGTCTTGTTGATCCACGGGTTGTGAACATTCGGGAACATTCTTGCAATTTCGCCTAATCTGTCAAACAGCTGACCTGATTCCGAAATTGCTTTAGTCGGGAGGTCGAGATGTCGCAAAGTTTTGCAAACTTGAAATCCTGCATCGCCATCTTCTCCATGTCCGAGGGGCAAAAATACATCGAAAAGATAATCATTTGCGTTCTCATTCCTCCTCATAAGAAAACCTCCATCGTTGTACCCAAACTCCAAGGATTTAAGGGAAGGGAAATGCTTGGCGTACGAGATGTCATTATCTCCATCGAATGACACATCAATTGGAAACTTTTCTTCTTCATATTGCTCGCCCATGGAATCCATGTCCACGTGGAGTTTTTTGAGCGAAGGAAAGATTGGCAGGCTAAGAATCGTATTGCTCTTTACACAATTTCCAAGCGTAATCTTCAGTGAGGTCAAAGTCTGGGAATGGTTCTGAAGGAGTCGTCCAAATCCGAGGTATTGTGGTTTTTTCCAGTGTTCAAGTCTGCCAAGATTCATTTTTGTTAAGGGTTGCTGCAATTTATTCAGAAATTTGAGCCCTTCTGGTGTAAGGTTTTCTTGGATGGTAATCTCGTCCAAGTTTTGGAATGGTGTAGCTTGGTTATAGAATGTTTCCAAAAGTGGGGAGGAAGTGTCCAGAATAAGCACGCGTACTCCTTGGACGGCAGAAATTAGTGGGGCCAACCAGGTCAGGGAAGAACAGTCATGACTGGGTCCACCGTCGCCTTGAACATCATAGTGCCCAACATTCATCGAGAGGACGAAGGTTTCCAAGTTTGTGAATTTAATACTTGAAGGAAATCGATACCCTCGTCCGGATGCTTTAATCGTACTCCAATCCCAGTTCAACTCGAAATGCTGAATAGTTTGGGTTGGACACATTCCCAAAATTTTGATTTGCGTATTATAGTCGAATTTAGACGCAATCTTTCCTGCAAGCCGTAACCATGTAACGCTGTGCGTCTTCAATCCGAGAAACCAGTGAAAATCGGCGATGATTTTTTCTCCCTGATCTGGGCGAACCTCGTGCAGATAATCTTCCAAGCCGATAGAAGGGATAGCAATTTGCCAGCATGGGATTGGATTATCCTGCATTTCGTGATTGTATCGGAACAGTTTTGTGGGATCGTCCAATTTCTTGTAACCGAGTAAAAAATCGAATTTCACGTAACTCTTCTTCCTAATGAGGCGGAGAGCTTCTCGATTCCAAACTTTTGAGACGAAACGCACATTTTTCAGATCATCGAACGGAAGATATGACAAAATGTGGGGCACCACCTGGATGATGAACAATTACAGAATTATTAAATTGACCAAGACAACGGTGTATAAACCTATTAATTTACCAATTCGTCCAACTGTGGAGTAAAACCTGCTTCTGTCTTCTCGACATGTTCCAAATTCAGGTCATCATCGCCTTCGCTCTTACTCGTTTTGATCCTTTTCTCTTCAAGCTCCTTCTTCCAGAACAAATCGAAGTCATATTCTCTCCTCTACAAAAATAGTGAAATATAGTAATACTTGCAAACTCAGTTAAAAAAATTATTGTTGAACTGTAATGAATTAATAGCATATGTACCTGGAACAACAAAACGAGACGATGAGTACTTTCAAAAGCATCCAAGGCAAATTTAGCCCAGCCAGGCAGGTCATCCTCGTTATCAGTAGAAGGAAAAGGGATAAAGTTATCGTGGCTCTTCTTCCATTTTCCCAATTCCTCTGGAGTGGCAGGAACCCCCAAGGATAAATAATCGCCAAATTTGAGCTCTGTTCTGTCCTGAATTTCGACATCATTCACGGCAACCACCTCCCCCTGGAAAAGATGAAAATATATAAATAATTTCTACAAAACAACCTTAGTTTATCTTATTTTTCTTACCCTCGATAATAATGGTGTGATCCAGTACTTATTTTCGGCGCAGGTGATCTCACAAATTGGCAAGTTTCCTCCTGTTGTAATCTTTAGTTGATCCTTCATGGGACGTTTCCAGAAAATGAATTCCCCTTGTTCTTCCCCATTGGTGAAGGTCTCTCCAATTGTAACCTGCAAATAAGTACAAAAACACCAATTCAAAATGATAAAAATTATTTTAGAAAATTTAAATTTCAGATGAAATATGTATATTGATTGATGTTACCTTTTGACCTTCAATATTTGACAGAATTGCGAAAGGTTTCCATAACTTCCCTCCAACTTGTCGAATGAAACTTGGCAATTTTCTCGGCATTCCGGCAAACATACAACATTTAAAACAGAAACAGTACGGCACGCCTCTAAAGGTCCTGCTGAGCAGTTCACCATCGAAATTATCCATGGTCGAATAATTAACCGTTCGGAAAATAAAACTTGTAATTTTGCTGGGGTGTGAGAACTGCGAACTACAAACTAGACTCGCCAACGAATGACGAAGAAGACAACGAATTTGCCCGCTTGCTTTCATCTGGTGTTCCCGGCCGGGTAAAAATATCCCATTTGACCTCAAATTTTGTCTCATTTTGTCTCATTAGGTAGTTTGTATAAACACTTCCGTAAATTGTTACCGGCTTACTAACAGAGGTCACCACATGGAAATAACCAACTACCAGCTCAATGGTAATCATCCCCACGCCGAAGCATATCACCACCAACACGGTAAAAGACCCGGTAGAGTCACGCTTATCGCTGGATTTCTTAGAGTGTATTGTTTGGGCCCACGGTATGTCAAAGTTAGTAAGTATTAAACAATATTATGGCATTTTTGAATGCTTCATGTTTTAATATTATAAGCATGTCCTTCACCTAAGTTTGTTTTTTAACATTTATTTATTCATAACTTTTCTCTGAAAGTCGACAATTCTGCTCATTGAAAAGTAAAATTAATAATATTACTTACTTCTGGCTATTGGTAAATATGCGTATAAGTGAAAAAATGTATTATTTATAATGCGTCAAAACCAAAGGGTCAAAATGTCTACAATATTGAATCTCTTCCCACCACCGGATACATGTGCAGGACGCCGGATGTTATGAGTAAATACTTCATTGGTTAATGTTCGATTGTTTATTCAAGATGGCGTACAACATTAACCAGTAAATTAAATTTAGCACACTAACTAAGGTCAAAGATACAAATACTTCATATAATACTTATTTATCCATTAGGCTAGTGTTTAATTATGCACACTAAGGACAAGGATACTTCGTATAATATTTATCCATTAGGCTCGTGTTTATTGATTTTATGTAAATATGGATCTTAAAGCATGTACATAAATATTTTAAACACGTAGTAATTTTTTTCATATAATCATACATAAGATCGATAAGTTGACTCATTCATCTTTTACCTGCCTCCTCATTTACTACACGTTTCTCTTGATACCAATGTCAAAAATTGGCTTTCTGCATATATTTTATAAAATAACTAATTAGTAATAAAATGCAATCATTACTCTTAAAAGTTGAATAATTTAGATTTCTCCTGTAAAAATGTATTCAACCCTCATCCTCCCAATCATGCGACGTCATTTCAATCGAATTCGCTTTCTCGGCTGCAACCCACTCGAATTCGAATCACCCACGAGCGATAAACTTATCAAAGTCAAATCTCGTAAAAAATTATACATTCAATGCTTTATTTCACTTTTCTATTGTCTCGTTTTGCTACTGATTCTCATCTGGGGTCAATTCCCAATACCAGAAAAGTTGCAGGGCTTTGTTTTCCTTACGTGCAACTTCATATTTTTGGCAGGACTGGGTAACCCAAACTTGGACATCGAACCAATTCAAATCGCCAACTCTTTCGTGTCTTTAGAGGATAATCTTTTAAAACCAGGTATTATCCGTTCATTTACTCCCCATGTGACCACAACTTTAAAAGGCATATTGTGATAGGGCGAGTATCTACATGTCATATATTGCTTATAAACTATGTAAACAGATGCTTATACATACACTCACTCAAATATATTTATGATTTGTTTCTATTAAATATATAGATCACGCGTCCCGTGAGAACAAACTTTTGGCAAAAATAACTCCAATATTTATGGAAATTCTCTGTTTTTCGACATACTTGGTACCTGTTGCGGAGATTGCACTGCTAATCAGGGATCCCTACATGCCTCCATTTCTCTGCTCGATATTAAAATCATACCTGACAAGTACCAGCAAGGTATCATGCATCTGCATCGTAAAAATTGGCATTATTAGTTTCGATGCTTACATGCAATTTCGTGCATTCTGTGGTGGGAGTATTTGGATAATTTTCATTTTCTTTGCTGGAGTTGTCGCTTTGCTGAATTACTTACAATTTGTGGAGAGGTAACTAAACTAACTATCTTTTGAATTAATTCTTTAGCTGGCACGATTACTTGAAGGATATTGGGAAGTAAATTCGTACATATTTCATTAACTCAATTAGATAAAGCTTCGTCCAAAGTTAATGTCATGCTCATGATCATGCATGCATGAAATATTTCTGAACGAAGCTTAGCTTAAGGTGAAATTGGATGACGACATTCCTAACACCCCTATTCAAGTTGGACTTGAATAGGGGTGCCGCCCCATAAGCATGCATGTATAGTTTCAATTGTCATCATCTCCTTCATTTCTGCATCAAAATTAGTGAGGTGTGTTGCAATATGAGCTTAATTTATAGGTGAACAAACAAGTGTAGTTGAAATTTGCTAGAAATGAATTTGAGCTGAGATAAATCCTTTCTTAATTTATTAACCTAAGAAAGGATTTATCTCAGCTCAAATTCATTTCTAGCAAATTTCAACTACACTTGTTTGTTCACCTATAAATTAAGCTCATATTGCAACACACCTCACTAATTTTGATGCAGAAATGAAGGAGATGATGACAATTGAAATAGTTTTTATTAATTTTTGTCGAGATTGGGGTAAGCTGACCCTGCCAAGCCCACGGCGGATAAGTCATAATACGTGAGTTTTACTTCATCACGAGGAAGGGGCAGTTTATTGTCATGCCCAGGACTCATTCTAGTTTCTTTATTTCTAGCGTCACAAACAAGTCGATTTCAAATTTCAAATTTTTCAAATTTGACAGAGGTACACCTTCGTATCTGTGTCAAATTTGAACATTTTAAAATTTGAAATCGACTTGTTTGTGAAGCTGAAAATTACATTTTTAAAACATTAATCAAAATTAAAATTAATTCAAAAATGAATGAGTTGATTGCAATTTAATCTGTTTTTTTATCATTTTTTTCCCAAAAATGGGGCAAAATGGTACGCCACGAAGCGTGGTAAATGTGGTTGTCTTCGCTGTTTTTTCCCATCACAACCAAATCTTCATCATCAACTAATCAAGCTTATCACCGAGTTACTCTCCACAAGCTTATCATCTCTCTCCACCAGCTTACCGAGTGGCAAGCTGGTGGAGACACTAAAACCACAAACCGGTAAGAAAGTCTTATCTTGTCACGAAGCAGTGACCACGAACCACGACCCGACTTCCGTTCGTCAAAGAAGTTTTACTCTTTGTTCACATCTGGTAAAGAACATTTATAAATTTCAAGTCAGGAATTTAATAATATTTGAATTACTATATAAGATTGAAGTGTGACGATGGCCGTCCCTGCAAAATTCCTGGTAACCCAGCTCTCTGATGAGAACTATAATTCTTATTTGTGCGAGAAAATTCAAGAAAAATGGGACATTTTAGAGGTGGGTCATCATATTCATCAAGAAGTCATCAAGAAATTTTTAACGAATATTCGTTTGATAAACCGGTGGAGAGTAGCTTGGTTGATAAACAGATAAGCACGAGAAACTCAGGATTTTTTGAATTTCGCGGTGGAAGGGTCCACTTTTTGTAGGGGTGTGGGGCATTGTGTTACATGAACAGTTTAACATTGTGCAAAAGGCCCCTTAAGTGCTACGATGTTATGCAGCTTGATGGGGATGGCCATACTACAGAGAATTTGGATGCCATTAATCTAGTCAGATGATGGGGAAAGATATCGAAATGCTACAAGAACCAAAAGATTCGTAAGTTTTTCACCCGAAACCCGAATCGAGTGTTTTTTTAATTCGAGAAACGAAGAAATTGGTCACAAAAATATTAGTTTGGTTTTGAAATTTTTTGAACTTGTTGAGTATTTCATGTTTTTGATTTTTTTGTGTCCCTCCAGCTTCCGGTTTTGATTATTATTGTTACTCATTGATAATTCGACAATAACCTAAATGAGTATAAAAACAATGCAGCTATGTGCGTTGAAATAATCATGGCACAGTTCATTTCGAAAGCTGTAATGATTCATTGAGTTGGATTTAATTTGCGTTTATAAATAAATGGATGTACAAATCCAATAGTACAAATTTGATTATAAGACGAATTATTATTCTATGTATTTCAAAATAGTCGTAACTAAACTTGTTGAATAAAAACGTTTATATTACATGATACATGTACGTATTTACAGTAAATAAAATACATATAACCAACTGGTACATACCCATGAATAACAAACAAATAGATTTTGTTGTAAAAATTTGGAATAATGAGTGCCATTAAAATGTGATTCAATAACATTTCATCCCCCACCGGTCTTCCCCACAGTTCGTAGGTAAAATACATAACTAGATACACATGACTTCGCAATTTTCAATCAAAACGAACATAAATTTCCGAATTTTATATCCAGTAAAAAACAAGAGAACATTCAAAATAATAATTTGAATGCTGTATAAGTAATATATTATAAATATATTATAAATATATTAGATATAAATATATATTATATTTTTTCATCTATTATATGGAAAATTAGGAATAAATAAATGTCCTTAATTTTTCGATCATTTATCATTTTCGGTTTTAACATTCGCTAGCAATTTTCGAATTTCCTTCAGCATTTCCATTTCCTCGGAGGGATCTGGAGGATCACAATTATTATCAGTTCCATTTTGGGGACGTTTGTCCACCTCGGAAGGGAGAAGAGCTTCGATTCTTGCCTCCAACCTGGTCGCAAAGGGAACCCAAAATTTAGAAAGTTGCTGGACATCTTCATCGTTATCAGAGTCCCAGTCGTCTTCATCATTTATATTTGAATGGCGCGATAAGGCCTTCACCAGGACGCCGTATTTCTTGGCATCTCCTAAAATCAAGCATGTATTATACATTTAGTTTGCAGTGACGGAAAAGTCACACACTCTTAAAAATTATGAGTGTATTCAGGTCAAACTTCGAATATCGTAAATTGAGCATGGCAACACAACTTGCAAAATTTGCGAGATTTCGCAAAACTTTTACTTGAAAACCATTGGATTTGTTGCGATGAAAAATATGACTTTATCATGAATATGTTACCCTCTCGAAAACAACATGCACTTCACTCCATTTCTACATTACGTAAACTATACTAAATCCAGAGTAACTTGATAAACTTCAACTTGATAAAGAGAAAAGTTTGCTCTGACTGGATTTGGTATGTATACATAGTTTACTTAATTTAAAATTCAAAGTACATTTTGCTTTTCAAAAGGGTAACATTATTTTTAAGAGTGTGTGACTTAAGAAAAGCGAGTGCAGAAAAAACAGCTTTACCCAAAATCCCTTTGATGTCTGCCCCCACTCGCTCCACGACTTCGAAGTAGGAGAGCAAAAGGGTGTACTCGTCAAGATCGTCGTCTTCCTCGGGCCAATATTTCAGCAAATTTGTGCAGGAATAGAGATCCGTGACGAGTCGGACCCACACCACGCCCAACTCATCTGAATCCACGTTACTCAAGCAAAAAACTTGCTTGACGAAAGTGGCCGACATCGATTTCATAAATGCAAACAAATTGTACCGCAGAACCTCCGCAATTCCAAAGAACTCGCTCACAGCTTGCGTTTCCTCATAGATGCTGTCAAACTTTTCCTCCGTTTGTAACACTTTGAACTTTTCTAGGATTTCTATAAACGTGTCGACGTATAATTCCTGCCGATTCTTGTCTCCCAAAAAGCTGCAATTTGAAATGTGAATGCTGAAATTGTTAACTTTCTCCATAAATTGTGACCCATTCTCAATTTCCGTCATGCAGAAGAAGTCTTGCCACGCAAACTTCAAAATGGTCCAGTCCATCCCAGATTTCGCAAGGGCGGGAAACAGTTTCAAGAAGTTGGACTTATTTTGACAAATTTTCAGCAGTTGTTCCAAAGGTTGAGTGTCGTCTTCGAGGAGGAGAAATTTTTCGAGGAGGTTTTCAAAGTGGTCAGTCTTAGGAAATAAATCTTCTTCGTATTCCTCCACCACGGTTTCCAGGGATACGAGAGCGTTCGCCGCGTGGGAAAGTTGTGGGTCATTTTTTCCCACATTTTTGGACTTGGTGAGAAACAAGTGGCTCCGAAATCGCCAAAATTCTCGAGACTTGAACCAGTCTTCATGCTCGAAAATGTCATTGTCACCATCAGAATCGCCAGACAAGAAGAAGAGAAACATGCTTACACCACGAGGACTGACACATTTGGAAATTTTGTCTTGTTTCAGGTCGAATTCCAACCCGACATCGTCTCCATCGTCGTTCCCGTTATCGTTGGATTCATTTTGCAAAAAATTGGCAAACGCTTCCTCCACTTGTACGTCTACACTTGCCAATATTCTCAAGCTGCTGATGAACTCGATCGAATCATCGGTGGCTGAATTTCCGGGTGATGACTCCTTTCTCCCGTGAAACAAGGTGACCCCATTGTCCCGCAGAGTGGGGCCGAGAATTGTGGATATGACGGAAGGGTTGATCTCCTGTCAAACGTTTCACACACATGATTTACATACCATGATTTATACACGTACAATAGTTACACGCTATGATTTACACTGTGTAAATCATGGTGTAAACTAGTGTTCGTGTGTAAATCATGGTGAGTAACTTAACTTTAAAAATCATGATGCTCAAATTGATGGTAAAAATCATAGTATGTAAATCATGATTTGCAAATCATGGTGTGTAATCACCTCATTAGTGCACGGCAGAGGTAACACCTTGCCCATTTTGTCGCTGCCTTTCCATTCTTGGATTATTTGGAAAAAACTGGGAACAATGTTTTTGAGCGTGGGGGCCCTCGGAAGCAAAGCAGACTTGGAGTGATCCAGTTCTATTTCCAAGTTGTAGATTAAGCAGGATCTGACCCCGGACAAGATGCTGACATGATTCTGGTCAAGGTGCGCATAGTAGGCGAGAGAATATTGAGCAGACCATCCCTCTCTTTTCGTCATGCTGGCCGACATGTCGAATTCTTTCTCCTTTCCGTCATGCCGGAAGTGGAAGTTGCCGCCGGTGTAGTGAGAGGGCAGTTGGATGACAAGATGGCCGAAAGGTGCCGACCTTTTCAAAGATTCTTCACCGTTATTATTATCAACTTTGTCTGATCCGGTGGTGGTAAACAAGTGGTCCAAATTGATGGGAAATTTGCTTCCGGGTTTCTGGAAAAAGACTTTTTGTAAAGAAACGGAAATGTTGTCCGTGTCAACGAAACCAAATTCGGTTTGAATATCGTCTAACAGATTTTCCTCGAATGTAGACCAGTCCTCGTTATTCATTATCTGAAAAAAATCGGAATTAAGCACAATTAAATAAGAACTGAGGGGGCATTCATAAGTCATGTAGCGCGAGAGGGGGAGGGAGGGTCTAAGTCTCCAATGATATCGTGATGTCACACATGTTAAAGGAGAGAGGGGCCTGAAGGCCACTGAAGGGATCTAGATAATAGCGATTTTTGTGATACGTATAACTTACGAAGGGCCCCTAAAACTAACCAACATCACATCACGTAATTACACCTTATGTTAAATATTATTATAAATAATTAATAAAAATAAATTTATTACCTCAAACTGTGAAGCTGCTAATTCCTCCATCATTACTTCATCCTCTTGTAGCGGAAACTTAATCAGTTTCCCAGTCTGTAAAAGAAAATTCTCAGGTCAAAGTCACGCCAAATATCAACATAAATGAGTCATAATTTATCACTTCAAGATTAAAGTTGAAAGTCGAATCTTAAATTTATACTTGTGGTTGAATGAATTAAAACAATTACCTCGATAACTCTTAGTCCAATCGGCGGAACATCACGTAGTTTAGTTTGCACCACAAATTCACCAGATCTCACGGAAGTCGTGAATTGGTCGAGATACTGCGATAATTTTACTTTAATTGGGTCGTCCAACTCCAATTTTAGAATTTTGGAAGGTGGCTGGTCCATTTCGGATGATGACGAAGAGGAAGAAGACGACATGAAAACGCTCCGGCGATTATTATGCACCATCTACTTAAATAATATTAAGGAGTAGAAGGTCACTACTTGTCGGGCCCCGATTTCGATCTCCTTTGAATATGTTGTAGTACTACATGAGTGTAGAAAAAGTGAAGGAGGGTTAGACTCCATGAGCCCATTTACGCCCGCCACACCCCCTCAAAGCCGCCCAAACCCCCAGAGTTGCCGCACTAAAATCATCGCCAAAAATCGAGTTTTGGTCAGATTTTCAAAAAATTTACATTTTTGTGATCCCAGATAGTTGCTCTATTATATCCAATAGCAAACTCAACTTTTTTGAAATTTCGATTTTTTTCAATACATACCCTTGGTCAGAAAATTTTCGAAAATATTGAAAATTTCAAAAAAGTTGAGTTTGCTATTGGATATGATAAAGCAACTATCTGGGATCACAATAACGTAAATTTTTTGAAAATCTGACCAAAACTCGATTTTTGGCGATGATTTTAGTGCGGCAAGTCTGGGGGTTTGGGCGGCTTTGAGGGGGTGTGGCGGGCGTAAATGGGCTCATGGAGTCTAACCCTCCTTCACTTTTTCTACACTCATGTAGTACTACAACATATCCAAAGGAGATCGAAATCGGGGCCCGACAAGTAGTGACCTTCTACTCCTAAGTAAATAGTACTTAGGGGCTGTTCTTAAATTACGTAACGCTTGAAGGGAGGGGAGGGGGTTTAGGCTCCAATGATATTGTGCCTATGTACGCCATGTTAAAGGGGAGAGGGGGGGGGGGTCGAGAAAAACAATTTTTAGCGTTACGTAATTTAAGAACGGCCCCTTATTTAATACAGCTTAATGCTAAGTTAGCAACAATGCTAAGCATGATTAAGTAATTAAATTCACCTTAAAATTCCACTATCAAAATTTATGGCAACCCCGGCTGACGCTGAAGAACTTCTTCAGAAGAAGGAACAATGTAAAAATACACACAAAAAAGTACCCATGAATGAATCAGCTGCGAAAAACTCCGGCCGGCTCATTCCCGATTTTTGGTTGACGGGTTCTGTCTGTTGCACACCGGGGCCTTTTGAGGCGGCACGTGACAAAGGTAACATGTGTCCTCTTCCCTGCATGCTAACATTTATGCTTATCTGCTCAACTTATCTGCCAGTGCGGCTCGAATTTTGTATAATTTAATCATCAATCTTCCTTATGTGAGTCAGCTTCATTTCCCCCTACCCGTCGCCCCACAAAGTTTACCCCACCACCCTAATCCTAAGTTCTTATAGGAAAAATACTTAACTACACGTATGATTTCGCAATCAATTCAATTTCAATTTACCTTTATTCAAGTGTTAATCATATTCAGTCGATCAGACTGGTTCATTTACCCTCCCATCCATGCATTCGGCCATCCTTTATGCATTCATACATCCATACATTTAGATTCATTCATTCATTCATTCATTCATAAATTCTTTCTTCCACCCGAAATTCTTTCATTCTAATCCTAAGTATCACAAATAACACTGTTACCTGTTTGAAGGATAAAGTTGAGCTGCAACAATCATGTCAATTTCATCCTTCAAGCAGGTAACAAAATTATTTGTGATACTGGGCATAAATGTATCTTAGAGGGGGTTAAGACTAGGACTTGCATCCTAGTTTCCCCAAAGGTAATTTGCTCAACTTTATCTCCAGTACAAAAATACGAAAAAATTCAAAATGTAAGAAAATTTGAGAATGCATAAACCCATAGGAGTATTATGTAAACGAGTTAATGGTTGAAGAGGAGAGACGGAAGGATGGATGAGATCATATCATAAACAAGACATTAAAATAACGATTCCACATTAGTTGAGTATTTTTTCGTATATATTATTTATGAAATGATGCCCGTCTCAGTCTGTCTACAATTTTTGCAGCGATTCACAAACCCATCAGCAATTCCACGTGCTCAACTTCTATTAGCAGAACAATACACATCATATAAAATATGAGTTTCTATGTATGTATGACGTACAAAATCATTTTTGTAATTCAACTTTTTCATACAAATGTAAATCATTATTGCAAACACATTTGGCAGAATAAATTCTTTTATAAAAAGTCCTTGCAATTTTGTAGAACCGTCACCGTGAAGTAGGTAACCATATTCCATCCGGATTCCTTACATATTTATATTTATTTAGTAAAACACAATTCTGGGTAAATATTTAAATTTTCTAACCTTTATGTAATGACCAGATTAAAATTCACACATTTTTTGGGATTAAACCTCCCTGATTTAAAAATTTATTACATGGGTCATGAGACCTGTATATCTGCATTACAAAATAAAAACTCAAGTATTCTCATGATTTCCTTGTAAAATTAAATTAAAAAATATTCTGCCAGATTTTCTTCAATCAAGTCATTGTGGTGAGGCAGGTATTTATTTGGATTGGATAGCCTTTAACGTCACTAACTCAGATTCTGTACAGTGTTAAACTCTAATCGAGTTCTAATTTTTTTCAGAATCTTTGACTCAAAAATGAAAACTTTACTAATTGTTTTTCTCGCTTTAGTAGCAACATCACTTGCTGCCCCGAAAGAAATCTACCCGAAAATTTGGCAGAAGCTGGGAAAGATTTAATAAGCGACGGTAATTTGGAACGATCGCTTGGAAATGGCGATGTTGTGGACGCCCTAAAGGTTGCAGATTTAGATTTGCAACAAGAAAATGGGTGTGGCTGCTGGCGAGGATAAACTTGTTGGAATATTAGGCAAAAGATTGGATCAGTTAAGATTTCAAAAATTAATATTATTCGACTTGCGCTTATCTTCCACAAACAAATCAAATATAAGTTTGCCAACTTTTTAATCTGGGTGAGTATCGGTACATATTTTTGCACTTGGTTTTTGAATGGTTCACAATTAATTGGGGTAATTTCTATTTTTTAGGAACACAATTCGACTTAATGCTTAAAATGAATTAATCGCGTAAAAGTTTTATGAATAAATTTGAAATGATGGGCATACAAATTTCAGTGTAAAATTATTCGCATCGAGAGTTATTGGGGATGGAACTTGCATAACTCACTCACTGTAAAATAAAAACATTGCATGGGGTGGTAAAAATTATGAATTTTTGGTTTGGTGGGTTGCTGCATATTATCATGTCATTTGATGTCATACATAAGTATTTGGTGGACCAATGACACAGAAGACTAATCGGAATATGATCGCTACTTTTAGCACCTAATTATGTATGCATGATTGTCAATAAATTAACATACTAACGTTTCACTAGTCTAATTTCAACGTTTCCATATTTTCAATTCAATGATTTATACAACCTCGCAGGTGTTAATGTCGACAGAATAAACCAAAGCCTTGACACGTGCTTACTCTTCTTTTCATTAATTTACAACGCTCAACATTAATCCATCCAATATTACACAGATAAAATACAAATGCATTCTATTATTAGATTTTTAAAACAAAAGAATTCTACAACCAAAATCTTCCACATAGGTATGTATCTGTAGACTTGGCATAGCCCAAGTTGGGGATTTTCTCGTCTCTTACATGCATATTTTGATATTTTCCAAATATTTGATAGACATTTTCAAATACGATCACAATATTCTGCGAATCACATATTAAATACCTAAATATGTTATTCCTGTTGTTAGTGATATGCAAATTATGCACTATTTAGATATACTCGTATTATACCATGATGTAGAAATTTATTTTTATCAGACATGAAAACCAAAACGTTTAAAGATACAAAACTTTCGCGAGTTTTATAATTTTTTGATACTCGTAATGTACATATGACATAATTAGCTTACATCCACATAACCAGATTAAAATTGCTGAATTAATTTCATTGCAAACCTGAAATGCTGAAAATATTCCACCAGACGTTCCTTATTGTCAGTGACGCTCCATTGACAGTTCCATTCTTCACTCATCCGCAGCCTCGATACACCTCAATTTTCGGAAACCATGAAAACTGTGCTTGTCATTGTCCTCACCTTTTCTTTGGCTGCAACATCCTTAGCCGCCCCGTGGAGAAAATTGGTGGAAAATCCGTCCGACCTTGTGGACGACGTGGATCTTGGGGGTGATTTCGATGGGACCAACGATGCCCAAATTGTAGGACCTGTCCAATCTATTGGAGATTTTGCCGGTTCAGCAAGACTTAATTGTTGCTGGATTAATCGACAATAGGGCAAATGCAACATTATTTTATCCTGTCGTCCACTTAATATTGGTAGGTTTATCAACCTAATAAACTAAATAATATGCATGTCTTATAAGAATTTATTTTTGTTTATTTTGCAGGAAATTGTACCCCTAAAATTTTTCCCAATGTGTGAATAGAGAAATAAATCATAAAAAACTCTTTATCAATTAAGGTCTATTTTATTTTTGAATTGCTGATGCGTATATCTGGTCAACGAGTCAAATTGTGCTTGCTTTTATAAATCTTCTACGATCGGTAACCTGACGTCAACTGTGTCCCTTGCCTACCACGCTTCGGTGATGTACCGTATAAAGCCTGACCTCACTTTGCCTCTTTATGTCACAAATATAATGTCGTAATATTATTTCGGGCTTACATAAGGATAAACATTCATTTATAGTTATTAAATAATTATAAATAAATAGGGGGGTCCATGCTTGTAAACAGATTAGTTTATCTCCAGTGTACAAATGTACATATTTACATATATTTTAATTGCCTTTATTCATTTCTTTTCACCACGATAAATTAATAAAAACCTATCAATTTCTAGAAGACCGCAGCCAGTTGCATGCTCAAATTATTAAACAAGTTATCGAACAATGTGTGTGTGTATATATGTATACATATGTACATGCATTTATATTTACATACCTATTTACGTATGCAATTGAAGAAACTGTGAGTAAATTTGAGTTCGCATTTGAGTGTATTAAATAGTCAATGTCGCATTTACTTGCGTAAAAATAATAAAATTATTCCCCAGACAATTCTACATACTAGGGTTGCCCCGGGTAGTGCTACTACCCGGTACCCGGCTACCCGGTACTCGGCCTAAAATTTTTGCCGGGTACCCGGCTACCCGGCCGGGTAACATATATATTTTTAAAATAACGGGAATTTTTCTACTTTTTCTTGAGTTTGCAACAATTTTATAAGCTTTAAAAATTACAAGTTACATTTCTACAGTGCAGACTTCATTTTCAACCTCCATACCAAATTTCAGATGAAAGTAATATTTTTTAAAAATTGGTATGGGTCACCTTCTCTATGGTTACACTCACTATGGTTACACTTTGCTCCCCCAATCCACCAATACGGCCCCCACAGGTCAACTAGGTGACCCATGTAGCCTATCTTGTTTCCTATATCTTTGTCCAATATGCATTTGGTAAAAATGTCAACGTCTCAAGCTAATAATTCGAGCTAGAACGTGGATATTACAGAAATCCAAGAATAATGTTGGACACACAAAGAGCGTACTCACGACATCATCGCAATCATTTAGCAAACTTGTTTGGCTTAAAAAAGTTATTTCTTGACGGGATTCGTATCACCTCACAAAACAAATTTTGCGAGACTTTCGAGGTGATATCCTGCGAATCGATTAGCAAGATAGCACTTCGAAAGTCTTGCAAATCAAATAAGTCTATTTTGATGTCATGGATGTTCGAAATTTTTCGGTGATGATCCCGAAGATGAGTCTGCGAAACAGTGTTACGAAAAAAATATAGCTTTTTAGCAAAAGCTTTGAGAAATCTTGTAGATTTCTAAAAACTTCGCAAGTCATGCCTTATGTGCAAGATATGCAAATTCATTGATTGATAACTCGTTGACGTGAGTGCGCTCAAAGTAATTTTAAAATTTGTATGGTAATTTCCAAATAAGTGCTGGCCGAGGTTGTACCCATTCTTTCCAAATATATTATTTTATATCAAGTACAAAATTTTGAAATCCATCGGATTATATTTTTGTATAATTTTGCATTTTAAGTAAGAAAATTGAATATTTAAATTACCCGGCCGGGTAGACCGGGTACCTAAATATACCCGGCCGGGTACCGGGTATCCCAAAACAGGCCGGGTATGCCGGGTACCGGGTAGCTACCCGGTACCCGGGGCAACCCTACTACATACTCTTAAAAATGTTGGTTTCCTAAACATTCGTATTTACAATAACTCGAACTAGATACATACATATGTATGTGTGTACATAATATGACCCCTAATGTTATGTACTTACAAATATTTATATCAAGAATTAAGCACAATTAATCACAAACGTAATTCTCACTGTTAGACTAACTTGTGTCCAGATTTAATGTCCCTCTAAATTAAACTCATTTGCGCTTCGATTAATGTTCTTATTTCGGAAACGTATCCGGGATTTATTCCTCTTAACGCGTTTCAGGCTCGTCCCATTGTACAACCCTTTCGTCCCACCGACATCCCCTTGACCTCGTGTTGCGTCAACCATTGGTAAATGTCCTTCATCCAGAAGTGTGAGAGAATTTGCCAGGGTTTGGCATAGGACCAACACCAGTGCCAAACATGTCCAATAAATGTTTTGCATCTTTTCAACTCTAAAAACCATTTAAAAAATAACGAATAAATTTGTGATACATTTTTTGCAATTAAATAATTTGCATACCTTTTTGATGTTCCGAAGAGAGGTGTCCAGCACGAAATTGTCAGAGTTAAATTCTTAACTTTATTTTTCAAAATTGTATCACAATTTCCTTCGTTAGAGTTTAAAAATAATTTCAAAATCGTACTTGAAATATTTGTGGAAAAAAGTGGAAGTTCACTAGATCAAACTGTGCCAAATGCCATCCGCATGTTCGGTTTTATACTTTATGTTAATTATTACTAATTATCTAAACAACAGTTCGCCAATTAAGTTGAGCTGCATAAAGGAAATTAGTTCACACTAAAAAATATTTTGGATTTGTTGACCGAAAAAATTACCTGCAATTAAATCAAATACCTGAATAAATTGTCCTATAAGATACTTTGTTTTAGAGTTGTAACTCGCTTAAAAGACTTTACTAATTGTTTTATTATTAACAATAAAATAATTTTAAAAAAGCTTGCTTAGGCGAGGCGCTGCTAAAAGTGAAAAACAAGGGCATATCTTTTAAATATCTCGTACCTTTATCATTGTAACAGGAGTTGGTGGCTTTGTCTCACCGCGAGGCCAAACATTTTTACCGTTTACCATACCACGACGTTTATTACTTACATTTACTGCTAAGAAATTCAATTATTGCTAATTAAAATTGTATCTATGTATGTATATATCTACATAAATGCTTAAACAAACGATTATTGCTTCGAAAGGGCTGTTAAATTGAGTGGAGCTTGTAAACGTATTATGCGAAGGACCAATATAATCAATAATGTTTATTTAGCTCATAATTTAATTCAAGAGTTAACCAATAATTCAGGTAGCCAATAAAATTTGATGGACGTGCACAATATTCCGCAGGTGTTATTCAATAAAATAAGGTGCTGACACTCGAATAAGGAGGACTTCACGCGAGGATGTATTTTCTAATTTTATTTACATAGTAAAATAACTAGTTTTCAATACAAATTAAAAAGTGATAAATGATAATTTTGAGAAATTCGTGAACCCAGATTAGGTTCTTGCGAATTCTTGAGAATATATTCTTTATTGCTAGAGGCTTGGCGTAAAATTTTTGGCCTCGCGGTGATGCAAAGCCACCAACTCCTGTTACAATGATACAGGTACGAGATATTTAAAAGATATGCCCTTGTTTTTCACTTTTAGCAGCGCCTCGCCTAAGCAAGCTTTTTTAAAATTATTTTATTTCATGGATTTTAGGTGATGCACATTTTCAGACAATTAATTGCACCTCAAACTTGTTAAACTTTTTAAATAAAGACCGAATGTCTTGAATCTTTTTCATTACAAGATTAGTTGAAAATACGTACAGGGGGTCGCAAAATTAATTTGAAAGGGTATTAAGAATTAAATAATTTAAATTTTTAAATTAATTTAGCAGAAAATAATTTTTCAGATATTAGGTTTTACGGGGATTAGTTATTTCACGAGAACAATCTGGATTAGGGAGGAAGATTACAATTGGCCAATTAATTTGACAAATTAAAATTGCGTAACACAACTACTTGTATTTGGAAAATTGTTATATTGATAGCTAGTAGCAACCAACTAGGAATATTATAATTCTGATGCAGAATGGTTAGCAACATGAATGGTTTCAGACGCTTCCATCAAAACTTTTCCAGTTTTGGACCGATCTCAGTCGGATTTGTTTTAAATGACGCACAACCGATTTCTGCATGATAAAATCAGGTTTTATGCATATAGTCCTGTGACACAAGTATCTCAAATTTTGATTTTAAAGTTGCAAATCCAAATTTAAGAGCGAAGAATAAAACTTTTATATCGGGCATATTGAAAAACCACATCTCCTAATTCTCCTCTGCACGATTGCTCTTTACTCCATTTGCGTAGGATTAACCGTTTAGGCTCTAGCCTCGCTGACATTTTCAAAGGGTGTATACGAAAGCATACTTAGGCTTCGCCGTAACCATGGTGACGCTTTTTTGCGGGCACCTATTTTTACTTTTGCCTCACCTAAGAAAAAGTGCAACAAATATTTTCGTGCGGAGGAATTGTAACAACAAATTACACTAATAGACTAATTAAAGGATTGCAATATTCATGTCGTTGGCAAAAATGCGCTTCTATTGAGATCCGAACTACGCCTTACACATACTAAATCACACACTCATTATAAAGCCAGAAATACATATTTTCCTCAAGTCCAATTCCGTGGTTATCAAGGATGTGGAATGCCATCCTAAGAAAATAATGTAGATGTATGTAAATATGTATATGTACATGCAGTTACTTGCTTACAAACATATATACATACATACATATCAACATGAATATAAATTGTATAATTACCTGTAATCTTGACAATGTGTGTATTCATATGTACATAAAGTACATGCAGATGTATATATGTTTGTAAATATGCAGTAGCAGCATGCGCACAATATATGTAAATATGTGTAGGTATTTAAATTTTTAGACTTATTTATTAATAAGTGCATAATACATAATACTTGTCATCTAACTTTGTCGACGAAATCGACAGAACTCGATCAATTATTTTTACTATTACACCATATTACTACTACACAACGAAAAGATTTTTTTTAATGTCCAACGTTATGTAAAATTTATCCAACGATTTAATAAATTACACCATGTAATTTACATGGTTAAAACATTTAGATATGTACTCATATACATGGGAAAATGATACATTCAGATGAGATTTGGTTATTCCAAAAAGATGCATGCACATATCATACATATCACATATGTAGATACATACATATGTAAAAAATGTTAGCTTAAAGAGGTGTGCGCATACATATTTATATTTAGTCACTAATTTTTTAAAAACCGTGAGGATACGGAATCTTTTGCATGATAAGGTTTTCTTCTCTTCTACTGTAACATATTTACATATTTCAATTTTATCACTCCTGCTGAGAAATCGCGGACTTGTCACGTATCGTTAAATGCTCACTAGCTGCTTTGTCTGCAATGACCTTACCCCTAGCCTTTCTAAATTTTACGCATCGTTTAAACCTTTCCCAGCCTGCTAAACAAATCAGCATTCCATACTTACACCAATACTCACTAAAAAATAGACCAAGTCCTATCCCAATTCCGCTACTTCCTAGAACGAAAACGGCTTGCACAGTACTCTGTAAACTTAATGGTTTCACTTTATCTTTAATACTTGCATCATTTCTAGTTTTACTAATCACAAACTTCTTCCGCTTCACCCACTCTCCAGTCACGTTATATTCTTTACGTTTCTTGTAAATCCCACTTTCCAAAATTCTTTCGAAATCTCTTTTAATCTTTGACATTTTGCTGCAAGCTCTGAACAACCATCCCACCCAGTATTCAAGCACATGCTGCTTCGACTTGTACAATTGGATGGTGGGATGCAATTCTGCCAAATGTTCGTGGTAAGCACCAACTTCACTCGACGATCCAATGTATGCCGACCTCCCACAAGTCACGAGTTCTTGTTCGATGTATTGTCCAACTTTTTCCGGGTCATCACGAGGATCTCGCAGATTTTCAGGAAACCATCGTGACTTGAGGTTATGAAGAAGAAAAGCAATCTTTTTAGTCCTTTGGGGAATATCATCAAACCACGGGGTCGCTGCGACAGAAAAAAGCTGGTAAAATTTGGGATTGAATGCCGAATACTTCTGTAGAACAACGCTATTAACGGCAGACAAGAGGCTAAAGCATTCAAAATAATTCGGAGGATAAACCGTGACTTTGGTGTCGTACACATAATCACCATTCGGTGCAAATGGATCCCATCGGTTGATAAAATCCGTGAAATCATCTTCCGTTATGACCATATCGTTGTCTGAACGGAGGCACATGATGTCTTTAAAAGTGTCGAATTGTTTCGCAGGCAGCGGTGAATTCAATTTAGTTATGACCATCCCCGTATAGCAGTTGGTAAGAAGGGTGCCAATTAGCAAACATGGGACCACGACTTGTTTAAAGGGGACCGATTTTAGAACCCTTTCCGGCAAGGAAGTCATATCTTCGAGGAAAAGGGCGAAGAAAAATAGTAAACTGGAGTAATTCATTATTCTGAGGTAATACCGGAAGTGGGCGTCTATCAGGACCGTAACGGCTAGAATAGACAGTCCAATTCCGGCCCAAACCTTGGAGTCGAAGGGAGACAAGAAAACAGCGAATTCTAATCTTGGTTCGGTATAGCAGGACAAAAAGGTCAACCCATCGAAGGAAGTCATCACCCAGATCAAATATTCGTTGGGGCCAGAGACAAAATTTGTTGGACTTTGTTGCGACATGAAGGCGGCTTGGGGACATGGCGCACACCATTTGTAATGTAGAATCGTTTTATTCCTTCTTTTTATAAAGTTTGCAAAAAAATCATAATCCACATTTTGGGGCGACAGGTTAATCCAAAATTGGTCAAGATCGGGAGCAAATTGAGATTCATCAGATAGGAAATAATCTTCAATCCGTAAGTCTGCGAAACACTTGAAGTACTTCAATCTCGGCTCCATCATAGGCTGTAGGTGAAAGCAGAGTTCAGATGTATTTAGAGGTCCCGCCGGAGGGGGGAATATTATGCCAAATAAGGGAATTTTGGTGTTATAGAGGTTTACAGATGTCCGAGAAAATTGATGTTTTGGGGTTGATGGAAACAAAAATACGTAAATCGAGTCGGGATACCGTTCAAGGGTTGGTCTCATACCTGGCCCCTCAACCATGAAACCATCACCTTCCATGAAATTGTCACCTTCTACGAAATATTCGCGGGTGTGCAATTTAATCAATTTGGTAAGGATGTCACTGTCCCCAAAGTTCCACTCGGTAGTGAAAAATAGGAACACGACCTCGCAAACCCAGCCCCTATTTTTAAAGATGTTTAGCCGATTTATAAATTTGTCTTCGTCTGGAGGCCCTTGTGTTAACGTGACCTCAACCTGATTAGTATTTTCAAGATTTTCTGTGAATAGGTGTCTGTACACGAGATGTTGACGGCAGTGGAATCCCTCACGATTTACAAGGAGATTGTGGAAGAGTGGGGAGTTGTCGAGGGGTGAGAATAAGTCATAACTGGACACTTCCATTATTTTGAAGGAAATTAAAACCAAACAAAATTTTATTTGATCCATTTTCAACAATGGAAAGTGTGAAGACTGAAAATACACTTTTCGTATGCCGCGTTGAAACTTAAATGTTGCAGAAAATGCTCAAAAGTTCTGAGCTATATGTACTTAAATGTTTCTCCGATTAGGTTGAAGCGGAAATAATTTTTGTTTCACCCGACCAAAGCTTGTATAATTTTTCCATATGTACAAATGGAAGAACGAGAGGGACATGAAATGAGAAAATTTAATGGGACACGGAATGGATTAAGGGGGATAAATTAGATTTTCTGTATTGGACTTGAGAAAAACTGGTGTCGTACATATTTATCACTAAAAGGTCAGTTTCTATACTGTATTTATACCTGTATTTCTGTGTGTATCTTTGTACATGGGTAGATTTGGGTAGATGCACAAATGTCAAGCCAATGTTGCGTCAATATTTAGTAGGGTAAGCACATATCTAAATAATATTTTTTTGCAGAATGTATTAACATGAAGTATTCATAAGTTTCATTGCTAAATATTTAGATGAAGGTGTTGTGTGCTTGTATCGTTTGAGAAATGTGAAAGCCAAGCTAATTATATTGTATGATATAAATATGTTAAAGGTCTAGGTAAATTTGTTTCTTTACAGGAATTTCTGTAATCTTTATGCTTTTAATGTGGTTTCTTACATGTATTTCCTTCAGGAATTTTTCGTAGGATGGATTACCATAATTATTGGATTTTTAATATGTAAACGTGTTGGTCACCGCGTTAGCTGACTTGTCATGAACCTTCTCTACTAGATAAAAGCACGGTTCTATGCCTACTATCAATCTAAATACTGGCACGATATGATACAAATAAATGCCTAATGAATCACATTTCTTTGGTTGGATTTAATAAAGCAATTCCTAAATTTCCTTGAAAATATACCAGAAATAAATATTTGGCATTGGATAGATTTGATACGGTGATCCATGTTAATTGGATATCCTTGATATGTACATAGGTGTTTAGACAGTGGTAATAAAACCATATGCATAAGGTTTGTCCACTAAATTTGTACATATATTTGCTGAGAAAGTACGAGAAATAAGTAGATTAATTTAAGATTTACAAACTCTGGGCTTAATTATAATTGACAATGCTTTGTTTCATTTGTTTCTACGCAGCGGTTTCGTTCCTCATGATAACAAATGTATGTACGTACATACTTAATTCTCAGCAGACACTAATTACAATAATGCTTTTTGATTAATATTTGTCCTACAAGAACAATTATTAAACTATGTAAATGTTAGCGAATAGATAATGTCAGTCAAATTGGAAGAGTTTAATTAGGAATGTTGTCACACGCTGACTTTATCGCTGCAAGGAAATGTCATGACGTGCTCTGGTGGGGGTGCGACAAGACGTTGTAGACTTTAAACCCAAGCATAAATTCAAATACAGCTAAATGTAGGTAGTCACACAGGTTGTGCAAAGTATGAAACGTCTGACATCGCAGTAATTTAGAAGTCACCTTTACTATCATCTTATTGATCTGTATGTATGTATTTATATGTAAATAATATTTAGCACACGGCCAAGGAATGCCTACACTCTAAATAATTTGGAGACAAATCGTCACCTGATGGAGGTACTATATAGCAGTGCTCTATTTTTGGGTAATGATTTAGGAGACGTTTTATCACAAGAAGGGGGAGATAAGTCAAAAACTCATGCAGCAAGCACACGTGACGTCGTCATTTAAAAAATTCAACACTGTTACATATGTAAAAAAAATCTTATTGTCAGATAAAAATGTTAATTTTTTTTATTACAACGTCACGTATGTTTGATAAACGAGTTTTTGGCTTATCTCCCCCTATGGATAGAACGTCTCCTAAATCGTTACCCAAAAAATAGAGTACTATAGTACCTCCGCGGGTGACGATTAGTCTCAAAATTATTTATAGTGTGTGTCAAACCATTGGATTTTAACGACACGTCGAACTAATCCTTGGAGACATTTCCCTTCAAAACTTAGCATCGGCAGGAACTGTTCCGTGCGGAACAAGGAAACGTCCCAACCAATGATCACATAGACCAGAAAACTCGTTATTGGGGAAAATGAGATTCTCATCTTTTCTCCCCTCCTCATACAGCACCCTGTTCGTCCGCACCCTCTCGATCTCCTCGATGTGCCGCACTTTTCCAGTAATCTACCGAAAATCGGGACAAAATTCGACCTGCTCGAAATCTTGGATTCATCTGACCTGTTTCGTTTTGTCTCTTCTTAGCGAATTATTCCACATCATCATGTTCTTGGAGTGGTTTTACGTTCAAGATGATCCGCCATTGTGGAAGTCCATCTTGATGTCCTACTTCCTTGGTTGCTACGGTTTTATCTTCGTCGCCAAGTGCGTCTTGGCTTGGAGGCAGGATGAGACAAGGGAGCTTATCGAACGAGCCGTCGAGTTGGAAAAATTGTCGAGCAAATCTCACCCGATTCGGGTGAGGGTGACGCCTGTCCTGATCTGCGTCATGTTTCTCTTCACCACGGTATCACTACCGTCCGTCATGTTCCTCATGGCACTGGTGAGACCCTGCATGCCACCCTTTTTCAGTATGAGTCTCTTGGAATGCAAGTCGTGGAGCAGTGGGGGTGGAGCATCGGTTCCTTTGAGGCTTGGTATCGCTGTTTTCGAGTTCATAACTTGGTTTACGAGCTTGGCAAATGCAGTGACGATCGGATTAGTGGGACTGGTCGTGTATCCTCCGGTGGTGGAGGAAATGTGGATTGATGTTGTCGAAAGGTGCACATTTTTGTATGTAATACATATCGTGGCTGTAGATCCATAATGTACCAAGGTGAAAATTACTCTCCATCCAGGCAGGATTGAACTTTTACAGAAATTGAGAAATCTGAGAAATCACCCCTCTGTCAGTTTCAGAATAATTTTGCTTATGCTGAGGGGGGAATTTGAGACTGACAGTGGCGTAATTTCTCAGAATACTCTATTTCTGTAAAAGTTCAATCCTGCCTGGATGGAGAGTAGTTGGAAGCATAAAGTGTCCAGTTGAAAACCAGTTGGAACCATAACATGCCAAGACTGTTTTGGGGTATATTGCGATTAGCATGTTATTGTTCCAACTGGTTATCGACTTGGTGTTTTATGCTTGCAACTGGCTTTCAACTTGGCACATAATGGATCTACAGCCGTGACATTCAGTTGAATTATATTGTACATACTTATTTTTTTATTTTTTAGGGAATTCCAAAATTCCGTATCGCTATACTCCACCGCAGTTAAATATCGAATTGCCCAGTCCATGTCGAATTTGCACGGATCCGTGATGAGGAAACCGTTCATGTCGATGATAATTGGGGGTGTGATGATGGTGGAAATAACATCGCTATATTTGGTAATAAACTCCATTCACGAGTTGCCCACGCCCGTTGCGATGTTCTTCATCATCCTTGCAATGGACTTTTTCGTCGTCATCCATCTCTTGTTCAAGTCGCTGTGTCGCCCCCACCTGGCGTCGGTGGAATTAGTCAACAAGGCCAAAATGGCAAAGAGGGGTAAATGGTTGGATAAGTATCTCAAGTCTTGCGTCCCGTTGGAGTTATCGATGGGCGGGGGTTGCTTTTTTGACAGGTTGTCATCATTTGTGATTTGGAAATTCTGCGTGGATCAAGTAGTGAACTTGTTGGTTATGTAAAATGTGGAATATGCGTACATATTTATTATAAGTACATATGTATATGCATATGTGCATAAAAGTGAATAATGTGAAAAATAGAAGAAATTTAGTATAGAAATATAGTATAGGAAATATGCTAGTAGGTGCACTCATTGATATCGTTACTATTCGGCTTTAAAGGCTTCATGCATAGGAAAAGTTAATTTTTTGGTCAATTTTTATTTATTTTGAGTTCTATTTTTGGCCCGGAACCGGCAAATTTCTGTGTATGTGTGGGTGACGCCTTAAATGATGTTCCAAGATGGGGAAGATCGTGAAGTGGTTGATCAGTGGGGGAGGTTCATTCAAGTTAAATGGCCAAAATTAGATGGTCAATTCCGAGTTGTGAATAATGATAACAAACTTCATTCATTATATGAATTCAAACAATAGGAACACGTTTTAATCATTCTGAATTTGCAAGCTCTGCGAATAGTTAGATTTTAGATAATTTAAAAAAAGATAATTACTAAATGTGAAACCATTGATCCATTATATACGTATGTATATATGTAGTAATACAATGCCATTTACATATACATATATGTACATATATTTATGTATATATAATATACGTTGCATGCTGGAACAATTCATTTAATAAATAATGCTTGTGAAACGACTGCTTAATTACATTTCATTGATGGCATATCTCTGTACTAATTAAGCGCCCTTGTTAACCTATGAATGTGTTACATTTACATTATTGACAATTGTGTGAAACCGAGACAAGACATTGTGGTGAAAAGCATCGCTTTGAATTCAGGATTGGTAAATAAATACTTTCACATCCTAACGAGATTTGCAGGTATGAAGACTTTCACCCTTCGTTATTTATTCCTGAGCTACTTATGGTAATATATTTTACGTATTTATGTACAATCAATGTTTTTTGATCATGACGAGTCCGGATACAATGTACAGCACATAATATAATTTAGGTGGCGACACAACCCATTTTCTTGTAAACGGACTTTTCCTGCTAAACCCAAATCGAATGAGCAATTTATGTTTGACGGTTCGGTTGCAGTCTTTCAGTTGAAATAATTATTGATGCGTCTCAATATGCCAGTTAGTGTCCGATCACATGTATGAGATGTATTTATGTATGCTGGGTATTGATAATGAGGCATATTGAGACCCACAGTATTACACAGCTTATGCATACACATGCACAGCACATGCAGTTCGTCAAAATACCATGCTTTACATCACAATGCTATAGCAGAGACTAGTACAGAGTCACTGAAATACGAAAGTTCTACATTACAACTTCTAAAAATAAGATTTATAAAGGACTAATCTTTATAATTAGAGGATCACTGGAGAATGCCCTGATAATATACTAGACATGTGCATGCAAATATTTATTTAGAGCAAGAACATTTAACATCTAACAAAACCATGGACCAAATTGGAAATTAATACATAAAATCACTTTAATCGCTGCATATGTACATATTTAACTATATAGCATTTATTATGGTCGGTTGCATTTCATTATGTCCAAATGGGCCAATTTTACGCGTGCAAATTTCTCTTTTCCTTAACTGAAATTAGCAACAGGCTGGCTACTTGTTCCATACTAAACTGGAATATGATGAGTGGGGTCGCCTTCTCGATAAAGTTTCCGGCACTTCCCAACTTAATTTTTAAAACGTTACACGACGCCTTCATCCTTCTCAAGTAGCGATTCTTCAACATACTTTTTCGACCCCGCCAATTTTGCAAGACATCCTGCGATAGTTGGTAGAGGTCAGCGCCCGCCTTGTAAATGACGAAAGAGCTGGCAAAAGTGCAGTCGACCCCGAGCACGATAGCGAAGAGAAGGGCAGGAACAGAGAGTTTGGAATTGTGCGCTATGACGGCGTAGAAACAAGTGATGCCAACCCAGGTAAGGTCGGTTATCATGATGGGCAAGTTTCCCACTTGATTGATATTGTTGACCGCAGTGGTTAAAATTTGTGCCTGTTTGTAAGCCAGGATTGATTGGAGCTTGAGGGAATTTCGAGTTCTGAAAGAAAATAATTTGCATGAAATCACATTTTCTCACATTTCCCACCCCATCGTCTCAAGTTACATCTCAAATTTATCTTCTACCTTTTCAAATGATCCGCCACACAGGTAACCCCGCAATGAAACACGAACGATACCGCGACACATGCTAGACACATTCCGTACCCCGAAGAAAACATGTCCACCAGAGTCACCGCCCAAGCCCAATTTGTCGGAATGCCAAAGTCCCAAACGAATTCTTTCCCGTTTGCCGCACAATCTGGGAAAGTAGATCGAAGAAAGTGCGGCATTGCACAGGGCAACATGAGAACTAACATGTTTAGCAAGATAGTAGGTACGACTTGGGTAAATAGACCGATGCAGAGGCCAAATCGACCCATCTCACCACGACTTATATCGCCTGGCATGCACTTCCCGGTCGAAATGATGTCCCTTAAGCGGAGTTTAACCCCTCGTCTGGCCGGAAGTGACTTACTGTACTGCGCATGTGTGATCAAGATTCCGTTAAAGTATGCCGTGATTTCGGCCGACTTTCTTCTGCACGCCATACCCATCGCCCAGTGGCCAATGTTGCTGAGAGAAAGACAGCATGATATGATTTGGGTGAAAAAGATGTTTTTGGGACCGTTGGAAATCAGCGATCGCATCCGCGCCAGGACAGTGGCACATTGCACCGTGTTGCAAACAAGGGGCAATGTGTACTTTACATTGCTCCAAAATACTGGGACAAATTGCTGCTTTTTAGCCGACCAGGTGATAAAATTGCAGAGAAAGAGGTTCTTGATGAAAAACTGGGCGCGGATTAGGGGGAAGTAGTCGAATATAGTGGGCATATTTAAATAAAATTCCCTAGAAGTTTGTTTTTCGGAATGCGGAACGTTCGCAAAGAGGAATGCGGGTCGAATGTGTGTACATAATGGAATTTGGCGACGTACTGATGTCATTTAGATAACCTTTGCTGACCAAATAATGTGGTAATGCGGATTCTGAATGCATGTATGTTTTTTAGAATGCTATGCCTACACGTGACCAAATTTAGATAGTTTGCGACTCCCCACGTAGGATACATACCCATTACTTGTCAAACTTGGCGAAAACACGAATTATTTAACGACTCCATCGAGACACACTCATTTTTTAATACATATTCCTGCTATACAATATGTACACTCTTAGAAAACTGGTATGTCGTGATCATTATGGGTGAGGTACACCAGCAAGTTTCTGTCTTATCATTTTATCAACACTATGTGTGAAACTAATGCACTCTATTAAGTAAACTACGCTAAATTCAGAGTAACGTTAAGTTGGTATGATTTAATTACGTATTTCACCACTCTTTTTGGCCTCTGGCCCATAGAGTACGACAAGAAAATTTTATATCATTTAGTAATTATAGCGGGGTTACACTTCAAAGCTTCAATTTTTCTGAAAGACAAATATTTCGTTTCGATGAAAAGTATACATATATAACTTACCAATTTGGCAGCTTCTAACATTCGGTGCAAGTTATTAGCAGATGATTACCACTGCGGTTTGTATGCAAACCTTCATACAGCTACATATGTCACAAAATTATTGGTTAACCTGTCAGTCTTCAAGTCGTTCCTAACAATCTTATGACATAACTGTACTACGTATTACAACATCTTAAATGTCATAATATTACAACGTAATACGTAATACTTATATACATTACAACAGCGTAACCGGAGACGTGTGCTTTAACAATAGCACAGTGCAATTCTATGCACAGCTCAATAAGGTTTCACATTAAAGGCAATTACTTTTATTGACTAAATTTCCAAAGGTTCAATTTGACGATTTTATTTATTTTCTGCTTAAAAATATTTCTAAGCCGAGTTTTTAATATTTTTTCCCAAAACATGAGATTTCTCTATATAGTTTTCTCTTCATGAAAATAGTTTCACTTTCTAATTTTTTTACCACGCTTTACAGTCAAGGACATTGATCTGTATCATTGTGACCTTTACATACCTCATGACTTCTCCCAGCTACATAAGTATATACATAAATAAATGTAATACCCCAAAAAATGCAAGTAATTACTAACATCAATCATGTTCAGGATGTAAATTTCACCCTGTGAGATGATAGATAATTGTTTACACACGCGCTTAGAATAACGAAGACAAAAGATGTCTGTTCTTACTCATTTACTTAATAAAAATCTATAAAGACACCCAGAAAATAAACATTAGCATAAGTTCGAGAAGTTAATAGATCACTATCGTTTTATTTCAGCCATCAGCTAGCTTATCTATTTCCGGACAATACATCATTTCCAAAATTTCCCAGCAACACACACCAATTATCATAGCTTGCATCCTACTAAATTTCCAAAAAAAACGAAATGAACCTACTCACCAAATTTCGCAGAGAGGTTACCCTCCGATCCCAAATCTTTAAGAGCGACGCCATTCTCACCGGAGGGTACATTCCCCTCCGTATTTTACAATTTGCAGGCTTTTTCCCATTCTCCATCACACCCCAGTTCTGCCAATCGGACCGATTCCACCTAACTTATCATCGTCCCCTCTACAAATCTCCGTCCTCCCTTTGGCTCCTCGTCGTCATTTTAATCCCCCTCGTCCCCATGGTAATTTCCCTCTTTTACGTCTCCCACCACTACGACATTGCCGTCCAAGAATTTTCACACGGTGGTGTCAACACCTTCCTAATTGTGACCATTTCTTGGGAAATCTGCTCCATTTTGTGTCCCGCAGTGGCTCGCCTGCACTTACTGAAGAATCAGAAACACTTTATCCGATTCTGGGTAGGATTTCGCAGGCTGATTGACACCCTCCAAATTTCCGACGATCTGCATGTCGCCAACTATTTGAAAAACCAGGAGAGAAAATTCATCCTTCATTTCCTCGTCCAACTCTGCATCGCCATTCTGGACAACGCAACCTATCTCCGGTACGCGTTATGCTTTGAGGGCGCCTTGGACGGAAGCAGCGTTCTCGCAACGGTGCAAGAATTGACGTTTTCTTTTAACGGGATTTTGACCTGTTTCGCCCTCCACGGGTTGATTTACTTCGTCTCAAGTTATGAACTTTGTCTCGATCAGATGATTAAAAGTGTGGGTGAGAAGGGGAAGGTCGGGGTGAGGAATATTTTGAAATTTTACGCCATTTTGGACGACCACGTGGCCGAGTTTGTGCAGCTTTTCAGCATCGGATTAAACTTTTATGTGGTATATAGTCTCGGAAATTTATTGTATGTTATGTATTTCCTCGAAATTACGATTCATATTGAGCAGTATTTTTTGAGTTTTGTCAATATTGGGAAATTGGTCGTTTTCACGGCGTACTTTTACTGGTTGGCGAGCTGCTCGAGTGCGGTGGAAGAGAAGAGTGGGAGGTTTTGTAAGATGGTGAGGTACGCGTGGAGTAGTAATGGGTGGGGCGGCAGTGGTAAAGTGAGGAGAAAAAATAACCAGGTAATTAAATATTTAGTTTTGTCCGCTAGATTTTAAAGGAATGTAGAGAGTTTTATTGTATAAAATAAAATTTAATAGCTCGATGATAACGTGGTCATGTGTTTGGGATTGGAACCCATCGTCATAAAAAATTCCGTACTGGATTTCAATGTTCGGCTCCTGGTATCGGTGAGTCGAAAAATAAAATAAAATTAGGGGGAATTAAATTACTTGAGATCCATGTGTGTGTTTAGATGATTGCTGTCATTGCAACGTATTTGGTCATCATATTTCAATTCCAAGCAGAGGACACGGCTTAAGTACATATTTATTTTAGGGAAGTTTTAATCTTGTGACGTCTCAAACCTAAAATATATATCTATGTATGCAGATAAGCCTTCAAAAAAATTGGAATGATACCTGCAAAATCACCTGACAACAAGGAAACTCGGATTGTTTTTAACTTAATTTTTATACGCATAGCATCTATTTCGAGTAATTCTTATTATTTTCTATACGGCCTCATAAAAATTTGAATTAAAAAATGATAGCTTAGTTAAAATCAGAGGAGTCATTTATTTAAAATTTCACAATTGCAGGATTGCGAACTTCATCACATTCCCTGCAATCAAATACATAGACACATGCAAACATAGAAGAAAATTGCGTCACATCCCTCTTCAATTAAAACATTTTTAACTACAACATTATTCCGGCTTAATCGGTTAGATGAATCATGATGCCACCTGTGGTGGCCGTGGGGACGTTTGGGGACATTAAAACCATAAGATAGGAGAGGGATCGGTTTACATATTTAACATGGGCAGATAATGGGAGGACATTGTCCACCTGTCCACAGGCTTCCGTCGCCACTGGCTACCACATACTGATTGAAATATTTCCACAACGGATGTATGTATGTATTTATACACTACAAATTAAATACGTTGCTGGTTTCATTCACCTGAAGAATTAATGACGCTTCTCCCGTCACATGCCAGGTCCATCAATAATCCCAGAAAAGTGTGACTCAAAACTGTACCACCAAAACAAGATCATGGACATGCAGGAGACATATCCAGCACCGACAGGCTTATCAATCATTTAATTAATTTTTGATAAGGCAAGCCAACCCACAATGGGGCAAGACAGAGGTACATTTTGCGTCACTGTCAAGCAACACGTTTTCCACTTATCAAATTTGTGACACGGACACGAGGCCGACCCAGACTTCTCAATTGTTCTTTTTTGCTTAACCGAACATGCCCCACAATTAATTATGTCCATGTCATGATGCAAAGTGGTGATGACACATGGCGAAAAATTGGCACAAATCTGTATAAATGGTCAAGTTTGACAGGTGAATGAATTAATTACGTGTTAAACTTTGGTGGCTGCATACCACTTAAATATCTAATTAAGCAACAAATTTACTTGAATTTAATCATGGGGACAATTAAGAATTTATCGTTGCTTGCAATCTTCTCGGTTATCTTTGGAATTGCAAATTCTGCAAAGATTCCTTCTCTCGAAAGAGTTATCACATATCAAAATCGGGAACAATTAGACGACGAAGGAAAAGTTTTTCTAGCATGGGAATTTGATAACGAAACGGATATTATCACATTTGAGATGGAAGTGGCAACAACGGGTTTTGTCGGGTTTGGAATTTCTCCCGGGGGAAGTATGACGGGGGCGGATATCTTCATTGCTGGTGTGCACGATAACGGGACGAGCTATGCGCTGGTATGTTATATATAAATCATGCAATTAATTAACTAATTACACTACTTAATTAAACCTGTAACTAAATAATGTTTTAAAATCCTTAGGATTGCATCGGAGTAGGTTTCTCCACACCGAAAATTGACGAACATGAAGATTGGACCTTAATTAGTGCAATCGAAGCCGTTGGGAAAACATTTCTTAAATTCTCTCGTCTCATTGACACCTGCGACGAGGAAGATTATCCCATCGGGGTAAGTTGAGACTATTTGTCAAAATTAACCTAATTATTTTCACATCCAATTAATAAACGTCAAGGTGGACACAACTCGACTCATCTGGGCGTACGGAGACACTGATAACATCGTTTATCACACAATGGCACGACGAGGAGCTAAAGCAGTCAATCTTATCGGGACCCCAATCCCTGAACTTGAATTGGAAGGGTAATAAACCGTTGCAAACGAAATGTAGCAAAGGGGTGAAAACACACGGAATTGTCTTTGTGGCACGCCCACAACGTCTTTCAGCACTTTCCCGTCATTGTCTCACATTACCCCACGTCTCATTTTTCCCCGTTTTGACACCCCGACCCGCGTACTTCAAACGTACATGACAATACCTTCAATAGACACCCCACATGACAAAAGTCATTTTTCGACATTCGACACCTCCTACACGGTCATGGGGTCGTCGCACGTCGAAATGATGGCGATTTCTGAAATCCCCGCCCAAAAATACGTCTAAAACGGTGGCAACAAAAAATTCGACAATTTTCGACTTTGGCGTCGTCTACACTGTCACACGGTCATCGCACGTCGAAATGATGGCGATTTCTGAAATCCCCATCCAAAAATGTCTAAAACGGTGGCAACTAAAAATTCGAGACCCTTGACCGTTGGCGTCATCACCGTGGCGCCGTGACCTTATGACCTACAACGCCCATCTTCGAACTCATCCATACTTCAAAAATTAGAAACACGTTGACGAAAACCGCATGCCGAAATACGAAACCATTCTAAAGTTATCGTGGATACAGACGGACAGACGGACAAGACATTTCCATAAAGGGGTTTTAACCCCTTAATAACACTTACATAACTTAATTAAGATAATAATTTACATGCGTAGCTAATTAATTATTAATTAAACGTTTAAAATGGCACGTTTTCTATTAGCTTGTCGAGATTTGAGATGACAATCGACATGGTCATGCCATCACTGGACACTGCGTATTGGTGCAGTTATCATAAAGGCCCCATCCTCACGACTAAACATCACGTGGTTGCGGTAAGAATTTTAATAAAGCTAATTAAATCCATAATTACTAATGAATAATTAGTAATTAATTAATTTTTCTCGCTTTTAGTTTGACGCACTACTTGACGGATTGGACGCCCTGGCCCATACGCATCACTTCATCCTGAAAAACTGCTTCCTTCCCCCCGGTCATAATGAGACGCTGGACGAAGTCTTTGGCCCCTACACCGCAGATACTGGTCACCTCGGGGGAATGTGTAACGATCCATATTCAACCTTCCCGCCACTTGAACAATTTTGTATTCAGGACTTGTTCGTTTGGGCGAAAGGGGGCAAGGTGAGACACTCGATGTGTTTAGCTTTACTAATTTTCATGGCATTTTTAAACAATGGTGTGAGCATACAATTCAAATCTTCGGGTTTTGGTTACTTTTAGATAATGACGTTCCCCGAAAACGTGGGATATCCTCTCGGGGAGGGAGATAACGCGGGAAAACAGCTGTACTACATGTTAGAAATTCATTACGATAACCCTGACGAAGTGGAAGATCTAAAGTTCAAAACGGGGTTGCAATTCTATTACACGGACGAATTACGGTAAGGGAAGCGTAGCCTGGGGGTAGCGTGAAACTTTAATTTTGATGTCACTTTATGTAGAGAGCAAGATGCCGGATTGCTTGCCGTAGGTCATATGACGAACCCAATCTTGACAATCCCGCCAAATGTGGATGATTTTGTAATTATTGGGCAATGTGATCCTGCTTGTACCGAGTGGGGAATTAAACCAGAAGAGGGCATCACTATCTTCAACTCGCTTCTGCATGCTCATATGTCGGGTGAGTTGACCTAAAATACGGATACCCAGCGGTAAAATTTAAACGCATTTTATTACCCTCTAAAAATGTAGGTCGGAAACTTAAACTTCGTCACTTCCGGGGCAACGTGGAACTTCCCTGGATCGATTACGACAACCATTATGATTTCGACTACCAACAAAACAAACCAATTCCAGGGACCCAAGTCCTTCCTGGCGATAGGCTAATTTACGGTACAAAATACTTGAAATATTTGTCTCAAGTATTTTAGGAAACATATAAATTTCAAAATCCATTTAACTTCAGAATGCACCTACTCCAGCAAATGGGACGCCGGAAAAGCTGTCGTCGGGGGGCTATCGTCACGAGAGGAAATGTGCATCACGTTTTTGTGGCATTATCCAAGACAAGAGATGAGCCAGTGCTTTTCGCAAACTCCATTTGACAAGCACGTTGAAGATTTTGGAATCACGGAGGTTCACGAGTAAGATTTTTCGAATAATATTTAGGTCAAACCAAGAACAAAGCAGAGCAGATGACGCCTAATTATCGCTTTACCCTTTGTAAACATGATTTTTTTAATAATAGTGAACCTGCAGTGGGAGGGTCAATAATCTACATTGATGAGCCGGCCTACATGAGGGGACCGTATCGCGAGTCCATTTCCTTATTTAACAACTGGACAGACGAATTCGTAGCGCAGTATCAATATCATCACAGATATTTAGGGCACGAAGGGTCATGTTCCACGGAGAATCTTGAAGAATATCATCTCTTCTATGACACGACATATCCGGAAAATTTGATTGAATATGTTCCGGTTGATGTTTGTACTCCAGCAACTGACCCGGCGACTGAAACGACCACGGATGCGACGACCCCAGAACCAACTACCACAGAACCAATTACTACAGAACCAACCACCACGGCACCAACTACCACAGTTAGAACGACGACTTTGCCAACTACCACAGAAACTACAACTATAACTGCACCACCATCAACAACATCTGGTACAAACGGAATAGTACGTGTCAATCTCGGCGTATTGGTGGTCGCACTTACTTATTTTTTTTAGTAGACCTAAACAAAATTATTTTAGTTTTTAATAACCAAAATCATTTCTACTTAAACACATTTTTTTTGAGATACCTACTTAAATAAACGTTTACTTTCCACACACTGAAAACTTCATGGACTTTGATTACTCATTAATTCCACATTAATATGTATTTATAAACCAATCCATATTTGGAGATTAAAGCTGCGACAAAGTTTACATACTTTATGTACGTAGTTTAAGTTACTGATTTTAATAGTCACGTCACAATGCTATGACACATAAATATCTTTCAAGAGGATCAATCAATTTCTGTTCAACCCCAGCCTCATTAGTGAGTCACGTATTTATCACTTTTTGACCATTTTTGGCATTAATCACCCCGTACTGAATCACACGGCAACAACAAGCACTCGAACCACAAACCATGCCAAAGAAGGACCGCTCGATGCTCCAGATTAGCTACATACTTGTTAACAATCAACGTCATCAAAGCAAATGATTTACATGCTTTAGTGAGTCTGTTTCATCCATTCATTGTGAAATACGTTGCGAAAATACTTTTAAGTACTGTTCCAAACACGTGGTATTTTGTGTCAAAGTGACTCACGAAAGTATTTAATGATGTCCAAAATAACCTGCCATCTAAGTTTCACCTATCTCACCACAATGCCCAATTTGGGTGAATAGGGTCTTCAAAGTGCATAGAATCTATGGCTGTTATGCGTCAAAATAAGGTGACAGGCTATTTTTGACAAATTTCTATGCATACTTTTTTGAGGACTGGGCATTTCCATTATAAAAAAGAGGTGTTACAATGTATACATACAGATTCGAACCCTGGTTCTCATGTCCGATACAATTCAAACATTCTACCTTATCAGTAATTACACAGGTTTGAACTTGAACCTGATTCATGATTTCGTCACAGAATTTTTTTGTCCTTAATTGAAGATCTCACCTTATGTTAACAAAGTACCTGAACCTCAATTAATTAATGTTCAATTGACAACTGGATCGCCTCCTCAATAAATACTGCGTGACAAAAAATCTCGTTAATTAGACTTGTTCACACCTCATTTGTGAGAGCACACTCGTCCCTATTGCACACATCTAAAAGTTTTTTTGCATATTCATATAATTAGCAAGATGCAAAATTTCGCAAAAATTTGCTCCGTCCTAGTTTTTACTTTCTCCTCACTTTCTCTCACTAATTCCGCCACCATCCCAACCTCAAGTCTGCTAACGTTTCGAAATCGAGAACAATTAGACCTCAACGGCAAAGTATGGCTCGCCTGGGAGTACGACGATGCTACGGGATTAGTCACTTTTGAGATGGAAGTGGAAACCACGGGGTTTGTCGGACTAGGGATTTCTCCAACCGGCGGGATGACCGGGGCCGATATTTTCATTGCTGGAGTAGATCCTGAAGGGACTGCGTATTATTCCGTGAGTTGAATTAATTTATAAAAAAAATGGCCAAAATTTTATCATTGAAATTTTTAGGATCGCAACGGACAAGGCAATTTTGAGCCTGGCATCGACGCCCATGAAGATTGGAACTTGATCAGTGCGATTGAAGCTGTGGGGAAAACCTATCTCAAATTTTCTAGACTTGCTGATACCTGTGATGAGCAAGATTATCCGATCGGGGTAATATGAAACGACCATCATTTTGCCCGTCTTTAAGAAAATCAATTATTTTCAAAATTTTGGTAGCATCTGTAAAAGTTAATTTTGTCCCTCGCTAACAGAACGACACGGTCCGATTAATCTGGGCGTACGGAGTTACAGATCAAATCACATATCACAGCTCGGCCCGAAGGGGTACAAAATCTCTGAACCTTATCGGTGAACCAATTCCGGAAGTCGATTTATCCGGGTATTTATTATCCCAAAGTTGTATGCAAATATGTATCAAATCAATATTTCAGTATTTTTGCCTTACAAACATTTAGAACAACCAAATATGAAATGACGTTAGACATGGAGATGCCATCTTATGACACCACATATTGGTGCAGTTTCTTTAAAGGCCCTATCCTCCCAACTAAACACCACGTTATCGCGGTAAATATACAAATTCAAATATTTTTGCATACAACAAAATTGTCTAAAAATTTCAACCCTATGTATTTATGTATCAGTTCGACTCGCTCCTTGAAGGTGACGCCGCTGTCCAGCACACGCATCACTTCATCCTAAAAAATTGCTACCTTCCTCCCGGTTCGAATCAAACGTTGGACGAAATATTTGGGGATTACACCGTCGATACAGGATTTCTCGGAGGACGTTGTTTCGATCCGGAAGCCGACGTCCCAATACCGGACGAATATTGTGGGGAGGACCTTTTCGTTTGGGCAAAAGGGGGAAAGGTGAGACGAATAAGAAAGAGGAGTTAAGTTTGTAATGACTAATTATTCCGTTGTCACGATTAGATAATGACATTTCCCGATAATGTTGGATATCCCATCGGTGACGGGGATAATGCCGGGAAACAGATATACTACATGATTGAAATCCATTTCGATAATCCCGACGAAGAGGAAGGTATCCAGTTCAAGACGGGGGTCCAGTTCTATTACACGGACGAAATCAGGTACTTTTGATAACCTTTGACATTTCCTGTACCAACAGTCATGTAGCATATAGCATCCTCAATAAAATTTTGAGACCTTTAATTTCTCAAATTTTGGTTGGAATTTATCCGACGTTAAATCAAATTTAAATTTAAATATTTTCCTAAGTACTGTCTTCATATTTTCCTCCATTAGAGAACACGACGCTGGTCAGCTAGCTATTGGCCATATGACCAATCCAGTTCTCACTATTCCCCCAAATGTGGACGATTTCGTCATTACTGGTCACTGTCCACCAGAGGCGACCCGATGGGGAATTGCACCTGAGACGGGCATTACAGTTTTCAATTCGTTGCTCCACTCACATATTTCCGGTGAGTCAAGTGTTTAGTTACTCTACAATTCTGCCTATTTAAAACTTCCTTTGATAGGTCGGAAGCTTAAAACTCGCCACTTTCGAGGTAACGTGGAACTTCCATGGATCGATTACGATGATCACTATGATTTCGACTACCAACAAAATAAACCAATCAGAGAAATGCAAATTCTTCCCGGGGATCAAATTACTTTGGGTAAAAGAACCAAAATAGTGGCATGTAGTAAATTCAAAAAATAATTCAAAATCCCGTCTAGAATGCACTTACTCCAGCAAATGGGCAAATGGGAAAGCGGTCGTCGGCGGATTGTCTACCCGACACGAAATGTGCTCCACATTCCTGTGGCACTATCCAAGACAAGATATGAACCAATGCTTCTCGGAAACGCCTTTCGAGAAACATTATGAAGATTTCGGAATCACGAAATACGAATTGTAACGCAATTAAACTAATTAATTCCTATTTGTTGTATCTTAATGGCTATAAAATCCTTAGTGTCACCGGCATCGGCGAGTCAATCGTCATGATTGAGGAACCCGCATACTTGGCAGGAAATTACCGCGAGACCATTTCCAACTTTAACAATTGGACGGAGCCCTTCATCCAGCAGTATGGGAGCGAACATAGATACGGCGTGCATGAGGTCGCCTCCTACAAGCAGATTACGGGGGATTATCTCGTTTCTGATGCTTCTTATCCTTATGGTTATGTTCCATACGTACCTATCGATGTGTGTCAGGCGACAACTAACCCAACAGAAGGGACAACGCCAGAGGTCACAACCGTTACGCCAGAGGTCACCACTCCCACTCCTGAGGTCACTACTACCACGCCAGAGGTCACCACTCCCACTCCTGAGGTCACTACTCCCACTCCAGAGGTCACCACTCCCACCCCAGAGGTCACCACTCCCACGCCAGAGGTCACCACTCTCACTCCTGAGGTCACTACTCCCACGCCAGAGGTCACCACTCCCACTCCTGAGGTCACTACTCCCACCCCAGAGGTCACCACTCCCACGCCAGAGGTCACCACTCTCACTCCTGAGGTCACTACTCCCACGCCAGAGGTCACCACTCCCACTCCTGAGGTCACTACTCCCACGCCAGAGGTCACCACTCCCACCCCAGAGGTCACCACTCCCACTCCTGAGGTCACAACGGCGCAGTCAACAACTAATGCACCCACCACACCCACTACTACGAGTACCACTTCACCACCACCTACTCAAACTTCCACGGAAACAACGACCGCTTCAAGTGCAATTGCAAGAAAGTCTTTCAATCTGCACCAATTTGTAATAATTTGTCTCACATTTTCAATAATTCATATTTATTAAGTGTCCCCCTTGTTATTGAATTCTAACATTTTAATTCCTCCAGAATCTAATCAATGCTTTGTTAAATTTATCCTGCAATATACATATTTCTCCATAATTACTGCAAAAAATGAATTAATATGAAAACAGTATTATCATATTCATCAACCTTTATTTAATAAAGGTTGACAAATTATGCGCTAAAAATAGAGCATAATTTGTCAGCCCATTAACAGGTTTAAGATCATAAAATGTGTATATTATGTAAATACTTGAATAGCTAATACTAGCTGTGTGTAAATGAATATAAAAAATATTATCAAACGACGTAAATAAAATTAACCCTTCCTTGGAATTACGTGCCAAAAAGTTATAAATTTGTAATATGAAGTTATTAATTTCCTAAATTATTCTCGCACAATTGCTGACCCATTTCCTCCCTCCTCCGCCCTTGTTCCTACCAGTTTAAAGTGTGTCTCATTAATACGAATCAATCCGGGGGGAGAATTTCCTAGAAGTGCCTGATTTCCCAAGAGATTAATCCCCACGACACGAATCGTGTTTTGCACTAGACCCAGCGCCTCCCGAATGATGCCACCCAGCGAACCTGGCGTTAGTGGGGGTAAGGTTACGTACACGGGATCTGCCGGTCCTCCGGTGGTGGGGTTGTCCGTACTCATAAGAGGGGTGGGGGTCGTGGTGTTATCATTGCTAAATGATGGCGTCGAACCGGTCGGATTCGGAGGACGTGTCGTCATCGTCTCGACCAGTTTTAGACCCATATCTTCACTCGATCCCGTTTCTTCTTTTTGAGGTATGGGCGTCGTTATTGAGGTCATGACCATTTCAAGCAACGTTGGAGGTGGGGTAATTCGTGGGAGGAGGAGCGCAGTAAAAATTAAGTTGGCGATGTGTGACCTCTCCTCATCCTCGATCACGTCTGGGCCGGAAGTGTCTGCATTTTCCAGCGGTAATGAAGACGATGAAGCCACTGAAATGTTTACGGATACATAGTTTTGTAAAATTTCCATACATATGTAAATGCAATTCTGTTAACTGATTTAAACATGTGTGCATGAATCACTTACCCAAGAGAATCAAAACGACTCCAACTGATATGCAGGACTTCATTTTTAAAAAAAGTGTACGTAATGACAGATGAGGGAAATCAGACCAACTGTGCAACAAACCCTGTTTCCATATTCAAAGAAGAGAAAGTGAGAAACTCGGATTCTGGTGGGTATCCACCACCACTGCATACTGTGACTTCACAGTGCCGTATGGTGGTCTTGATTGGATATCATCAGTATAAATTCAAAGGAGCGTTAGTTTTTAATTTGGGGCAATTTTAATAACTTAAGTAATTGCAATTATCTATATATTTTTTTTCATAAGCAGCCATAAGTTTGTTACGGCACTTGCCGTATAAGCCACTCCTTTAGAAACTTTGACCCCAAAAAACTCATTGTTCCCACACTTTTACTTCGGACAATAAAAGGTGAAAATGTAGCTCTTCTCAGGTAGAAAAATCTGGCATCAGGTTGTCAGAAGTAAAAGTGTGGGAACAATGCGTTTTTTAACGATTTCTGTGTATGACATAAAACCGCCAATTTTCAAATTTTGAAACTTTTGATGCATCAAAATGTTCGTAGGGGCAGGGAAATTAGATTGGCAAATGCAACCTGTGGTCTAATTTTTGTTTTACCCAGTGTGCATTGACTTTCACATTTTTTCAAATTTCCTTCTCAAATTTCTGAAAAGGGGATGGGTGCATGTAATTTAAAAATATACATGCTAGATTTATCCTTGCACCCCGAATTCAACTTGCAATTTTTCTTATCAAATTCGGTGAAATCGACGCGAAACGGGTTTGCACAGTTGGGTCAGCCTGTACCAGATACCTGTAAACGAGTATGACTGAGGATGAGTTTTATATGAGAAATAACTAAATAAATACCTGAAAACGAATAAATTTCATAATTAGTAATTATTTATTTATGTATGTATGCATTTATACATATGAAAAATCGAGTACACCAGTTCAAGGGCGAACGACAAAAAAATTGAGCTACCATATTTTACCCCTGACATCTGCACCAAATGACCCAATTATTCACCATGGGATATTACTAAATTACACGCTGTGAAGTTCGACTGTAATAGATATGATCGATTTAGAAATACGATCCGTCTCGCCCGAATACATCAAATTCGGGAGTGATGTCTGACTGGACATATGTATTTACATTTACAGTTGTGAATAAACAATGTTAACAGTGTGCTATAATTAATGCGATTCCCAAACTCGAATGCACGTATAAAGAAATGTAAATATTTATGTACATACAAAGCAAAAAATGTATGCATGAGAATTTCTAGCATTTTAATTTGTGACAAGATTGTAAATTTTAATAAAGCGCTGATTGAATGAAATGTAATTATTTACTGTAAAATCCATGTTCGTAAAATGTTTCTCGGTTTAAAGTAACATCCATGAAGTCATTTATTTAGAAAGTCAAATTTAACTAACAATTATAAAATAAATCGTTATTATTGTAGATTTTACTGTTATATATCATAACTAGTTGCTCCAATATTTAAACAAGGGGGTCAATTTCTAAAATAATTAATTACAGATAAATAATCTTTTTACATAGTCAGAAATAGAGTATTGGTAAAAATATTGTTAAGGATCTTTTATAGGTATTTATATAGTCAGTTGTACGTATTTATGTATTTATTATTACGAGGTTCCAATTTTTGTTATTTACTCAGGGTAAAAATGACGTTTTGATACTTTGTAAATCGTTCGTACCTGTGTGGTGGCGAGAGATAAAGGTGTCTGGCTAAATTGACTTTACAAATTAATGACAGGCAAACCTGGCGATTTGCTAAAAAACTACTTCGTAGCTTTTGAAGGACGCTGTGTTAGACGCCTACCTACGGGCTCACGTTTGGCAGTACGCTTACCCGAAGTTGGGACGGATTTAGGTTTGCTTTGACTATTCGGTCGAGTACTGGGCTTTTTCTTTGGACATCTTCTCCTCCTTCCCCCTTCGACATAATCTGGGTCGCGGTCGTCATCGACGTCATCGTCTGAGGAACTGCTGCTGCTGCTACTCTTTGTAATATCCACTGATTCCTCGGCTGCGCTGTCCGAGTCAGACAAATCTTGCCATTCTGATACCCCACTTATTATTTTTTTCAGATGCACGCGTCCAGGCACCTTCCTTCCTATTTGTTTCTCGTAGCGATCCACATCTTTTTGTTTGGTGTCAATTTCATCTTCACTGCAATTGCGACAGAATTAAACGAATGTAATACATGCATAACTTCAATATTAAATAATTCAATACGAATGATTTTAATATAGATTCAATATAATCTTATATATAAATATTGTATACTTACGAGCATGATACAACCTCACATTTTAGTTGTCGAGATATTTTGTGATCCTGGAATATGTGTTCCATTAGTTCCGCCTCGGAGGAGAAATCGCATTCCCAACAAATGCAACAACGGTACACTCTGATAGTTATTGGTGTGACAGTTATTTTTACGTTTCTACGTCGATTATCTGTGTAATCAGTCTTCTCCTTAATTTTGCTGGGTTGAGATGGGGTTTCCGACGAAGATTTGTTGGACTCGGATTGCTTGTCATGATTTTCGGTACCTTTCGACCCAGCAAAGTCATGGCCTTGCTCATCCTCCTGCAACGTATCAGTACTAATAGCATCTTCCCCAATATTAATGGCTGGCTCGTCACTTTCATCTTGATTCTGCTGTTGGGGGGTAGTATTTAAATCGCATAATGACTGGTCCCCCATTGACTTGGTAAGTTCTTCAATGATGACATCAGTTTGATTTGAATTGGTATTTAGACTTGAGTAATCAAGACTAGTAGTGGGCTGTGAGTTGAATGAATGGCTCTCGTTTTGTTCATCCACTACTGCTGGAGGTTGTTCCTGGTATATGGGAAAGTCACAGGTCTGAGTGTACCTTGTGGTCATCGGAGGGAGCCAGGTGACCTCGTCGTCGTCGTCCTCCTCCTCGTCTTCGTCGTTGTGAGGAGCAACGCATACCAAACGAGAACTTGTAGCCAACGCCGATGACACGTCCAAGGACTTATTGGCACGTTCTTTCCCTCTTCTACGAGGGGTCAATTTCTTTTTGTAAAGTTGACCCGGTCCCTCAAAAGTAGCCCCTCCATCTCGTGGTTCGAAATCCATTGCTTGAACGGTAGCAAGTGGGAGATACATTCCGCTGTGAATTACAATTCTGTCAAAAATGACTTCGTCGTCCTCTTCCACTTGACCGTTTGCGCCTTCATCTTCACCAACTGTATTTTCCGGTTGGACGTCTTCCATTGTCAATCCGTATCTTCCTCTTCTGTAACACACGAATCAAATTATATTAAACCAATTATATTAAACCAATTAAACCTTTCAACTTGCATCTAATTTAAATGAAACCATTACAATTTTATTTTATTTACAAGAAAAAAAATCCTTCAATTTTCTTCACTAAAATTCCGTCCGTCCGTCCTCTGTGGAGCTCGTGTAGTTGTTCGGCGCGCACCCATTCATTCATTTCCACAGATTCTTTCCTGACGAACGAAAACGAAAAACAAAAAATGCTAGATCCTCCGCTCCGCATCCGCTCCACCACCAATCTCTCACGCATACTCAAATAGTGCACATTTCCATGCAAAATTTCACGATGAAATGCATATGTATGCATGTGTATGTATTCAAGTTGTTTATTAAATACAAAGAATTAAAAATTAGTAAAAAAATTCTCCACTTGAAGGAGTAGCTTTGAAAATTGATTCCATTTTGTTTACTTATTTTTTATTTTTGTTTGGATTTTTCGATAAATAACTATGTACATACATGCATACATAATCGTCCAAATTATGATTATCTGCGTTACCACGTTGTGGATAAACAAATCCTGATAATATCGGTGGCTTGGTTTTTATGAATTTTTTATATAACTTTTATCTATCTTCAATTGTTTTTAAAAATATGGACATGGAACCCTTCTTACAAATGAATGAATGTACCTACATAAATATTTGCATATCCCAGCACTGCGAAATATATAAAGCGTTTTGAAGTAATTTCATTACTGATAACGGCACATTTTGTTAACACGCCTTGTCCTTTTAATGTCAATGCAAACAAACTCGTGCCGCTATCTCAATGTCAATCAATCATTCGATAATGGTTTAAAAAAATCAACTATCGATTCGTATACCTATTTTACTAGAAATGCCAAATTAAATCGCTTGTTGACAATTACAAGCTACTTTTTGGAGTATACAATTTTCATTGCATGCCACTTTTTTTATTCCAAAATATTTATATCAGAATATTCAGACAAGAGAATTTTTTTATAGACTTCTCGAATTTTTTTCATGAACTTGTATTTTTTATTTTGACAATAGTAGAACGTTGGCTAGTTCATATCACAATGGTTAAAATTAAAAATACTGACATTTTACGATAATCAAGGCTGCTATTTGATAATACATTGCTTCATAAAAACTTTTTTCTGGTTAAATTCCAATCGTTGACATAAATACTTAGATTAACATGAAAAGATTGTAACGCTAATTGTTAAAAAAACCTAAACCAATGGGCAAAGTATTTGTTTCTCGACTATTTCCTTTAAATTTTCTTGCAACATTTTATTCAATAATTTTATTAATACCAATTTGCAATTCTAATTTCAAAATTACATCGCCACCCACCGGGATAACCTACCGTTTAAACATTTCTCCAAGTTATTCATCCACCTGTCTTATCGCTATTTTAAACCTGGATGACGAAGCCAAACCTCCCGATATTTCCGTAACGTCCCCCGTCGTCCAAGGAACGCTAGACTTTTTCCAAGACGCTTACAACCTACAGATAAAACGAGACCTTGACTTGCTCCGTAAACCGAGCAATTGTTACATCCTAATCCTCGTGGAACCCACCCTTTCACAAATTTATTCTGAACTCCTCGGATTTTCCAGGATTTACGGGTGGCGAGAAAGTACAACAATAATTGCTCTTTTGCCTAAAGGCAGCACGTGGATATTCACCTTGCGGGATGAAACGAACCGAATAATGATAGCCAGTGACATGTACAGCTCAACAATTTATTTCGTGACATCTTCCAATTTGTTCTTCTTCTATTGCAACTTTTGCCCGGGAGACGAATCGCCCATATTAAAGCTTCCGCCAGAAAATAGCCCAGGGTTTCAGCTTACCCCAGAAGTAGCAGAACTTTACTCCTCCATGACCTCCTCATTCTACTCCAGTACCGTCTACGTCCTAGGGAAATGCTTCACCTCCCACTACGATGCAGATAAGATGTGCCTCATCCATCGCCAAACGATCCTCCATCTCTCAACAAAGTACAACTTTACCCCAAAGTACATCAAGTTATTTGCTGAGTACCGCGCTGAGTGTGCCAATTTCAAATGTTCCTTGAACTCAATGATCTCCGAACCGTTTTTTAATGACTACGGTCCCGGCGTGGATGTCACGTTTTTCGAGTTGCAACAAGTCATTTTCGGAGCGTTTTATTGCATGAAAAAGATGATTCTTGAAGACAGCGTGGTCACATGGAGGAAATGGACGTCACCGTTTACTTCGCCCGTTTGGCTGTCCTTGTTTGGAATTTGTATATGTTTCGTCATAGTTCACGCTTCTTCGTTTCGTTCAAGGAGAAAATTTTCTTCGGAAACGTTATTCACAGTGTTTACCCTGCTACTTCGACAATCACCCCCAAACACGGCGGGTAGTGATCGTCCCGCAATAATTCTCCCGCTTCAAGTCCTCTTCTCCTTTTTAGTCATACTCGTCATGAATTTGTATGAGGGCTTCATGACCACCAATATTTCTGTTCCACTACCGCCGAAGGATTTCCAAAATTTGGGACAACTGCTCGACGCCGGATACAAATTTGGTTTCCCAACCGATAACATAACAGAGTATTATGTTAGGTCAAACTGGTCCGAATTTGTGTTCGGGTTTTCGAAAGCTAACCAATTTTGGAGGTATAATACGAGTTTTATTGCTATGGGTCGAACTGGCTCGTTCCATAGCACGGTTAAGGAGAACATTTTAACAGCGACGGATATGCCATACGACGTGGCGTGGATGACGGCTTATTTCCTCCAACCGAAATACTGTGTTATGGTGAAAGAACCATATTTCACGAGGATATTCAAATTTCGATTCGCGCGCCGAATGGCGGGTCAATTTTCTAGGGAGATGGTCAAGCTAAGACAAACTGGGTTAATGGAGATTTGGAAGCGACATTACATAAGCGAGAAATTTGAAGGCTGGTTAAAGTACATTTTGCGGGAGAAGATGATACGTGAAAGCTACATCAGGATGAAAACTGGGATTGATATGGTTTTTATGATGTGTGGAATGTTGATTGTGATGGCGTTGTTGAGTCTGATTTTTGAAAAGGTTGCACATTGTTCACAGACATGTAAATAACACAAACACAATTTAAATGCTGCATAGTTGTAAAATTCTAAACCGGATGAACAATAACTTGAAATGGACACCATTCTAACATAATTATACAATGAATAACACGTCTTCTCGACCTATTTAAACTCACTGGCTTACATAAATAAGTATGCTTTTCTCACAGATAACTATGTATGTGCGTACTTATTTATTATTATTTAACTGTGTACTTTACATGCACGTGCGTTCATTTGTTCCACGCGTGTGTAGTAAATAAGGAAAAAGCTTGTTAAATAAATCAACCTATTTAGTCAATCAAATCGATATCAATTGATGTAAAATCATGAAACTTGTCAAATTAAAAATAAATTCTTCTTGAGGAATGAAAAGTAGACTGGATTTCTCATCCGAATAAATATTTCAGCATTATCTCGGTCCCATTACATGTCAACAAATAAATAAGCAATTATTTACTTTGCTCTATTGCTTATCTCATGGCGTATGTGAAATTCTAGTAGCCAACCTTTTTACTTAAACCATTTGTACCCATAAGTCCACCTCCATGTTAATTAAAAATATATACGGTACATGCTGATATTTAGATATGTAAATATTCGTCCCTTAATTTATACGAAGATAAATATTTACATACAGATACACATTACATTATACATTTCCTCTCGAAATGCCTTATTCATGTACGAAGCGGAAATTCATCTAATATTTCGCTACAACAAGAATGTGACAAAACGAACCTGGTCGTCACTTTCACCTCACATTCACACCAAACCCTTCTTACCATCAATACCAAATTTATCAGAAAATCGGCCGAAAAATGTTAACTATCACATTTTTGCCAAATTTAAAGCAACACCTCTTCGTCATTAAACTCTTCGCGTGCCTTCCATTAGAATGGGATGGAGTTTCTGGTTCTATCACACTGAACAAATCACGCGTTCGCGAGACCATAATGAAATGTGAAATGCTTGTACAACTAACTCACGCCATTTTACAAGTAGTAATGACCAATTTTTCGCCATACTCGGATGGCGCCAAGCTCCAATCCGTGGCAATCACGGGGATATTTGTTACGGGTATTTTTGTCCGTTGGAATTGGCCAATTGACAGATCCCCTAGCGAACTTATCAACTGCATGCTGCATTTCGAGCGAACCCTCCTTAAAGGTGAGTTGCATTCGAAAAATTCGAAAAATTGTGGTTGCTTGTAATAATTCGATGGCAAACTGCATTTTTTACCTAATATTTTGTAACAGATTGTCCCGCATTATTTAAACCATGGCCAATCTTACAGATCACGCCTACAAAAAATGTCACGTCGACCATCTCATGTCCCTCGTTCTCCCCGTGATCTTCTCGTCCTTCATAATTGTCCCCGTATTTGCGGGACTCATGTTGCTCCATGCATCCCCCCTTTTGTAGGATCCATGCTACCCGCTTGCCGAAGCGGGCAAGGACTCCTACTCTTTTCCCGTTTTAATCATATTCCTCTCAATATTTGACACGTTCATGTTTTTAAATGGGACTGTCTCGGGTGGATATTACATAACGCACGTCCTCATTTCGGGCAGTGTTAGTCTCTGGAACTATATCAGAATCTTTAAAGCATGGTAAAAAAAATAACTCCAGAAGCTTTCAAATATCTATTTCAAAAATTCTAATTATGTCCCAAAAGGAGTTTGAACCCTTCCGTGACTCCCACGTTTTTGCTAAAATCGTACAAAAACCTCCGCGTCCTCGAAGCGATCAACAACAATTGTGTCCGTGCCCGCATTTTGCCCGCATTGGTGGTTGACCTACCCGCCATACAGCTGGCTTCTGGATACGTTTGCATAAAATTGCATACCACCATGAGCCTTCCAGCCATCGCGTGCTTTGGTCTGATTTACTGGGACGTCATTATCTTCACGACGGCCATGTTTACGGCGTCATCGCGCGTCTACACAAAATCGGGGGAGCTTCTGGCCACGTGGCGGGCTCAGTGGAGGAGCGGGTCAAGGTCAGAATTGAGAAGGTCGCTGAGTTCCCTGTGCCCTGTGAAGGTACGATTTGGGAATAATTTTGTGGATCACAGTACCCCTCTGGTATTTCAGGATACGATCAATAATCTCACGGTGTCATGTCTTCTAATAGCGCATTAAATTGATTACATTATGTTGAGTTTTTCATTAATAAATCGTTACATATGTAGATACATGCAGTCACACGTGACAACGTTTATATATGTACATAAACACTATAGAACTAGCATGTTTAATTAAAACTATAGGTATGACGGCACAAAATTCCCTTTGTCCGTTGAACCTGTGCAAAATACTTAGCCAAATGTACATAAGTACTTATTTAGAATGGTAGTCATATTGTTTAGTCATTTGTGTGAAAAATACACAAAGCATCAGCGTCAGATCTAAGGAGGGGAGCTTGCGAGGTTGATAATAACAGATCTCGATGCCCTTTGGATATGTGGTAGGGTCTCATGAGTGTACTAAAACCCTGAAGTAGTTTGACTCCATGGCCACATTTGCGCCCGCCACACCCACTCAAAAATGTCCAAAAAACGCTTTCACCCCAGTTTTCACTCACTCAAATCCACGCCAAAAATCCAATTTTACTCGGATTTTGAAATTTCTTTCACCATTATACTCCCAGATAGTTGCATTCTTCAATCCAATATCAAACTCAATTTTTTCGAAATTTTTAGTATTTTTAAAATTTAAAATTCTGAATGAGCATTGTTGTAGTCATCAACAAAACAAATTATGTTTGCGAAATAATCATCAATAAAATTGAGTTTGATATTGGATTGAAGAAAGCAACTATCTGGGAGTATAATGGTGAAAGAAATTTCAAAATCCGAGTAAAATTGGATTTTTGACGTGGATTTGAGTGAGTGAAAACTCGAGTGAAAGCGTTTTTTGAGTGGGTGTGGCGGGCGCAAATGTGGCCATGGAGTCAAACTACTTCAGGGTTTTAGTACACTCATGGGTCCCTACCACATATCCAAAGGGCACCAAGATCTGTTATTATCAACCTCGCAAGCTCCCCTCCTAAGGTAGACAAAGTTGGCTCGATTTGGACTATATTTCATATTCGCATATTCAAGTATTCAATTCATATGTACAAACATTCATATGTACATATGCGCCTATTACGTATCCTGTCATAGGTATATTGTTTGTGTTCTTATCTTATCAACACTGAAAGGAATCACATGTTCGTGGTTTAACATTATCAAGGCTTTCTCTTTCTCCGTTTATGTACAAATAAATAGATGAATACACTCGGACCCATATGTTAGAACAAAGTCAAGGTAAATGGTCGGAAAATTGATAGAATTTAATTATTTAAACTTAAACAGTCATTATACTTCAATGTGCATCATTGTACTTATCTGTAACGTACATAGAAAAACCAAACCATTTAACAACTCTGGGGCATGTTGGGAACGCGAGATGACGACGTAGAGAAGGTATGTATTGGGGTTTACAGGTAATTCATATTGAATGATTATAACTTATTATTAACCTTACCTACGTGAATAATATTCAAGAAAGTACTAAAATATGTGCTGTAGCCAACCAGCTACATACCTAAGTTACACGTTTACATAATTTCGCACAAAGTATGGCAAAAGTTGTTAAAAATTCATCAATCTTGTTACACTTACACTAAAATGACTTTTAGTTATTATTTATTTTACTGCAAGATTTTCTTGTAGGAAGCCATCGCGGCAAAGCTTGATACGATCTTACGCAATTTGACACCTACAACGTTGTCTGAAACTGTTGAAGAATTTACAAAGCTTCCTTATGAAAGCAATTATGATACAATTGTGGACGCAATTATTGCAAAGATCGGAAGGGAACCATCCTACGGGGAAAAATGTGCAAAGCTGGTGCTGAATGTCAATATAAATTTATATATATATTTGTAAATATTTATCTAAATTTAATTCAACCTTAGATTTATTTCGTTCATTCCGGGAAAACCAAGGCTTCCAGCAAACTCTTGGAACTTATCCTGGTCCGATGTCAACTACAGTTTCACATCAACGTAAAACGACAATTATCTCGTAGCGAAGATCTCACGGAAGAGAAAAATTCTCAAGCAGTTAGAAAAATGTGTCTCGGAAATACCATCTTCATAGCGGAATTGTTTAACTTGGATTTGTTGAGTGAAAAAGTTTTAGCAAACTGTGTTCAAGTTTTGTTAGGTAGGACATGTACTAATGTATGTATATGTATGCATACGTACAATTTACGTACATGGTTTATATGTACATATGTGCTTCGCCCTTAGAAAACTGATACATTTTGATCTATGTTTAGAATCAAATGACGACATAAACCTGGAGTGTCTATCCATACTGGTGACCAAGGCTGGACAAAATTATCAAGCTAAGGCAGCCTCAAGTATGGACAAAATTTTGGAAAGTATCCACTCCCACTCTGACAATGCAGCGATATCAGCAAAATCCTGCAAGATTTTAAAGGTTAAGCTACATACATACATATATGTATGTACAAATCTGAGATCTACATACATACAGATTGCAAATCCGTTAAACATGTGGAATTTTTTTCATATGTAATTATGTGTGAAGAATGTTGTCAAACTTGGAAGAAATAACTGGGAAAATCGAAAAACAGTCAGAAATATGAAGGCCAATATTATAACTTTGAAAACAGAGGTGCGTATATTATTTCTCATTTTATGTATGTATGCACACTAATTTATGTATAAGTAAATATCTGTTAACGCTTAACAGGAAGTGGGAACGATAAGTGACACCTGTAAACCGTTTACAACACCAGTTTCTGACGCATTGGAGGGAAATACTTCACCAGTTCTTTTCAACGGCAAAGGAGGAATTGATAGCTTACCGCCAGTCTACAGAATTCTAACAAATGCCACTGACGTACAAACCACTACGAATTTTACCTTGTAACGAGAAATTTTCAAATACTTCATAAAATGAAATAGTTTGTAAGATTGTAAAGAACTGATTCCTTGTACATAATAGGACAGACCTGTCCACCGAAATTCTACCAAGCCCTCAAAATAATCAGATTGAAGAAATTTCTACCTGCCAAATTTCTAGAAATTTTACCGAAGGGGAACATTGCCCAACTGAACGTGACGACAAGCTCCGATATTTATCCATGTACGCAAATTACGACAGGATGCTGGCACAACTACCCTATGAGACGGTGGAGGATTTAAATATGGACATTTGCATCATGATTTATGAGAAACTGAAGGCGTATAAGGAACATGAAATTTCACATTCTAAACCCCACTAATTTATGCCGGATATTGATAAATTTTGTTAACCTAGTGACGATCCTTGGTATAGTTAAATATCAAACAAAAACAATTCTGCACCATCTTGATTAATGAAATTTTAATGATACTCATTAGCATTGGGGGTTTTCACGATCTTCGTAATTGTGGATTCTTAAAAAAATAATCGTAAATTTATAAAGGGTTGACGTGAAACACCTGCAATGACCTGCATAAATAATAGATTAGTATAGGTTTATATATTCAAAGCCAATTTATGTATATATGGTGCTCGAAATATGCTGACTTTTACAAATATTCATTTAAAATATTTTTACAAAGAAAAAGACCTTGCGAAGTTTTATAAATGTTGTAAATTTACGATGTCCACCACAGTAAAGAAGGTGACATGAAAACCTTTATCGTTGATTCAACAATGTACATGTATATTTTTAGCTAAGCATTAAATTATTCTTCCAAAATCTAACTTCGACCACGTTATAAATAACTTAACACCTTATTAGCTTAGTGAAAACTAAATACATATAAAAATTGCAAAACTCATTCCGGTCATTTAAATAAGCATAATTTTTGCATGTAAATCATTTCAATAATCATAAATCTCTAGAAAAAATTATGTTACATAATTGTTCTCATAGTTATAAAATAATTCATGCCTATAGCTTTTAGAATTAATGATAAGCGAAACATTTTGCATTTCTCAGCATGAAAACTGACACTCTTTTTGCATGCATTTTACATTTCATGAACAAAGACAAGAAACTTCCTTCTTTCTGCTACGCGGGACCCGAGGAGTTCTCTTCCATAAAAATCCAACAAACCACATGTTTCATCATTTCTACAGTTTTTGTCACGCTGAAAATTCAAAGTGTTTATAAAAATGTAACCTATAGAAGAATAATAATTTCGTAACCATGACAACCCCACCGGTTTGCTTATTTTGTCGAACCAGTTGTAACTGCGGGTCAGAATTCGTCCCAGTATTTATAACTTATCTCAAAACTGTGAACATCGATGTGAAAAAATACGAGAAAAATTTCCGCCGTGAAGATTTTCATTGTTGCGAAAAATGTGGCAGCCTTCTGGAAACAATTTCTCGACAGGTACAAAAACTTGAGCAAGATTTGCTTACAATTCAACGCATCACGTTGGAAAATTTGGATCGAAACGAGCTTATCCATAAGGACGACGAGGTTTTGGAAAAGTTGAGAAGGCAGAGCGTCTCTGGTGAGCATAACTTGCATAATTATATATAATTAATTTTACTGTTCACTGTTTAATTTTGCTAAATATTTATTTCAGACTTTACTCCTTCCATCTCTTTGAATAAGGAGCAGATCCCAGAAGGACTACAACCACACCACAGCTTTATTCCAGATGATGGAATTTTAAGTAAGTTTTCCTTCAATTATTGTTTTTTAAATGATCTAAGGGATAATCAAACTAATTAAAAATTATGAATATATATGTAGCTCCAACCGAAATTGAAATAGATGCAGATGAAAGTGACGTGGACAGTGACGTTTCTGCAAAAATTGAAGATGATGACGATGTCGATATCGACGATGGAATGAAAAATAATCAACTCGATGGGGAAGAAGAAATTGAGCTGGACGAGTTCATGCTTTCCCCAGAGCAGGATGACGATCCGCTACAATCTGATGCAGATTACGATCCACTCCAATCCGATGAAGATGACGGAAATAGTTCTCCGGACGAGTCACTTAACAAAATTGTCAGAGTCAAAGTCGTCAAGCTGGTTGAGGAGCCCCCTCAGCCCCCTGCACCTAAAAGGTATAGGCTAATAGCACCCAAACCTCAACCAGTGCTGCTACCCCTGCAAAATTTTACTGCTTCATCCCATAACCAAAGCGACGCAAGTGTCACGGTTCGTCATACCCGACAAGGAATAACGGTACAAATTAGTAGTTGTGTAAATTTTGAGTAATTTATCAATCAATTTTCGCAAATTTAACTATTTACTTTAGGTTACATCCCCTGATAAGATTGAAAATACCTCCGAAAAGCCGGAAATTTTCCACCGAGTAATATGTTCCGGGGTGGACGTAATACAGATGAACGAATCAGCCTTCAAATGTGGCACGTGTGATTGTATTAAAGATTCTTTGGGTAGTATGGCAGCACACGTCCAAACAGAACATAGTATGAAAGCCTACTTTTTTTTACCATAGTTCATAATAAATGAACATAGCTTAATGTGACTATTTTAATGCAGATGCTCTCATTCGTTTCCCTATCAAAGGCGCCTCATCTCTGTTCCAAAGTACAAATGTTTCTTGTTGGGGACAAGCAATCACAAAGGATTCATATTCTTCTCCTGCTTCCCAAAGTACAAGCATTCCAGACAAAAAGTGTGACAGGTGTGATCTATCTTTTGAAACGGAGGCATCCCTGATTGACCACAACTCTGCGGTTCATTATAACGGGGCGCGATTTGTTTGTGAATCTTGCAAACTTGGATTTATAGAAAAAGAGAATCATGACTATCATGCTCGAAAATGCAACGGGTCCTCATCACAGGATGGAATGGGGGCTTCTGAGCAAATCGTAATCGCCGACTCGGTTGGGACTTATCTCGGCGTGGAAATTAAGCAAGTTGTCTCTGAGGAGGACCAGCGAACATATGAGTACGAGTGTGGTCGTTGCAATACAAGACGTAAAAATAAGAAACATTTACTTCTCCACATTCGCCTCAAGCATACAGGTATTAGAATTTAGGTTAGAGTAATTGGTTAGTAATTGGTAGTAATTGGTTAGTATTTTTTATTTCAAAACGGACACAAAAAATGTCAAAATTCCATCTTAATATCGACAAGGTATTCTAGATTTTCGAGTACATCAGTGTAGGATGGAGTTTTTATGCATATCTAAGTAAGAGGGATAAATTATGTAGTACAAATTTACAAGCGGATCTCTGAATTTAATTTCTCACCTTACAGAATTTTGTCATTTTTTAAAAACTCATACCAGCAATATAATGATTTAAAATCTTACAAAATGCTCGGTTGTTGTCCAAATTATGACTCTTTTTTAAATATTTTAGATCATGAGCCCTTCAAATGCTTGAACACCGGGTGTGGATTCGCCTTCGCATCACTGGCCACTCTAAATGACCATATCAGTATATATCGCCACAAGCTGAAGAACGTGTGCGAAATCTGCTCAAATGTTTTACCCTCATCGCGAGAGTTAAATCTCCACGTGCTCACCGTGCACCATAATCTCACCCGTTACTCCTGCTCCCGCTGCGGGAAAGGATTTCATATCCTTGCGACCTGTCGTCAACATGAGGTTCATTGTCCAGGCGTGAAGGAAAAGAAAAAAGCGAAGCCAAAGCCGAAGAAACCCAAAGCATTGGACCCGGATGAGCAAGCTAGGCTGATCGAGTCGGTACGAGAATCGATTCGAGGACAAGGAATACTTTCTAGTCGTTGCCAATACTGCACCAAAACGTTATTCGGTTCTTCCCCGGCGATTTCCCTGCATGAGAAAATATGTCAAGTGGAAGTGAGTTCTGTCGGGGTACAAATTGAGAGCAAGTGGAGAGAAAGTCTGGTCCCTGTCGACACCGGGGCGTGGGTTCTGAAAAACGTGGAAATTACCAAGTCACAAATTACTCAAGATCCTGAAGTAGTAATGTACAAATGTGGTGGATGCAATGAAACGTTTAAGGAGAGGGATGACGCTGTAAAACATGTCAAGGAAGCTAATCATTCCAATTAAAATTTATATTGGCAGCCAGTGAGTTAACACTTTACATAGCGGGCTAAGCATTAAAATGTTGATGAAAATTTTTTTCCGCAAAGAACATAATTTATTCAATTCGACTCAACTACTAATTTTCACAATTTTTGTCAAAATTTTGATTTTCACGTCAAAAATATAAACAATTAAGGCGAATGGGGTTCAATGTGTTGTATTATTTTTACCCCCAAAAAACACATTCGCACTTTTTGTACTTTGTACTGCGGTGAAAAAGTTATTATTTTTTAAGACTTTTTCAACTGGCAGTTGTTTCTCTTCCCTTAAGTGATTTTATAAAATATTTAAAAATTTGTCATCAACATTTTCATGCTCAGCCCCGCTATATGAAGTGTAAACTCACTGGCAGTACGACAATTTAAAAACATGTGCCTCATGATTTGATTAAGTAAATAGTGTGCTTATTTATGCTAGTTGATATTGCCTGTTTATTATGGGGTTCAATTGTTTTTTTAATGATTCGTAGATGATTAAATGACATGATGTTCTAAAAATGAAATTATACGTAAATTCTCCATGCTGGTTACACATTTTTCATAGTGTTACTTATGCACAGATTGTTAGTCTTAAAAGGTGAGCATTTCCTATCAAGTTAATACTCCCTGTGGGAGTGGCTGCATAGTTAAGTACTTACATTTCCGGAGGAGGGGCGACTGCATAGAAAAAAACTTCCAGATCCATTTACATTTAAGGGCAAGTATTTGCATATCTATGTACTGACGCAAGCAGGGATTGACACTGATATTTTATACAGAGGGATCTGACTGACGATTATACGAAAATAATTACTAACGAAGGACTAGTCCTAGGTCTGTACGTACGAACATGATTTTGTTGTCCGTAATTTTTTAGACTTTAAAAAATAAAGAAATTAAGTAAAATCAATTCTTCTCTCAAAGGACATTCATTTTAATGCGCGTTTTTACATGAAAATGTTTGAGAATTTTAACGAAGCAGCACAAAAGTAAAAGAATATGCAAGTTCGTTACTTCCATTGTATTTTTTCTCCAATGCTAAAGAGGACAATGTACACCGAAAATTTGAATGTCAAAATTATGTTAATTTGTTTGTATGAAGGACTTTTACCATTATTCGAAATTTGCTTAATGTCACGACGCAAGATGTGTCCTCTCATTATTGTTTCTGCTTCCGGAACATAACAAGGTATTGCATAATTTCTACGAGTTTCGTGGAAATTTGAGAATTTTTTTAAATATGCAAAATCTGGGTATCTTGAAAATCACGGTACTCCTGCTATTTACTCCTAACCTATTCGTTGAAGGAAAACCTGCCGGAAAGGTGATCACAATCCGCGGAGGAGATGTTAGAGGGAGAATCTCGATAGCCAAAGGTATGCATTGATTATTAATAAAGCAAGCTAACCAAATTATTCATAATGACGGCTACATATCAGGGGGTCGCCTCTTTGTCGAGTACACTGGCATCCCCTACGGAAAAGCGAAGCGATTTGAGGTACAGAAACTAAACATTTAAAAGAGTCAAGTATTTCTTAACAAATGTGCATGCATAATAATTTTTCTCCAGCTTGCGAGACCAGCACCAAAATGGGAAGGCATTCTTGAAGGTTTTAATACATAATAAATCAATCAATCAATAAAATTTAGGAATGTTAAGTTAAGATGGTATTTACAAATAATACCAATTAATCTCAGCCTCCAAGAAACCAGAGCCTTGCCCGTATCAGGACATGCGTTCCGGAGTCCCTCACGGAAGTGAGGATTGTCTTTTCATAAACGTCGCCACGCCAAAAACGCATCCAAAATATCATCTCAAGAATCTTCCCGTCTTGGTCGTAATTCACGGCAGCTTTAGCGAGTGGCACGACCAAGGGGGACACTTTAACGGGGCCAAGTACTTTCTGGATGAAGACGTCGTCCTCGTGTCATTCAACTATCGACTGGGACCCTTGGGTAAGGAATCTTAGCTCACTTTAGCGTTTATAAAATTAAACGTAGGTAATCTTAGATTTGCAAAAAAATAAGCAATTTCGCACGACAATTTCACTAACAAGAATTCTGTAGATTAATTGCCAAATTTTTCTGTGCAGGATTTCTGAGCACATCGGATGAAACAATCCCTGCCAACTTGGGCCTTAAAGATCAAGTCCTAGCGTTGAAGTGGGTACAAAAGAATATTTGGCTTTTTGGCGGTGACCCTGGTCAGGTGACGCTACTCGGACATGGTTCCGGTGCGGCGGCAGTTCATTACCACGTCCTCTCCCCCATGAGTAAAGGTAGTCAGCCCATCCCAATTTACAGGCCAATGAATTTTTCAAAACAAATACGTAAGACTTTTCACCATAATTTGGGCATAGGTCTCTTTCACAAGGGGATCTTGCAGAGCGGAAACTCTCTCTGTCCGTGGTCCTTTGTGGATGATCCGGAAAAGACATTTATCAATTACGCCACCGCCATGAACTGCTCAGAATCTTTGGACAGCGCCCCCATCATTGCATGTCTTCGAGAAAAGAACGCCTCTGAACTGGTTGCTGTCAGTTCGAAAGCAAATTACATCTTCAATGGGGTAGTTTTTACAGTTTTGTCTAATTTTGTGACTTTTGCATGAAATCACATTGAGAAATTCAGACTCTGAATTTCAGAGTGCTTAGAAATTCACTGTAAAGATGGAGAAAGTGGGCATATTTGCTTGACATTTGTCCAAACTTTGAATAGCTTCATGCAAAAAAATCATACAAGCAAGGGACTTCAATTTTTCAAATTAATTTGCATCCTAAATAATTGCAGAATCGTGAAGAAACCGGAAATAATGTGTACTTTGGTCCCGTGCTGGAACACTGGATGCGTAACTTTCCAGACCGACCCTCCTTCATTAATCACTTTCCCCAAAATCTAGTCGCCAACTGGTCCAATGAAACCATGTCCTCTGTTCCCCTTCTAATCGGTGCGAACGAGCTGGATGGAATCACCCTCGACTGGGCAGGTCCGTGTCGTTTCTCGCTCTAATCTTGCATAATTTTCGAAATTTTCCAACAGAAAATATATTTTGTACAATTTTATTTACTTAAAAAATTTTGAATTACGCAAATTTGGCCAAATTTCTTATATTTTTTACAGAGCACGTCTCTCGCCAATTTGAACCCATCGAGGGTGGTTCGGTCTGGTATGACTATAAGCTCAAACGCTTCGGTTTATTCTTCGGATATGCAAATCGTGCTGGGAACAAGACCTCTGACGTTGATGGAAAGGTTTTCCAGCACTACTTTGGTGACGGGGGTGATTCGAGTGCAACTGATACCACTGACGGAGACAATAATGTTAGTCCCACTGAGGCCAGCGTTTCCGGTGACGATGATGCCAATTTTAGCACGACTGAGCCCAGCGGTTCCACTGATAGCGGTAATACTTTTAGTACGACGGAGACCACGGATTCGAGTGGCAATAATTCTAGTACCACCGAGACAACTACTTCCAGTGAAGGTCCAGATGAGACAGAAAGTCTCAGTGGGGTCGAGATCGATTTGGGTGACAAGTTCTTTCACGCTCTCGGACATCGCCACTATTTTCAGGTGAATTAGCGCATTAATAAAATTGCAGCCATATTTTTGCGATATCGATTTAGACGTTGCTAAAATACATTTAAAGGGTGTTAATAAAGTCCGATCCCATGCATTTTTTGGAGCGTGGTTGTTACAAATTCAGCTGGAACTTTTGAACCAGTGAAGTTATTTATTTCAAATTTTTACCATGGGAGGAACAACTAAACGTGTAAGTCATGAGCATCTTAGAGTTGAGATACAAACATTGCATCAGCAGGGGCTTAAACCTACAGAAATTGTGCAAAAATTGGGCTGCAGCCGCAGAACTGTTTGGAAATGGAAGAATAAAAATTTTGTCCACGACAAAAAGCGACCAGGGCGACCCAGAAAGGTGTCACCTACCACAAAAAGAATGATTAAAAACAGACTTTGCAAGAAAACCGGTAGTTCATTACGTAATTGAGCAAGGGAGTTAAATGACTCAAAACGCTATAAAGAGAAGAAGAAGCAAATTAACTGTGTGACCGTGCAAAAATTTGTGAAAACTACGAAGTGGGGTCACACAGCTTACAAACTAACCAAAAAAACCTCTCATGTCACAAAAATATATCGATGACCGTCTGAAATTTGAAGAACTCCTTCAGAAAAGTGCCCATTTGAGTGAAAAAAGACTTGGTGAAGAATTGCGCAGTCACATCCTTTGGACTGACGAATCTATTATTGAACTATATCCAAAATTGAACCAACAAAATGTTCGTTACAGGACAGAAAACAAATCGGATGTACCATCAAGAGCGATCCCAAAATTCGGGCTTAAAGTTATGGTAGCGGGTGGATTTTGTGCACGTTGCGTGACCCCTCTACATATCATACCAAAAGGCCAATCAGTCAATGCAAAGCATTATATGGAAAAAATATTACCTATCTATTTCGATAGCATGGGGAACAAGGAAATATTTCCGAATGAAAGAAAAATAGTTTTAATGCAGGATGGTGCTATAGCCCATACAGCAAAAGCGAGTTTGAGTCTCATCAAGACGCAAGTTTCAACGGTCTGGAGCAAGGGGGTGTGGGCCGCTAACGGCCCAGATTTGAATCCCCTGAAGAACCAGTGGTCCATACTTAAGGAAAATGTATACAAAGAGCCACAACCCCGGACGAGGGAAGAGCTAGTAAAAAAAAGTTCAAGATGTATGGAATTCGATTTCCAGAGGCACATTGGAAAAATTAGCACAGAGCCTTAAACAAAGAGTTGAGGGCATGGTTAAAGTAAATGGTAACAAGACCAAATACTAAGGTAAATATGTCGAACATTTTTTGTAAGTATCACGGGTAGTTTTTTTTTATACTAGCCTTCACTTTTTTACAGGAAAAATGGGATCGGACTTTATTAACACCCTGTATTATCCATGCCCGTGACAATATTTAAAGTGATATTGCAAAAATTGGGCATTTTTCGACTGCGGTTTGTAACACAAATAAATAAATTTGATGATTTATAGTGTACCAGAAAGGCGGCCTTATCCCACGCCGAAATCGCTCCAACGTTCCTCTACTACTTGACCTATAACCGAAACGTGTCTCACCTGGACTTTTGGATAGACAAGTATGGACTCCCTTATGGTAGGTCATCCATTTAAAAATAATAATTTTACAAATGTTATTGATGTCCAAAGTTAGTTGACCCTTCCGAAATTTCCAAAATGTTGTTAATTTTGCTTAATTTTTAAAAGCGTTTAATTTTTGCAGACATCATAAAGCAGAATAAATCCCTGCTCCGCGGCGCCGTGCATGGCGACGAGCTTCAATACCTCTTCGACCTTGATGAGTCCGCAGATTTTCCCCTCATCCGGAAAAAGTTTCGCGAAATGAGCCTTGAATTTTCGCAAAATCTGGTCAAAATCTGGATTAATTTTGCTCGTCAAGGAAAACCGACCGGAGACTGGGAACCTATTTCGGGCGAGGCCAAGTGGCAGATTTTGGGGGACACGCGCGAACCAGGGGACGTCCCGTGGAATGGAGATGTCGATTTTTGGGAGAGTTTGGATCTCGACGGGCTCCGGGAATTGCCCCCACTTCGCGAGCTGAATGACACTCGGAAACATCGGACAAAACAAAATGGGACGGATGAAGATGGCGATGGAGATGGGGACGGCGATAATTCAGAATTTGAAAACAGCAATGACAAATATCGCGATATTATTTATTTGGATGGTCCAGGAGATGATGACGGGACTGGAGGACTGTTTAATTTTCCTCCACTGAAAGAATCATAATTAGTTAAATATTTAAATATTAAATATAGTTAAATATTCTCTAAATAAATGACCTCTTAACTCACTTCCTTGGTATTACATAAAGCGTCCCAAAGTTTCGCATCTTGAGGGTGCGCTTACCTTTCGTAATATTGTAGTCGTAGAAAACTTTACTTTGAACTTACGAACCTTACCAGAGTTAGGTATACTTTGGTTAGTTACGAAGAGGTGGTGAAAACTCCCATTATAATGCTTACATATGTATACAGTTTTGTCTAATTAGCTCGTAAAATAAAATATTACTCAATCAAGTATACATATATTAATGCATATGTATGCATGTAGCATTATGTATGTATGTATGCGCTTATTTTTTTATGGCAGTCTCATTCAAGTACCATATAGACTTAATTTGATGAGCATATTAAACATCAAATCATTGTGAGAATGTTAATGTATGTATTTATCCACACTTTTTTTGTCTTGAATTACAAACCAGTGTAATAAAATGGTTATAATGAGAAGGTTGAGGATTAGTTCATAAAGTCAGAAAATGCCATCTTCTGAAGGAACATAAACGTCGTCGTAAGCTAATGGGGGATGAACATCTGCATATATACAGCATGATGGGTATACATATAATCAAGTCATACTTATTTATGTTAACTTCGAATGTACTATCTAAAGCCATAAGCTTAAACCATTTTCACGTATGTATGTAAATATGTACATAAAAAATATTTATGTAGGTATAAATACTTAAATAAATATGTCTTGGTAAAAGGCCAGACATGTTTCATTGTTGTTTCATTCTGTAGTTGCATGCGAAACGCCCCTTAACCATGGAATTTACTTGTGCATGCATACCACATTTAAGAATTAAAACTAATACGCGAATTTACAATGTCTGGAATATTCGGATTTGTATGTATGTAGACACTGCATATCCAACATAAAAAGTCATGCAGATGTAAATAATTTATGTGTATATTCTACCAGTCAGTTATATGTACAGACATATATTAAAAAATATATGTATTGGAAAGATATTTTTAATATCTTTCCACACGCCAATGCATTGCGTGAGTTAATTTTTTCTCTAAGGTTGAGGCGTGGTTCTTATCGGAACACGATATTTGTTTTAACAATGATAAGGAGCTATTTATATTTTGCATGCGGGTGGGAAATTTATGAACATGCTTTACATACGTATAAAATATTGGAAGGTCACAGAAAGGGTGGCCTTCACTTGTTTTCAAAACAAGAATGAAACGAGCAAAATTGACTGGCACGCAAGGTTTAATGTCCAGACTATGCCCCGATTTTTAGGCATTTTAAACCGTTGCAGCTCAAAGTAACAAGGCATAAAATGTTGGCTCATCTCTGTACCAGGGAAATAATTTTATTTTACATTTCTATTCTTTTCACTCCCACATTTTCTGAAAAAATTGACTTCAACCTTAGTCGCATACTATTTCAACACTTGGACCCAAACTGTCACCTGCTCATAGCGCATTACAGTCTCCCCTGGGAAGACTTTCCCCTCCCTGCCGCTCCCACTAAGAAAGGCGTGTTTATCGTCCTCTTAAATGATACACATGTCCACACGAAGGTCACCTATTTTAAGTACAAGTTAGGACATTACGGATCTGGCGTGTTCGTTAAGGCACAAAAATCCTTATTCCCATGCTTCATCACAGTCGTAATAATGCAACGCTGGGACTTTACTTATCGGCATGGATTGCCCATATTGAAAGATCGGACTCAATTACGGCGCATAACGGACTATCAGGTCGACACCCTGCGATATTTCATGTACTACAAGTACAGGCATAAATTGCCTTTATTCAGCGATGCAGGCAAAGAGTCTACCCTACCAAATGCGCTCGTTATTCGGGTCCAAATCAATTTCGACATTTTGATCGATGACAGTTGGTGATGCGGGAATATTCAAGCTTTGTATTATCTTGGTTTTACGTAAGAAGGAGGAAGAAATATGGAACCGGATTTGCCTCCCTTGCTTAAATAGCAAGAAAGACAGATACAAAATACCGAAAAATATTATACCCCTTATTTTGCGTAACCATTCCAATTTCATAAAACACCTCCTGCCTGACCCGACGGACCTCTTTGTAAAAAGCTTCAACAGAGCATATTTGAACCTTGACGGATTTTATGGGAAAGCCGAATCATGCAAGAACTATGCCCAAGGTCCATTTTACTTGATTCGTGAGGAAAAATTTGAACCTCGCGCGGCCCTATTTTTCAGTCTAGTTTGTCTCGGAAACTTCACTTATGCTCAGGCTAACGCAGAAAGTCATGAAAACAGGACGCGAGGCAAGGAATACAAGACTTATAGAGAGAATGTGTTTGTTGATGGGTCTGAAGTCATGTTATTATTCACCCCCACTTTTAATCAAGGATTTTCCTTTGACGTTCTCTTGAAACCATTTGAACCCAAAGTATGGCTTTGTTTTGCTCTAATTTCATTATTAGCCATGTTTTTTGTCGGCATTATATTAAAATATCAGTTAAACTGGGGTTATATCGAATCGGTCATATTTTCTAAGGTACTCTTCTTATCTACAATTTTTGATCGACCGACCGCAATACCAAAGAAATTGGAGAACAATACCCACTTCCGAATCTTATTCGGTATTTGGATGATGCTCTTACTAATTTTGACCAATGGTTATCTCGGATTGAGCATAAAATCAATTTCGGCAAATTTAGAGGCCAAATCGGTTACGCGATTTGATCAGCTGGCAAAACCTGGATGTAGCAACGTGACATGCCAGTTAGATAGATTGAGCAATTTGTGGATGTACTATCTTTGCATGCAGCGGCATTTTAGCGCCCTGTTAAATTGGAAAACTCGTCTGATTACGGGTATCTTGGGAGAATTACTTTTCCCCAGTAATCCTAACTTAACACTTGCAGTCCTAACGAATAGAACGATTCGTAAGTTTGATGATAGTCAAGATTTTACTATCTTGCCTTACGAACTTGACTATGATATTTCCAAGGACATGGTCGGCGAAAATAAATTCCTGACTAACCTACGGGATCTCAATTTGGGTAGAAGTTACTATCTTTACCGCCAAGTTAAAAAGTTTGGGGCAGCTTCTGTAAGCCAAAAGTTGGCCATGTTGGACTTGCTTGATCCTATTCATATAGCTCTTCGAAACGTTGGAGAATTTGCATCATCCAAAATAAAAATCAGGACTGAGGTAGAAATCGAACTTGCTTTGGTCACCTGCGGAAGAACGGTATTGGTCCAGACGGACAGCGAAATTAGGAGAGAATTAGCCTACTTTGATAAGCAGTATCCTTGGATCAAGTTTTTTAGGTCGGAGAAATCAATCCTGAAAACATTGGTAGGGTGGAGTTTTTCCACTACCTTGAAGTCCGTAACGTATCCCATATTTCAAAAGCTTGATAAGGCTGGGATTGTCCGACTCTTTGAAAATTGGTCACCACGTGTCAATTCTAGACGGGAGAATGTTACGCGTATAGTTCATAGTATGATAAATAGGAAAGAAAAGGATCCCGTGGTGAAAAAGGTTTCCTTAACGGGAAATATTCAGACGGTATTCTGGTTGTATTTGGTTTTGAACATGGCGTCTGTTTTTGCTATGGTCAATTATGAGGTTCGGGTTCAAGTGAGATTATATTATTTTTTTCACACTGTGATTACGTATATTTGGGAATTTGTTCGGAATAAGATTTTGAACAAAATTTGTTAGGCATATACTTGTTTTTAATATTGGGAGGATTCCCGAAGTTCAAGTTGTATCAAATGCCACATACATATTTATTAACCTGTTTGTATGAATGAATCTATATATTGATGTTTTTTTTATTCGAAAGCTAATTTATGTATGTATGACAGAGACTAAGCTTTAGAAGAACTTCCTCCTTTATGGGGAAAGTGTATTAAAACTTTGAGATCTAATTTTAAGGGAAGTGTTTAAGCAAGCTCTGAGAATATATAAAAAAAGGTGAGCACATTCTCAAGCCATATAAATTAATTCAAATACTGTCACCAACTAGATACGCATGCATAAATTAGTGACACCTCTTATCACGGCATTATTTAGAGTGCATATGTACATACTTAATTCAAGAGTTTCCCTTCCCACATCTGCGATTGATTGATTGATTTATTACAATGAGGCACCCCATTGCATGGGACTTTACACCTCAAGGATAAAAGAAAGTCATACATTATACAATTTTCATTTTGCTTGTACATACATATAAAACAATGATGATTACATCATAGAAAAACAATCTTGATATTCAAACGAGTCGAATAATTCGAATAATTCCATACCTCTTTTTGTATTCTGGACATTTAAAAAGTACTTCTTCACCTCTTTTTTGAACCTAGTTAGACTCATCTTTTCATGCTCATTTCTTAAATCTAATGGCAGATCAGACCAAGACAGTGCTGCCCTATATTTGAAGGACTTTTTGGCAATATTATTACTAATTGACATATCAGGCTTGTAGTAAGTATTATTACGAGTATTTCTACATATAACGGTATTTATTGGTACATAATTGGCAAAATATTTGGGACAGTTCCCATTTAGCATTTTAAACACATGTTTACACAACTCAGCCTGCACGATATTTTCCGACTCCAACCATTCCAAGTCGACTGATAAGTCATCAGATATAGGGTCATACTTCCCTTTATTAAATACATATCTTGCACATTTTCTGATTACCTTATTTACACGCTTTAAATTATTCTTACCAAACAGCCATACAGGGGATGCGTATAACAGACTAGAGAATACCAATGCATGTATTAATAGTACCTTGTTCTTGCGTTCCACGACATTTTTAAGGGGACCAATTGACCAAAGAGAGCTGTTACAACCCTTTATCACCTTATCACATTGATTATTGAACTTTAGCTCTTCATCCAATAATACCCCCAATAATTTTGTACATGTAACCCTTCGAATAGGTGTGTCATTAATTTTTATAACAATATCTGATACAGCAGATTTTAATTTACGGGGGGCAAATACAATAAATTCACATTTATTTACATTTAGTTCTTGCCTGTTTGCTTCCATCCAGCGCATACTCCTATCCAGATCATTATTCAGATTATTTACAACTTGTTCTATATGATCAATATCACCAGAAATTAACACACCACTGTCATCGGCAAACATAACACATAAACTGTTTTTTAAATGGTACGGCAGGTCGTTCATCATTATCAAGAACAGAATACAACTAATACATAACCCTTGAGAAAAGCCTAGATTAGTTGGACGCGTGCTAGACTTTTTGGTACAATTATTGCAGGAGATACATACGAATTGTTGCCTATTTTCTAGAAATGACCTCACAAGTTTAGAATCAACTCCATACCATTTTAGTTTGTGTAGTAGAACCTCTTTGCAGGCCTTATCGTAGGCCTTCGCAACATCCAGCGCCACCATAATACATACATGATCATTCTCCCATGCTTTGTATACAAAATCAGTGACCGCTATTAGGGCATGCGTGGTGGAATGAAACTTGCGGAAGCCGAACTGGAATTCTGACAATAAATTATTAGATTCAAGATAAGTAGAAAGTTGGTTGAATATACATTTACCAAATAGTTTAGTTAGTATAGGTTGGATTGCTATCGGTCTAAGCTCATTTGGCGATACTGGATTTTTTACCTTTGGTATTGGAATCACCTTAGCTAGTTTAAGCATATTCGGGACGCTTTCCTCATTAATATACATGTTAAATAAGTTCATGATAATAATTCTAAATTTAGGAGATGTCATACACATATTCATCATTTTGTTGCATAATCCGGTCGTGTCGAGGGATGTCGATCCTTTGTTTTTTGTGCCTTTCCACGCCTTCAGAATGTCTTGTGTGGATAATTCCCAGAATTTAAAAGAGAGGTCGAGGTCGTCCCAGAGTAGTGCAGGTTTTGCAGGTAGTGGTGGCAGTGTTTGGGAGTGATCCCTCGTCGAGATGTCCACGAAAAAAGAATTTACGGTGTCAGGCTCCAAGTTAATTTCAGCTGCAGGGCTTAGCAAAGGGTATATTTTTTCTAGAGCTCCCCAGAAGTGCAGGTTCTCCACTTTCTTATTAAATTCATGTTTAGTGTCCTCAAGAATATTTCTTTTAACAAGTGACTTGTAGTTCTGAAATGATTGGATATTAGCTGGTGAGGGGTCACAACGACATGCCTTGTATGCCTTATCTCGCTGTTAGTTTTGCACGATACAAACTTTTTATGTTGGTGCACATAAAAAGTAACTGTTCTAATTGGAGCTAGTATATCATAAATAGCTAGTATATCATTTATCATCCTGCGAGTTACTGTTTCGACGTCTCCCTGATTCACTTCAATATTATTGATATATGTCGCAAGATCCGTATGGTTGATATTGTTGTAGTTTCTAATATGTTTTTTCTTCTTAATCGGTACGGATTTTTTAGTGGAGACTATGCATTCTGTATATGCATGATCAGACAGGTGTGGGTTGAATACTGATTTGCTTATAATGGATTTGTTGTTGTTTGTGATGATGAGGTCCAGTATATTACCTCCTCTCGTCGGTTCGTCCACTATCTGATGTAAAGACAGTTTACCAATAATTTTGTATAGGGGGAAACCGATTTTGTATTGCGTAAGTTAAAGGCACCGAGGATATACACATTTTTATGGTATTTACAGCATTCAGATAGGAAGTCGTCAAAAAATTCATAGTCATCATCTGTTAAGGTTTCCTTCTTGTAATTTGGATGGCGATATACACATGATATGATGATTTCCTTATTAAAACGTAATTGCACGGTTAGGGTTAAATATTCAATATTGTTGGACGGGATATCATGAAAGTTATTTGGTTTTTTTACTTTAAGATTGTCTCTTGCTAGTACGGCAATACCACGGTCATGTGAATCGGGTCTGGCGTCTTTTCTAAATATCACGTAACCTGGCATTTGTCGTAAATTATGGTGTGGTTTAAGTCTTGATTCACTTATACATAATATATCGATGTCTTTAAGGGATAGGAATGTTTGGAGCTCATTAAACTTACTATGTATTGAATTTAAGTTGATGTGGGCAATTGTTAAGTTTTTTGAATTTTCTTCGTTCGGGGAGGAACTAAAAAATGATTATTATATCTCAACGAAGGCTTGCTAAATGAAATATTATTATTTCTTACACTTGTTGCGGTTGTGCGATCTATTTGATTTACAGGGCCATGTCGCTCATTGTTGTGAGACCTAATTTGCATATTACTTTTATTATGTATTGCTGGTGATGATAAGATGTTTAATCGACTATGTGACCCACCCTCAGATTCTGTCTTATTCGCAACGAGCCTGCCATTACACACCTGGTGAGATTCACGATCCGATGTTATCGACTTATTTTTCCAGTTTATAGTACAATTCTCGTTATTGTCTTTGAATTCTTTGGCTTTCTTCCCTAATATAGCAAAGTCCCGTCGTAGTGTATAAGGAAGATCCTCATTTATAAAGATAGGTGGCTTGGTTTCCTTCCTTGAATTCCATACACTTTCTCTGTCCGATAAGCAACTAAATCGCACTATAACTTGTCTGCACCCTTGTGCCTTATGGGAACCTAATCTCAACACAGAGTCCACTTTTATCTCTTGTTTGACAATATTGCTAAGCAATTTATTAACAATAATACGCAATTCTTCCAGCGATTCGTTAAGAGGGTCAGTTAGTCCAGAAATTATAAGATTAATCTGTTTTACATCACGTTCTATTTGTTCGTTATGGCATTCTAGATAATCCATACGTGTTGACAAACCAATATTTCCTTTTGTTAGTTTCGCGACGTCGTTTTTTAATGTATTCAGTTCAGTTTGGTGGGCGAGGAGACAGTCCTTTATATCTGACACAGAGCACTTTAAATTTTCTGTTAAAGTATCAATTTTTGAGCTGATACGAAGTTCGTGATTTGTTAGAAATTGCATAATAGTATCACAATTTTGCGGGTCAGGTGAAGGGTCGTCATTAGTACTGTCATTTAGTGACACCATACTTCTAGTTCTGGGTCGCTTATTGGTCTCATTATTTGCACTATTAATATGACTGAAATTAAACTCAGCAATTCTTGTTTTCACTGTATTTCCGTTTTTTATAGGAGATTTCAAATCTTTACTAGGTGCCATGTTTATAAGATTGGTAACGATGAATTACTTTTTAAGACAAAAATAGAAACTCCAGCCAGTTAACTCCAGAAATTTGTCACAGTTGTGTAGGTTATTTCAGTAGGTTGGTTGAACTGTGAGGTTACGAGGCACCCGCTGTTGTTTACTTTTTTTTATTACAGTAATTTAACAAACTTTACTATACGATGTAAATTATTCGCATCCTTTCGCTTCATTATCTATTTGTCTCTCTTTTACTAGTAGTTATGGTCACGTGGTGGTAATTAGTTTGTCAAAAATTGATAAAAATTTTATTAAAAATAATGAGAGAGAAAAGGGAGATAAATGCGTGCGTACAGGAGCGTAGCGAGTTGACAAGATTTAAAAAGTTTAAAAATCTATCACAACTTAAATATGTACATACGGAAAAATTGAGTTCAAAGCAGAAAATTATTTTGGTGTTTGATTTGGAATAATTAAACAGCAAATAAATTATTTAACTGGCATGATTTAACAATATTTGTATCTAATAATAAATATATGTATTCATATGCACATTTAAATACTTGTAGTTGTACCCATACATATATATAATTGAAATGTGAAAAGATTGACTTATTGAGGGAAATATTGACATAATTTCTTTAATTCACGAAGGCCTTATCATACATATACATAAAAAATTGCATAATTTTGCTTTACGGAGAACTTGTTGATATTAAATTTTGAGGATGGGCATAATTGCTCCTGTGGCTGACCCGAAGGGATAATATAAATATACATAAATAATATTTATGTATGTATATATTTATTAGTGGAATAGGCCAAAGAAAGTCAGTACATTTAATAAATTCTATTTATTTGTACCTAAATACATGCTTGCATGTCAAACTTGGACAATTTTATCGTCTCTGTGCCCCTATTTATTTATGTACATGCATAAAGGGCCCTTTAATCGTGATCCAGTTAAAGGGATAACTGTGAAAGTTACCGTTTTAAAGATGTGGTACATTGGAACCCGAACTGGAACTGTACCCGTAATAGGCACAATATTATAGCCACACTTAACACATGAATCCTCCTTAACAATGAATAGCCGACTCTTACGTCCATTTCTTGACATACATAATCTACCAACTTCCGTTAGGTCAACGGGTCTTCGTACCGAATAACCAGTCCAAGTCATGCGTCTCATCTCCGTATTTATAATCCTGGAGTGATAAAAGGGTCGAATTTCATCTCAGAATAAGACCACTTCACCCAACACTTCCAACCTACCAACACACATCTCTCATTTTTCTCTCGCACAAAACTTTCCTCGTATTTACAAGTAAGTTATACGATACGACGAAGATTACGATATACAATTATTAGGGGTATTCACTACGAGTTCGCATCGCTAGAAACTTTCGCAAAAAAATAAAGTTCGCAAAAAACTTGGTTTGAAAATAAATGAATTTGCTAACATTAGCATCTCCAAGGCTAATCCTAAGTTTGTAATTTGTTTTCAAAATTATATTGCCACCTCGTAGTGAATACCCCCATTAAATATTTTACAATAGTATATTTTCAGCGTACATTTAGCTAATTCCAAAATTTTAATTTCAGAAAATCCTTCAAAAATGGGTATCAAAAATTTCCTAATTGTCATCCTGGCCGTGACCCTCCTTGCCCTTCAATGCCAAGCTGGTCCATGTAATGACAGATACATAAATATTTACTTATATGATTACATAGTTGATTTTTTTAACAAATTTAATACGAGTTTACTATAGCAATTATCTAATTAGTCTTACCTTCCCCATGTGTGCTAATCTTGTGCAAATATTTTTTATCCAGTTCCGGAAGAAACGAGATGTCGGGGTGCCAACACAGGGCTGCTTTTGTCTGGAACGGTGTGCAAGGAAAAGTGCAGCATGGCCGGTGTGGTGGCATCCACGTGCCCGACAGGAATGCAGTGCTGCATGACCGTCGAGAACTTTATTGAAAGGTTTCCACTCCCTTAAACCACCAAGAAATTGATATGTTAAAGTTTTATAAAGTTACACTATTTATTTAATTTATTATAACTGGGGTCGATTTTGTATTTCTAAAATAAATTAAGTTTTAAAATGTCTGCTTGGTAGAGTACGTTATAGTCTTAAATTTTATGCCAGTAATATTCGACCAGCGTATTTATTTCGAAGCGACAAGGCAATAAAAAGTTTTAGTGAGGGGATTTTTTTGCGATTTCGGCCAAGTCTTTAAATTGGGGGTTAAAAAAATAAAAGTTCGAATGAAAAATAAAAGTTATTTACTGAAAACTCGGCAACTTTCCATGCACCATTAAAATGTGTGCTATAGCGCTATGCATACAGCTTAAAATTCATACATACATTTTACATATCTACATATCTACGTGACTACCAATGTTTCCATAAATTTCCAAATGGACAACTTTTGAAAATATTTACTTATAAAACTCGATGGGGTGACAAATGTGCAAAGACAAATCTGCAAACGACAAATGTGCAAAGACATTTGTGCAAACGATAAATGTGCAAAGACATTTGTGCAAACGATAAATGTGCAACCTGACAAATGTGCAGCCCGATAAATGTGCAAACGATAAATGTGCAACCGATAAATGTGCAGGAATTTTTCCAACAAATAGTGCAATATATCTTGATATAATTTACACTTCAAATCAAATTACATCTTATCAAAAAACTAAGAATTCTGAAACATTAATTTTGTGGTGAAGCTTATGAAGCTGGAGATCATATAATGGAGATTCTATACTTATTAAATATTACTAATCATCATTATAACGGGGTTGACCCCTGTCAATTTTATAATAAAATTCCCGTGCCGAATCACTGTAATGCTAACCTTACATTTATGTAATGCTAAATTTAGCTAGTGACAATTAAACTTTAGTTAGGGACACCCCTCGGGGACAGAATTTAAAATGACAGCAAATAAGTAAATCCCGAATTATTTCATTGAAATTTAGAATTTTTATATGTACATAATTCCAGCCTATACGATAGGCTAAAATTCACGAATTCACGAAGATGTATGTACCAGGAAATTTATGCACCATAAAAATATAATTTAGTAAAATATGAAGTTAACAATAAATTAATACAGCTTCAACAGACATCATACGGGATGCCACCACAAAATTAATGTTTCAAATTTAAGTTTTTGAGGAGATGTAATTTGATTTCATGTTTAAATTATATCAAGATATATTGCACCATTTGTTGGAAAAATTCCTGCATATTTATCGGTTGCACATTTATCGTTTGCACATTTATCGGGCTGCACATTTGTCAGGTTGCACATTTATCGTTTGCACAAACGTCTTTGCACATTTGTCTTTGCACATTGGTCGGGCCACCTAAAACTCACACCGAACCTATTGTTAGAGAGTGAGCTTCTTTTTTGTTTAAAATTATTCACTTGTTACGTACACATGCATATAATTTAGCTAGATAGGATTAAAATATAGCAGAATTATAGCTCTTTATTTACATACATGTATTTTTCTACATATACATCTGCATATCTCCCCACATACATAAGGGCATAAAGTATTTTCATATATGTATGCAATTTTGAAGATCACCTCCTGCAGTGACATATGTATACATATTTACATATGCCAACACAGTCTTGACATCTCAAATTGGTCAAATTTTTTTGGCAAGGATCCATACATACTTATATAATGTTTATGTATGTCCTACTTCTGTTATTGGAATCCAACTTGGGAAGGCTTAAACTTTGTCTATTGTCTATGCTTAATTTTGTCTATTGCAAAGTATCCCGTTATGATGGTTGCCCTTAAAATCTAAGCCAGGGAATATTCCTACAATGTGGCATTTTAAAATTGTGCAGTTAGGTTACATACATAAATAAACCGATTTACGATGGCAGGGAGACGGTCTAATTGGTAAAGGGCTCCAAATTTATTAACAATCGACACTTATGTGCTACTAATCGTGACGAAATTTAAATACAAGGATCAATAAGAGAACCCTTTTTGAAAGGGTCAAAAATAAAATGCATACAATAGACTGAAAAATTCTTACCCTTCATAATTATGTATGTATGCTCATATTTATTTATATCCAAACCAGTGTCCACCAAAGTAGCGTTTATCCAATAAGTTTAAAAAAACTCACTTGTACATATATTTTTCAAGCAACACTCACCCTTTAGCAGCAACACCTTACACGTCTATTTCCGAGAGTAAGTTTTAATTACCTACATAGTTAAAAAAATATCATAGCACACATTACCATTAATTAAACTTTCATCCATACCGACAGTTTAAAAAAGTAGAGTTTAATAAATCACTCCATTCTGTTTTTTTTTATTTCAGAAACTTTGCCAAAATGTCACACTCCAATATCAAGTTTATCATAATCGTCATCGTCGTCCTGACCGTGTCGTTGCTATCCATGCAGTCCCACGCTAAAGTCATCACTAAACGCCAAGGTACAAAAATAAGTTAATTTTGTGAAAACTAAAACTTATAATTTTTCGAAATTCAATTTCTTAATATTCAAATATAAAAGTAAGTGACATGTTTTACGTTTTAGCTGGAGATGGGGAGCGGTGCAGGGGAACATTGACCGGTATGTATGTTCCAACGACGGTGTGCAAGGAGACGTGCCGCGGAATGGAGTTGATGTCAAAATGTCCAGGAAGTCAAAAATGCTGTTCCGTCGTTGAAGACTTTGTTGCTAATTGGGTACCAGGAGTGCTACCCGAACCCGCTTAAGACCCGAACCCGGCAAATAATTTGCATAGCTAAATATATATAATCTGCATACATATTTAACTGACCGAGATATCTGTTATCTTGATAAGCCCATAAAAAAAGCATATCTGAATTAATGCACTGTTGTTCAAAAAAATAATTAATTAATCTTGAGCATGCATGTATATAAATTGCGTAGCAAATATGTATTTATAACTGGTTGGTGTTCTTTTTAAATAAATTTGCAAATTACTTAATATTTATATTTACTTGTAACCTACGTTTCATCATTTAGTTTCAAACTAAGTATTTTATTTTTCAAATTATTAACTTGTTCTTGCTACATATTTATAATTTAATTGAAATTGCGTAGAATAATGGTTTCGGAACGGGCATATGTATGTACATACATACATATATAGGTATTTACATCAGTTTTCAAAAAAAAAATTACCTCTACTTCCTTAGATGACAGTAACACACATGCCCACGCTATAATTAACATGGAAAGGCTATTTACATACTTTGTAAGTACGCATTGACCCCAAACCGATCACATATTTTGTTTGTGCATAATTGACGTCAAACTTCAAAGGGTTAAAAATAGGGTGACATTAGTAAAGTATCGCTTACGGTTGTCTAGACGTACGGAAGCACATATGTAAATATGTACACATCTACATACGTATACGTAACCATTAGTCCATCCGCTTGGATGCTAATGCGACATTTTAAAAGTTATAAATCAATTCAGAAATAAATATTCGGTTATTCTGAGAACTAGATACATCCCTATTGCCTGTATACACTGATTCGCACTCTGTACTTGTATGTATGTATGTACATATTACAGGATCAAAATCAAAATGATCATAGTTATCTATTAATAAACATATTGACGCATTTATCGTAATATAATTATAACTGATTTATTACATCCTAGCCAATAGCATTTGCACATACATTGACGTACAACTTATCCACGACAATATCACACGGCACACACGCACGCTTACCGGCCGGTACAAAGTGTCTAAAATAGACGTAATCTTGTGCGCTTTCACTCGCAAGTTCTAATACATCACAGCATGACAACAGGAATCCACTCGACTCGAGCATAAAAATGTCCAGAAAATTAATTATGACTCAAAAGTTCAATAATGACACATACACACATCCTTAAAAATTCCTGCATAGCTTTTTTTGTCCACATTTTCTCCAATACGTCACATTATCTGTAATGTCTAAACTTATGTAACCGTAAGTTAAACATGGCACATTAGCAACGTCAATTCTACGATGAAACTGAAGGTTTCAGATCTATCCGAGTAATGCCAAATTGAAGTGCGTTAATACATTACATTTAATCGCGTCACCCGTCTTCTACCTGGTAATAAATAATGAATCGTGTAAACAGTGCTAATTAAATACTGAGAATCTACACATGTAAATGTACAGGTGCTCACACCTAATAAAAAAGCGAGTAAACCATGATTTGCAAAATGATGACACACAAAACCCTTTAAGACAGCACACAAACACCTAATCCCTCCAAATCCCGTCAATAAATAACCCATACAAAGGAGAAGAACTTTATCCAACAAATTTATTAATCCATGAGCTTTGGCCGTGTTCTTTCTCAGCGTTTTTTTAAAATAATATTCTTAATACTGAACTCAAGAAAATGGAGAATTTCAAGTTTTTTCACTCGTTTATCATCATACTCGTTGCCACTTTGTGCACGCAAGGAAAACGTAAATTTTTGCATGATTATTTTGCATTTTTGCATTCATATTATAAAATCAGTTGTATTTATCTAAATCCTTCACCTTCCTCCACTTTTCTCCCTGCAACTATAGTTAAAAACCTGCATTTTGTCTATACAATCATTACACTTTGTCTCTTTCAGGTGTTCCCCGAGTTGCAAATGGATTCAGCCATTACGCCCCCCACCAAGTAAGTTTGGTGGACAACGAAGCGAACGCACATTTCTGCGGAGGATCAATCCTAAATTCGCTCACCATCGTAACAGCCGCGCATTGTCTCTACCGTCGGAATCGTGGTAACGAGCTGCCATCATTAAATATCCCACGAATGCCGCGTGAAATTCGCATCGTCGCGGGAGAGTACAGTCTCGAACTGCGTGACGTTACAGAACAAATCCGTCAAGTCAAGTTACTCCGAGTTTATGGCGGATATGATGAGAACACTTTGCAAAACGATATCGCCCTCATTCAACTCACAGCGCCATTAAGAATAAACCGGTTCGTCCACCCAATTCGGCTGCCTAGTCGAAACAGACAGTTTAAAGGTTGATTTCAAAATTATTAAATAATTATTAAAAAATTATTACATTTTCCTTTACACATTTTACATGTGCCATTTTATAGGAAATGTAACCGTGTTCGGATGGGGATCCAATCGTTCCAGGCAATTTTTTCTGGAAGGCAATTCCATTGCGGTCACACCTGACACCCTTCAATCCGGCGTAATGTCAATCATCACAAGCTCTGAGTGTCGTCGTGGTCTCGCTTACTGGAGTGGATTTAATGAGCAAGTCATGTTTTGTGCGAGGTCGACTAAAACAATGATTTGCGAAGGTGAGGACACTGAACCTATTTTTTTAACGAATGAACTAACTTTTTGGCAATGGCGTCATCAAGTCATCACACATATATTTATGTACACTCTTAGAAATCGAAAATAATACCAAGCGGTATTCATACATATGTATATAACTCTACAAAAGTGGTATTGATAAGTACAGATAATACAGCGTAGTAAGTAATAGCTCAGTATTAAAGTTTTGCCATGTCGGTAGGAAATTTTTGCAGACTGGTATGATTTTAATACCAAGCGGTAACAACTTTAATATCGAGGAATCAGTACCTGCCTGCCTAACTGTAAAAGCCTCTCAGTGTAATACTCGAAAGATGTTAAAAATGATGTATGTATGTATGTTCTGTAGGTGACTCTGGGTCTGGTGCCGTTTGTCACTATTGTGGACCATCGATGCAGGCCTATTCAGATATTGGGGCCAGCTCCCAGCACGCATGTGTCGACGTCCTTTGCGGCATAAATTCCGCCGGGAAAGATGCCACGGATTGCTTGGTTGACGAAGATGGAGACCTCTTCAAACCACCACCACCTGGCGTTTTTACTAAAGTATCCGTATTTCCGACTTGGATTAATTCCGTGCTCCGCACCGAATTCAAAGTGAATGGCAGCTTTCTCTGCGACGATCTTCAATACATCGCACAAGGGAAGGAGTGCGACGGAAGTATTGACTGCAGCGACGGCTCAGACGAGCATAACTGCACCCTTGATATCGCAGAAATGACGTATTCACCGTACAAATGGGATGAAGCTAAACCCGTGCCAATTGTTCAGCATGAAATTGTGCAAACTTCTAGGAATGAGACAAATTCTACAGGTACATAATTATGCTTTGCATATATGTATATATCCATATATCTGAATGTTAGTATGATATATGTACATGAATGTACATGTATTTAGATAATTAAATTTTTTTAAATATTTGACTCTACATATGTACAGGAACCAGCGAGACGGTTGACCCCGAGTCAGACGACGATAATTATTGGAATGAACTGAATAAAGAACTAACCGATCCGATTAATAATACTAGCACACAAAGAGGAAATAAGGAATATATTGTCACCAGCACGGCAAGAAATTATGCATCGGAACCTGTCACTATACAGCATTTTACCCCTATCGAGAACACCACGGAAATTGAAGACATGACGACGGAACCTGTCGTTATACAACATTTTGAACAACACGGGAATTAAATTAGACATGTCGTATGTATAACAGAAAAAGTGAAGCGACACCAACAACTTTACATTTCGACCCGTGAGAACATTTAATCAGAATCTTGCCACAAGACTGACACTGTTAGAACGGAATTAACAATACTTCGAACAGCTTTTCCTATATTATTACGATAATGACACAAATTTACATGGGAACACGAAATTTCACCCCGGAATTTTCTTAATTTGACGATGTACCCATTGAGACTAAATATAACATCGCAGCTCCCCATATCACCTTGTCCGTATATACGACTACGACGAGACACTGCCACAAATACGTGAAATTTGAAAATAAAATTAAAGCGTGCAAAAATAGTCGAGGGTCCCTTTGTCCTATTGACTGAGTTGTGTATTTATTTAAAATTTTTAAATTTGTGATGGGTAAATTAGGTGCTAAATATAGTGCTACATATAATGGGATTCATGAAAAACCTGAAGGCTACAAATGAACTTACGGACGGTACAATTACTATAATTAATTTTGATTATATTTATATTATCTCAAGTTTTAATAAAATTATTAGGTGAAGAACAATTCTCATGATGCATATCTATTTACGTCTTAGAAAGATATATACGTCAACTTAAAAAGTATTAAGAATAAATACGCCTAAATACATACACTTGGCCATGAAAATGTAGCGTTTTCTACTCGTTTCTCATAATTATTCGTGAGCGTGACGAGTGTCACACCCGAGAAATTAGCACTGATTAAAATTAAATGAATTGCCAAACTCGTTAAAAAGCTGCATAGTATTAAATGGGATAATCATTCACTAAGTAATTTTACCTTGAATACAGCCAGCATGTCTATTAACACGTACACTTCACCTTTTTATATACACTTCACCGTCTAAAAATAAAAATAAGATTTCCATGTCAGCAAAATCCATGAAACGTGGACGCGGAGAAAGTGAGATGAACAAAGTTTTGGGGCATCGATGAGAAAATTGAGGAGCGGAATCCAACCATTCAACTTCTCACACAATAATATTTATTTTTTGCAGACTTTCTGAAATTTTCAAAGTTTGAAGATTTTGAAATTAAATTTGTATGTATAATTAATACCTAGTATGTGAGTAGAATTAACTAATTTGAAGTTAACTTAAACATTTGTCAGTATTGGGTACGATGTGCTCACAATTCGGATTCCAGCGTTTCTAGATGAAATACAACGTCAAAATTAGGTGAGAACTTAAATTTATTTTATCTTGTATTAATTTGGATTCAATTGATATTAATACTTGCCAATTTTGGGGATAAGTATTTAATTAACATAATCAAATGAACTTATATTTCTAGTGGTCATCATGCCTCCAAAGGTGACCAAGTCACAGGCGGAGCTAAAAAAGGCGCAGAGACAACGGGTAAGTTTTAAAAATAATTTGTAACGATGAATTAAAAACGTTGCTCTTAATTTTAATTGAAGGAGGAGAACGAGTTGGCGACAGAGGATGACGCCCTGCCTGGCGAAACCAAGGCGGATCGTCGCCGAAGATTGGAACGCGAACGGAAGAGACAGAGTCGCGGTGAGAAAAAGGTGAGGACGAGTTGTAGCTAACTAAATGGGGTTTAATTTCTTACACAAATTATTTCTTATAATTGAAATGTTTTCTTGTCTCAAATTTTAGGAAACCGCGACACCTTTGTCTAGATTGCGACCTTCGCCAGCACGTGTGAAGCACATCAAGATCGAAAAGGAGGAGGATACCGATGACGAATTAGAGGAAGGGAGTGGCGACGACTACCGAGATGCCGTCTTGCGAAATCCAATAGTAAAATTGCAAGAATCAGAATGTGAAGACAACAATGACGCCGAGTACACTCCTGACGATGTATGCTTATATTTTTAAATTAATTTGCATAGCAGTTATTAATATTTTAATTGTTACTTATTCCAATAGGACGGGAACCAATCTGATGAATTAATTCAAGTACCAAAAAAGACACCAAGAAAACGCCGGAGGACATCAACAAAATCGAGATCTGCCTCCAGTATCGACAATAGAACAAATCCCAGACGTAAACGATCAGTCAGTGCCAAAAATTTGAAACTGGAAGCCATCAGAAAGAGAATTAAGAGGCAGGAGGTCTGCCAAATCAATTCATTTCAAATTATAAACTTTCCCCTGCCTGACCATATATATACAAACGTTAATTGCTTAATTTGTTTGCATCCTTACCAGGAGGAAAATCTGCCGTATGACGGACCGGATCTTGACTCGATTCCTGGCGAGACGTGGGCCGATTATAGGCGACGAAAGGACCGTGAGAGGGTCAGGAAGAAGAGAGCTCTGCAGAAAAGTACGCAAAATCTGGGTCAGGGGAACAATGATTCAGAAGCACGCCCAGATCTATCTACTTCTCGTCCACTTGTGACCTACACTCCTCGGGAGAAAGTAGTTCGTTCTATTCGCCATGAGGTTGACCGCCTTATTACCACCGAGACTGAGAAAAAGTGGGACCCTACCAGTAAAAAGTGGAAGAAGAATCGACCCCAAAATTTGGAAGACGTTGTGAGTAATGAATTATGTAGTTTTGAGCTGGAAGTTTAGAATTACTTTACAAATTATGAAAGGAAGGAAACTTTCCAGTTAATTTGGCATCTTATCTTCCAGTCACCTGAAGTCGGAGAGGATTGGCTCTTCAAGGAAATGCTCATCCATAAGCTCCAGTTAGAATTCGAACACGTTCGATCGGTTCTCATCACAGAAGCCGTCGAGCTGGAATTGGACCCTGGTGTTCCATCCCTGGAACGACCCTTAACCCCGGCTCAAGGTCAAACTTCAAATTACCCTGCTGGTGATGATACGAGTGACAGCGACTACGCCCGTGATGAGGATGACAATAATTCTAATAATGGTAGCGATCACGATGGCTCGGCTTGCAACTCTCTCGAAGTCGTCATGGTCAAACCAGAACCTGCCGACATCCAAGAAAACAACGAGATGCAAGACTGGATAGCCAACACCGTCTCTGCGGCCGACGACGACTTGACCAATTCCCACACCACTTCCGGATTCCAACCAAAGCATCGAATCCATACTATCAGGAAACAAGAACGCGCCACCCAACTTGAATTACAACTTGAATTATGCCGTGCCCGCTGGATGGAGGAAAAACCGGACGACTCCCAAAGTCGTGACTTGATTGACATCGAACGTCAAAGCCTCATTGACCAAGTTATCCTCGAAAAGAAGGAGCTTATCAAACACGCAGAAGTCTGGCTTAGTCAAAAGAGAGAACTTTACAGCAAGGAATCTCTCACCGAGAGGAGCGCCCGGATCGCGGCTCGCTTAAAAGATAACGAACCACAAAGTCAGAAGGATAAGACGCAAGCGACCAAGGTCGGGAAGACCTCAACCCCAAATGCGACAGCCTCCTTTCAGCTCACCCCGGAAGAAAAAAAGTCACGTCATGCAGAAATCTTCCGAATACGATGCCGCATGGAGAAAAAAGAGTATGAAATCCACACTAGCCTCGTTGCCACTCAGAATCCGACCGAATTCTCCAACACACTGACGCACCCAGACCATCAACCGGTCATCCAATACTGGACATTGGCCGCGGAATCGAGCAGAGCTAAAGTTAGGGAAGAAATAATTAAGTATCGTAAAATGTTGGGAAGATTTCTCACTTTGACGAAAACAAGCAAGATCAGTTACAACATGTCGTCGTCAGCGGTTCAGGTCGTGGAATCCTCGGCAACCACAAACTTCAAAGAATTCCACACTTTTCTGGGAGAATTTGGATCGATTGTTGGTAAACATTTGGAAGATAGACGATTCTACATGACACGGAGGGCCAAGAAATACAACGAGCTCAGTTTGGAGGCCAGATTTAAAGAGAATTTGCGTCACAAGGAGCGTAAAGCGAAGGTGCGTGGGGGTGGCGTTATCTCGGCAGAGGATCGCGCTAAATTTGACGCCGAACGCGCGGCCGGTGTGGTCGCATGGGAAGCGAAAATGAGGGAGAGAGCATTTAAAAAGCAGTTCAAGGAGGCCAACAGGGCTATCAAAGGCCCGAGAAGAAGGCGGATAAAGAAAAGTCCGTCGACATCGATGGCGACGACGTCAGTTCCGTCAAGAAAGAAGACGACACTAAATACAAAACAAACTGCAAATTTCCTCCCTACATATATTCCCCCACAACAACAGCAAAGTCGATATCATGTCGACAACGACGACGATAGTGACGACGACTGGACGCCTAACGCCGGCTCGTACTCTCCTCCACCGCAAGATGATGATAACTACCTCAACCAAAACCAATACGTCCAGCAACAGCAGCCGCAGCATCGCGCCTATCAGCACTTTATGGGGGCTGCGAGTCCGGCTCGATATGAATTGGGACAGGTCCAAGTTGATGGATGGGTAGCCTTATCAACACCACAACACGGTTATCACCAAGAACAAGTAACAGTTTAACTTAACTAATAATTAGCATAAATAATTAATTAATTTAAATGGTGTACTTTCCAGGCTAATTCGTCCTACCCGTCGATATCTGGCAATTATCAGCAACACTTGTCCACCATTAACACAAACGACTGGTCATCTAACGTCGCCTATCGAAACGTCGCCGATGCTTATTCCTCTCACGCCTCTTCGCAACCCAAAAATACCAAACGGAAGCCGGGCCGTCCTCGTGGGTCGAGTTATAAATCTCGCTCCACCAAGTTGGTCAAAGATTCGCTGAAACGCTGTCGACGAAAACACCCTCCGAATACTGACTATTGGGGGAATCGAGCCAGGAAGGCGAGCAAGGCACGAAAGGCTACTCTTGGTCCCCCACCTCCAGTAGACCCACCTCCACCTGAGACAGTTTGCCCACTGGAACGCTCAGTCCAGAAGATGCTGGAAACGAAACTCCCAGAAAATGTGACCAATCTCTGTCCAAAATGTCCCCACTGTGATAAAGTCTTTAGTGAAGAGGCCGCTTTCAAGGCACATTTGAAAAAGAGACATCCCGAACCGGAAGTGGAAAAGAAGAAGACAAAGGATGAGAAATCGAAAAAGAAGGACAAGAAACCGCAACCGAGCTACCAGTCGAAAGAGAAGCTTACCTGTCCTATCTGCGATTTCGTCTACACTGACAGGGGTCGTCTCTGTGAGCATTTGTTTTCGAACCACTGGGTCAAAAATGAAGTCAAATATGTGTGCCCGTTCAGCGCCCGCGTTGGGAAGCAGGTTGACCTAAAGTGTAACAATTTGCTATTCGGGAAGTTCAGCCTATCAAACCATTTTAAGAGGAAGCATCCCGAGGCAACGAAACAGGTTGGTTAATTAATTATAATTTTTTAGATATATTTTATGTAATATTTGATCCTTAATTTGACTTTCTAGTGGTACTTGACCCTTGACTCACGCAGCACAACGGGTCGTTCCTCTTTGTTTGTGTGCCTTGAATGTGACCACGATTGCAAGTCCTTCTCCACCCTCATCGACCACTACGTGTCGACGCATGACCATTTACGATGGGAGTGTGAGCACTGTGGCGTCTTGTTGAGGAGAAGGGAGCAGCTGGATGATCATGTCGCCCTTTTCCATCCTCATGACCATCCTGGAGTCGAAAACTCGAAAAGTGACGCTCCGCTTAACATTTCGATTTTAAATGTCCACAAGTGTGCTACATGTCTGTCTGAATTTTCGTCACTGGAATGGCTACAAAATCATGTCAAAAAAGGTCATAGATTTATCGCTGATGAGGAGGGAGCAGAAAATTCACAGCTTGAAGAATGTGATTCGAGCCGGACTTGCTTCTGGTGTAGGAAAGAGTTCAAGTCGGGTTCTGAGTTGGTGGATCATATAGAACAATGTCATCCTAATGAGCCGCCTGTAAGGATAATTAATTAATTAATGGATGTAATGGATTGGACTAACATCTTTTTTTACCAGGTATCGAAGGCGATGGAGCCGGAAATGTATCACTGTGCGGAACCTTACAAATGCGAACTCTGTGCAAAATCGTTCCTAACTTTGGCCCGGTTGAGAAAGCACTGCCTCGACGATCATGATCTCGCTAAATATTTCGAAGTCGTAAAAGATAAGGTTACCAATTTTCAAAGAATAATTGAACCCCAATACAATATTGTAGACTTATAATTTATGTAAATTTTGGCAGATTTCGATCCCCCCGTCGACATCTAATCATACCCATCAAGAAGAGCAGCACGCATCCACCAAACATTCCACCCACAGCATTACATCCTCTTCCTCCTCCCTCTGTCAACTTTGCCACTTTACGACATCTCACTCCTTCCACCAGGTCCACCTCGTCTACGACCAAGTCATGAAACGTTACTGCCAAATTTGTCAAAGAATTTTAACCAGCAAGGCGATGTTGATTCTCCACATGAACGCTGTCCATTCCACCCCCCTCAACGCCCTCGTCATCCCCTCCGCCACTGGAATAGTAGATGATACGACCTTGCATGACCCCAATGATCCCCCCACTTCTTGTCCCGAATGCCCAAAAATCTTCACCGCTTCCCAGTTTCATCATTACCATTCCTTCCATGCACAAGGAGCCTTGGCCTGTCCGCACTGTCCGAGTTTATTCGTGACACGAGAGATGCGGACAAAACACGTCAAAGAAGAACATAATCCAGCCAAAAAGGTCATAACCCCAGAAATTTTGGAATCATTGATACACGCCACAGAGGTCGAGCATAGCGGAAAGTCCGTCACCATTTACACCTGTAAAGTATGCATGAAAAACTACAAGAGTAAAGAATTCGTCGTCACTCACATTCAAGAAGCGCACAAAAACAACGCCTTCACTAGGGTGATGTGTCCTCAGTGCAATACTACATTCCAGTACGCCCATTCTTTAGAGCGTCATATTAAATCGGCTCACAGCGAGGAGGGGATGAAGAGGTTTAAATGTCCGGCGTGTCCAAAAACGATTACGACCATGGCGCAGATTAAACGGCACGTGAAACAATTTCATCCTGAGGTTAACTTCGATCCCGAAAAGATTGAGGTTGTAAATTATACTAGTTTTTTCTTGAAATCTTGTAATTTGTTTTTTAAAAAAATGGAAGAACTTGATTTATAGGTTTAAAAAATTGAATTTTGTTTTGTAGACGGTGAACATTGCCGAGGAGGGTCTAAAAAATGGGAAACGTTTCCTCTGCAATATTTGTACGCAGGATTTTTCGACGGAGGACGGGCTAAAGTCGCACATCACTGGGAAGCATTTTCCTATCCACTTCACCTCCTTTTGTGACCACTGTGGCCTCCAGATTAGTCAGAAGAGGAAGAAGTGGCACATGTGGAAATATCACGGCGTGGCAATTAATAAGGTGACTAATTAATTAACCAATCAGTTTATTTAGATTAGATTTTGGAATTTATATACACATGCATTTATTTATCAGAGGCACGATGTGGCAAAAACGAGCAAGGCCAGGACTCAAGTCAGCTCTGTGTTTGAGCTATTGGACATGTTGCAGAAAATATACGTCAAGACTTCTTCCTCGACCGGATATCGGAAGCGAACCAGGGTTGCTAGAGAAGAAGAGGAAATCAGTGAAAACGATGAAGGACAAGAATCCGAGGATGAAGATGATGATGAACAATCTTTCGACGAATCGAATGAAGACGAAGATTACAACCAGAAGTCACGCCGTCGATCTGCACGAAGTAAGCCTAAACGGAAACCAGTCTCTCCCAAGAAAAGCAGCACCCGATCTCGTCGTACAACCAGTACCACCAAATCCTCCGTGTATTACATTGACGATTCTTCTTCATTGGATGATAAGGATGAATCTGAATTTTCTCACGTGGGCGACTCTGACGAAGATGACGAAGATAACCAAGTCTCACTGAAAAGGTTGTTCATCAATCCGAACAAGAGTAAACGGCGTGGGGGAATATCATCATCAAATCCTGAACCCTCGAAAAGAGCGTTAGATTTGTTAGGAGGTAGATTTATTGGTATCGCGCTAGAACGGTGTGATGCTACAAATTGAATTTTGATTAAAAATAGAGTTACAAAAGTTCAGTAACAAAACTTGTCTTGAATTCAAAATTATTTTATTTTAACAAATCAATAAATAAATGGATTCCTGATTCAATACAAGTATCTACATAATGTGGTGGAGTGACGTGAAATGTAAAAAAGACTAACAATGCACATGTCAGACATGTTTCGCACGGATCTTCTTGAAACCAGCACTAAAATCTCAAGGAACTAAACACAAACAATAGTTAGTATGAAACTCAAGCACTTCTGCAGAATTCAAAAAGTTATGAAGGTTTTAATTTTGCGAAAACACGCATTTTCACCATGCGAAACTATACAGAGTTCACCTCTCCGCTGTCCCATTTTCTCCTGCGCTTCTCTTCACTAGGTCATACGTTTTCACTCAAAATTTAATTGATTAATTTCCTAACCAAGTTCTCATCCGATTTTTTATATTTGGCTTTTACATAATTTTTTAACACTTTTGAATATTTAAAATAAAAATTAAGTTGTTATCAGTGGAATTTTTTAAGGATTTGTTCAGAATAGGATCGATTTTCATTTAAATTTCTTTCACATTGCATATTTATATTTGTAAACTTATTTGACAATAAAAAACCAAACATACCAAGTTCCCTGTGTGATAAGGGCCAGCATCACACAAAGTCATAAGATTTTTGTCTTTATATCTCTTTAAATCTTGTCTTGTCTTGACTCTTGTCTTTAAATCTTTAAAGACCCTCAACGCGAAAGAAATAAAAATCCATTATTCTGACTGAACCAATTTTGAAAAATAATTTCCACTTATAAGAAGTTAGTTGAATCCATTTTAAACATTAATAAGTGTTAAAAAATTATGTAAAAGTCAAATATAAAAAATCGGATGAGAACTTGGTTAGGAAATTAATTAATCAAATTTTGAGTGCAAACCTATGACCTAGTGAAGAGAAGCGCAGGAGAAAATCGGACAGCAGAGAGGTGAACTCTGTATAGTTTCGCATGGTGAAAATACGCGTTTTCGCAAACTTAAAACCTTCATAACTTTTTGAATTCTGCAGAAGTGCTCAAATTTCATACTAACTATTGTTTGTGTTTAGTTCCTTGAGATTTTAGTGCTAGTATCATGAAGATCCGTGCGAAACATGTCTGACATGTGCATTGTAAGCTATTTGTACTCTACCCTGTAACAGATTCATTTTACATAAATTATACTCATTGATAATCACATATTAATTACAAATTCATGGAAATCATTAGCCCCAGCAATTAACAACTACCATCATTTACATCCTTGTTGTATTTACATATTTAATTATGAATTATCCAGTTCTTCCTCACCAGGCTCTTGTTCATCTCCCTTCTTTTCATTCACCGGCGGTCGCCCGATTTTCGCCCCAGCCACTCCCTTCCTCTCCGGACATCCTCTCGGCCTCCCCTTGTACTGTCCTCGCCTCTCGGGGTCATGCGACCTCATGTGAATGGTCAAATACTCCCTCAGTCGAAACTTCTTGCCACATTCGGAACACAAATGTGGCGCGTCTTCCGGTCGAATATGGATTTGTTTATGTCGAGTCAACTTACTCTTCGAAATCAACCCTTTTCCGCACACATCACAAATGAATCTCTTCGCTCCGGGTTCTCTGGATTGATGCACACTCGCAATATGGCACCTTAGCAAGGCTGCCCCCTTCAATTTAGCTCCACAGATTTCACACACAGCGACAAGATCTTCCTCAGGACTGTGAAGGCTGACCATATGTGCCTTCATTACATGCTCGCTACTAAATCGTTTCGAACATTGAGTGCATGCGTACGGCAGTAAATGATTTGGCGGATGTCTCGTATTTTCATGAAGTTCTAGAGCTTCTCGTGACGAGAAATAATTAGGCTGCCGTCCCCGCTGGGAACATGTCTTGCACGCGATGGCTTTTTCGAGACAGATCTTCTCTTCAGAAACGTGGTAATTAAAGGACGTCATACAGACGAAAGTTTCACTACATCCGGCACAAGTTAAGTGCTTCTTTGGGACGTGTAGTTTTCGTAAGTGTTCTTCTAGTGATCTCGCGTCCCGAAAGTTAAATAGACAATGGCCACATTTATATCCAGGTCGGCGACTCCGTTCTTCACAGGGTGTCACGTGATGCGACCAGCCTTCAAAGGTGACGAAGACTTTGACACAGTGAGGGCAGGGGAAGTCGGAAATTGCATATTTTTCTGCCAACCAGGCCAGTGTGGGGACCTGTAGGGCGGGTGGGAGAGTTCCCAAATTGGTGGATTTTGCCTCGTCGATATTGCGAAGGAGATCAGTGCGCCATTTGACAAAGTCTGTCCAGGTCCAGGAAGGGATGTAGAGTTGTGGGGAGTGGTATAAAGTTTCTTCTGCGGGAGGTGTGGCTTTTATGGGTGTTGATGGAGCCTAAAATTTAAAACGATGCAATATTATAAAATTGTTTTACTAATTCTCCGAACACAGGCGACCTTGGCTCAAATTTTGTAATTAATTTTACCATTACCTTTGTCACGTCATCATTCACAAGTTGTTTTGACTTTGTACTTTTTTCCTTGTGAATTGTGTCATCTTCACCTTTATCCCTCTGAGAATGACGATAATCCAGATCTAATTCTATTTTAAGCGGATCGTCAGCATTATCATCATCATCCGCATCCGGGGTAATTTCCGCTCCGAGAAGAGCATCTTCAAAATCTAGAATAGGGTAAGTATCCATCTCTACACTCTCTTCGACCTTAATCGTTCCAAAATCGACTTCTTCTTCGTCTTCTTCTCTACCCTGTAAAAAACATGTAGATATTTTAGTCTTTAGAAATTATTGTGCCATTTTCATTTATTCATTATCAGTTTAATCATTCGCTCACCGTTTCACCAAAAACATACCCACCCTCGCCTGGAAAACATTAATCAAACTTTAATTAAAATCACTTAATTTAATTTGAATTAATATTAATCAATACATACCTTGAACCAAATAAGCACGCACTTCTTTAACAATGCCTTCAATAATCTTGCCTTGGTCTCCCTGACCGACTTCTTCTACTACTACCTCCTCCTCCTCTCTAAGCTCCTCTTTAACTTTTATGATCTGATTTTTTACAGTAAATTCAAGTTGGCTAAACTGTTCGCGATGTGTCTCAAAATTTGTATTATGTTGGTCAATCCGAGCTTGAAGTTGGCGAATCTGGGCGCAAATATGATCCATTTTCTCGGACAAATCCTTCCCCTTGGCCACCACGGTGTCGCAAGTGTCACACAGGACAACCCACTCTGTCGGATGACCGTATCTCGCCTCCAAGTCGGAACACCGGTCGGGTGGAAATTGTAGTATTTTTTGCAGCAAAAATAGAATTCGGGCGCCTTTCGCCTCCACCAATTTCTTGCCATCAACCACCCGATAAGTTTTCCGAGTGGGGGTGCAACACAAAATGCAAGAGTGAAGCGGTGCAGCTGAAATTTGACAAGTTAAACTAGATAAGTATCGCTTATTGTGTGCGGTAAGAACAGTAATTTTTGTTAGATCGTGATACCTTTCAGTAGACGTCTCCCATTGCTATAATCGAGCAATTGTTGCCTGCATCGGAGCTTGTTTTTCGATAACTTCGGCATAGTTGGATCTCTAGACAGCGAGGGTTATCCGTGCATAGGTGACGGTAAGCCGAGATTTGGTGTGGCCTTCGTTGATGACGACCACGAAGTTATCTGCAAGAAGAAGACAAATACTTGGAATACTAATTTATAGTGGCTCCAAATTTACTTTACCTTGATTAAATGTAATGCATTCAATTAGTGATTACTTTATTGATCTGCAGGCGAGGAAAAGATTGAAGTTTCAAGTTTATTTTATTTTGCTCAATCTGCATTCTGCATTCTGCAGCTGATTTTGCGTCCCGGGCAGAAAATTGCATTGATTCTAATAGTGGACAGTGCATAATGGACGTGGTTAATTTAAGGAGTCATGTCATATCGCTTATCTTACAGATACTAAATGACTAACTAAATAGTAGTAGACACCCAGAGGGGGTAGGATTCGGCGAAATAAGCAACAGGTTGAGAAGATCCGGTATGCACGGCCCCATCTTCCTTCGACAAAAATAAAACTGCATGGAGAAATCAATCAAGTCGAAACGACAATTATTTTACTGAAAGGTAAATTAATTTGATTATATTAATAGTCCTAAATTGAGTTGTCTCATCTCGCCTTACTAGACTCGTCTCAATTTTTCATCCCATTTTTATTTCCACTTTCCTAAATTGTCTCTTGCTTTGAAATTTACATACTTTTGCAAGACTAATTTTATTTGCCTAATGCAAAAAATCAGTTTCTTCAGCATAAATTTATTCTTGAAAAAACGACCATACGAATATTCTTATGAATAAATCCATTTTAAAGAAATTCTTATGAAGGCTTCGACTCTTTGCATGCGAATTATGTATTTACAGTTTACAGACCTCGTTATGAGCATTGTGTTAATTGATAGATGGTAACTTACATGTATGCCTCGAGTAATTTGAAAACAATGCGCTAAATATATAGTAAGTACTTTTAATTAATTTTCCAAACCTTAATGTGACAGCAACTGACACGGTAGCGGGCGAGGCGAGATGAGACATGCAAATTTCATTCATCTCACAAAAATACTCAATTCGCCAGTTTCTCAATGTTTCTCAACTTGCCTCTCTCTCGCTACTGAAAGGAGTGAGTTTAGCACTATAAATGAAATAACATCGATAACAGTGTTATCATACACGAAAGTGGATAAGCACATCTCTGTGCAATAGTTTTTGCCTTTAATTTTTATTTCCGAAATGGTTCTAAAGGTAAAAATTTCTGTTTAAAAATAAAATTTATTTATTGAAGTAATTTCATAGGCATCGGAGGGCATATTCTTGAAATACTTTATTACGAGCTTTATTTCACATACTTACACACTTAACTTCATCAGGCAAAGTTAAGAGAGAAAATTACGAAGTGTACATCATGACCAACTCATCTCTTTAACAATATTTGTTATCTTACATACGGGTCATGGCTATAAAATCGTGAGGACTAGTGTTGAATTTATTTATAATTTGATTTAAGTTTTGAATCCTTACATTGTTTCAGATATACGATTTTTTTTACATTTGCTACTTAGAAATACGAAACAAATTATTTGGATGTACATGGGAACTGATGGTATTTGCTTCATTGCTCAGCGGATAACATTCATCATAAATACACAAGTGACAAGTACTATGATTGAAGATGGGGTAAATGAGGGTCAATTTATTGGCCTCTCTGGCTCATTCCAGGCAATGGATAAAACTTGACTAAAGTGGCGATAAATGGTGCAAATTCGCTGTAATGGAAATTAAGTTTTCATGGAATTGATGCCTAATTGATAAGACTTACCAAGAATTTCATCGCTACTAGGAAATTGCTTTACCTCTCAGAAAATGGAATCTGACCAACAATCATGAAAATTAAAGCTTTAAAAGACAGTTTTACTCAATCTTTCCAAACTAATGGTCGAGTTTGATAAACAGCATCTTCAAAATATTTGCATATTTCGATCCATATTTCGCCAAAATGCTTACCAAAATTGCATTTCCTTCCATAATTTTGATCTCCTTATTCTTACCCCGAGCCACTTCAGATTGGCAAGTATCGGAAAAAGATAGCTGTGCAGAAATCTATTTCCAATCTGACCACGAAGGCAAATCCCTACAATTGAGGGATACGGAACAAATTGCGGATTTGAGTTATGCACGATCAAAATACTTTCATTCGGGTGGAACAGCAACAAATGGGTCAATGTCGCTAAAAATCCATTCCGGCTGCCATCTCGTCCTCGCCGATAAGACTTTCATGAAAGGGAAACAGTTTCTTTTTACGAGCGATGTGGATCATCTCGACGGAATGGCGTTGTCGCCAAAGTCGGCGGCGTGCACGTGTCCGCAGGTAAGTATTTAAATAAAAATTTGCGAAATTATAAAATATTAAATGATTAAAAACACGACCATAATTTGAGAACAAAAATACCATATTTTTTTTCTTTCAAAAAATTCCGATGAAATGGTGCACATTTCGGAAAACTTGTCAAGTTTTGTTTTCTCTGGAAAATTTGTGAACAAAAATCTCATCGTTTTCCAACTTTATCTTTTGCGGACTTTTGCATATTTCGTAATACTTAGCGGTTAAACTGATGTTTTCAATTTGTTAAAATTTGCAACAGCTTAATTAAAATTTCACATTTCCAAAGGTCTGCAAATGTTCCAACGCAATTTTACGAAACCGTGAGTGCGCGAGGGCGTACTTGGGTCAAGAGTGCGACAATTGTGACGCATATTTCACCTCGCTCCCACCCGAGGAGGACGGGGTGGTTCGACAGTTTCCTCCGAAATGGAGGGACGCCGTGGCCTCCCTCATTGTTCGGAGGGGGTGCGAATTAACGCTCAACACGGGAAATGCTACTTTCGAAGAAATCACCGTGTCGAATATTCTCGAGGAGGTTGGCAATCTCACGGTGAAGAATTTAGTCGAGGTAATTTGATGTCAAGAAAAACGAAAAATGTAAAAATTTTGCAATAATTACGCATGTAAATTTGATTTTACAGAGTGTGTGGAATTCAACAATTGTGAATTATAAGTGTCACTGCAACTCTTCATATGTCCAGAGGAGGCTGCCTAAACAGGATTCCGAGCAGGCCTCGAAATGTACGAGTAACTTGATTCATTTTATAATCATTTAATTAATTAGCGGAAGGTTAAACTGCGATCGATTTGTCCTTCATACATAAGTCTCGAACGAATGTGTCAACTTTTTAATTCTGTTTTCGTATGTGGACAATTAATTTTTAACTAACGAGATACTTTATTAGCCGACCTCTCAAGGGGTCACTTTGCTACTGCACTATATTTGTATTTATGTACCTGCATGTAAACATGTATTTATGTAGATGTTTTTCCATGCAGATCCAAAATTAATCTCCATCCCAAAATCGAAGCCAGAACTGCTCTCCCTCTTATCTCAAGATGAACTGAAAAATCATCCCGGCGTAATTTCCGCACTGCAATCCTTAAAAAATAAAAGGAGCTCACGGAACGCGTACATTTTGCTGTTGGGGACGACCGGAAGTGGTAAAAGTTCCGCGGTGAGTGACCCTCCTCAAAATTAATTAAAATTAGTGACATTTTTCCCATAATAATAATTTCTTCCATACCTCTCCACAGGTCAACATGCTTTTCGACCACCCCAACATCACCAAAGTCGGCGGTGTCCATTCCACCACGACGGACATTCACGAATTCCGAATCCGCCTCAAACTCGACGAACTGGGCATTTCCAACTCCGAACTTCGCGTCATCGACACTCCCGGCACTTCGGATACTCGCGGAATCACGCAGGACTCCAGATTCCTCGCCTCCCTGGAACAATTCCTCGACTCCCACGACGACCTGGCCACCTCCAAGCCAAACATTGTCCTCATCTTTGCCAAATTCAATGACAACCGATTCCGCGGGGAGGGCAGTTCCTTCGTCAAAATGCTCCGTACCATTGACCTCTTCAAGGACAGGATAATCGACCCCAAATTCACCAACGTCATCTTTGTCTTGACCCATTTCATGTCGGAAACTGCGTCCATCACTACAAATCCCACCGAGCGAATCACCGCGGTCAGAAAGGTCATCGAAGAATTTAGCACCCTCCCAAAACCGGTGCACATCGTGGTGGCAGAAAATAAACCGGAAGCTTTCCACCTCCCAAGTCTCAACGGTTTTTACGCCCTGCCCAATGGCGACCTCTACCCGCAAAATTTATTCAGTCAGATGCAACGCTCCCTGGTGACGAGTGGAGATCCCATTGGGGAAGCTGTGATACGAGTAGGGTTCAAAAATTCCGATTATTTCAACATTCTCGGCAAAACCTTCCCCCTCGTGGACCCCTCGAATGGCAAAGTTACGAAGTACATGGGAACCTTGAGCTCTTTCGATACCACGTCGACCTCTTCGCCCGTCTCGCAGAAATTGGCAGATTCCTACGCAAAGTTAGATGCCGGACTGAAATCCAGTTTTCCTGGAGTCCTCAGCCACCTGCAGAGAGCCCTGTTTCACAAAAATATCCAAACCCAGGCTCAATTACCGCAGACGAGAGCGGCAATTTTGAAATTCTTTGAAGATATCCCCCTCAACCCGGCGTCGTCCGCGTTGCTGCAAAATTCCTTTAATTTATCACTTCCCGTCCTCTCTACGGAATTACTCGTTGGCTGCGGGTACGACTTAATTAATGATGATGTCCTACCGACCCCAGTTTTTACCGTGAGTAATGTCACCCCAAGTGAAATCAACTTCCAAATCCCGAGCAGTTTCAAGGTAGAGTTGTACAATCGGATGGAAAATGTGTTTTTTATCCTGCCATCGAGAGACTCATATGTCGACGAACGACTCAAAAATCTCGGTCTTGAAGAGGACACTTTTCCCCCGGAAATTATCTCTCACTCGGGAAAATTAAAGGATGGTTATAACATTATGCAAACTAATGACGAAGAGAACGAACTTTCCTTGTCTGACGCCCCAAAATTATCAGCTGTCCTAGAGTATCACATGTTCCACATGAAATTAAGCGCAGCAGAGGTCGAAATTTCGGAAGAATTCGCCTCCACCGTTGAATCCCTGACTGCCCTGGATACCTCTGATTTCGCCTCTTTCTCACAGTGGGACACCTTCTTCAAAAAGTACGGCACCCACGTGGTCACCTCTGCCTTTGGCGGTGGGCGAGTAACCATTGAGGTCACTCTAGATCCTTCTTCGCCCTCTCTTCCCCCAACAAAAACCGAGCAGTACACGAAACTTACGGAATCCATGGCACAAATCGTGCAAAAATTGGCAGATAACCTGATCGGCAAGGAAATTTCCTCTCTAAATTATGCCGACGTCACCCACAAGGTCACATTCTCCGGTGGAGACCCAACCTACGCGTCCCTCCTGGACATTGACCATTGGCGAGATTCCGTCCACTACAATCCCATCATGTTATCCTCCGATTTAAAACTCCTCCCGATTTCCGAGCTCGTTAGACAAGCCTCACTTCCTCAAAAGGCTGACCTCATCGAGCTCGCGGCGACCCAACTGTTCAACGCGTCCCTAGTTTACATCCCTATCACTCGAGCAGCTAACCCGGCCGCAGGGGCGAATCGACAACACACCGTGTCCGGCAGTGACGCCGGCCTCGGTGGGTACGAATCCATCGCAGAATTCGCCTCCATTTTCAAAATCATGGCGGAAGAAGGGACCCGAATGCAGGACAAAATGTTGGCCGTCATGCAGCAGAGAGAAGCGGAATCCGCGCGACGAGAGGAGCTTGACAGACAAGAAAAATTACTGCAAAAACAGGTCGATCTCGAACAGGCGAGGCACGACAGGGCGGATGCCTTAGCGGAGAGAAGACTTGAGATGGAAGAAAATCAACTGCACGCCCAAAATTTGGCCAATTTGGAGGCAATTCGAGCTCAAAAGGCACAATTGCAAGCGGAGTTGGAAAACGAGAGGTTTATTGCGGATCAAAACGCGAACGATCAAAGGCAAGCACAATTGTATGGATTTATCAATGCGGAAAATGAGCGCAGATTGCAGGCAAATTTGAATAGAAAGTCCACCTGGGATAAAATTACGGACTTTACGGGGAAAATTATCAGCAGTGGGAGAGACGCGATGATGTCTGCGGCACCATTTCTTATGGGGAGATGATTAATCTGGAGAGATTTTAGGACGGTTGAAAAAATATATAACTTGTTAAAAAGTAGGATTAATATTTGGTCGACATAAGTTTTATCTTTTATTACTTTAGTTGTAAAATAAAATAATATTTTATTCGAAATGGTGCAATTTTCTTATATTTTTGCTAATAAATTTGACAAGTGCATATGGAAATTAATAATTTTCACAAGGCATATGTGCTATTACATGCAAGTAAAATGAGAAATTGATGCTGTGTGGAGAGCAATGCATACATTTTTAACAGAAATTTTAACTGGCATTTACACAAATACATACATAAATACACACATATACATACATATACATACGTACACATATGTATTTACATGTATTTATGTAGAAAAAACATTATGTAAATCAGTCATCATTTGAATAGATTATGCTTTTAATTAAATTTCTAAACGTAAATGTGAAAGGAACTGACACGGTAGCGGCGAGGCGAAATGAGACGTCTTTAATTTCATTCATCTCACAAAAATACTCGATTTGTCAGTTTCTCAACTTGCCTCTCTCTCGCTAATACTGCAAGATGTGAGTCATAAAATCGTCATAAAATGAGCCACATGTCCAAAGTTTCCAACATTTTTATTAATTCGGTTAAAAATTCCAGGTAACATTGTTCCCAAAATGAGACTACTACTTCACTCTTGACTTTATACTTGACACAAATTCGATCCAGATAAACCAAAGTTGAAAGTATGGGCATATAATCCGACATAACAACATGTGCAAAGAAAATAAGTAATTCCAACTTTGATTATCCATTTTTTTCAGTTATTTTATTAATTAGCGACATGAAGAATGTTTATTATTTAGTAAATTGTAATATGTATAAGTATTTTTTCACGCTAAAATTTTATTCTGCGCTAAAATCAAAATATTTTCTCACCGAGGTCACAAACTGGGCATGAATTTCCTTAAATATCAAATCTTGCCCCTTTCCGATGAACCCGTGCCCCACGAACTCTTGCGCATTCTCATCATCAAAATACAACGATAATTTCTTACTCGTCGCGGCATACAGTTTGGTCGCCATAAAAACTCCCTGCAACACGGTGGTCGCTTCTTCAGGGTCAAACGGCAGTGTAAATTTTTATTAAAGTGAATGCTCACTTGTTGCAAATATGTAATATGTATATATTTAATACCTAAATACATCTTATATATATATCATGATAACCTGAATATGTACATATGTATGCAAATATGCATGCACGTGTATTTATGCAAATATTTCCCTTAGAAGGTCAAGTTGATTAGTTTTGAAAATAAATTTTATTTATAACATAATTCCAATTTTGAAATAAATAATTTGGTTTGCTTAAAAGCAGTTGTGGTCGGTCAATTTAAAGTCCAAGAGCAGCAGCAACATCGATACGTCCGTGACCTGAAATTAGTGAAAGTACAATAACGTTTCTTGTCCGGATATTGCATGTCAATAATGGCGACAACTCTTACCTAAGGCATGATTTGGGAAATCTCCACCTTCCGGAAGTCCACAATTCCTGTCAGCGTTGGACAAGGTTGGGTGAACTGGCGTGGTGGTGAGGGCAGTGAAAATCTCGTCAAATCCCCAGCTTGGGTTGGCAGACATGAGCAGAGCGATGGCTCCAGCGGTGTGGGGGGTGGCCTATATTAGTAAATTTAAAAAATTAGTCAATAACTCAGAAACTAAAATATTCAGTGTAACCCACCATTGAAGTTCCGGACATGGTGACGTAATTGTTGGCTCCAGTTCCGCAAGACACGATGTTGTTTCCTGGTGCGGAGACTTCTGGTTTGAGTGCTCCTGCTGCGTTGGGTCCTCGGGAAGAGAAGGTCGCCATGGCGTCGGTGTCAGTGGTGGCTCCGACCGAGATAAGGTTGGGCTGATCTCCGGGAGAGATGACCGTCCTGCATCCCGGCCCTGAGTTTCCGATCGCAAAAACTGGAATGATTCCAGCCGATCGCCAGGCAGAGACAACCTGGTTGTACCACGGATTATTACTACCGCCGCCCCACGAGTTGGAGACGATGTTTGGTCTGGGATTCGCGGTCAAGACCCATTGGGCGCAGGAGATAAGGTTAGGCTCAGTTCCAGATCCTTGGTGGTTGAGTCCACGGCAGGCGACCCACTGGGCAGCAGGGGCGACACCGACACCATTTGCACGTCCAAGGACGGTTCCCGCGCAGTGGGAGCCGTGTCCTTGTTGGTCAGTTGGTCCGGCCGTGTTGTAGTACGGGTCGCTCCAGGCACCTCCGTACGCATCAGCGAGCGCAACGTGTCCAAGATTAACTCCGGTGTCGATGATGCAAACGACGGTACCTTCCCCTTGAGTGCGCGCCCAAGCTTCGGGTGCCCTGATTTTGGCAACGCCCCATTGGGCGTTTTGGGTAGCGTTGGTCTCAACGATGGATGGGGTCATTCGGACGGTGACTGGCTTACGGAGGGTGAATTCTCCGGGGGTGGCAGCCAAAGAGGCGAGAGTCTGGGAAGTCAAGCCTTTGACGTGGATGATGTTGGATCCCCAGTACGTCTGGGTCTCGAGGCCGAGGGAAGAAGCGACTTGGACGTAGGGGGCCTGAGCAGCGGAGGTGAGTCCTTGCAGGGAGGCGACGAGGGCGGACACCTTGGCATCACCGGAGAGGGACAAGAGCGATGGGTTGGACTGGACTTGGTCGACGATTGCGGGAAGTGCAAGGATCGCCTCGGTGGAACCTTGTTGAATGGCCAGGTTGAGGGCTGGGTCGACAGTGCCGGCGGCGGCGACTGCCAGGGTGGCAGCGAGGACGAGAAGCAACTTCATGGTGGAGCTGATTGGAGGTACTACTGGATTTTATGGTTCTGGAGCAGTGTGAGGAAGTGGGGAATTTGGAGCGCTTTTATACCAGAAGGGATGAATATGATAGGATATAAGAATTCGATCCTTTATTTAAAAGTTATATCATTTTTGGTGGAAGGGGTTCGATAAGCCGTTAATTGTTGCTCGGTGAGTGGGGAAATTCCAGTTTTAGTGGTCAGCTATGCTTGGTCCACTTCATTGACACATTTAATCCGAGGCGTGATTGAACACTGGAGTTACATAATTTTGTTTTATGAATATGCATTTGTTATTTCTCGGATTTTCCAATAATAAATTAATTCAATAATGCGGGTTGATTTGCGTATATCTTACGATTAGTTTTTAAAAGTCTAATATACGTTCTAAATATGTATTTATGTCAGTTATGTACTTATATCTGTATTGATGGGTTTCCCTCAACTCATAAATTTTATGATGTCAGGGAAAACCACCCCATTATGGAAATACCGATGACCATGCATAACTACGTAATATTTAAATATATCGGTATGTTATGAAATATTTAAAAGTCTAATTCTGTCGGATTAAGCGATCAGTGAATACTAATATTTATTTACATTATGTTTTCATTCATTATTAAATATGTATGTAACTCATAAGTAAATAGTTTCACAATGGATTGGACTAATCGATAAGTATGCTATTGCTGAGTACATATGTACATATAAAATATTTACGGCATTTATAATTCCACCGCCACCCCCACCCAAATCCACCTCTTCAAAAGTAAACTTTCTCCTCTAATCCTGATTCGCACCAAGCGACAATTTTGATCAATTCATGCTAAATGAGTTATTTAGAGTTTGCTTTATTAATTAGACATGTCAAGAATGAAATTTATTAGTAAATTGTAATATACGTAAACTTTTTGTCACACTAGTTAAATTTTATTCTGCGCTAAAATCAAAATATTTTTTAACCGAGGTCACAAACTGGGCATGAATATCCTTAAATATTAAATCTTGCCCCCTTCCGATAAACCCATGCCCCACGAACTCTTGCGCATTCTCGTCATCAAAATACAACGATAATTTCTTGCTCGTCGCGGCATACAGTTTGGTCGCCATTGCGCCGAGTGTCGGATTATTGAAGACTCCCTGCAGCACGGTGGTCGCTTCTTCCGGGTCAAACGGTAGCTCAATTGACCCGTCATCGTCACCAGCTGACGAGATCAACCTCTTCAAATCCACCTTAACAAGCGCTTCCTCAACTTCGGCCGTAATCAGGTCAATCTTTTCCATAACTTCCATCGTGTACGGAACATCGCCAAAGAAAGCGAGCTCCTCCGTGTAGAAAATTTTGAACAAAACACCCATCGCGTGCGGCCACTTGTCCAGCGGTGGCGTTTCATGTCGACAAACGTACCCGTTCGCGATATAAGTTCCGGAGGGGTTGTCCACCTGCAAAAAGTAGATCAGTTCATCCTCCGAATGCGGGGATGGATCCGTGTAAACTTGAACGGTCGCGCTACCCAGGAATGTAGCGTTTTTGGGGTCGAGTTTTAAAACTTGGAATGGTTCCCCATACTGCATTTCCTGCACGGGGATGAATTCCATGAGAGGATTTTGTCTGAGGAGGAGAGGCTTGTCTTTCACGTAGAATTGGAGCCCAGAATCATTATTATTCGTCGGACCGGCCAAAATGTGACTCTCGGTGAAGAAAAAGGTCTCATTATCGAACCCATGGAATCCTTGAGATTGCAAAAATTCGTACGAAATTCCCACGACGGTGGTCGGATTGAGGTTGTGGTCTAAAATGACGTCCCCCACTTGCAAGGACTCCACGGGCTTGGACACTTCGCCCGCGTGGATCAAAGTTCCTCTCCTCAAACAGGACGATGGCGGTGGGGGTTTATTGATGATGGCCACCATAAGGTCGTGATCTCTTTGTTGTTGGGCGGCACGTGCGCTGTTAATCGCGGCTTGTTGCCTGGCCTGTTCGGCTCTCCAGTTCTGTTCCGCCGCTGCTGTGGCGTTCATCATATCGAGCAATTTCTGCTGTCTCGCGGCCTCTTGGGTGCGACGCTCGTTTTGCTCCAATCTGGACATGTTGTACTGAAATTCTTGCTGGTGTCTTTCCCAGGCGCGCTGTTCGCGGGTTTCGTTCGCTCTCCGTTCTTCCTGCAGGCGTCGATCCGTCTCGAATTTTGTCATCATTAGTTCGAACCTTTTATTCGATTCGGCCGTCTGGTTGAGCATCATTTGAATAATTGCGGTAAATCCTTGGTTCGATTGAACGGGGAGGACGGAGTCTCGGTCGCCTTGGATGACTTGATTGACAGGTTTCGGTTTGTACTTGAGGTCGGAGTGGAAATAGAGCGAAGTGGCGGTCGCAACGGCGGCGGTGATGTTTTGCCGGGTTCCGACTTTTTTCGCAATTTCGCCAATCGGTACGAGACCCATTTCTGTTGTTAAAATGGTTGGATTTAGTTGGAGGGAATTTTTCCAATCGGCCAAAAGAGTGGAGGCCTCGTCTAAATTCATTTTTGTCAAGTCGGTCGTGTGATACTTGGCGTCGCCACCTCGAAACTTGAGCTGATGAGAGATTCCGTCTCGCACGACGAGACCGGAAGTGCTATTTCCGCTGCTCAATCCTTTAATAGACACGAGATCCTCGGCGAATTGGATAACGTTAAAAAGTGCGTTCGTAATGGCGGAAGTTTCGCATTTTTTCGAGCTTCTCAACGTAATCTCGATAGCGCCACCGCCATAAACCGACCTGACCACGTGGGTGCCATAATTCTCGAAGAAGTTCACCCACACGTTGACATTGTCGTGATCCGTCTCATTATAAACGGGGAGTTGGAGGAGAATCTTTTTGAACGCGTCGGATAACGCGGGCTTATCGTTGAGGACGAGTTCAAACATACGAATTTCTCGAACCGCGGTAATAACGCAGCCCGAATCGGTAAAAGATTCCGATTCGATGTTAAAACCGGGTCGAATTTCCCCAGTGAAACGATCAATCCCGATTTTACCGGAAATTCCCAATTTTTCCACACGGTTTTGCAAATATTGCTCTCGAGTTGGGTAGAACTGGATGAAGTCCGTCACCTTTTTCTCCACGGAGCAGGTGAGGATGGAGGGGAACAAGTAGCCAATGTCGGAAGTGGTCGGTTCCCCCAAGAGAAATGGTGTCCTGCTCAGTGGGAGGTCTTTAAAGACGTGAAAACTATGCCCGGCAATGACATTGAGTGGAAAAGCGGGCGGCGATATTTTCAAGGCGTCCTCCAGAAGAAATAATATCGCCTCATTCTGTCTGAGTGACGTCATTAATTGCAAAATTCCCAACGTGGTTTGTGGAATGTCTTCCTCACTCCGAATATTTCTAAGGTTCAAAGCCTTCTGCAAATAGGGGAGTGAATTTTGAAATTTTTGCTGCAAAACGGGGTCCATTTTTTGGTACGATTTCTCCAAAATTTGTGAAATTGGGGTATTTTCTGCATCGATTATGGCATCCACTAGGATTTTATAGTACTCGGAGACCTTCTTATTCCCTTTGGAGACGAGTTTATAAGTGGAACCGGATATATTGAAATTATTTGAATTTCTAAATGCCGTTCGAATAACGGCATCGCCAATTTCATCACCGGAACTTTGCGTCAATTTTTGAATCTTGTCGAACAAATTTCTCGGGTAGAGGTCGCCATTGGGCAGTTTGTAGTAGCCGTTGACGAGCGGGAGGTTGTGTTCGGCAGCTTTGTTCTCCGCGACCGCAATGACGATAGGCTTCGGATACATGGTGTATTCTTGAATGACCTTTTTGAATTCGAGGAGTCGTTCCTTTGGCCGATTTTTTATGGTGTCCGTTTCCGAACAGAAATGTGACAATACGAAAACGATGTTGGAATAGGAGGCGTCTGTTATCCGATTTTTGAAGGATTCGATTCCACGCAGCATTTTGACAAACATGGATCCCACCCCGGAAAATCGGTTGTCTGTGAATTTGTGAAAGATAAAGACGACGGTTGGGATTTTGTTGTGGAGTTCTTCATGGCTTGAGAGATATTCGTCGAGGGTGGCGAGAAATTTAGCGTCCTGTTCCAATCCGCGCGTGTCAAGGAGACCCGGCGTGTCGATGACGCGAAGTTCAGAGTTGGAAATTCCCAGTTCATCGATGGGAATGGGGATGCGGAATTCGTGAATGTCCGATGTGGTCGAGGTGACTCCGCCGACGGCGGTTACGTTAAGGTTGTCGAAGAGGAGGTTAATCGCGCTGCTTTTTCCGGAACCTGCAGAATAAAATTGATAAGGGACTGTGAAAAAAAAGATGGTGATGGATTTGGCAGGGGTGAAATCCTGTCCTTCCCGTGTTAATTATAACATGGGGTATATGGGGCATGCCAGAGAGGTATGGGTAAAAATTCTCAGAACATCTATCATATACCTTGCGTATGGCCCTTAACTAATTCGAGATTTATGTATGGTTCAGCGGTGGCTAAAATACTTTGTCAGAATACAGTATTTTGAACTGATGGTCAGTGCTACATACCAACAACCAAGGACTTTGTATTTCGAGGGCTATTACGTCACGCCTACAAAATATTGTTGTCACTTTTTGACGTAATAACCCTGCCTGGAAGAAGGGAGCTCAAAATACTGTAATTTGACAAAGTACTTATTTAAGCCACCTCTGATCCATACATAAATTAAATTAACTATAGGTCGCTCATAAAGAATGTGATAGATTTTCAGATAAGTGTGTCCCCTATCCCTCTCGTGTAACCAAAATCCCCCGTGTTATAATTAATACGGGAAGGATATGGTATTTTATGGGGTAAGTGTAAAGGTAGAAAGGTCACCTGTTGATCCCAAAGTGATAATGTAGGCGTTGCTAGTGCTTCGTTTATTTTTGGCAGAATTCATGGCGGCGAGGAGTCCAGGATGGCGACCTGCTTTTCCCTGAATCATTCGACTTACTTCCTCAATCGTGCTCGGAATAGTGATCATTTTCGGATCTTGATAAAAAATGTGGGAAATGAAAAATTATTGCAAATTACAATGGGCATATTCACGTCAACGTATATTTTGCATCATAACTCATTTAGTAAACAGTTTGCAAAATGAACAACAACCTTACGAAATAAAATCGTTAAAAAATTTCCTGTGTAAATTTGAAACAAAAACTCCAATCTTTTTCAGCAAAATTCTGTGCAAATGTTTGCAAATTTCGTAAAACTTGGCAGGTTAACTAGGTTTGACTGACAATGGAGGCGCAAACCATGTTCAGCCCAGATAATTTTTTGACCTTATTAGTTTGAAAGAGCAACTCTTTACAAACAACATTTGGTCCGGCACTTGGGCAGATGCGCAAATTTCAATACGTTATGGGCGCCGCAAGTTCGCAAAAACGCACGATTTTTTGGGCAATGCCCAGCGCGAGCTCAACTTCGTGCGTTTTTGCGAACTTGCGGCGCCCATAACGTATTGAAATTTGCGCATCTGCCCAAGTGCCGAACCAAATGTTGTTTGCAAAGACTTGCTCTTTCAAACTAATAAGGTCAAAAAATTATCTGGGCTGAACATGGTTTGCGCCTCCATTGTGAGTAATTTGCGAGATTTACGAGATTTGCCGTGAATATGGGTAATATTTTTGCAAGATATGTTATGTCCATACATGTTGGTGGTCGAGGAGGTCGCGTGGGTGGAATATACCGGGTTTGGTCACATTCGCACGTGTACGAGCCAATTGTCCCTTCATAATTCCAGTGCTGTAAATAATACCTGCCATTTAGCATAATTGTGCAAAAATATTCATGTGTAATAAGCCACCTAGCGACAATGACCTTATTCTACATAATTGTACCTCATTTACATAGCATGTAATTTGCAAAATTTAAAGATGCCGATTTTCTGGGTAAAATTGGAAACAAATACCCAATTGTTTTCTACCAGAAAGTTTATAAAAATGTTGCGAATTTCGTAATATTTGCCCATTTGCGATTAAGGCTTTCGTTAACTCGTTAAAAAATATGTAAATGCATACGTCTTCCGAGTCATCCACCACGATCTCGTCTCCGTCGTGGTCTTCCTGTGGAAAGATGGTCAACGTGCACCCACTCCGCACTTTAATTGTTTGCTTCCCAGTCTGAAATCCTTTATGAAAAGTGGGTTTAGAGCCGACAAAATCTGTGTACGGAGGATTACAAAAGTTGCAGCCTTCAAAGTACAGTCGGGCACAGGTGGACTGCCGCATCTTGATGTCCGCGCATGAGCAGTTCTAAAAGAAATAATTTATATGGCGTCAAAATTGCGTCAAAATGAATTTTGCACGTAAGGAAATAAATGCATCCTGAAATTTATTATATGTAACATTGGTCATATATATGACATATATACATACATTTGTTCGAAAATATAGTGGCATAAAAAAATGGCCAGCATCTTTGGCATTTTTTTAAAATAAGAAGTGTCGAATTTATTCCAATTAAACCAATTTTCATTGTTCACTGGAAGTGATCGATCTTTTGTCATTATTGGGCATGGAATAAAAATATTTTGCATATATTTAGTTACAAATTTATGGCAACATTGGCCTGATATGGAAATCCGTGGGGTACCTATATGTTAGTCCAGCCCAACTCTCGAAGATACATACATATGTACATATGCACCTCTTCAAATATAAATTAAGTTCGTGTGTACCTTGCTACATTCGCAACTCGCCGAGAGGAAGTGTTCTCCAGGTTGAATTTGGCTGTGTCGATGTGATTTACACTCCCCCATGAAGTTCGTGTCGTTACAGGTCCTCAACACGCAGCCGGGTTCGAGGTAAAATGATGCCGTATCGTTCCAAACGGTGTCCACGGTGAAGTGCTCTTCCTCCAGGTTGGTGAAATAGGCGCCGTCCAGCATGGGAAACTTGTCCCCAGAGTAATTTCCCCCCTTGTACAGAAGGGAACAAACGGTCTGCGCGGATGCTGCATTAAGCAGGTGGCAGAGGATCGCTACTGCGACAAGTACAACGTGATGGAGTCGCATTGTTGTAAGAAAAAACTTAGAAATTTTGAACCGTGAGGATAATAAGACGACTCAACTTGGCGAAGTTCTAGCCAGAAATGAACAAGTATTTAACCAACGAGCTTAGAAGAGACGTGAGAGAAAATTTGGGTGAATTTCGCAGAAATTGATAACTGCTGGAGATTGATGTGATTTCACTCAAATTACTAAGTATTTGCATAAATTGCGAATCAAATCAAGTATTCATAAAGCTCACCACGTGTGAGTATGTACATACATAATTATCAGATATCACTTTTCATCGCTTTATGCATTGAGATGTATTTCTTACTTGGTAAAAGTAGTTAAATTTGTTGTTGAAATGTATTTACTAATAAGATTGTAAAATTTCATTGAATTGAAAATGCTAAAAGTAATAAATCACAATTTTGCAGAAAGTAAGATTCACGGGTTTGATTGATAAATTTATCTACTAAAAAAGACTCGAATGAAAGGAAGATTAAAATGAAACCGCAATAAATAAAACTCTGCGACAACTAATAAGTAACGACTTGTTGACCCATCATGATACGATATACATTCATCTGTAAATATTTACATACATATACCCAAATTCCAGTAAATGAGTAAATCTTGTGTAAATTGACGATACAGAGGGTGTCCGCAGTTTATATGAACAGTATGAATTACCTTATAACTTCTGAACACGATGACTGTGAATTACTTTAGCGACCTCAATGTATTCTGCATTCTTCTTAGCAACAAGTCTGAGTCTTGGTTTCCAACTTCCAAACACATTTCGACGCGTTTCAGGGGAGACAAGATCCCATTCTTGATTTTGAACTTTCCAAAGCCCAACCAAAGTTTATGACTTCCTCTTGAAAATGCTTTGTTTCAGGCATCCAAACCCGAAAAAATCCATCTGACCCGTGCCAGATTACTGAATATGGACCTCGGAATAAGATGTCGAGGTCATTCCGATTTTTTTGTTTAAATCTTGGGCGTCATAATGGGTAAACTCCGCAATATATAAAAATGTTGTGTTGTGCCGACTGCAAACTTTGTCGAGCTCCCCAAAGGTACTTTTATGGAATTGCGAAATTCAAAAACTTGTGTAGAACATTGTCCATGAAGTACATCGACTTTATTTTCACATTATACCAGACAGGTATCAATGCTAGCATTCCACGGACCGTCATTGCGCAAACCACGAGGAATCAGTCAGACAATTTTCCTTCTTCTCAGACCCATAGCTTGAAACCTGCTTCCGGTCCTTTATGCACTAAATTATTGTTATCAAGTTGCAGTTTTGGATGTAGCAGAGTGTCCCCTCCAACGTGACGACAAATTCGGAATTTTTACTCCCAACATGACCTTCAAACAGCCTCCGACTGTTAGTTTTTTGTTTACAACATTGGATAATTTTAGTGTTCTGAATTTCGCCTTCCTAAGGACTGCTTTTTCAAAGTTGTGATTTATAATACGATTAACGTGTTCAGGAGGCATCTGGGATTGTGTTGTGACCTTTGCTTGGTCAGAGGATTCTCACTGAGAGGGAGGCGGTCATTTTGCTTGAGGGTGGGAGAATTCGTCGTTTTGAGGGGTATCCATTTTTAGATATACATTGGTCGGATTTAACTAATTACCATCGTTTTCTTGCAAACTTGATGAAGGGATATATGGGGGACAAGATAAGATGGGTTTCAGATTTTTGAATAATCGTTTGGGCACTTTCCGCGGCCAAGTTAGCTTCGGAAACAGGTTTTACGATTCCCCCACTTTGGGGTCACTTTTTGGGGCCACCTTTGAAGATAGAAATTTGAAACTTTGCACAGGTGTTGTCATGACCTTCGAGTCCGTGCTTGCCAAATTTGGCGCCAATTGGATCATCCGTTCGCATGTTACCCGTGTAAATCTAGTGTTCATATAATCTACGGACATCCTGTAATTCGTACAAATTCGCAGTAATCACGCTTTCTTGGAATTGATTCTTGATTGATGGGGCTTTTCTAAGAATTTTACCCCTTCTTAGAAAATCTTCCTGACTTAAATAACTAAACGGAGGTTGATTAACATTAGTAAGAAACACGAGTACACGGAAATCTGTCCCCAATTTAATAAGAGATCAGTTAAACTTGTCTCAATCATCTTTTGGATTGCGATCCGTCAACCAAACAACTTGGCTCAATCCGAGTTCAAAATGAAGCAAAGTTCTTGTTGCTACTTCGTTTTGGTCATAGTAATTTTTGCAATTGCAAATAACGTGAATGGTAATTTTTTCTAGTAAAATTAATTAGAGGATTTTTTACGTAATTATGTATTAATTTAATTATGATTATTATTGTGGGCAGGGTTGGAGTGGAATTCGGAAAATGCGACGATTCTTGTCATGGGGCGAAGTGGGGCTGGCGTGTCGTCAACGGTACGTTACACCAATTTTTTTAATATGCAATACTATAAAAACATGGGAAAATGTTTATTATCCAATAATATTTATCTAATACAAAAATTTCGAATGATAAAATTCAATGAGGTATTTTTTTGTAGTCCAATTTTTTAACACTAACTTTGAAGCACTGAGAAAATTTTACGTATCGGGACGTAGAAGAAACATGTACATCTTTTAAATAATAGCTTAAGTATGTATGTAAATATGTAGATGTAAAGAACTGATACTAAACTTATGGAGACCTGTAAATATTGAAAAATTTTGGAAAACTATTTTGAAATTTTTATTATCTGTAAGAATTAGAAGAAAATACGCAAATTTTGGCCTCATCAAATGAAAACTTGAAAATAAAACAAACATCCGCCGTAGATTATTATGTTAATTTTACTGTCTTTAAACAATTCAGGTGAAACAAATCCTCGGCCCAGGCGCAGAAATCACCCCAACTCCCCCAATTTCCGGAAAAGTAATCGAATATGAAATCCAACTCGGCCAAGTATCATCACCCAATTTCCTAAAAATTGTCGACGTCGCTGGTCTCGTCGACGGAACGACGCCAGAACAAGACGCCGCCACGATATCCGCTCTCACCACGTACGCTCAAACGAACCCTTCCGTCCCCAACTTTCTCCTCGTCGTATCGAGAATCGACGATTCTCGATTTCACGACAAGAAATCAATCTTTACCAAAACTCTGGATAGAATTTCTACCTTTCTCTCGAGCCAATACGGCCCCAACTTTTCCACGAACAGTGGCGTCATCCTCTTAACCAGACTCCTCGGCGAATTTCCCGACGTCCAGAGGCGACCTCAACGCAAAATCGACCAATTCAAAGCTACCGTTCGAGAATTTACTAATTTCTCCCAAAATATCGGCATCCTCGTCGGGGACAATTTAGCATCAGAAAACGGGGCCGAGATGCAGGACGGATTTTACAAACTGCCCAATAAGCAGCTCTACCCTAAAAATGTGCTTGATTCATTCCTAAATATTTCCAATCACACCGACCCCGTCGGGTATTCCGCAATCCATTCATTTCTACAAATGCGATCTACCCTCGAAAAGTACCCCGTCGTACGGACCGCATTCAACCAAACTGGGACAACCAATGGGGAACTACTCTCGCAAATTATGGCGTCCGAAACTGGCCTTACCGGCTCCGAGATTAGTCGTCACCTTCAAACAGCCTTTGATAAAATGACCCCTTCTGATCAAACTTTGGCTCGCTCGGACCTCATCCGACTGCAAGGTCACTTCCAGTCGGTCAGCATCACGAAGCTCTCCCACCTGCCCACCACTCTTTTACAGAAGGTCAACTTTTTCCAAAATCTGGGCGTCCAAAGCAGCTCGACGTATCGCTTGTTGGACTCCGCCTTTGGGTTGAGGATGTCGCACATGGTGCAAAATCCGGTCGTCGGATATGGCTATGATGTCGTAAAGGATGAGATGATCTTGAGTAGGTCACCCTTCTCGAGAAATACGACATGGGAGGAGAGTCCGTTAGGGTATAAAATTCCGAATTTCGTGACGTGCTCCTTCCTCGAGGGGGAGGATCCCGTAGTCAAAAATTATTCTCATTTTGTCCCCGAGTTAAAAAACTATGCCTCTCTGCGACTCAAACTTTTAGAGTTTGAAAACTCTGAGAATTTTAACGTGTCCAATTTTCAAGGTCCGGTTCGTACCGGGTTTACCGTTTCTGACAACGAGGCGGACGAGTCTGTCGCCCAGTTGTCCGTGGTGCAGGAAATTCATAAAGTTCGGTGCGAATTGACGACTAATTTTGGTCTGGATGATGAATTTCGAACCAGTATAAGGTCTCTAAAAGACTTTGATTCCTCCGTGGAGGAAAGGGTGAATGAGTGGAACTCATTTTTTAACAAGTTTGGGACTCATATAGTGTCTCGAGTTTATGGCGGTGGATATTTTACCGGAATTGTGGTTATCGATGGTTCGATAAGGGACGTGTTGCCGAGTGAGGGTTCAATTTCTCAAAGTTTTCGAGAAATGTTAACCTTCCATGGGTTAAGTTATGTCGGAGGGGCTACGGCATCCTACACATTTTTTGGTGGTGTGAAACCACCCCGGTTAGAGAATTTGGGAGAGACGAATAATTCTGCGGAGAAGGAGGGATTGTTTTCCACTTGGAAAAATAGTTTAAAATTGGACCCCGTCATGTTATCGTACGACTTAAAACTAGAGCCGATTAGTAAATTTGTTAAAATGGTGGATTCTCGGATAGGACAAGAGGTGGAGAGGGTTTTGGCAATTTTTATCCAAGAGGGACTAACCTACAGGAGAAAAAAAGGGGCGATAAATCCGGGCAATAAGATTGTCCTGAGACGACCGACATCCACCACCACAACGACAACTACGCCACCACCGCCGCCACCGACGACAACGACACCAACACCACAAATTTCCCACGTGACACCGACAACTATAAGAAATCCATACCATTTTGAACCTATTACAGAGCAATCCACGGTGCCGATTACGACACGATATTCTCCAAATTTCGACACTTATACCCCCAAACCAACGAAACGTGCAATAACGACGAATCACCATCAAAATCGACCCCCATCAACACACCTGATAAACCAAGATACCGTCAATTATGACCCAATAACCCAAAGACCCGCAGAAATCTCCCCCACAATCCGAACCACACCTTCCTGCCCTCCCCGACCACGGGACGGAGTAGACTACCGCGACACAGTCGTAGGTCAAGGTTACCACGTGATAAAGGATGTCATCCTCCCCACCAGTCCGCTCGATCCTTTCAGTACCCCCCGAAAACCTAAGCATGGTCTCAGTCTCCACCGTTTCGTCGAATTTCAAAACTATTCTCAACCTTGTACCGCGGGTTATTTCAAAAAATACAAGACTTTCAAGTCTTACGTGCTAGACAAACTTAATTCGGGCGAGATCAATCCCGACCACGTAGTCATCTCTGTGCCAACCAGCTTTCCTCGCAGCGTACGACCCGGAAATATCATCGTCGACGAAGAGGGTGACCCCGTTTTAGACTATTTTTCCTTGTATTGGGAAGTAAGAACGGGAAAAATGTCGATAAGTTTATCCGACTTGACAACATTTTTGAAGAATAATGGCAATTCTTACTTTCTCCGAGATCTCCGTGATTTGCCGGAGCTTGGGTCTGAATGGCAAATTAAGTGTGACGAAAAGAGGAGGTGGACACAATTTTTTGACCGCTATGGGACACACGTCATCACTTCGGCGTACACGGGGAGGTCTGAGGAGTTGAAATTGTTCGATGTAAATCTGAGCAAAGGCATGTCGCAATTGCCGAGATTGTACAATGTCGGTTGTGTTGATAAAACAACGGATAAATCTCCCGAGATTGGGAGGGTGTTGAGGTCACGGTTTAGCATGAAGTGGACAAAATTATCGTCACTGGTGATGAATCCGGTAGAGGGGTTCAAGCTTGATTGGGCGTATGGTTTTTTACTTCGGGGCAAGTTGGACTGTTGAGTCGGATTTTAGCTGAGGTATTGTTGCCTATAATTTGTACGTCTTAAGTAGAAAATTAATAAAAACTGATGTAAAAAAATTAAATAAAAAATTGAACGATTGATTTTTGATTGGATTTTGCGTTATTTTTTATATTTGTAACCATACTTTTTGCAAGATTTGTATGTCATTTCATGAGACGTCTCATCTCGCCTCATTAACTTGCCAAGTAATTAGGTTGCTTGGTTAAACTCTCCATCACCACTCGATCACTATGTTTAGTGCGTAAGAGGATGAAGCAAGTTGAGTGAGAACCATATTGTAGAATACAAATATATCTGTACGTATATGTACGAACGAAAATACTTATGTCTTACCTTGCCTCCATTTCTTGTCGCATTTTACTCTCAATAAAATTTTCTAGGTTGTTGTCACATTTACTTTTAAAAATTAAGCATTATTTCCATAAAATGATGTCATTACATACTTACAAAAAACGAGATTCCTAAGTGCAAATTTCCAAAATAAAATAGCCATCCATCGTCATTACATAATAGTATTGCATACACAAATATGTCACATGGGACACTTATAAATTCATTTCTCAGAAAATTTTATGTAAATTACTTTCCGATTTTTGCATTATATACTTTGCAAAAATTTGACAACAATTTTTTGACCTTCAAAAATTTCCTAAATATCTATGACGTTGTCGACAGTATGCCTTATGCACATGTCCTTATTTCTCCAAGTAATTACTTTAATTCACGACTCAAACTGGAAAATTTCCTTAACTTTCCAGATCAGTTTGATGCGATTATTTCCACCTAAATCCGCAACAACAAGATGATCACAGACCATAAGACTCGTTTGGAGTGGAAGTAACGAAATATAACCCAAATTATAAATATTATAATAACTTGCATATTATATCTTATTTAGCAATGTGTGTCAAGTTTCACATCAACAGAGTGTATGTACATACATAGATTCATGCATATGGTGAAAAATGTACACTGTAAGTCACGAGTCATTAAATACATGACATGATGAGCAATTAACTAATTAGATGAATAAATTAGTATGCATATGTATTGGATATCATCTTGATATCAAATGTTTTCCATCATTCATTCATTTAATGTCACGATTTGCATGTGCACAACCTCAAATATATTGCCAGTCTTAAGTTGTCATCTGTTTTGATGTGGTATCCTCCAATTTAATGTCTTACATCAGCAAAATATCGCAAATATGCAACTCTGGCGAAGAATTGTGTACATCGGGATCGGGTTTTTCGAGTCGTTGACCGTAACCGGGATACTATTTGGGTGGCCCGCGCTCCTCCACATGTTCCAAATTGAAGGGATATATTCCCATTTCTGTATCGAGGATGGGTTCCAAGTCCAAAATGTGACTGCACAAAGTGCCACCACGATTCCCACGATAATTGTAAAGTTACGAATAATAATAATTAAATAAATTTAGTACTAAATGATTAACTAATTAAATTATTTCCTGGTAGCGATGCTCACGTCAAGACAACATGTTTGGACTTTTGTACTCCGTCATGATTGCGACATACGGAATTCCTTCGGCATTAATTGGATTTTCACTGGACTATGCTGGACTACGATTTACTCGCATTATGGGAACGTATGCATGATAACAGCACGAAATTAACAAACTGATCTAATAATTAAAAACTAAATATTTTATGATTACAGCCTCATGATGATTGGGGGATTTATCTTTGTCGGATTAGCCACTGCAGGTAAGCATCTAAATTAAATGACAAATTTTGAAGCATTTATATTAAAAGTTTCGAATTTGCAGCGAATCCGTGGATGGTGTGGCCTGGCATGTTGCTAATTTCATTTGGATCCAACGGGATGCGTCTGTGCTCCCTGCAATGTGGAAACGCTTGGCCGGAGAAACGTTCCACGATTATGTTTTGCTATACGTCGGCCCATGCGGCGTCCACCCTTGTCTTTCTCATGTTTCAGGTTAGGTTGTAGTAATTTTGAGAATTTTATCACTCATCTACAAATTGTAGAATTTGAAGGGAAAATTTACCTTCGAGGAAGCATGTTTAAATATTTTCATAATTATTCTATCCTGGAAAAGATGTTAAGACAACAGTCCACAAAGATTTGGTCCACTGATCGAATAAAAATTTAAAATAAAATTGGCACATGTCTTATGAGAAATTATCTATCATAAGTATGTAGGTTTTGCAGTTTTGACGCATAAAATTATGTACAGGAGACTGTCTTTATGCATTGCATAGTTAGTTAAAATTTGTCATACAAATAAGTAGTCATAAACTGTTCTTTTGATAATTTTTATGCATTTTTCTAGTACGCCAACGCTGCCGGGATCTCTCTCCGTTCCACGAGCCTCGCAATGTCCATCGTTTGCGGGGTGACCTTGATCTCGTCATTTATCTTACCAAAAATGAAGACCAACCAGAGCAAAATTCTGAGAAAAATTCAGTCCCGTTAGAAAAAATTAATGCCGTAAATGGCATGCATACCGTGGAAAATGTCGAAAACGACCCTCCCCCCAAAAAAGAGGATGCTCCCATCCCACTGGCCGAATCTATTAACACGATCTCCTTCGCATTTCATAACGTTTGGCTCATCAACATTTACATGCTGCGATTTTACGTCACTAGCTTTAACACGTGGGCCTGGAAGACGACGAACGACCCGAATCAGAGTAAGTACGTTAAAAATTTAGTCTGAAGATTGTGGTAGAAATTTGTCACCGGGCGGTAATTATTTAAATACATATTTTTTTTAAATTTCAGTCGCCTTCTACAACTCCTTTTCTGGCATTTGTCTCCTAATTTCGCCATTTATAAATCCAATCGGCGGCATGATAACGGACTACCTGACGAAAAAAGCGGCTAAAAGTAGAGTCAAATTATCATATTACCCCATTTCCCTACAATAATGCCATCTTACATATTTTTAGAGGAAAATCCTGTCGATCGATTAGCTTCCACCTTCCAGGCCTCGATATTCATCCTCTCGTTAGGAAGTTTGCTCACGCTGGCCGTTTACCTGTGCAAACTGTCCTACTCGCCGATTGCAGTTTACGTCTCGATCGTCCTCATGTCCGTCGTGAGGTCGGTCACAATCGCTAGTTTGTACTCTTACGTTCGGATACGGTAATAAGATTTGAATAGATTTCGTACATATGTATATGTGCGAATTATTTGGCAATGCAATTTATTCGCAGATTTTATCCCGAACATTTCAACCGGCTTACAGGAATAGCATTTACTATAATTTCCATCGTGTGTCTCCTCCATTATCCGCAATATTTGTGGTTATTCCACTCAGGAGGGGAGCTTGCGAGGTTGATAATAACAGATCTTGGTGCCCTTTGGATATGTGGTAGGGTCCCATGTACTAAAACCCTGAAGTGGTTTGACTCCATGGCCACATTTGCGCCCGCCACACCCACTCAAAAATGCCCAAAAAACGCTTTCACGCCAGTTTTCACTCACTCAAATCCACGTCAAAAATAAAATTTTACTCGGATTTTGAAATTTCTTTCACCATTATACTCCCAGATAGTGTCTTTCTTCAATCCAATATCAAACTCAATTTTTTCGAAATTTTAAGTATTTTTAAAATTTAAAATTCTGAATGAGCATTGTTGTAGTAATCAACAAAACAAATTATGTTTGCGAAATAATCATCAATAAAATTGAGTTTGATATTGGATTGAGGAAAGCAACTATCTGGGAGTATAATGGTGAAAGAAATTTCAAAATCCGAGTAAAATTGGATTTTTGGCGTGGATTTGAGTGAGTGAAAACTGGGGTGAAAGCGTTTTTTGGACATTTTTGAGTGGGTGTGGCGGGCGCAAATGTGGCCATGGAGTCAAACCACTTCAGGGTTTTAATACACTCATAGGACCCTACCACATATCTAAAGGGCACCAAGATCTGTTATTATCAACCTCGCAAGCTCCCCTCCTCAGAAGAATCGTACTATTGGGTAATATTTAACATTTGATATGTACGTAACTACAGTGGAATTATTTTTGCATTTCACCTCATTTGCATATTTTGACCCATTCGCGAGAAACGGTTTATTCAACATGGAAAGCTCGTATCGCCGAAAATGGCATAGTAAGATTAATACAAATGAGGTGACACGCACAAATAATACCACTGTACTTACAATTTGCATTTGCAAAATAAGTATGTCATGTCAATGTCAATACGAATCTAGGCAAGCTACACATTCTGCTTCATGATCTTGTTGACCTTTGCAAGTCCTGGACACTTACTGATACCATCGCTAGCGAAGAAGTTTGCACGGAGGGAACTAAATAATCGTAAATTATTCTGAGACACTGAAGTATGCATTTACTCGATTTGTTTATTATATTAAGAAAATACAACATAAACCAACAATTTATATTAAAATTGATATTAAAATTTTGTTGCTAATTTGCTGCGACAACAATAAACGAGCCAACTGAAATTCTCATCTGCTCCATTATTTATTTTCCTTAGTGTACATACATATTTTGATTGCGAACTTTATAAATGGGATCAAAACTTTTAACTTATTTCCTGTGTTTTCAAATTAGCTTAAAAATTCCAAGTATTTAATATTGTATCTAAATTAAATGCTGCATATAAATTTAGTATTACTTATCTATTTCTAATATTAATTGGTGAATTAATACATATGCTGATTTATATTGTAATTGTGTGCGTTATTAATCCTGCGACACAATTAAGGTATGTCTGTACTTCATTCCTTTGCAACGTGCACCACAGTTAAATTATAGCATTGGCACATAAAAGATTAAAGTATGAACCCAACTTTAGTCATGTCAAATTTGTTCTTCATCATTCATGAATTTTTCGGGCAAATTTTATCTTTGCACTTTCTTTAGTGCTGCCAAATTAAATTATCTACTCCCTTTCATCAAAACTAGAGACAATGTTTGATTAATGCAGAAATTTTGCATAACGAGTGGTGTCCCATTATCGATAAAATTCGATCCAAACTTGATCCTGAGCACGTTACATGCTTTTAGCTCCCTTCTCACCAGTTTCGACTTCTTCATAAGGAAAACCTTCTCGAACGAGGTCAACGCATGTCGTGAGGAATTGTAAATTTGCGAAGCGAGGGTAATGATGAGTATGTTGTTGACTCCGGTAGTCGTCGCCATTAGCGGGAAGATTAGGAATATCGGCATTGGTACTTCCTTATAAAAACTGATGGTCACGAATAACGCAAAGATCTGGTTGGCAGGAATGCAGAACATGACAGCGGGAGTTACTCGGTCCGCGAGGAACGCGTTAAAGGATTTTTCTAAAATTTGGATGTCCCGGTACAGCTGAATGCGAGCAGAGTGATCATCCAAGTCATGGATGAGGAGGCTGTATTGAAACAGGAAATTATTCGAGATATTCAGGTTTTCGAGAATAAAATGTCTAAATGTTGGAAATTTCGATAAATGGGAGAAACTTGTGATTTCAGTGAAATTGAGAAATGTGAGATTTCAGCGAAATTGAGAAATTTGAGATTTTAGTGAAATTGAGAAATTTGAGATTTTAGTGAAATTGGGATTTCCCAAGATCCTGGAGCGTGTTACTGAATATTTGAAGATTACTTCAATGCAAATCGAACACACATAACTTATGCCAGGTAGCTTATCAATTAGTAGTCGTACCGTACAATAGTATTAAATTCACAGAGCTTCACCTTTATTGACATCAATTTAACATTACCTTTCCAATCTGCGGAGAAAGTTGAGGATGAATATTATCCCCACAAAGAAAATGTACAGTAACCAGGTGGATCCCGAGTAGAGGATATGTAAGAACATCCACGTTTCAAAGATATGTATCCCTAGTCGACCCACGTACCTTATAAAGGTCGTTTCGGCATTCTCACAACCTGGCAGCATCGAGAGCACGAATGGTGGCGTGCATGGGATGACCCGTAACAAGAGAAAAACAAAAATTGGTAAGATTACGGCGCCCAATTCACAGGCTTGGGTAAACCACCGGACAGCTTTTACCCCCAAGGATCTGGGCACATGGGGAAGACCTGTTAACGAAGTGTTGAATATTTGCATAAAGAAGTTCACAAATAGTTGAAATTGCGTAAAACTTTCGACTCACCCGACACAATGGTAGCTTCAAAGTCCAAAAATGCGTGGATGAGTTGAATAGGATCGTTATCCAAGGAGTAGTTCCAACGTATTATGGACGCTGTGAGGTACGCTATGAAGAAAACTAAACCTTGCAATTTTTGCAAAGTCGTTAACGGGCCGAAGCAGAGATTGAGACAAAGCGACGTGCAATACATGGCCGAAAGAGCGCATTGCAGTTTAAACATGCGGATTTGAAGATGTGACCTACACCTTACCAATCTCCCGGATGTCTGGTCAAAATCGAAAGGAACGCATTGAAGGATTTTGCAAATTTGGAGATGAAATTTCAGAAGGGGGAGAAATTCTTTTCGATACATAATGTGTTCAAAGGGATAATGTGATGCATACATATATGCTTGTTTAAATTAGCCTAGTTTTGTAATGAATGCATTACTTCTGCTCTTGTGATTCTTAGTCTGAAGGACTTTGAACGATAGGAGATTTTTTAATGGTAAATTAACGAATTTTATGGTAGGTAGGATTAAAGATTGACTTCAAAATTACTGTATTTAAAATAAATATTCCTAGACTTATTGTTAGCTTTGGTCATTCCAATGATACTGTGGAGCGAAATAATTTTACAACAATAAAATCCACGATCTTGAAATCGATTTTTCCGAATATGATGGGCTTATAAGTACAACTGGACTATCAGAAAAAAATTGTTTATAGCAATGCCAACCTTTAAGTTGTTTCGATTTTAGCTTTAATAGCTTGTCATAAATTTAATGAATAATGAGAATGGATGGAAATTGTCCATGTTCCTGAATTTTACACTGACTGAGAAATACCACTTTACATACGCTATATCCTAATGGTGACATATATTTGCATATGTACATACATAAGTACTAGATGACGACCTATTTATGTAGTTCCGCCCTTGGAATACAAATGACACATTTCTGATATTTGTAGAGCGTGGAGAGATCGTCAACAAGAAATATATGATTTCATCATTATTTATAAATTTAAAGTAAACAAACATCAAAATTATCTACTTTGCAAAAGCGGCAATACCAGACTATTGGTAGTTTTCCGTAGGTGATCAAAAATACTATTAATTATGCATTCACTTTGATTCTAAACCTCCCAACTGACATTTCATTGCTATTTCTTAACCTATGTATTTACTTTGATGAAATAAACCTAACAATAAGCAACATTGTTGGTAAAATCTTTATTTTCAAGAAATCAGTCTTGTTAGATTCATAAAATATTTATGCTTTTGTTGGAACACGACAATGCAGCCGTGACCTGACCTGTGTCACTCTGATCATTGGCATCGTCCTCAGTTTGTTTTGTAGTCGACTTCAATTGAACATTATTATTCTCCATTTTGGAACACTTCCCCCTTATTACGTCGACCTCCGACAAATTCAGGCTCCCAGAGTACGATAATGAGAGTCCAACTCTATGCAGAGTGTTAATCACCTACAAAATTATGCAGGATAAATAAATTAAATGCAATATTTGTTATGCAAATGTTCAATAAAAAATGCCACCAATTTTGTCCATACATTTTTTGACCCCCCGTTGATCCACAGAAAAATCGCCATAGCCTTCTGCAACCCGGAACAATTTTGGTTATGCACCCGCCCCGCGATACCTAATGCGATCTGCATTCCCAAAGTCAACTTGGCATCCGTCCTCTTGGAACTTTTCTGGAATAGGGCGAGCATTACCTTCCACAAAAGTGGACACTTTGTCTTTACGAAAATCTCGAGATCCTTGTTTACTTCTTCGAGCCTCAGCTCGTCAGTTCCGCCCGTTTTATAATTTAGTAGTCCATTCTCCTTGGTTAGATTGGTGATTTGCTGGTGTAACATTTTGTGAACAGAATTTGTGAATGTGGCGTGTAGCTTGCTATTTTTGACAGATTCCTTAATATGAGCACCAATTGGTTTAGTTTTAAGAGGTGCAAGTGGTTCATATGTCTGGGTGGATACGGTGAGAGTCTTAGGAATTTGTGGGATACCTTCTTCGTTTTCTTTAATTAACAGTTTTCCCAAGTAGCCTTCTGGATTGAATTGATTTCTAAGTTTTGTGATTGACTCGTACATATTTTTTAGAATGGTGGAGCAAGGCGAGCACATCTTTCTCGATTCCATACGTCCTGGTGGGGGAAGTGGATGAAAGTTTCGTTTTAGTAACTTCTCATCGTAAACGACCCATTTTAAGAAGTCGCCCGCATTGAGGTCTACTCCGTTGAGTTGATGTTGACTTGAAGGATAAGCTGCCAAACCGAGATATTTCCCTGAGTTAAGTTCCTTATTGCAAATGATGCAATGATTTAGGGGGTTATTGCTTGTAGTTTTCGGAGGACCATCTGAGGCTTGGGCGTGGTTGATAATAGTTAATTGTGGTGGGGCTAGGATGACAGTTGGTTGGGGTAATAGCACTAGCGTTGGTAAGATTACAGGTGAGTTGTTTATCACAGTTACTTCTTTCCAACTCCATAGAGGTGCTGGTTTATCCCTCGTTTTTTCTGGATTAACAATTTGATAAGTTTAATTATTTAATATTGTAATCTTATACATGGTGAGTTTAGTACCAAAACTGGAAACGAACCTGAATCATCTTTAGCCAAACTTGTACTAGACTTCTTATTCGGTGGTGGAGTTATCTGATCATTTTCTCCTGACGAACTCTGGTCAGCAAGGCTTCGTACGTTTATCAGCAATAAATTTGGACCTTCCTCCTCATCTTTTTCGGATAAGTTTTCTTGGGACGTACTTTGAATTAGGTCAGTAATTTCGTTTTCCATCTCTGTAAAAAATATACGTTAAAATGGAAAGTTGTCAAAATTTATATATTGAAATAACGTAGAAATGTAAATACTCCGAAATTTCTTCTTGAAATGTTATCTGTATTAAATTTGCCTAGTTCTCCACCCGGCCGGGTTTCCTGACTTCTGTTGAATTACTAAAATTACATTTCTTTCTTATATTTCAAAACCTTATTAACTTGATATTATTATATCATCATTTAATTGAAAATAAAGCAATAAATTACCTTAATCCGTTGCTAATTTAAAACCGAGTTATCAAAAATTATCGGAAAATATGATTTCAAGTTTTTCACGTGTGAAACAAAATTTGTTTATGAAGCAAGTTAACCGGTCACCTGTGGAGGAGAAAACACATGCTCCTTCAGCTCCCGGTTTCGCTCAATAATTTTGTATCACTTTCCATGCATCACGTCAAAATATTTTGCAGGGAGTCGTGTCGGAAGTCTCATTTCGCCTCAATTTACGTTGGTCAGTAGTGTTCAGTAAAATAATAATTAAATACCTAGTAAAATAATACTAGTATGAATATTATTAATAATCATGGCGTAGCTCTGCTAGCAATTGGGTAAATTCCCCCATTGTTTAGCGTATGACACATTGAGGGGATACCGTCAATGCATATAAAAATTTTTGTGCTGATACATTTGTAATGCGTAATAGATATGCATACATGTTTGTATTAAATCCCAATTCTAAAGAAAATTAAATGAATTAACCAAGGTATTAAGTAGGATATGTATTCAAATTCAATGAACACCCTCTCTGCAAAATAAGATCATATTATATAATTGAAATTTAGACATTATGCGAATTATTTGACCAAAGTAAAAGTCAAATAAGTAGATATGTATGTATGTATGTATGTATGTACTTCTCACCAAATCAAGCCGTATTTCCAGTGAAAACTGTACATACAAATTTACTATTTACATATTAAATTAACACTGTTCCCGACTTTGAAGAATGCTTTTAATTACGGACTATCAGAAGGAAGAGGTAACTTATTAAGCAAATATGTACGTCGTCTCCAGAACTTAAGTATGTACATATGAACCAACTTTATTGATAACCATCTACTTACATAATAGATAAGTACAGGGGAATATGTAATAATTGGCTTCACCGAAGTCAATAAATTTTTGGGTATTTGCCCACTGCTTGATAAAATCATTTCCAAATATTTTTCAAGGTTGTATAAAATATTCATGTGCCTGTTGATCACAGAATTGTTTTTAGAAAACTTCAAACGTATTCGTCCTGTTACCATTACCAATCAAAGTTGGAGTTTTAAAGTAGAGTTTTCTCCCGAAAGACCGAAAATGGCATATCAAACCGAACTTCTCCCACTACTAAAATTTCACCTTCGTCGCTGTCACTTCCTCAAATGTGTCTACTTTGACTTCAACGACAAGTTGGGACGTTTAGAAAAATCAAAGTCTGCCCGGCTTCGCAAAATTTGCAATATTCAAGTTGTCATGTCAATTTTGTACTGCTTCGTCCAGTTCCTGAACCTTTGCTTCCGCTCGTATGGAATGTCGGATAAGCTGCAAGGCATCGTCTTCTTTCTGCTCGTCCTCATAGCCACCGTCGTCCGATGGAACCAAGCGTCGGAAAGTAACCAAGCAATACAAGTCATCAACTCATTCCTGCACTTTGAACGAGTAGGATTAACAGGTATAATAACTGTCATTAAATTTTCAACTCGACCCTACAACAAGCACTCACGAACAGGGCACAAGTAACCCCTTGAAAGAAGTATTTCTAATTGCAGAAAGTTACTTGCAGCAATGTATTTTGACTTACAAGAAATGCAAGGGCATGAAACTAGGCTTCCGTAGATAGTGCACATTTCCTGCACTTTCTTGCAGTTTATTGCAACTTACAGTTCTTTCGTTTCCTGCTTTGCAGTGCAAGAAATGCAACAAACCCTCAAAAAACGCAGCAAAAAACGAGGATTATTTTTCTAATTTATTGCTTGGAATTTCTCCAAGTTTATTTCTGCTAGTAAAGTTTGCAAATCAAGCAGGTCCAAATAAATTTTCCTTCTCTTGTCAGATACCATACCTTCCAGAATCACTAAATCACGGATCGTCAAGACTACTCAAGCGTTCATCTGACTCGTCGAGGTCTCAATTCCGATCGTTTGTTTCCTTCAATTCGTCCTCTTGATGGTCGACCCATGCACGCCGCCTTTCATCTATTCCATGTCCCCTACATGCCATAAAATTGATGACACGCCAAATTTCTTTACTCACCTGCTAGTACACCTCATGGAATTCTGGATATTGGCACACACATTATACGCGGCTGAATTGTCTCTTCTCTTCGTCCTCTGCGGCCAGATTGTCTCCTTGTTGACGTACCATGACGTGATGAAGAGGTATATTGCAAATGGACACTGATTTTTTTCATTCACCTAATTTTAAGTTTCCGAAATTATTTACGTGTCCATGAAAAATATCCTTTATTTCTAGAAAATTGGATACCATCTCCACCACCTGTGACCTCAAGTCAAGTATTCATCTCTACCGTTGCCTCGATCTACTCGAAAAATCCATCAACGCCTTCCTCATGCACCGAGTCTTGCCAATAATCGTATTTTGCGTGCCAGGAATTCAAATAATTTCCCAATATATCACAATTAATTATCACGATCATATCACGATGCCGGGATTTCTCGTATTTCCAGTTCTTGCAGCGAATGCCGCAATTTCGAGCATGCTCCTTCTCACATTGGCGTCATACGTGCACACAAATTCTGACAAATTGTTGCACGTTTTGGCGTCCAGGTCGGAGGGACGAATTAGTGGGAAAAGTGGGAAGACGATAAAGCGGGGGATTAAATCTTTGAAACCAATGAAAATAAGGTTCGGGTCTAACTTTATTGATCAGCAGACTCCAATAGTTATCCAAACCTTCTGTATTAATCAAACGGTATCACTTACCCTAATTATGTCAATGTAAGTATAACTATTGTAAAGAAATTATTTCTCTGGGATGGAAAATCTCCCGCTCTCGTATACTTCGTGATGTAAATGAGGCCAAACTGAGTCTTTTTCCCTCCCACAGAGATATTTGCTCTGCAATATGTACATGTGTACCTGTATGCATATTCATATAATCTGGTGAATGATTTACCTCAAATTGAGCAGCAATAATAGTGGCATGGCAGTATGTAAGTATGTACATATATATGTACCTATGTGAATGCACACAATTTAAGGGTGCAATTTCCAGAAATTATAAATTTATTAAATAAATGAAACAAATCGCTGATCACAAGTAAGAAATAGTTGGTGTGGGTGTGTCAATCTTATTTTCGGAAATTATGTATTTGTTTTTTCAACAAATACAGTATTTGTCATAGGCAGCACGTCCAATAATGAAAACCCTAGGGTTGCCGTTTTTATCCGAGATTATCCTATCCGATCGGATAGGATCGGATAATGTCGGATAGGATAATCAAAAATGCGATTCGGATATCCGTCGGATAGGATAATTTTTTCAAATTATCCGACTCGGATTATCCGATGTTGTCCGTCGGATATCCGACGGATATCGGATAATTTAAAAATGACGAGTTAAGTGTAATTTGGACACGTTGTATGTGCGAAAGTAAAGGAAATATTCTATCTCCAATTGTATTTCATTTTCATCAATGGATATAATTATTTAAGTAATTCCCGACAAATCTTAGTAAAGTTAGCAGATGTAAAAGTATTACCATGCCAAACACAAAACGGTTCCCTTTAAGGTAATATATAAGGTTATTTTCCCATTGCTTAAAGAATCAATCTAGTTCTGTGGGTGCTTTAAAGTAATTAATTTGAATATTGACATTATGATAAATTGAACTGATTACATACTGCATATCATACTTATTCAAACTAATATTTAAAGCAAAGTGGAGACTTACAGAAAGACGTTTGTCAAATAGATACATACATATGTATTACTTCTAATTCCTACAACTCCCTTAGTAGTTCAGTCTGTGCTCAATGCGCTTGACATAATTTTAAGACAGCTTATGTAAATTGAATACCCGACAATTGTTGGCATTATTTGAAATTTTTGTATTTATTTTGCTAATTAATTTGATTATCCTATCCTATCCGTCGGATATCCGACGGATATCGGATAGGATAATATTTCTGAAATTATCCGACTCGGATTATCCGAACAGTGGACTTATCCGATCGGATAAGAATTATTTTTATCCTATCCTATCCTATCCGATCGGATGGCAACCCTAGAAAACCCCAATTCCCAGGCTTGAGTATGCCCCCAAAGTTGAAGGTGCCTGCCTACATACTCAAGCTTAAACTTCGTTATATGTAGAAGATTGGTCTACAAACCACACCCACTATAGGCCAAATGACATGGTCAAGCAGAATCACAAAAATCAAAGTAACGTCGGAACAGAACAATATTCAATAGCAATCTCAGCTTTTTTGAAAGTTTCAACATTTTTGAAAATTGTGTGGGTGTGTATCTAAAAAATTGTATATTGAATTTGGGTAGAAAGTTAATTGGCGTAGTCCATTGAAATATGTACATACGCGAAACCCTTGTAAATTATTATTACGTATGACCATATTACGTATGTACATGGTTTATTGGATTGAGAGTTTTTGGTATCCTTGAATTTAAAACCATTAAAACAATTTAAAAAAATTCCACCTTGAGAACTCCATTGAACATACATAATAATACTACGTCGAAACCCAACCAAATCAAGGATTATACACAAAGCAAAATTATGTACCTTCAGTTTCAAATTGTAAATTACAATTTAAAACTTACGTCGCAATTAATTAATCAACAATGCTGCCTTATGTAATTAATTATGAAACAGTGGAGGGTATAAATTGACGTGTTTAACATTCCTCCTCCTCATACACACAAACTCAAGACACCGAATTTCGGTGACCGAAACCGATATTAAATATATTCCTTTGGACATCATGTCTCCATTCACCATCCTGCTCTTTTTGGCGATCACGGTTGTCACGAATTTCCAAGTTGACGCTGCCCCAGAGGGTACATTCGTTTAACGATTATTATTATGTATCATGAGTAAAGGTCGATCAGGGTGTATGTAGCAGCACGCTTTTTCCCACACTCAAATTGATGTGCAGGTGTGGATGCATTTATTCATTCATCGACTTTGATCTTATTAGCTCGCTTTCTAAACATGAATTCCGCAATCTATAAATAATTATACAATTCTGAGTCAGAATTTCTGACACCGCAATTTCAATGGTTCTAGACAAAAGTCGAGTTTTAAATTTCAGTTGAAATTTAACTCTGAAGGTAATTTTTTAAGTCGTGTTGGACGGGTTTTTATTTTTATTTTTTGAAGGTTATTATAGACTAATTATAAACCAATACTGTAGAGCTGAGAAAAAGTACCCCCAACCACTTTTATATCCCAGAAGGCACACACCGAAACATTCAATACCTTAGTTTTTCACACATTCAGGGGATCATACAAATTAATTAATCACGAATGTTATAAGGATGAGTCTTGAAAGTATTAAATAAAATTCTTCGAAACTATTATTTTTATCATACAACCCGACACTCATCCCGTACTGTCCCTAATTTCCATGCAGATTCCGGCTTCTCTTGTAACTCTGTAATCACATTATTTCCCCAGAAGTAAAACCAGCCAACACCAATAATCATACAAGCGATCGTCTCAACATAGTAGCCATCAAACACGGTGGAACACAACCCGTCAGAGCTGCAAGACTTCACCGTGAGGGGATCAGCCAACCAAAGAGAAAGCGTGGCTGACCCGATGGCCCCCACATTTATTCCGGTATTGAATAATGTAGCGTAAGTTGCGCCATACGACGGATCGCTGATTTTCGTGATAAATGCAACCTGAGCGAGACCCGTACATGTGAAGCAAATCTAAAAACAGAAATAAACTACTTACATATATTCAATGAATAATTTGTAGTGATTTTTTTTACCGCAGCGAATATGTTGATCCCGAGCAGCAAAGAAAAATACCACCATGGAAATGTGCCATTGTTGCTTAAAAAACTAGTTACCGGCACCATGGCCGCCAAAATACCTGCCGAGAGTAACCTACAAATAAGATTTATGTAGTGGCGTCTTACAATTTAAGCACAAACATTATATTATTATGAACAAACTTTGTCTACATACGTGAGACCATAAGTATTTCTAAATAGACTCATTGGCCGCAGTCCCGACGTCCACTTTGTTATCAGTACAGTGATCAGAAGTCCAAGTGGCACCAACGGAACGGAGAGCTGTGCCAAAATCTCCTTCGACAATCCGGCCTCTACCTGTTTCAAGTCATCAAGGACAGACGCAGCAAAGGCCAACTGTAATATGGAATAAATAAATCCGTTTTATTGATGCATTTTCTTAATTAGCGTCCATATAATAAGTACGTCATTAAAAAGGTGGGTGGATCTGGGTCCCCTATCTTACTCGTGTTTTGCTTAATTTGAGTAGGGTAAGGGAGGGGTGGGTCGTTGGGCTAAAGTCGGCGTTTTTTTGATGACGTAAAATATGTATGCAAGGTTCCCTTAAGGAAATACTGATTACCCACATTGCATGTTAAGCAGAAGATGAGACACTTTTGTACAGCAGGCAGTTTGATGATACGCCATAATCGAAGGTAACTAACAATTATTTTATTCCCTTTGTCCTCGTCTACTTCAGCATGTTCAATCTCTGGATCTGCATCCTTCTCTTTCTTGCAGAAGAAGGTGAGTGTCGTACAAACAAAGTAAATAATTGACCACGCGAACATAAAACCGGATAAAGTGACCACTCCTACATCGCTTTTTGGGACGGTGCGTAGATATTTATTTGAAAAATCAGGAGACGCCAAATTTATGAAGAGTCCATATCCAATGAATCTCCCAATTTTCAGCCCGACAGCATTGCATGTTGTTGCGAGGCCCACATTTTCTCTAATACAAAGAAAATTAATGAGCTAAAATGTAAAATTCAATTTAATTTTGTCATCCATTAGATGCAAACCTTTTAAGCAGAGTCAGCGCCCAACCATCGACGACGACATCTTGCGTTGCAATGAGGAGATTGAGAAAAAACATTAAAGCCGTTAAGACCATTATCTCCAGGGAGTCGATTAACGAGTCCACATGGAAGGATAGGAATAATAACGTGACACCAATAAGATATTGAACCGGTACGAGCCACGACTTCCTTCTTCCCATACGTTTCCAATATATGCCATCCACCAGTGGGGCCCATAATAATTTCAAATTGAAGGGCCAGGTCACTAACGAGAAAATGGCTTGGTCCGAGTAATTTGAGCCACGGGCTTGGAGAAGAAGAGGAATTGACCCGGCTAGACCTCCAGGGACGCCTTGCAATGTGTAAAGAAAGAGCAAAATTGAAATGTTTCTCCATTCGATTAAAATTCGTCGGAATATTCCTTGTTCAGTTTCTTGTTCCAGGTTAGATTTCATCTTCTCAGGTTGGCTCACTTTATTATTTATAGAAAATACCATTTTGTTTAGGTGTCGTCTCACAGTTTAGAACCAATGGGTATAGGCTTAGATACCGAATCGGTAATTAAACAATAAACTTCAAAATGATAATTCGGTTATTAAATAATGATTCAGTTTTTGTTAAAATTGTACATATGTGCTACTTTTTCCATATGCACAGTGAAAAATACAGAAAGCAAAAATTGCGTTACTGTTTATAACGTTAGGAAGGACTAATTATAAGTTATAATTTATAACACCCTAGTATGATGACTAATTAAAGAAACAAAAGATAATCAATGTTTGCTTTTGCAACCTGAAGATTACGTATTTTTCTACCATGTACATACATAGTTAAATGAATTTTTGCATGTGACATTAACCTTGTCCTATGTATTCAATACTGGCCATCATCTTAAATCATGGTGTTGTTGGAATGTTAGTTAAATTTATTGGCTTGTAATTTAATTAATTTTCCAAGAGCTTGGACACCTACTTACTTGTGTAGACATTGGATTGAAATTGAATAACTATCCTTATTTGTTTCTAATTTAGTTTGTTAATATCTACATGTGTACATGTGTATATCTACCATAATTGTATCTGTTTCATTTAGGTGTAGGTTGAGCCAGGTGGTACAAACTAATTTTCTTGAGAGAAATCCACCTGTCTCCAGGATTATTTCTGGAAAGGATGTATCAATTAAAATCTTGCATGTGGCACTATTTATGATTCATAAATTGTGAATAAATAGTTGTTCCTTGTTTGTAGATATGCATATGTACTGTACTTACATATATCATTATTATGCATACTGCATCATTGTACAATGATATGTGTACGTATGCATACATGTATGCATACGTACACATATACTTAGAAAATTTGTGTTAAATTATTACTGACCGGGGCACAAATATCTATGTATGACTCTACCGGTACGGTCAAAGGGAAGAACGTACATTACCGTTTACCGTAATGAAAAATTTACCACTCTGAAATAAGCTACTACCAAAATTCGTTAGGAAGTTAAATTATTACGAAATCAATACCAATACGGAGTATATATCTACAAATTTACATACATATATATGTACATGTGTGATTCTACCAGATTTTTGACAGTGTAGTATATTCATCACCAGAATGATAAACGTCCGAGGAGCATCAATGCATGTACTCATGATATATTTGTACATTCATGTAATATGTAAACATGAGTAGTAATCAATTTAATTAATTGCAACAAATTTTTTTCACCCTTTTTTAAATTATTTTCCATTTATAATACGACCAATTGAAACGCCGTATGCATTTCGTTCAGTTATCAACTATCGAATATGCTTGATGTAGAATACTGTTTCCACCATCTAATTTCTAATTATCTAACTCATCTAATTTTCTAACGGAAGTTCAAAGATGGGGTCCACGACCACATCCAAAACCGCCCAAAAGTGGGTTTCGGTGTGCCAATCCTATTTTCAGGAATTAGAATTTTAATGTTATAGATAACATTGATCTATAATAAAAACCTTAATCGGGATTGACAACCATAGGCCAAGGGACATGGCCAAAAAAATCAACATAACGTCGGAATAGATATTCAATAGCAATCTCAGCTTTTTTGAAAGCTTCAATATTTCTTAAATTTTCTGACGAGGGATGTGTAATACACATTGTGTGTCGCCAATTTGTGGATGTTAATTTGCGAAATCTATCGAAATATGTATATCGGTATACCGATAATAAATCCTTCTCAATTATGAATTATGTACATTAGGGTTGCCGCGGGTAACGGGTCGGGTACCCGTTACCCGCATACCCGCACGATTCTTGCGGGTACCCGTTATCTGCGGGTAGCGAGAACTACCCGCACGGGTAACGGGTAATTCAGTTTTTATTTAATTTTCGCCATAACCTAGTTCACAAAGAAAGTTAGCAGCAAGTTAGTCCGCATTTACCAACAAAAGCGTCAGTTTATTATTTGTCATTTTCCAGCAACAAGCGTTTATTACGAGTTTATTGTCTCTTTTTGGAAGCCAAAGAAGCATACGGTAGCCTCAAATACATTTCACGTCCATAAAATTTGGAGCAATTATTGTTTCTCAAGCATCGTTTGCCTGCTCTAAAATATCAATAATAATTTGTCCTGTATTTGTCTGTATTTATGTAAGACTGACCAGATTTTAATTTGTGCTTTGTAAATTGTGAAGATGAAAAACCTGAATCCGATAGAAAGCAAAAAATTTATTTGTAGACAATTCTTTTAATGAAAACTTCATTTCAATCAAAATTTGAAAAAATCAAACAAAAAATTGAACCTTTTTCATGCTATCGCAAGATTGCCCAGGAGAGTATATCAAAAAGTCAGGCCCAAAATTAGGAATAACATGGTACTTATCTTTTTGTTGAATCGATTCGAAGAAAAATATTGGCAGCAAAGTTTAATTTTTAAGTAAATGTTCTGTATCTTTTCCTCCACTGGACGAAAACCATGGTGGACTTTGAACACAGTTCCCCAATAGTTTTCTTTAAACGGGTCATTCAACGGAAAAATAAGTGTCATGTAATTCCTATTTTTTGGCTTAATATTTTGATATATGTACATAAATCGGTATATCTAGCTTGAAAAACGATCCAATGTAAGCCAAAGATTTTGGTTCCAAAAATAGCTAGTGACACCTAGGAGCAAATTATGGCATGCGTTACTTGTATAGCATTATCTCGAAGTACATATCAACCCAAATGAACAATATCCACGTCTTGTTCTCCGGGGATGACGATTTCCGGATTTGTCCAGCAGTTTCGCTCAGTCGTGCAGTATTTTATATCCCAATTTATGTCACTACTTTCCATCTTTTCGAGCTTGTGCAAACCCTCTTTTTCATCCAATAACCACCACTCGTCGCCCAATTTGTCATATGCCAAAATTTGCTGCGATAATTCCTTGACATACCGCTTCGTTCCGACGCGAAACAAGTTAACTTTTTTCCCAGACGTAAAAATGTGGTCCAGATTTACAGAAATTTCTATAGCCCCGTATCTTCTTTCTTTTGCATGCGGGTTACTTATCTTGTCTGCAAATTTGTCCAGATCAACGCTAAAATACGTGATCCCTTGGGCGCAAATATCCCCCGGTTTGGACAAGTATTTTCCTCTTTTACCCTTGAATTTAATCTGGGTTTCTTTGATATTTAACATTTCAAGCAACGTTGTGGCGTCTGCTCTGAGAACACCACTGGGTCAGTCCCGATCAGATACCCTCTGACCAGCGTTACACCGAATTTGACGTGGGGGATGATTACTACGAGTAGGAGGTCAGCTCATAAATCCACTCAGAGTAGCAAAATAAATATAACATAAAACTTGTTATAAATCTCTTAAATAATTGCTACTTTATTTACTGTGGATTAATTAATTGTGAACATTCTCTCAAAAACACGTCCACATTACTTGAGTACTTTTAACGAACTAAAAATGAGGGCCAATAAAACAATGAGATGACGAAAGACTGCGCTCGTGCGGGACACTCAAATGTCAGGGGCAACCTAAAACTAACATTCATACATATCATCTCAATCATAACTTTTACATGAAATATTACATACATTACTATTACTCATCAGATTCGACACTCCCACCTTCTTTCGTGAAAACATGAGCGAAAGAACTAAAATACGAATCTAATTACTAATGCTATCATCATGTATTAACACTCTTTGCAAAACTCCCAGACGATCAGGCTTCTTTATCTTGCGTCCTGCTCTGGTGATTACTTCTGGCAACGCTTCATCCACGAGATCTTCATTTGACTCTTGCAAAACGGTATCATCATCCGTGTCTTCTTCTTCAAAGTCTTGGACTTGGCGTTCTTCTTCCGGTTTGGACATCTCTCTGTCACCTGACGGAATTTCCAAAGGGTAAAGTCTCTGCAGCGGTCTTCGGAGGACTCCCTTTGCAGTCTTCACTACGGCAGATCTTGGTTCACCATCCTTTCCTGGATTTAGCTGGATGATGCGTCCGAGTGGCCATTCAACTCTTTTCTTATTATCCACTTGGACCAGTACGACATCACCAACGACGGGGTCAGGAGTCTTCTTTTCACTAGCTTTCTGCACGAGTTCAGCTAGATACTCCTTCCGAAATCTTGCTTGTAAGTCCTGTTGCAGCTTCTTCACATGCTTGTAACGGGCTTGCAATTCTTTCCCAGTGACTTTCTCCACTTCCGGGAATCTTGTCATCTTCGTACCCTTGAGGAACATTGCTGGAGTCAGTGCAACGAGATCATCAATGTCTTCAGTCGCTGCAGTAAGTGGTCGCTCATTGATCGTGGCCGCGACTGAACATAAACAAGTCGCCAACTCGTCTCTCGTCAATGAGGCTCTCCCCAACATTCTTTTGAGCAGGTCCTTGACAGACTTGACCATGCGCTCAAACCATCCTCCCCACCACGCAGCAGTGGGTGGGTTAAAAATCCACTGAATCTGCTTCACTTGGGTCGCCGCTTCAATTTTCATCCAGTCCAGTTTCTTGAACAGGTTATCAGCGCCCACAAAGTTTGTCCCATTGTCCGAGTAGATGGTATTGGGACGTCCATACATACTCACAAATCTCTCCAGTGAGTTGATGAAGGCTTCGGTACTGAGTGACTCCACCAGATCCAAAACGACACAGCGGTACACGGCACAAGTGTATAAAACTATCCACACTTTTGACTTGTTCTTCAAAAACAGCGGTCCTGCCAAGTCCACTCCGGTTGTTGTAAAAACTTCTCCTGTCGCCACTCTTCTCTGGCAAAGCAACAGGATTAACTTGCAATGGTTTTGCATCTTGTCGCCGACAGGTCACGCATTTCCTCAGGGCGTGGGTCACGGTTCTTCTTCCTTGGGGAATCCAATACTTCTCCCTCAACTTGGTTAATGTAAATTGGATACCGCCGTGACCATAAATGCGATGAATTTCTCGAATCAAGTCATGGACCATCGGACAGTCCTTGAAGGATTGGAAATCTGAATGCTTCGGTATCCTCCCTATACTCCAACTTGGTACGAACGTGGAGTAGCTCGTCCTTCATTTTACTGACTCTCAAATTGATTTGCTTTACGTCGGGAAAGTATCGCTCCTGCATGACTTTTAACAGGACTACTTCCGCCGCCCTTAGCTCAGCTATTGTCCATGCTTTACGTAGTTCTTCTTTATCCATTCCTTTCAGGATTCGAACTGCATATCCTACGACACGAACATTCTTGATATATGATGCGAACTTCGCAACGAACGATGCTACTGGAACAGTTCTGGCCACTTTCATCCACGTAGACCTTTTCACCTCCGCGAGGACTTCATCTTCGTCCGTTTCCCCTGGTGATTTCTGCCAATTGTCTTCGCTTTCTCTGAGCCAGTCTGGTCCCTCCCACCATTTTGATAACAACAATTCGGTCGGTGAGCATCCTCTTGAAGGTAGGTCGGCGGGATTGATCTTGCCGGGGACGTGGCGCCATTCTTCTTTGTTCGAAATCTTCAAAATCTGACGAACCCGATTTCCCACAAATGTACCCCAGTCTCCGTCCCGTCGAATCCACGCCAGCGCCGTGGTGGAGTCTGTCCAGTAGACGGTGGGGATGTCTTCATATCCCATCGCTCTTTTCACCGTCTCTGCTAATCTTGCTCCAATCAGGCATCCCAGCAATTCCAATCTTGGGATTGTGACATTCTTCTGGTCTGGTTTCTTCTGTAACGGTGCGATTCTTGATTTTGCAAGTAGTAACTGCACGGTAGCACTTTCCAATCCCCGTTCTTGGCATCTAACGAAGACAATTCCACCGTATCCATCCTTGCTCGCATCCGTAAAAATGTGTAGCTGTAATTTGGCACTATTATTTACAGCCCATCTCGGAATCTTGATCTCTCCCAGTGACGACATCTGCTTATACCACATCGTCACTTTTGCACTTTTGACCTCGTCCCATTGTTCATCCCACTTCATGTCTTGCGCCCAGGATTCCTGCAACAATAACTTCAACTGCAGGACGGCTGGTGACGTGTAACCAATGGGGTCAAAAACTTGTGCAGCCAGGGAGAGGACACTTCTCTTCGTTATGACAGGGTCACCTTCTTCGCCCCACTCGGTGGGAATATCGCAATACAATTGGTCACTCTTCTTATTCCATTTGTATCCCAATACAGATGTGATCTCATTTTCCATTACTTGATCTGCATTGGACTCCCACTGCCTTAAGTCCATCTTCGCTCTCTCCAATATCATTGTGGACTCGTTCTTGAACTTTTCGTATTCTTTCAACGTGTCGAAGGACGTCACACAATTGTCCACGTAGAGCGACCTTAACAACTCCAGGCTTGTCTTCTTTTCATTCTCTGGAACCTGGGAGAGATGGAAATCCAGCACTGCTGCAAGGATGAACGGACTACAGTTCATTCCAAAAATAACTCGGCAATGCTGATACACTTTGAGAAGTTTCTTCCCTTGATCCTCCCACCACAGGAATCTTTGATATTTCCTATGTTCGCCATCCACTTGGATCATCTGGAAGGCCTTCATAATATCGGAGATTGCTCCCACCTTTTCTTTCCGGAACCTGAGGAGGATGGGCAGGATCATTTCAACTAAATTGGGACCCTTCTCTAAACACTGATTGAGAGAAGGCTGGTTCCCAACTCGACAAGAGGCGTCAAAAACTGGACGCACTGGTGTAGTCAAGCTATCCGGTTTGAACACTGGACGGTGCGGAAGATAATGTCCATCGTGGTCTGTTCCTTTCTCCGCGTAGACTTCTACAATTCCTTCCGCCTCCAGGAACTAAAAATGTTGTCATATTGTTCAAATTCCTTTCTTGAGATAAGCTTGTTAGTTGCTGATTGCAGCCGTTTTTCAGCAACTCCACGGATATGAGGGAGTGGGATGGACTCACTAATCCACGGTAACTTCACAACGTACCGGCCATCATCTGCTCTCCTCAGTTTCTTCTGGAAATCTTCCTTGACCTGCTGGTCATGCTCTTCTGTGCTGACCCTCAATGCACTGTCCTTGATTCCCAAAATGTCCAAATCCCACAGAACACTTATATCTTCTGTCTTGGCCAACTTCGCAATACATAGTTGAGCCATGGTGCGCTGTTTCGGGACGGACGCTTCTCCGTTTAAGTACCAGCCGACCGTTGTCTCTGTCGCAATGATGGTTGGACTAACTTTAGCCATCCTCCCTGTGAGAATTCTTCCAATGTGATTGGATCCTAACAAGATGTGAATCTCGGAGGGGTCTGACGCGACGTCGGTAAGGTACACCTTCATTTTCATCAGCTCGTTCACCCACGGGCCATACGGGACAGGATCACATACTCCACAAATATATTCTTGAGAGAACATCTGCATCTGCAGGTTTTCTTTCCCTCCGTTGATTCCTTGGATATTCACAGAGTACTCCTTTCTCTCGGCAATCTCGTGACCACCACCAAATACTTCTGTCTGGAACATCCTCTTGCCCACAGGTTTCAGCTTCAAATCATCGGCTAACTTTCTCTGTATGTAACTGATGTCACTCCCTGAATCCACTAGAACTCGGACATTTCTCACTTCCTTATTAGGTCCGAGAACTTTGACTTGCATGGTTCCGCGGAGCACTATCTTATCTTGTTTCGATGACACACCCATTGCCAGTGCTGATGGCTGAGATACCACCATGGTTTTCACTCCCTCGGTCACTTCGTGACTCCTTCACTATCACCGTCCTTCTTTTCTTGGCACATTACTTGATAGTGACCTTTCTCACAAGTTGGACAATCCACGCGGACCTTGCACTTTCTGAAGATATGTCCTGGTCTTAGACACCTGAAGCAGACGTTGGCTTCTTTCACCTTGGCCAACTTATCCTCATGACTCATCTTCTTTGCCCTGAAGCAATCTTGACTCTGATGATTGTTCTTTCCACAGAAGACGCATCTTATCTTCTTAACATCACCAGCAACCAGGGCAGCAGCAGTTACGGGATACTCTTCATCTTCACTTTTTCGGTGCCTCTTGTTCTTCCCGTCCTTACCGCTGGAGCTTGATTGGAATCCAGTCTGGGCCAGAGCAATTTGTTGTTGACCCTGCACTTCATTCTTTATGAATTCCATCATCAGATCAAGACAGCTTCTTGGGGGGTTTTCTAATTTCCCGTCGACTTTTGATAACGGGCTGCGTTGCCATGCTTGCAACGTCTCAACAGACAAACTTGATTCCACCAAAGGGAACAACCAGGTGGCTGGATCAGCAGCGGCCAAATTTAATGTCTTTAGCGCCCTCAAGTGCGACTCCAACTTGAGGTACATTACATCCAGGGGAATCTTCTCCTTCTGACTGACGTTACAAATCACTAACTTCAGCAGCTCCCGGATGTAAACTTGCATTAAAAGGCTCTCTCTTCCATAAGTCTGCTTCAAAGCATCCAGCGCCTGTCCATAATTTTCTGCCGTCTGAGGGAAACTACTCACTAACTGCAATGGTTTAGTTCCAGGTATCATAGCTTGCAAGAGGTACTGAAATTTGTCGGAGTCGTGGATCTTGGTGTCAACGTGGATCTTCTCGAACTGAGACCACCACCCTAGCCACTCTTTTAACTCCCCATTAAATTTCCTCAGCTCTATTTTTGGCAGTTTGAATGACTTCGTGTGATCCGTACCGTTGTTTGCTGGAGTGCTGCTGCAACTTGGGATCTGGTTTGATACCTCAGGGGTTATACCATTACGTGCAATCCTCTCAGCCACTAAAATCTTGTCTTGATACTTCTCACAGTCATCTGCTTCAGTTTCTAAATCCACATCGGCTACGTCGTCATCCAACATGGCTTCTTTCACTTTGTCATCTTCATTGATGAACTTAGTCGACGCCACATCCAGTTTCTTCAATAAGTCCAACAACGTCTGTCTGTACGGGACTCCTGTGGCGATTTCCGCTTCTATTTCGTTGCAAAGCTTCGTGACCTGTTGTCTCACTGGCTTCCGGGACTTCTTTGCTCGATCCATGGCCGCTACTTGAACCTCAGGACCGTGCAAACCCAACAAACGGAAAATGATTAATAATTTTTCAACGTGGTTTTAAACTGGCAACAATCTCCACCTCAAAAGTCCCCGACTGCTCAGGGCAGGGCCCACAAAGTGGCAAAATAATTGTTATTATCCACGTGAAAAGACTACAATGGGACGACCTCACGGACTTGCCGGTTGCTTGGCTCCCCTCTCAATGATTAATAAGGAATTCTATCACCTGCTAACCCCCGAATGCTCAGGGTGGGGCCCACAAAGTGGCAATTTGTGAAGATTCCTTCCTTAATTGAACTTCCTCCTGGTCACTGTAGAATCCGACTCGACTCCCCTATCACGTCGAGGTCACCAAAATGTGGCGTCTGCTCTGAGAACACCACTGGGTCAGTCCCGATCAGATACCCTCTGACCAGCGTTACACCGAATGTGACGTGGGGGATGATTACTACGAGTAGGAGGTCAGCTCATAAATCCACTCAGAGTAGCAAAATAAATATAACATAAAACTTGTTATAAATCTCTTAAATAATTGCTACTTTATTTACTGTGGATTAATTAATTGTGAACATTCTCTCAAAAACACGTCCACATTACTTGAGTACTTTTAACGAACTAAAAATGAGGGCCAATAAAACAATGAGATGACGAAAGACTGCGCTCGTGCGGGACACTCAAATGTCAGGGGCAACCTAAAACTAACATTCATACATATCATCTCAATCATAACTTTTACATGAAATATTACATACATTACTATTACTCATCAGATTCGACAAACGTGACGGCATTTGTGGAGTGTTTGAGTTGCTTGATTTCATTGATACCCAGGGTTAAGTTGTACGTTGTATTATCTTCTTCGCTGCATTGACAAGGTTCAAATTTTCCAGGGAAATTGCCAACATGTTGAATAGCATCCCACAGAACGACCGGCAGTTCTGGTCGTGAGTATTGCAAAAAAAGAAATTGATTCGGTGTCAAAGTATGAAACGCTTTCACCACGTCACGTAAAAGTTCTAGGGTGGAATTATTTTCATATTTGTGCAGAAAATTCAAAATCTCCTTCAAACACGGAAAACGGAGTATATCTGGACATTGGTTTCCTTCTTGAACTTTTAATGCGACTTCTGTCTGGCGCAGAAAAGGATGCAGAAATACGTTATGGATAAATTTGGCCAACTCGACTTTCTCACTCGCAGGTTTGTTAGTCATCACTATATCAAATTTTTTTTAAGTGGCTGACATGGCAGAACAAGATTTCAAGGATGAGGCATAACCCTTTCCAAGCTTGGAAAATGACTCCAGTATAGAATTGATTTCTTTAACAAACTCCAAAAATGCAGGATATGATGCTTCGGTTTCCATTTTAGCTGAAAATGGAAACAAATTTAGCTGGTTATATTAGTTGCGTTTTTATATATTCATGAGGTGCAATTTGTATATGCTGTGTACAACCTGGTTGTACGTAGCATATGCAAATGGCTAAGAGTGTTAGCATATTGCCATGCAAAAGTTCATCTCGGTCGAAAAACTTTCACGAAAGGTGGAAAAGCTGTGAGTGATACTATTTAATAGTTATTATGGGTCCCATGAGCTTTAACCTCTATCGTACCATTAATTTCTTAATAAAATTTCCCTTCAGTACCATGTTAATTTCATAATTACACCTGATAGCAACCAAATAAAATTTCTTCGTACATGGAAAATTCCAAAATTTCAGAAGAGAAATATCGAAAAAAATCCACTTTTTACCATCGAGTTTTCCACAAAATGCAAAAGAAATACTTTTTTAAGTAAATGGTGTCAAGCAAATTTATGCAGTACATAGTCTATGTCATAGACATTTGTGTACTTCATCCTTAACGGAAAATAACCTGCTGCACAAATGTGTGTACTTTGTTTTTCATGAGGAAATAATTTTGTGACAACATGACATAATTATACATATACAATCGACCAGGCTCTTTTTTATACATACACGAGAATCTTTAATGTACAATAAATTTTCAAAATTTTGAAGAAAGTTTAATAAGACTGCATTACAGCTTCAAAAAAATTACATCTATTAATAATTGCGATACATTTACTTACTTAGTAACCCCAACTTGTCTGTTTTACCGTATTTATGTAAGCACGGCTTATTAAATGACGAAGGCACACACACGATTTAAAAAAAACTATTGGCTATGGCATCGATTGACTTTAGATCACAATACAAAAGTAATTGCAGCAACGCTCCCTTCGGATGAGAAAATTACCCCTTTATACTATGTAATATTTAGTGTAATATTTAGTGATTGCCACTTGTACGTTATATGCTGCCAGAGACTTGGGCAATTTAGCAAGAAATACACAGGGATGAAGTCCAGCTGCAGAATGAAATAAAATTTACATATGTAAATGTACGTATATATGTATGTAGCTGTATATGCTTAAATATGTATATATTTATTTACATAAGAACAAATGCTTGAAGTAACAAAGCTCACTATACTTACAATAAAATTCACGTTCACGATCAGTAATATGTAATGACTAATTTTACGGGAGAAGAAAGGGTTGAAACTCCTGGATACCTGCTAGCATATGTACATTTATGTGTACCACTGGCTGTGCAAGTATACTTACTCCTCAACGGGCGACTGCTTTAACAATAAAAAATTAACGGACATTTTCAGTTTTGTGGATTGAAGTTACGTTTTTCCTCCTAAAATGAGACAGGGCACCCATTTCGACAATGTTGCATGCAACTTTCCAGAACTATGTATAAACTTATATATTTATTTACACACGTATATGAGAGTACATCCTGTGGCAAAGAAATGTTATCTGCATATTTATATCCGAGAGATAAACGTTTTTCAGAGTATCGACATGACTCCAGAAAATAAAACGTTTAAATCAAACCTTAATTTAATACGTGACTCAAAGAAAAGTGTGATTACTTACAAACATAAAATTATTCTCCTTATTTCCTAAATGAGGATGATATTTAGCTTTAGTGTTTCCACGCACCCACAGATTCGCTCAAATCAAGTGATTGCGACAATACTTTAATTTTAAGTATTCATTTGGACGTAATCATTTTCATTACAAAAGTTTTTGCTTGCTTGCTTCTTTCCTTCCTGCCTGTTGTTTCGCTTTGATGATTTTTGGCTTGTCGATATTTTGTGAAATATACATAAATATGCATAAATACATATCCTATTTATGCATGTAACCGATTAGTAGAAATGTGAATGATTAAGATACAATTATCCATGACCAGGTCCTGAATTTCTTCAGTTAGATCTCCTTCACTCGAACTATGACAGGTTCAAATTTAGCCGAAGTTTTATCCTTCAGCAAAATTCATGGAAGGAAATTTAATACACTTGTAAATAAATGTATGCTGCTACCGATGTGCCAATTCACCAAATCATGTCCCAAAGTATAAGCATAACAAAATTGACACTGAATGTGGGCGATAAATCTTCAAGGGGGAGAAATATGAGACGAAATGCGATCTTTTCTTCTCTGACTGACTGGAACTTACCACGCACCAAAATTCTATCATCTACATAGTAAAATCCATGCATACATACATACATCGAGTCCGCACGAATATTAAAAATAAATTATATTGTTAACTTAAATAAAAAGCTAGTCATGTGTCTCAGCAATATGTGTTGAGTAAGTCAAATTTATTTTCTTAAGTATTCGGGTCACGCAAAACAGCAAAAATAATTAAATAAGTTCATACATACATTTAAAGCATTCCGTTAAAACTTCTAGTCACTAGTCTTAACATTTTTATTTTTATTTCTCAACTTGTCCAACTCGGTTTAAATGATGACATGAAATCGTAAAATTATATGAAGGCTTGAAATCCTAAGAAATATGTATGCAAAAAATACGTCTGTAAAGTATACATGTAAATATGTATCTCATTTGTCGATGACTAATCACTATTTCATGTACAAAATTTATTAGGAACATGCTTAAAAACTCGATAGATTTGATGGGGACAAGGGTCAACTTATCCTTAGTATTGGGGTCAAAATTCCTCAAATACAAGGCTCGCATATGAATAGAATCGAGGCATACATAGATCTCGTATCGTGTAAATTATCAGTAGTATTTGCGTTGCGTACATAAATATTAATGCATTATGCTTATCAGTTACTCAGAAATAATTAAATTGAGTCACCCCTTAATTTTTGTTCCTCCCTATGATTTTCGATCAACATAGCAGCAATGAGCGACAAAATGAGCCCTGTTACCCCGTAATTTCCAAAATGTCTCATTTGTACCCCCCAAACCTCAATGTAATTTCCCCTCAGCAAGGCAAGAATTTCGCCAAAAACGCCCTCCCTTGCCATCCTCTCTTCGAACGTGGCGGAATACTTTTTAATCGTCCAGGTCTTGAAGTATATTTCCAGTGGAACTATAAAATGTGTATGTACATAATTAAATGTAACCATTTGATAATTGCCAAATGACTGGTTGGAGGTTAAAAATTGGAAACTTATCGAAATAGGACAACTTGTCCTCATAAATTTTTGATTATAAAGTTGTAAAAATTTAAGAATTTCGAAAATATATGCGCTAATTAATCACCTTTCGTTCCGTTAATCTTATTAAGTCTGGTCAGATCGATTTCTGGAAGTGCGAACGCTATCCACTGTTGTGGTTCATCGTCCGTCCTGACTATAAACTCTGACAACGTAATTGTTGCATCTGTAAAATAATGGTTGAAACATATTTAACATAATTTGTGTAATCTATTAAGATTTTAAATTCTAATAGGATGATATGTAAAAAATAAACGTGAGACTTACTTCCCCAAATTATTGCACCCTTGTAATCAATAAGAATTTGCTTGTTCTTGATTGTCTTGTCAAGTGGAACGCCGACCTTGGTGAAGGTGGTCACAAAAATCAGAAACATGATGACAAAGACAAGACCAGTGTTGAGCACGATTCGAAGAGACGAGTTCATTCTGTATGTAAATTTAATTTAATTGACGGACTTAAAAATTTTAAAGTTCAGAAATGGAGAGCTAGTCGGATTGGGGATGTGAGAGAAAGAGAGATGCATGTACAATGCGAAAATTATATGAGTATTATTGACATATGTATTTACATGTGCCAGTCAATTCAACAAGTCTCCTGGAAGGAAGATCCAGAAATTGTGTAGTCCATTAAGGTCTAACTTATCATACGTTTATATTTAAAATTTCGCGGATAAATGTATCGCAATTTCTAAACCTTCTTTTCTAAGATTTTATGAGGAATATATTTATCCATGAGATGGTGGCGAAAGATTATGCTGATGTAACAATTATACATCTTTCAGTCATCTTTGTGTCAAATATTTGCACATAGAGTATAGGCTTCCAGTCTCATGAGATGAGAATACTTCTCATGAGAAATTTGAGGTAAGATGAGATATGAGACGGCTATTTTTTCTAGGAGGAAACTGAGACGAGAGGTGAGGTGAGGTGAGACGGGCCTTTTCAGCTCGTCTCATCTCAATAATATATTTCTTATCTTGCTATTTTCCTTGTCGTAATTTACCCCTCTCATGTGCCGTTCGTCGTACGTAAATGTGCCAACCTTAATGCAGCTAATATTTTTGTAATTGCATACATACATTAATAAAAATTACGCCAAAAAATATAAGCATTTCGAACCGTTTAAACTATTCAAAACTATAATTTTATCAAGTCCAGCTTTTTATTTCATTTTATTACAAATTACGTATACATATTATCCCAAATCATAAAAGATAATCAAAGACCGATAAGTACATATTTTATAAAACCGTGTATCGAAGAGCTCATCAAATTATTCAAGACTCTGTTTCGCTTTGCAGAATGGGTCCTCCTTCTCTGCAGGCTTCGAAATAGTTGGGTAATCCATGATATATTTCTGTACAAAATTCATAAAAAATGATTTCAAAAATTTCAAAATTTCCTGAAAACTAAACTACCACTGGTTTATTGCTCACCTTTAATGGATACCGCTTCCTCCCATGTCCCGTACAGTATGCGTAATGTCTCCCATGCTGCCACTGCTTCTCAATCTTTTTCGCAATCGTGGTGTCCGTCCAGTTCATTTCTTTGATCTGTTGCGCCACAGATTTTCCCGTGTCGACGATGTTAATGTGGTCATACAGACTGTGGAAGTCGTCGCCTTCGCCGCTCTCCTCCAACTCCTTGGCGTCATCGGGTGGGTCGAATTCGCCCGATGGGTTGTACGGCATCTTAATTTGCTTCAACACGGTTCCGTTAACCTCTCGAATTCCGAGGGGTTTGAAAAACTCGGTGAATTCATACTGTGACGTGCACTGCATAAGATTTATGCGGGGATAGTAGATGAAAAAGGTTTGACACATTTCCTGCGTGGTGGACAATCCTCCCTAAAAAACGTAATATTTTATTTTAAAAACTTGTAAATCATGGGTAGGAAAATAAAATAAATAAGTAGATAAAATTTTGAAAAACTTGGGTAAAAAAATTGCCAAGGTTTATCTTGATTTGCATTTCTACCAAGCGTCGATTTTCTACTTATTCGTTGATTTTGTTCCAAAACTTACCAAAACCATTCGATTATTTTGAGTGGTTTCATATTCGCATTCTGTGATTAATTCGTCTCCAGGAAGGACGGTAATCTCCTCTTGAAGAGTTCGGCTTTGTTGGTAGTTGAAATCATAGTAATCGTCCTATTTTACATACATACGTGAACAAAGATTCGGGATCAAAATCATGAGTAAATTAAAAAAATATACCTACTTTAGCAATCAGTGGGAGTTCTTTGCCCCCTCGGAAGTGACGAAGTCTCAATTTCCTCATGCTCAAATGTCCGTGGAGGAGTGTGTTGATAACTTTGATTCCTGTTGGGGGCAGGGCCTGAAAATACGATTATTCAAATTACGTCAGTAAAAAATAATTTGAAAATAAACTTTTCTAACATTTAATTTTAATTTGTAATCCAACCATAAAAATTTTACTTTCGTGATAAATCATTATTACAATTTTACCCCACGATTACCCTCAAAATGATTCAGGTTCGACTATGTATAACCAGAAAGTAAAGATACATACATGACTCTGCCGTTATGGCTATAACTTTGTCACCGATTGGTTATAAATTTTCAATGATTGGTGATATATGTAATTATTACCGATCGGTTATAAATTTGTTACTATACATGATAAATTTGTTACTATGGTGGAGAGTTTATCTTTCTGGTTACAATCGTGACATAATTATCTTTTTGAGTGACACTTTTTAGGTAAAATTCTAACTACCACGTTGCTACATACCATATTACTTATATAGGGACCAACAAACATACCTAAGTACATGCCATAAATTTGAACCAGTTTATATCTTTTTTATACCATGCAAGTCAAGGTTTTTTGGTGACCCGTCCACAAAGCACGACCCATTAATATCACCAAGTCAGTCAAGTTTATCTATTGTCTCCTAATTATGCAAATTATCATATCCAGCCACCACAAACCTGTTCCGTACACTCGGACGAGCAGATTCCGTGCATTACAAAGTTTGGCTGTTTTGGAGGCAGGAGAAGAAACGGTGTGATCCTGTACCCCATCAACATCACGGACTATACATTATCATCATAACATGACATTAATATCACATCAACTTCAACTTTAATATCAACATGACGAACCCCATCGTTTTCTCTCAACTTGTCCGTGTAGAATATCCTCACGCCAGACTTGTCGTGAACTGTGGAAATTAAACAATTATAACTTGCACTTTTATATGCACAACTTGAAAAATATGTGCTCTCAACATACAAACTTTTCTGGTCGGGTTATCATAATGAACCTCCATCATGAAGTAAGTCGCCCCGCCGTGTGGTTCGCCCAACGGTGAGCCAACGTGTTGTGGGAACATTTCACCTTTAACATGTGCAAAATGTTGGATAATCTCAATTTGGCAAAATTGTGATTAAATTTGCAAATAATTTAGTCTCACCTTCCCCACCGGCTACCCACACGAATAAGAAAGTGACGCAGTGCTTGGTCCATTCTGGGGGCATATTCTTCGTGTAACATCGTCCTCCCGTGTGCATCGTGTGTTTTTCGAAAAGGTTCTCCGTTCCGCCATGTTCTGGTGGAACCATGCACTCGTAGAAAGTGATGTGATGCACGTTCGGTCGATTTTCCGGTGTTAGGATTGGTTTCCACTGGAAAAGAAACAATTCAATGCGAGTGTCAAACAGTGGATGTTTTTTAATTTCTCATAATTATTGTCGTTATGTAAATAAAGCCGGGCTTGAATTTTTTGACACATTTAAAAGAGTTAAAAAATGTGATAAAAATTTTCACCCAAAGTGAATTCGCATTTTTACTGGGTCTACCCTTGTATTATAAGAATACACAAATTTTACGTACTTAAAAGTTACAACAATGGCATGTCGACTTACTACGCATTATTTCGGACGACCACATATAGAGAATAATTAAATACATTTAAAGAAATAAATTTTTACCCCGATCATATGATGTTTCTTCTCAAGGAAAGGAAACTTGACAATTTTGCAGAAATAAGTCGTCTGTTCTTTATCAATTGTCTGAAAATGCAAAAAAAATCCAATTAAGAAAAGTACGCATTAATTTCTATATAATTGTGTTACATTATTCATGACTAAATCCCATTGTTTAACGCCTGGAAATTTTTCAGGGACTTCGTCTGGAAAGGGGTCGGCAAATGCGGTGTCGTGAATAAACACGCTTTGGACGCCTCTCGTATTCAGGCCGTGCCAGGTCAACCCGGTCACGTTGTTGTCGGCAGTTATGGAGGGTACTGAACTTCCCAGGGCCCACATTATTCGCATCGTGTCATTCTGCAAAGATTTGCAAATTGTTTTAAACTTATCGCATGCAAGATTTGAGATTCAATTCACTCGGGTAGGTGTCAAATGTGCAAAAATTTGTGTTTGCGTAAAATCATAAGACAATCTCGATCTGTGCAAATGTTAAATACATTTCCAGACAGATTTTCCTTTATATTTTCCTATGCAAACTAATTGATTTTACAGGATTGTAATCTTCAGAGTAAAGATTTCACACCTTTTACAACAATGAAATAAAATCTAGCTAAAAATTATCAATAAATAATTCATCATGATTTTGCTAAATCATGGTGGTTACAGATTTCACCATGATAAATGCATAAATTTGCATGTGTAAAACTCACCCTGATTTCGATATCATCCTTATCACAGGTGAACCACTGCCTTCTAAATTTAATGGTGGTAATCCCATTTTCCAATTTTCCCGAAAGAGCTTCATAATTCTGCTCCTTATCCAACACCGGGTTATTTCCCACCCCATGAAAATCCTATCCAAAACACAATTATTTTCAAATTCTTCTCAAATTCCCCATTTTTATACGCCTTACTTTCATGAAAACTTGTCCCTTCTCGTCAATCCATCCAATCGCTAAGTCAGCCCCGTTCATTCCGCCATTCTCACTAAATCCGAACCCGATATAACCACCCTTCGTTTCGCCGCTAATTTGCATCTCCAGCCAGGGATTGCTACTCCCATTTTCAGTCAAACTTCTCCACTCAACCTTAATTTTGGGGGAGTCAAGCTGAAACTGATGCGTCCAGGGGGCCTTCCCCTGCGACACGACGCTCCCCTCACTTCCCAAGAAAATTAGAGACACTAACAAAAATAACGTCCTCATTTTTGCAAAAGAGACAAATCGCGAATCGTGCAAAAGTCCCAGCAGCAGCAACAGAAGTGCTGTATCTTTGGACAAGGACAAAATGAGACTGAGGCGCAAATCCAGTTTTGCATGGAGAGTTACCACGTAAATTAACAGGGGAAAGGTTTGCATGATAATGGAATGGAACTGGATTCCATTGTGCTTGGTTGTTTGCTTATCTGTGTATAAGGAGTAAATAATGGATGGATGCGTTCCACTGGTCAAGGTGACTTTGTTCCCAGGAGCGATCTTGTTAACTGAGCGAAGAGATGGGAGGGCGAGATAGATTGGGCTAGGGAAATAAAATTGTGGAGAATTATGTAAACTATCAGTGGAGGTTATGCAAATATACGTACATAAGATACGGCTAGAATTATACCTTTACCAGGACTACGACTGGTAAACACCAGATTTACCAGGGTAGTGGGAAAATAGTTTTATCTCCACTTTTTGCTATCGTGTGAAAAATGGGAAAAATTGCATTTTTACCATATCCTGTCTTCATATTCAGCCCCTTTATTAATTGACAATAACCAACTCTTTACCATTTTGGGAAGTAAAAACCTTTTTTCATAGGCATGAGTCTCTCACGTGACACATTTATTTTTATGCCTTGTACACAAAAGGGTTCTTAGTTGATATCCTAATTTTGTCCTAGACCAGATTAGATATTTCATTTTCATGAGTTACGCACGAAAGTATTTCTTGGTACAAATTCCGCTCTTACTTCCTCATCTTCGCTGAATAGTCAGAGGTCGACGTACGCCGCCGCTCCAAAATTTTACGTGCCGCCACCATGAATAAATTTGATTTCCTATTCCTTCAACATTGCGACGCCGTGCTGCGACGCCGAGGAAAAATCGCCTAGAACTATATGCCGCCGAAAATTTGTCGGCGTCGACCTCTGCATCAAATATATACAATTGAATATATTGTTAAGGCAATAAATTTCGATGAGGTTAAAAAACTTAAGTTTTTCAACCTCTTCGAAATTGTTGCCTTGACATAGGAAAGTTTTGCTGGAAATATATGTGTGCATCTTTACATTTTGACACTACGTAATGTCACCTACTTTGTATGTATCAAACTGACCTAAAAGTACCTTAAAAACTGGTTTCATATAGAAGTTTACCATGCAATTTCCTCACATCCATTGTACCTCCCATTGCCATAGTGCCTCACAACTTGTGAGTCACAAGAGCTTAAATAGATAATTTATATCTTTGTTTACAAACTTAAACTAATTTTTATTAATCGCACTATCAGATGCGTAGTTTAATATAGCCAGGTACATATTTACATAGTTACTTATCAGTATTTACCTATGGTAAAAGCAACCTAGTACATATTTCCTTCTATGAAAAATAACAGCCCGATAGTTCAGTGACTGTCTCACCTCGTCGGGAAAAATGAGTGATGGCAGATTGTCACGACATTTCAGATAAACAAAAGCGTCTCTTTTTTTAAAAAAAACGAGAAAAGGAAACGGATGACATGCACAAAAGTGTGGAAAAATGGAACATCGTTGCGTTGGTCAAGTTTCTACTGCAAGTGACAATTATAATTTATGCATAATGGGACGCTAGTGTCACCAAAAGTGTCTCGTCTGTCGCGAATGAATGACAACTTCATTAAATTCACAAAAGACAATTTTCAATGGAACGATATCCATGCATTAAGTCCTGCTCTCAATGAACTTCATTAAGTTTGCGTTGTTAATTAAAATGCAGATATGTAAATGTATTTACGTATGCAGGCAATTTTTAATTTATTGAGGACATACACAAGATTAAATTGATGTGCATGTCGCAGTAAGATTGGCCAATAATGCAAGATTCTAGGAGGGTGTGGATTATGAAACCTTTATCCTCGTCATCGCAGTTTATGCATGCATGCATATTTTTACATGCATACATAGTGTACGCATATTTTTGTCAGAATGTCAGTTAATTTAGGGTTATTATTTTACTAAGGGGAATGGAACTGGTTTATATTTTAAAAAGCAATGCAAACGAAGGCAAAGCAATCTTTGTCATGACCCGACGCTCAATTCGTTCATCAGTGGCCGCAGAAGTGTGGGGACACAAGGACAAGGTTCCCTCGATTATTCGATGTCCCCATCATCTACCCTTGTTACATATTTACATAACCCCCCCCCCCACCCCAACGTTAATGTCCCCAGATGTCCCACAGCTTCCGCGGTCACTGTTGATCACGAATCAACTTTAATTAAGCCAACATTTGAGTGCATAAGGAGTACATAAACTGTGGAACTTTCCTCATAATAAATACATGTAAAAATTAATAACTATCATTTCGTGAATAAAAAGATGAGTACATAGATTGTTCAATAAATGTAAATAATAAATCCAACTCAATATCAACTTGAAAATTCTCTTCATATCGTATGTTTGCATATAGAGTTTATCTAGCAATATTAATTCCTCATCCTCGTATGCACTTTTGTACACGTGTTTATGCACATGTGGGAGAATTACAAAAAAATGTACACATGGTACATTCATTCGTATAATCCTAAGTAACTATGGTAGTTCGATATGTACATAGACGAATGAATGCATATCTGCAATGCAGATTCTGCATTCCAATTTCGTAGTTCTCATTCATTAACTTATACTTACATATTACTTCTGGATAACAAATTAGCTAAGAACTAGTTCCATTCCACCTGGGCAAAGCATTGTTTTGCAATCCAGGCAAAACTGCGGAAGTATTTACTTTACCACTGTACTTACATATACCTATTTGTTACCATATGATAGTTCTATAGGCTGCGAAATCTATGGAAAATTCATACTGCCTTACACATTCTTCTAGATCTGGTCAAGTGGATCGCACACTTTGACGAAATATATTGTCCTTTCTCAAAGTCGGACTTGTGCATTTACATTCTGCATAAATGTGAATGTAGATAAGCCATCGCGCAAACTAATGGATTTCGTCCGATTAAATGGATTTGTCTAGCACCTTGCACTTTGTCAAGTGCAATTTTTTCTTGGGAAGTTTTGTGTCTTTGTTCCGTGCCGTTTTAGTATTTCAATGTATAAGCGAAAATCAAGAAAACATTGGGTAATACACGAATACAAATTACAAATGCAATCTGCCAAATTTGTTATAATAAATACGTAGTAATATTATTTATTACTTATCATGAATATTAATATGAATCTAGTGTCAAATATTGTTATCATGGTGAATCACCGGATTTTATTTAAATTTCGAATCTCCTTGCCGAGGTTGCCGAGATGTGTCACAAACGTGGGCAAATTTTGGGACGGTGTCCACATCCAACAACGAACACAGACCAATGACACGGATATCTTCCCTCCTTGGATGAACGCCACACTCGCCCTGGAAGGTCAAAAGTTAGCCTTGGGCCACGTCGACGGCATCGTTAAAGCGTACCTCGAGGGAATATTGATTGCTTTAACACACCCTCAAATACGGGACGCCCTCCTCTTTTCCGGCAACTCGGACACTCCCTCCAAATCTGGGCGTCGTTATGCTGCCACCATAGTCCAAATAGCGCTATGGTTTCGCAGAGATTTAAACCACGCCCAACTCGATTCAAATTGGGTGGTCGAATCGGTTCGAAAAGTGCGCCAAATTCATGATCATGTCTCACTCCGTATACGGAAAGCCCTAAATGATGGAACGTATCATGGCCGAGTCCGGCAAAAGGGTGACAAACTAATCAATACAGAATTATGGCGCGCTTTTCAACTAGACTTGGAAGAGTCTCACATTCCCCGGTCGGATCGAAGTTACTATCCCAATGAGAACATTTTCGAAACAGAATTTAAAAATGCACACCCTTTCAACCAGCTCACACTCGCCGTAACCCAGTGGACATTTCTCGGATCGGTTGCCATGGATCCGGAATCGGTGAATGTCTACAACGCCACAGAAGAAGGGCTGATGGCATTCATTTGTGGGCCGTTCTGGGCTACTCGATGGGAATCAGGGACGAATTTAATTTGGGATTAGCCTCCAATCTCCAATTAAGGAGGTTGCATCGACAATTTTTTGCGACACATATGCTCCCCGCCCTATTCAGTTTGAGTCATGAGGGTAAATTGTTGATCGAAGCTTATCTAAAGGTGCTTAATGTATTTTGAAATTTTTATTTTTCGGCCTTCATAACACTAAATACTTGCATATCTTTAAATTATGCAGGGCACAACCCATATCCTGCTTGGCATAGACGAAGAGTATGTTTTACGCGCGATGCTGTACGAAATTTTACAGAGCAGGCCGAAGCACCTGTATCGTCGAATGGGTCTTTATGGCGTAGCCGTCGACTTCTTCATGGGATCTGTCGGGCCAAAATTTATTAACACGGTGTTCCCCCATTTTCAAAAGGTCTTGTCACCAATCTTTAGCCTCATCCATTTCAAAGTTGGATTTCTCCACTTTGCTGGCAAATATCGGTCTGACCAAGATATCGCTAAGTACTGTTATTTTTATGATTTTGTCGATTAGCTCAATAAATACGTCTTAAAGATTGTAATATTTTTAAATGAGAAACACCCACATAAATATTTATGTACATAACATATATACCTCCACAATAGTTCATACTGCGCGTTGCTAGATGGCGCACGTTTCTTGCAGATTCTAGCATTTCTTGCGCTGCTTGCTTTCCAGACTGTGAATCACAGTGCAAGAAATGCAGCAACCCGACACGAAACGAAACTCTTAGCAATTCTGCTAATAAAATTAGATTATGAATATTTATAGCTGAATCAGTTTATGCAAATGGATTTGTCAAAAATTGAGATATATACATATGTACATACTCGAGGGTTTTGTAATGCAAAAATATGAGCTGCTTATTTTTGAGGTGAATAAAATAAAATTGGTCCGGCATGTAAATCTGAGTTGTGTTTTATATGTGTACATGTGAAAAACTTGCATAATGCAAGTTGTATTTGTGAGTTCTTATTAAAATGCGAATTTGGGGAAAGATTTTCATGCACTCGGGTTTCATACTAATCCTAATCAAGCTTTGTTTATTAAGGCAAGCAGAGTCTTCTAAGAAGCGATAAAATTCTTAGATAATCCTCATTAATCAAGAATCAATTCAATGAAAGCGTAATTTTCATTACTGTGAATTTGTACGAGTTATCGTCAACTTACATAAGTTTAGCTCATTTATTGGAATTTGCGTATGCTTAATTACGATGGGTCAATAATTCGTTACTTGGTCGTGGCAGGTTTTTATTTATTTCGGTCTCATCTTGGTCTTCCTTTCATTCAAGTTGTGTATTTGTGAATCTATTTTCTCTGTAAAATTATGATTTATTACTTTTTCCGAGTTATCAATTTCCGCAATTTTTATAATTATAACATTTCCAATTCAACGAAATCTTATAGCTTTATTAATAAAAAACATTTACACAACAAAGTTAACTACTTTTATCATATGAGAAGGACATCTTTTATGAAGCAACGAGTATGTAAGGTTATATGTATGTACATAATTCGCAAATTGTGCGAATAATAATTTCAGCGAAATTATTATTCGGAAAATACCTCAATTTCGCAAATTTTGGAGAAATCATATCAAAAAATGGACCCCATTTTGATGCGAAAATTTCCAAATTCTCTCCCATATTTACAGAAGGCTTTGAACCTTCGACATATTAGGAGCGAGGAGGACATTCCGAAAACCAAGTTAGGAATTTTGCAACTAATGAAATATCTGAGATCGAATGAGGCAATTTTATTTCTTTTGGAGGACGCCTTGAAAATATCACCGCCCGCTTTTCCACTCAATGTCATTGCCGGGCACAGTTTTCACGTTTTTAAAGACCTCCCCCTGAGCAGGACACCGCTTCTTCTGGGGGAACCGACCTCTTCCGACATTGGCTACTTGTTCCCCTCCATCCTCACCTGCTCCGTGGAAAAAAAGGTGACCGATTTCATCTAGTTCTACCCGACTCGAGAGAAATATTTACAAAACCGCGTGGAAAAGCTGGGAATTTCCGGTAAAATCGGGGCTGACCGTTTCACGGGAGAAATTCGACCCGGGTTTAACATCGAATCGGAATCTTTTACCGATTCGGGCTGCGTTATTACCGCGGTTCGAGAAATTCGTATGTTTGAACTCGTCCTCAACGATAAGCCCGCGTTATCCGACGCGTTCAAAAAGATTCTCCTCCAACTCCCCGTTTATAATGAGACGGATCACGACAATGTCAACGTGTGGGTGAACTTCTTCGAGAATTATGGCACCCACGTGGTCAGGTCGGTTTATGGCGGTGGCGCTATCGAGATTACGTTGAGAAGCTCGAAAAAATGCGAAACTTCCGCCATTACGAACGCACTTTTTAACGTTATCCAATTCGCCGAGGATCTCGTGTCTATTAAAGGATTGAGCAGCGGAAATAGCACTTCCGGTCTCGTCGTGCGAGACGGAATCTCTCATCAGCTCAAGTTTCGAGGTGGCGACGCCAAGTATCACACGACCGACTTGACAAAAATGAATTTAGACGAGGCCTCCACTCTTTTGGCCGATTGGAAAAATTCCCTCCAACTAAATCCAACCATTTTAACAACAGAAATGGGTCTCGTACCGATTGGCGAAATTGCGAAAAAAGTCGGAACCCGGCAAAACATCACCGCCGCCGTTGCGACCGCCACTTCGCTCTATTTCCACTCCGACCTCAAGTACAAACCGAAACCTGTCAATCAAGTCATCCAAGGCGACCGAGACTCCGTCCTCCCCGTTCAATCGAACCAAGGATTTACCGCAATTATTCAAATGATGCTCAACCAGACGGCCGAATCGAATAAAAGGTTCGAACTAATGATGACAAAATTCGAGACGGATCGACGCCTGCAGGAAGAACGGAGAGCGAACGAAACCCGCGAACAGCGCGCCTGGGAAAGACACCAGCAAGAATTTCAGTACAACATGTCCAGATTGGAGCAAAACGAGCGTCGCACCCAAGAGGCCGCGAGACAGCAGAAATTGCTCGATATGATGAACGCCACAGCAGCGGCGGAACAGAACTGGAGAGCCGAACAGGCCAGGCAACAAGCCGCGATTAACAGCGCACGGGCCGCACAACAACAAAGAGATCATGACCTTATGGTGGCCATCATAAATAAACCTCAACCACCGCCATCGTCCTGTTTGAGGAGAGGAACTTTAATCCACGCGGGCGAAGTGTTCAAGCCCGTGGAGTCCTTGCAAGTGGGGGACATCATTTTAGACCACAACATCAATCCGACCACCGTGGTGGGAATTTCGTACGAATTTTTGCAATCCCAAGGATTCCACGGGTTCGATAATGAGACCTTTTTCTTCACCGAGAGCCACATTTTGGCCGGTCCGGCGAATAATAATGATTCTGGGCTCCAATTCTACGTGAAAGACAAGCCTCTCCTCCTCAGACAAAATCCTCTCATGGAATTCATCCCCGTGCAGGAAATGCAGTATAGAGAACCGTTCCAAGTTTTAAAACTCGACCCCAAAAACGCTACAAGCCTGGGTAGCGCGACCGTTCAAGTTTACACGGATCCATCCCCGCATTCGGAGGATGAACTGATCTACTTTTTGCAGGTGGACAACCCCTCCGGAACTTATATCGCGAACGGGTACGTTTGTCGACATGAAACGCCACCGCTGGACAAGTGGCCGCACGCGATGGGTGTTTTGTTCAAAATTTTCTACACGGAGGAGCTCGCTTTCTTTGGCGATGTTCCGTACACGATGGAAGTTATGGAAAAGATTGACCTGATTACGGCCGAAGTTGAGGAAGCGCTTGTTAAGGTGGATTTGAAGAGGTTGATCTCGTCAGCTGGTGACGATGACGGGTCAATTGAGCTACCGTTTGACCCGGAAGAAGCGACCACCGTGCTGCAGGGAGTCTTCAATAATCCGACACTCGGCGCAATGGCGACAAAACTGTATGCCGCGACGAGCAAGAAATTATCGTTGTATTTTGATGACGAGAATGCGCAAGAGTTCGTGGGGCATGGGTTTATCGGAAGGGGGCAAGATTTGATATTTAAGGAAATTCATGCCCAGTTTGTGACCTCGGTGAGGAAATATTTTGATTTTAGCACAGAATAAAATTTTAGCTAATTTGACAAAAAGTTGACGTACGTATATTACAATTTACTAATAAATTTCATTCTTGACATGTCTAATTAATAAAGCAAACTCTAAATAACTCATTTAGCGTGAACTGATCAAAATTGTCGCTTTGTGCGAATCAGGATGAGAAGAGAAAGTTTACTTTACGTAAGTACATAGGTCAAGGTAACTGACTAGTTTGGTCTTGAAAAAATTAATTTTTATGGATGACACATTACGTTATTTTTAACAATTCCTAAATTCTCAAATTTATGTACTATCGTCAATTACTTGTTGCAAGATTAATAAACCCAATGGGTAAGTTAATGAGTCGTGATGGGCATCACGACTCATTCTCACTCACTAATTCTTAGGAGAAGGATGCAAGTTGAGCATATCAAGACGGAGACCAAAGAGATGTCTCATCTCGCCTCCTGTTTTTTTTCTACAATTTTCTCCCTTTCATTGTTACAATATATTTGTATGTACACATGTACATTACCTTCTAAAAGGTAATTACCCAAATTATGTAACCATGTTACAATCGAATTGGATGGGTATGAAGCAACATATACTATCCTCTTACTTAGGCTTACCACCTCATTTGTTTGCATATTTAAATCTCACTATGCCCACTTTCGCCGATACGGGCTTTCCATGTTGAATATGGTAAACTCTAGCGAATGTGTCAAAACATGCAAATGAGGTGCCCAGTAATAAAAATTGGACAGTATGTAGATCAAGTTTAATCATAATTTGATAAATAAATAATATTCTATCCCTACTGTCTTTAGGTATAAAGGAAAACTTTACAAAAATCAAACAAAAATCATTATAGAGTTCGAAATTCAGGGCGCCGTGACCTTTTAATTTGTAAGGTTAATGAACTAAAAACAGAACTCACAAAAGTTGATCCGCTTTTAAGCTATCCTACCCAGCAGACTTTGTGGACAGACAAAATCTTCACGTGTAATACTTACTATTAGACACTTGTCTAATACAGAAACATTTAAAACATAAGTTTCCAGTTTACTTATTTTTAAAAGTCGCCCAGCAAATAAGCTTCAGAACTTTATGTATTTATGTGCATATTTTATAAATATGTACTCAGCAGTAGCATACTTATCGATACAAATTTTACCTGATGATTAGTCCAATCCATTATAAAACTATTTACTTATGAGTTATATATATATTTAATAATCTGGCAATGAATGAATATATTATGCAAATAAATATTAGTATTCACTGATCGCTTAATCCGACAGAATTAGACTTTAAAATATTTCATAACATACCGATATATTTAAATATTACATAGTTATGCATGGTCATTTACATTGGTATTTCCATAATGGGGTGGTTTTCCCTGACATCATAAAATGTATGAGTTGAGGGAAAACCATCAATACAGATATAACTAT